TAAACCCTAAAAACCCTAAAACCCTAAGCCCTAAAACCCTAAGCCCGGCCGGATTGCTAGGACTTCCTAGGGCTGGGGCCGGGGCGGAGACGTCGTCCACTAGCGAGAGAATTTGGAATGCGCAAGCCAACGCTGGCCCTAGACCCGATAGATTCCTAGCTTCTGCGCTTGGGATGGATCGTGGTCGTGATTCCCTCGGCTGTGGTTCTTGACCAGTCGGTCACTTTTGGACCGGAATCCGCACGTGTCGCATATCCAGAGATCGTGGATCGCGAGCAACGGCAACGGTTGGGAACCGTCTGGGAGGGGTGTAAAGTCGGAGTGGTCGTAGAGCGGGGCGGTCCCGTCCGGGATGGCTGCTAGGTGTCGCTGGCATTCGGCGGAGTTGAGGATCCCATGTGTTTCATAGAGGTGGCGCTCCTTCAGACGGGCCGTGATCCCAATGCGATAGGGGCCGCAGACGATAGCGTTGTGACTCGCTTCGTACTCGAAGAGAGCACGAGATGGCGGTGGTCTAGCCATCGTCGTCGTCGAGGAGCTCCCGCTATCGTCGTGACATCGGAATCCGCTGAAGGACTCAGGGGTCAACTCTAGCGCGTGGCGCAGCGTGTGGCTGATCGGGCATCCTCCCCCTCCCTTTTCCCCTCTAGATTAGAACCCCGGTTGGACGTGGGCGTTGAGTGCAGAGTGCATGAGTATTAGAACCCCAGTTGGAGCGAGGCGTCGGGTGCGTCTAAGCCTATGCGTCCGTCCAACTGGGGTTCTAATCTGGGGGGGGAGGTTGGGGGGGAAATCTTCTCCCCTCGCTCTAAGCCCATACGCGACGACGGACGGAGCTCGTCGAGGATAGAGTCTATACATCGTCGTAGGGGGCTAGTGGGAGCGGCCCGCGCCCGGTGGGGCCCCTAAGCCCCGAGGACCAATGGCCGACCGTTTCCGCGAGATGCCCCACCTAGGAAGTGGTCGGGGCCAATGACCGACCGATTCCGCCGACCGCCTACCGCCCCAGGCGATTCCGGCAGAACGTCTAGGGCCCGCCCCTCGCGCACCGACGTTTTTTGTTCGGGTTTCCCGACCACTACGGCGGGACTTCGCTCTGAGGCGAGCTATATTCAAAGATGAAATATGGTTAAACAAAGCAATCAGCTATGGTGCAGAGCCTGTACTTATTGGTAGCCATCTAAATGATGTTGCTACGGCGAAAGGAGAACATTAGGTTTACTTGGTTCTATATGCCAACGACTTTTCAGGTGATACCTGGCATACTGGATTGCCTTTTCTTCTTAAAAGCTTGAGGAAGCACCGCTACAATATGAGACGTCATGAGGTGACCTTACCTAAGATCAGTTGGCTAGATACTGCCGATCACAAACTTACAATCCCCAAGATTATACTCAATGTTCGTGACATTGTGAAAGGTGCAGAAGCATTAGAGCTTCAAGGCAAAAAAAATTCAAAAGCTGTTTGACAAGAGGAATTTTACCTCGAAATACTCCTTTTACACATCGCCTGACATTAAGACTCTAGAAAGTTGAGAAATTTACGGCATTAGCGGGGCAGTTTCCGAACTTGGGGGGCTTACACCCATCTATGTCTTTAACCTGCGGACCCCCCGCAAAAAATGGCAAATCATATTTCATGAGCCTGATTGTCCAAGTGTTACTCCAATTTTCGAAGGGCGGAGGGGCGTACCGCATACGATTGTTGGGTGGCAACGCACGCTAATCTGACACAATGTGTACACTGCATGAAGAAAAGTTTCAACCTTCAAAGTATCTCGCATTTTGTCTCTTTGATTTGAATCAATTGTCAAGTTTGCTTTATTACACGGTGCCTCCGGAAACCGGTATTTGAAAAAGCAGATCCTACTGCCTGATTTTCTAGGCTCCCTTACGCCTGAAGGATTTTGCCTCACTCTTCCCACTTACTTGCCTCAGCCTGCTGCATGTTGGTTCCCAACCCGCCTGGCATCAACTATGATCTGCATATCCTTTCTATATAGTAGTGAATGAATGAATGAATGATTTCATTTACCCTGACCCCTTACGAGTTGATTTCCCAACTAGACTAAAATACGAATCCTTACCCAGCCTAGTAGGTTCTGGTTTAGAATCCAACTTCGCGAACGATATGCAGGCTACAACAACTATATATACTGTATCCTTGTACGTATAGTATGCGTAACATTTTGATCTTATCGAAAATTTGGAAGCGTATCTTTTAGTCATTCCTTATTTCGGCGCCCCTTATAATGTAATAGGCTCTGCTATAGTAGTGTTGTGAATATAGTAGGAAAAAAGCAATTCGAATAGCACTATACGTCCTAGCAAACACGAATCGCTAACATACTATAAAGCCCCGTCGGCCCCTGTTTCCTTCGTAATTGAAGTGAACTCAGCAATGATAAGTCTTTAAGGTGATTCTTCCTTCTCTATGAAGCCGGTAGGACTTCTTGGATTCTAGTGACGGACGCGAGATATCCTATTCACGGGTCCTTATCGAGCCCATCATCCTTTTCGCCTATGAGGCAACTAGATACAGTAAGGAGTTTTCGAAATCAGTTATATAACGTAATCCACTAGCGACCCGCCCATAAAAGCTATCCGTCTGCGCCAACGGTTGGCTATCCCCTTATAGTCCTCAGTCAGAAGGATAGATCTATATTCTTGTTCAGTCCAATGTGACGAAGGAGGCGCGTCTCCCCTCCAATCTGACTACGTAGTTCCATATCGTCCCTCTACTAAGTCGCTATTTAAACTCTCTCCTAACTACCTAATATAAGTTGCCAGGATCAGACATGTTAAAGGACAAGATCAAGGTAGATTGTGGAATACAGTGGTGAGAATATTACAAGTATGCCCAGATTGATAGGTCAGCATAAAGCAATGCCTAAAAGCCAAATTTGAGCTCATTACTATTGGCATCAACTAAGTTTATTTCCACCAACTGAACGGTATTGGTTGAACATTTTGCTAGCGTCAACTGCATCTACTATATATTACAGTAGTTGGTACAGAGCACGAACCTAGACTCTGAACGTTGAATAGTCTTGTCCGAAATGCAATAATACCTATTCAATTTTCGCTGAATCCTAGAGTTTAACCGTGATTTGTATAACACGATTTAGCGAGATGTGCCTAAACACGCCCTTAATGGTTTGCAGAATTTATGTTCTCGTTAAAATATATTTTGTTCAACATAAACAGTGCTTCTCGTGGTAGGTGCGGTAGACTATAGCGGGTTAGGAAAATTCACGTGAGGTAGTCCGTGTTCAACTAGGCTATTCACTAGAATCTCTATCCGTTGATCTTCTAATAAAAATTGATTTACTACTACTTAGATACAGTTTATAACGGGTTATCCAATTTCGCTTTAGGTGAGCTATTTAGATAGAGCTTGTTCTGTTTACTAGCGGCTACATCCACTGTTCTTTTGTAAGACTAACGCTATAGATGTAAATTTCTTCTCATTCGTCTAGACACGCCTACTAATGAGTAACAATGTTGTAGCAGTTGATACCACGCGAAACTAAGCAAGTTAAAAAAGGGAAGCTTACTTTTACATGCCACTGATTCCGTTAACCAGGATAGTAATAATAGGGTCATTGTAATTTTCCTACACAGTGGGAGACTAAAAAATAACGCTAGTCAATTGCTTCCACCATGTCAAGGTATCAGACGAACTATCATTGAACTTTATGTTCAACATGCTACGCTTATGTCAATTGTAGCGCCTACTAAGATCCAATTAAGTCAATCATGTGCAATTGGCTTGTTGTAGGCTAGAATTACATGTACTCGATTTTCATTAGATGAAGCTTAATCATTGTTGAACGGCTGGGATGAATCAAGCACGCCACTGAGGCCAATTCTACTAGACCCCATTCATTCATGGTACACTTGAGAAAAAAGAAATAGTGCTATGAATTGACTGTCCATATCTCGCTGCCGTCATATCGGTGAATGGCTACTCGTAACAATTTACTTCTGCTAGAATCCGGGTAGGGTATTCGTGAGCTATTGAACCGTATATTTCGCACTAAACCCAACGGGTGACAACTGTGTTATTACCAATTATGCTACTAAGAACTATGACGATAGTATACCAATTATTTCCTTCTTATCTATGATTTCTACGATACTATTCTCCTTCTCCTACCCTCGGAAGCATATGCCAATTATATTTATTTGAATACAGACCTAACTATACTTCACGCTAGGTCCTAGAATCTATTCTTGTCTATACCACTATGCCATTTACTAGATGGTCCGATAAGGAAATTATCATCCTCGTTTATTATACATCCAGGGGTTTCAAGCCCTCAATTGTTACTAAGATTCTCGCTCAACGGCAATTCTCGCGCAGTTTGGAGTCCATTGAAACCATGATATTAGAAATTGTGAACGATAATCCAACCCTCTAGATAGAACCCGGCTTATGGGACAATCAATCTGTTGATCAGTGGATCGATGCCCTCTCTCTAGACCATCAGACAGTCAGTAGGCTGATTCAGTTCACGGAAGCCGACGCCAACATGGTTGAAGAGGTTTGATCTCGTAACTCCCAGTACATGAGCTCTGCTAACTAGATTGAAAAGTTTGAACCTCTTCATATCATACTAGAAAATTTAAATCTACGACCTGAAGTACCCCGACACTGGAAGGGTTCACTTCTTGATTTTAACTTGCTATATTGACCTTGATCCTACAGTATAATGCATTGTCTCGTAAATGCATTCCCTCACCATCTACAGATGCAATTGTAGTATACTTACTGTAGCACGGGTGCGATCAACCATCTTTCGTACTATAGTATAGCATTTAAAACGGTGGCTTGGAGTGTGCGACCTATCAGAGATAAAGTACCGTACGCATTTTACCGACAATTTTGAACATAATACAGTAAATAGCCTCAATGCTCAAGTTCTTTGTGTTTCTGAGATCGCATCTGTACAGAGTTTTGGGTGTTTTTGGGGGAGGGGGGGGGGGGGGGGGAAGTACCGTGTTGAGTATTCCGTTTTATAGAGAAGTAGACCTTCATAGAGGAGCAATATTAAACGATGGAGATTTTAGAACGAGTTGATCTCCATTATATTGTAGCTGAGAGGCAGCGGATGGGAGACCTTCTCAATTTTAGAGGGTATCCAGCAACTTATTCTCCTTTTCTATTTAGCCGACCACATTCAAATCCTCCTATCCAATGACGTTACAGTTTCACCAAAAATGTTTGAAATGGCACTTCCATATTGTGATACTATAATGCCAAGGTTCCTACCGGTTTCATCTTCTGCGGCTAATAGTATTATAGCAAGTGTAGGGACTTTCAGTGCTAATTTTGTCTTGAATATGACATTTTAGCGTCCGAACGGTATCCAAGTGAAGTGCCATCCTCTGTCTTCAATTCTTCGTGATGTTGGATCAGAACACAGTAAGGGCAACAGAGAGACTCTATGCAGTCTCCACAGGCTAAGCCTTTTATGTTGGATGACCCCCTCATGTGGCCCCTTTGGATCATAAGTGGTACCCACTAGAGCCCACAAAGAGTAAGCGATGCAAATAGACAACACTAGGAATAGACTATTAGTATTATCCTAGACTCAACGTGAGGGTGATTTTGTGTTACGTCAGAATTGCAGCAGTTTTCTTTATGGCCTCGCTTTTTTCGACGCGCTAAAATCTTCCCGAATAGTCCGCATGGTAGACAACAAGCAAAACAACCTATAAGAAAGTCATTACTAGTCTTCTTAATTTGATGATAGCGGATGGGAAGACTCACAAATTGACTTAGAAGGACAGCAGCTCCAAAATGTATGTCTCCACTTTGATTCAGGGCTAGACATCGACATCCTAGTGCATGAGAGGTTGTTTTCAACTACTAAGTAAGGAATTCCGAAGATATAAAATCTGGAGAGAGCGAGCGAAAGGCAGATTGACATATCCCATTTTCGATAAGATGAACATATCGGCTACCGCTTCAGGTCAAAACGATTGACGCTAGCCCTTTGCATCTGAACTATACTATTTTGGGTACAACTCTCTTGTTCAACTCGAATTAAATTAACCTGACTCCCTATAATAGATGTTATCGTAGTCCTCCTAAAAAGTGGTGACATCTATCAACTTTCGTATCTTCAAGGCCGCTCGAAAACCTTGGCAGAGAATTCAAGTTCGAAGCGGAAATTAAAAGTTAGTTCACTAATATACGAGTAGGTTAGTTCTCTTCAACAGTTGGTTGCCCTTAAGTTCAATATCATAGCCGTAGAACAATATATACATATTTGATAGAAGTAAACGTTGAACATCTATTATATTGTAGGAAAAATTTACGTTGTGAACGGTGAACCGCTTGCTCTTTCAGGTCTCTTTATGCTTAGAGGCTAACACACCCCCCAGCGTTACGCAAGAATGTTCAACCATAGCATTTAGAAGCTGAATTAAGTTCTCATCCTGGACTTATCGTTTCCAGACCGCCTCTTTTCCTCATTCAATCTAATAAAGTTGACTAGCAAGTAGTCTCTATTCTTACGGCTAAAATTAATATCATTTGTCTGTCACTTACCGTTCATTCTATCATTGGCTACTTGGTCGCCAAGTTATATCTCTATCTCTGGGCCGTTCAAACGCAATAGGTCTCCCTGTTTGAATATACCGAATGAAGCTTGGTTATTTTGCGCAAGGTGAATGACCACACTTTCGAAGGGCGTGAACGTTTCGTAACAGTCCTATAAAATTCTATCTGCAGGCCATAATGTACTCGGCATTGAGGATTTATGCTGTCGATACAGTCGTTCTCGAAATCGCCTTGACCAATATACACTGAAAAACTCTTTCCTGGCCCCACTGCCAAGGCGTTAGCGTGGATCATTTATTGAGCTGGCCGTGTTAAATTCAGGGCGCAGTAAATGCGCTGTGTACTGTATGTTACAATACCTGCTACGGAAAAATACACTATGCGTGTAAAACGTAGGTGGAATTCCATGGAATCCTATAGTGGATCTGCAAATCATGTGGGGAGGGCTGCCTAGTGCCGGGTAATCTGATGACCTTATGGGCGACTTCAGTTCTCCTTCTCATCCTGTGAGTCGTGTGCTGGTTATCACCTATAAGGCTGCAGGCATTCTCGAAATTGGCTTGACCAATACACACTTGATCACTCTTTTTTGGCCCCACCGCCCAGGCCATAGCGCAGATCAGTAATTGGGCAGTCCACGTCAAATTGAAGGACACCGTAAAATGCGCCGTGTATGTTACAGTACATACCAACGTAATATTACACAATCCGTACAAGGATTCAGTGGAATTCCATGAAAGCCATTGGGTCTTGCAAATCATGTCGAGGGTCGCTTCGCACCTGGTTCCTGGACGGTATCACTCAATTATCTATTACACTGACAGCTCTAAGCTCCCTCGGTGTCCCAAACCAGCTTGCCATCAGCCAGTACTTGATATTCCCCATCATGGGCAAAGGAGAACTCTACGCCCTCTGTCTCACACATTCTCCTCACTTCCTGGAATACTTCCTTTGCTGTGTGGAACCCGATAGACACCCTCTTTATTAGCAGCGCTAAGCTCTTTCCCTGGAATTAACTCCGTCTAGTAAAGCTGAACCACCAGCTTTCGCAAAGCAGGAAAGCGTTTACCCTGGAGAGCAAGTAGACTAACGGAGCTGACGCTCGACAGTATCAAACTCAGCCTGGTCAGTCTTAGCCAGACAGAGATACTCCAAGCTGCACGGGAGAATTTCTTCCAAGGAGGAGCCTAGGCCACGGTGTCTGTGGTCCAAATCCAAGAGATTACGCACGGGTATGCGCAGTTCTCGTAGCTCCGTGAAATCGACCAGGCTGCCGAACCAAGGCTCAATTTCCACATCGTCCCCCGAGTAAATACCTTCATCTTCCATGCCAACGTCGTCTACCCCTTTTGTAATGCCGCTGTCGTTCAGGCGTAGCACGCGCAGACTATGTTTCTGGGTAAACAACGCGGCGTGAAATCGCCGTGGCCGAAAATCTAGCCACGCATCCCCGTGATTGGCAGCGCTGGAGTGCTGATACTCGAAGTATTCCAGATTGGCACACGATGAGACGTACTCGATCATTCCACGTCTACAGTTTGAATGGTCGAGAACAATCCTCCTGACTTGAGAGGATTTAGGCTCCAGATTCAAAGAAAGCGGAAACGAAGCGTACTCCCCCTCATGTTCCTCGTGGACCCCAGCAGCACGGAATACTCTCATGGCCGGTAGTTTGAAAAAGGGGGCAAACCGTGCGACTGGAAAGTTTTGATAAACTGTCTCCGACATGATGCTGACCTCTTCGAGAAGCGATAAAGGTCTATAACCCCGAACACAGATCGAATTGGACACTCATTGTGCGAGTGTTCGTAGTGTAAGATCCCAGACATACGAATAGTGACACATCTCAAGATATCGGAGGTTCTCGAGAGATATCAAGACTAGAACAAGCCACACTTGTTCATCTCCGCCTTCCAAAGCATCTTCCTATTCGGTGAGATCTTCACGTGTCACCGTGAAGGGTTTGATGAGTTCTCGGAAGAGCTTAGGATCATAGATGCTATTCTTGTCATCCTTGTAGCCGAGGTTTGGAATTCTTAGTTCTTGGACAGTGGCTCCTAACGACCGGTTAAGGCGAGCAGCGTGTGCCAGAGGGACCAGGCTTTCATCATTGTCGAGCGTAACCTTTGAGTAGACCTTGGCGAGCAACAGGCTTCTCCAGCTGCGACAGACCTGCAAGAGCTTACGTTGGGCATAAAAGAACGCATTGCCCTAATAGGTATAGTAGGTAGATATTTGAAATTAATGGCGTTGGTGGTCTAATAAATCGATTTAAAATAGTTGTAACTTAGTTGGTTCGCTGGCCCACTCGCTTACGGAATACCTTAACTAATCCGCTTATGGTCTAGCTTACAGTCTAGCTTAGGGCGATTTTCCAGGGTCTGGGCTAGTTGACCCAAATATTCCAGGGTCTCATGCGGATGATCTGGACATAGTCGTGTTCCACTATCTCTTCTCTAAACAGTTGTTCCCTTCTTAAAGTCGAATCTCGCCCTAGCAAAGTGGTATCAATTGCATTCTTGCAGCAATTTTAATCAATTAGATCATTACGACATGGTTTCCCGAAGCCTCTTTCTCCTCGGAGCTGCTGGCCTTGCTGCCGCTCAGTCATCCATCGCGTCGATGTTTATTATCGATACTGACCCGCAACCTTTGGTCGGTTCAGTGATCGGCGAGGTTCGTGCGATGTGACCCCTTCAGAGATATCAGACTAATAAGTCAACACCCAGAGTGCTGATCAAACCACCTATCTCGTTCAATGCAAGTCTGGAACACCCAGCGATGAGTGTGGCATGGGTCCCGGTGTGACTATGATCTGGGGTCCCAGTACCGCCGTTTGGTCGATGAATGAATCGCCTGCATTGTATGTTGAATCTCAGTTTCATCCGAGGTTATCGCGAAGTAAGCTTATCTAAACTTGTTTCCCAAATAGCTACGGCAGTGTTGGCTGTTCTATGAGCGGCACCACAGCCGCCGTGTGCACCGAGTCATTTGGCGGTAGCGAGGCCAACTTCCCTGGAAAGTCGACTACTTCTCTGGGGAAAGACGATATCACTCTTCTTCCAGTCACGATCACTGCTGGTCCTTCGAACGGAGCCTCGGCAATGACGACCACAGCTCAGTCGACCGAGTCGCCATCCATGTCGAGTGTTAGCACTGGCAGCAATACGTCGGGAGCTTCGGGCACAGCTGCCTCTACAATGTCCACTGGAACTAGTACCGGTGGTATTGCGCAAATAACTGGGAATGCTGGTCTCGCCTTCGGTGTAATGGCTGTGGCTATGGCTGCTGTCGCTCTGTGAAAGTAGGGTCTATTTGCAGCCTGGCGAACATCGTCCTGGCTAAGAGGATGGATTCGAGAATTAATCCGTGAGAGTATTGTGGTATACAGTATACGGTCATAATTCAGTCTCCGAAGGAAACGTTCGGGGGCTAGAGTGGGGAAAGGGAATAGGGAGTTTGGAGAGACAAAAAAACTTGGAATTTCCTTACACAACGATTTAGGCATCCTAAAGATAGCTTCTAGAAAGAGCTTGGGGTTTTCATCTTAATGCCCTTTAATTTATACTGCAACTCTCATGTAGCTTAGTTTCCCTCGTCTATCCATTGCATGCATGAGAACTTGCGGTGTGTTGGCACATTTTCAACGGTGAGTGATGTACAGGTTTTCCGGGAGTCGAACAATACTGTAAATTTGCAAGATAAGCGCCCTATCCATCTCATCCCCATGCTCACTCCGTAGAAGTGGAGATACCCCTCCCCAAAAATAGCCACCGCTGCTATCCATGTGTAGATACATAATTTTCTGATATCTCTTCACCCCATACATCCACATCACCGTAGGATACCGGCCCCATACGATCAATATCGTCCCACCCCGCGCACAACCAATATCCCAATTCTGGCTGGCCAGTGGCGTCACCAAGCCCCTTCCAAAGTCGATTCCCGGATTGTTCATCAAACTTGGCAATCACCTCTCGCGGATTTCGTTTCAACCGCCGTCGCCAAATAGCCTGCCACCCCCCCAGCTGGATAGCAATCTTAACATCCCTCCCCGGTCCCAAAGCCCGTACCACCTCGTCAATCGGACTCAGGATAACCCTCTCCACCTCGCCCACAGGATCTTCAAAGATCTTCGGCTCCGGTGGTGCGATATGACTCTGCAAGGAGATATATAAGTGATGAAGATTAGGAAAGGTTTCTGGGACTATGCGGCATAATTCGTGAAGCGTTGAATCAGCCCCGGACGGCGGTTCGGGGGATGCCGTGACGACCCTCTCCCAGAGTACACCGACCAGGTTATTTTTCTCACTGTAGTACTTTTGACGGGGCTTTTTTAGATCCCAGATAAGGACTAGAGAGGAGATACTCGCTAGCCTTTGGGGAGGGAGCAATCGAGACAAGTTCTGTTGGAGCTCTAGGCCGGAGAAGTAGAATGTATTCGTTGTGAATAGAATTTCCATTCCCTCTTAATACCTATATCAATATTAGTAAACCAATACCAATCATATTAGGGAATACGGGGATTTACGCCATATGACAAGCAAGCAACCATCCCATTACCCCGATAGAGCAGCCCGCAGGCACGGGGGTCCCGTATATCCACGCGAATACAAGCGTGTCGGCACACAGTGATCATCAAACGGGGGGCGTACATTCTGATGCGCAACAAAGGCATCGGACAGCTTCGTCCAGCGATAACACTCGCAGCTAAACCATCGCCAGGTGGATTGTTGAACGTGATCAGGGCGCAATTTACTATCTGTTTGAGCCTGGGGCGGGTACAGCGGACCATACCTCAGATCCACATGGAGGGTGCGCTGGCCAAATGCAAACACCTGAATCTCTTGTCGGATTTCCAGCGGGAGTCGTCCGAAGAGGCCGTAGTTGTTGGGATAAGACTGTTTGCAGGCTTCTGTTGGTGTTGGTATGGCCGGGGTGTTGAGAAATGGGAGCGGAGGGGGTGCCTCCTCAGGTTCGTCCACGGTCGCTTTTGGATGGATGATCTTCTTTGTCCATTTTTTGATCGATTTCATCGTCTTTTGGTATTAGAGATTAACCCCAGGTATATATACAGTACAGCGATGTTCGAAATAAGATATACCAAAATCCTTACACGGATTAATTCTCGAACCCTAACCTGAAACAAGCTAATCCAACTATGGTGTAGTCGTAGATCCTCCGCTTCCCAGAATATACGTTGTATTTTACATGACGGTGGTGAGACCCTTTGATGGTGTATTTTACATGAAAGTGCTTTTCACGGCTGCCTCCGTCCCGTCCCGGCTGCTGTCCGCCTTCCAAGCCAACATGCGTCCTCCTGACTCTCGAGTGTCAGAATTCAGCCTCGTCACAATTCACCTACCGGTCCTAGATGGTACAAATATCTCCGACAACATAGCTCGTCGTAGCTCATCCAACATTATGTCGCTTCCCCCAGATTTTCTAGCCGCGTCTGGGCATGAAGTCTCATCACTCCCCACACCTGATTCGCGCGGCCTAGGATCTCGACCCGTGCATAAACATAAGGTCCCAACACCACCCACACCTGGTCCCCCTCGCCGGGAGCCGTCACTCGCGCAATCACCATCTCTACCCCCACCTCCTACACCAATCCCCCAGTCTCTAAGGGATTCATCATGCCGCCACCTGCTACCGCCGGCCATGACGGATCTCAAACTAGGCATGGATCACGACTCGTTGCCACTCACTCCCTTCTCTTACTTCGTCGCCCCTGAGCCGTTGCCATTTCAGGGCCCCAAGCTGTTCCATCGCTTCATGGACTTGCCGCTGGAAATTCACCTGATGATATTTCGATACTGCGATACGCCAACGCTTTTTCATCTCATGCATACGTCCTCCTATACACGGTATGAATGCTTGGAACTGTTCTGGGAGCCTGAGCACAACACCTGGTATCGACCTGAATATGCAAAGGAGATGTTTGATGATAAAGTCTTTCCGATCTACCACTGCCCTGAGTTCGCCTCTCGCGTCACGCAGGTAGAGATAAGTCTTAACTTACTACCACTCTATCAGCGGAATCGGCGGGCGCTCAGCGGGCGGGCGTTCTGGGATAAGCTGCAGGAACTCTTTCCCTCCGTGCAAAATGTGGTGTTGAGTGGCAATGATCCAAGACACCTTCCTGGAGAGGATGATAAGGAGTACTCCCGGTTTTCCGACCTTGTGGCGATGGCACCGCCAAATATCACCCCGTTCGTTGCGTTTAAGTACGGCGGGTACGAGGGCGCTCTGCGCTATAGGCTGTGGCGAGTCGAAGCTGGAGCTTGTTGGAGCATTGTCGAAGATCCCTGGACACCGATGCGAGTCTTGCCTCCCGCAAAGAAAATTCCATTTGGTCTGCTGAATGCATTTCTGTCAATCGAGCGAGTTGCAGTGGCTTCAACCCGCGAAAGCAGGGGTAGGGATTGGCTGATATTGGAGACCTATGCGCGTTATTCTGATAGTAGCGGAATCGATTGCCCAGATCCGGGGTGTAACACTAATTTTTCCACCTTGGAAGAGTTAAAGATGCACCTCTGGTATGATCCACATGGTTTCCGGAATTCCTACGGGCTTAGCATGATGAAGTGCCACCGAAACACCCCTGTTGAGTTGAAGGCTATTCTTGATACAAAACAACGTCGCTTCGACGAGATGATTTTTATTGTGACTGTATTGGTAGAGGAACTGCGTGAGCAGTATCATAAGCACGGAGAAGCTGGGAAACGGCAATTCAAAGAAGCCCTCGCTGGCCAAATGAAGGAGCATGGATATCTTGCACCCGACGAGTCACTGGACAACTCGGAACAATGGCTTAACCTTTATGAAGGGTTTGAAGACGATACGGACGACGACTATCCAGAGTATCCCGATGAAAAAGATTTCGATCGGGACTATCCTGAGGAGGAAGACTTTGATCATGAATATGCCGGGGAAGAATATTTTGATTGAAAAAGATCATCTCGTTATAGATAGTGGCGAAGAAGTAATCAATCCTATCTTTTCTCTCTCATATGTATATATATCTCCGGCTCTGTCTGTTGACGAATCAGCCTTGTTCATCGCTAACAACTGTACTGAAACACCGCTGTGACTAGGTACCTTCCGGTATCCTATCGGAGGACTACTTTATATTGCTTTTTGTATACAGATAGTCGTATTCGTGGAGTGTATAAAGTACTCTCCCATTTAGGGGTTATTCCAACCTCTGTCCCCAACAATTCAAATGTACCCATTTTCAACCTAGCGCCTTGGCGGTGGGGCTCAGAGTTGATTCTTGAGAGTGTAGTGGTGAAGTTGGTTTTGCACTTGTCTCCAACCACTGGACGCAGTGGACTTGGAAGATATTGATCTTGCAGCCTGGCCGTATATCGCTGTTGTGTGGACTGTTTGCATCAATTATTCTCTTTCTACACGATTCGATGGGATTGCATGGGATGTTACGGTTTTATAACGGTGAGTCATCGACCACTGTCAGGCAATACGATATGTCAGAATGTCTGATGGGCGTATGCACTAGTAATTCTACCTAGTAGTCTCATTGGAGAATGATGAAATCGATGCTATTCAGACTAGCTATTCTGACTGTATTTATAGAGCAGACAGGCGGGAATTGTCGGAGTGGAAAATGGACGTGTAAATTCCACATCGGGCGCCAGTTTCCATAATAGACAGTGGCGGTTAGCTGAGTAAGCGCTAGGAATGCAGCAGCTGGATCATATTGTAAATTACCAGGTGGATAATTGCACTGACACGATACATTTCAGCGGCGATTGCTGAAGGAGAAACTAAAATTAGACTAGTGAGTTTCAGGTTAGGGTTCGGGAATGAGTCCGTGAGAGTATGTTGGTATATCTGATTTCGAATGTCGCTGTAAAGAACTCGAACTATACTTACTACGGTAGAAGCAATACTACTTTCTTCCAGTACAGTATATCTTCCCTCGTGTGCTATTGTTGTCTTGCAGGACTTTGATCCATGTATACTGAGTCGCATCCAATGGCCACTTTGCGGTCTGCTTAACGTATGGCATCCACGGCTCCCCACGTCCTTTCTCTTTCCTCCCACTAGTTCCAAGGTTAGATACAGCAGCAATAGGTTTCTATCAACCGTATCAGTAGAGAAGCAATAGATAAGCCTACTGCTAGCCACGTGGTGATGAACATAGGCGCTCCAACGCTGGCGTAGACTCTAAGAGGTTGCAGGACGCTCTGGATACTAGCCGTAATCAAACTATATATCACTATCATTGCGATTGATGCACTAGTGAGGAAGATAGATGCCACCTATACTACAGTTAGCGTGTCTTCTTACTAGTAAAGGTATTCGTTAGATGAGACGTACAATAGAAGAGATAATGGATAGTTTTCCCCCCAATGATACAAGGATAGAGGTGATTCCAGAGCCAACTGCGAGGGCTATTGCGATAAAGCCTAAAATGTAGGCCGACTTCGACCATCTAGAAACATCGCGAAACCCTAAAAGGGTCTCATCATTCCCCTAGGGTAGCAGCTGTTCAATTTCAGTCGATATAGAGTCGAAGATCCTCACTAGGTTGAATGAGAATGAAACGCTCGGGTTAGAGTAGTTGGAGGGAGGTGCTATAATTTGTTGTCCCTCACAATAACTCTAAAGCCCTACCGAATAATATGCGGGAAGGTGTAATTTGAGATCGTCTTAAAGACTATTGCTGACATGGTTGACCTTGTGCTCTGTGGCGTTAGAAGCATGCGATGCTATGCCTCCCGCCTTGTGGGCAGTGCTAGCTAGGCTAGACGAAAGCGACCGGCCGTGGTAGAGATGACCAAGCTCCGAAAAATTTCTAAATTCTACCTATGATATGCATTAGTTACAAATCACATATAAGTTAGAGTCGTCGTCGTTCCACGCTCACCTTCATAAAATATAGACTTGTTAGAGAAGACGGGGAGGTACATCCCACAAAAACAATAATAAGACAGATCAAAGCGGTGGTTGAAAGTGCTAAAGGAAGAAGCTTTGCTATTCGTGAGAACATTTTGCGAGGCATAAGGACTTCGTAGCACAGGTAAAATTCTTAACCCGTATCGACGCAATAAAGGTGAAGTATGGGCCAGAAAATCTGCATTAGTTCACCTTTATATGAAGTGTCCAGAAGAAGGTGCCTCATAGTTTCACTGAGGCGATCAAAAAGGTCTACGCTAAGAACTTTCTCCTTGTAGCACTCAAAGAAGTTGTTTGCGTTCAATCAGAAGGGATAGCATTTATGGGGTAGAGTGAAAATCACAATGGTCTGCACACCTAAAACAAGACGGTAGCCTTAACGCTAAGCCGTCGGACGTTAGCCGTCACCTAAAAGGTAGTGGCAGGCTTATTGCAACAACAAAAACGAGGGCAAAACCACACCCCTTGCTCTTGCTTCGTTTCAGATCTTCACTTATGAACTAAAAAGGTGCCGCGGTTTTCTACGCCACGGTATTCTTCGATCACCCTTAACCATAGCTTGCAACGCAAAAACAGTGGCCAGCTACGACTATAGAAATCACTACTACGCTTTACTTCTTGTTGGTTTCGTAACCCTCAAAAGGTACATATTGCTTATGAACCTACGACTATTTAGATGTGCTTCCTATCTTCAAGTTCCATTCCATATTTCTTTGAGGCACATTAGTTTACTTTGAATTGATATATTAGAAATGGGTGCCACACTTCCCACCCGATCGAAGCGATCTAGTACGAACAAAAAGGCAATACGCCAAAAGCAGGGTCGTCGCAAATCAGGCCTTATGAAAAAAGCATGCGAGTATAGCAGGATGTGCGACGCAGATGTGTGCTTAGGCATACGTCTCCGGGATACAGGACAAGTCTATGTCCTATCGGCAGATGCTTCAGGATTTTGGTCTTTCCTAGGCTCGCAATTAGTATGTCTCAAGTTCTTGCTTCGAGGAAAGATGATTAATCTCCCTAGGCCTCTTATTATCCAACCCCGAATTTAGTAACAGACCAGGACCTAGAGCTGGTTGAACGAGGGACATGCCCGGGAATGTCACGCCCGAACATATAGTTAACTAGTCGGGCTGCCCCCAAGGCCCCCGTCCAAATGGACACACATACGAGCTGATAGACGTGTGCTAGTCACGAGACCACTAGCATAATTGGACTTGTATTTGCTTCCGGAACAGAGGATGGAATCAATCGCGCGGGCGCTTCAAAGCGACAGTGGCCATAATCGGAGAGTAAACCGCCAGTTGTAGTAATAGCGATGTCAGTGATAAATTACTAATGTGCGTCACATATATTAGTACAGTATGACGGAGTTACATTCTAGGAAGATTTTCCTGGGAGTAGTTGACTGGATAGTTATTGGCTTATACGTCAGGCAACTATAGCAGCATTTATAGACCGACTCTGTGACAATCTCTGCAGTCAAAGCGGCCAATGTACGCACAAAGAATCTCTTGATGTCTGTGATTCAGGTACATCGTACCCATCCTTTCCCTATTCCATTAACGCAAATAATTATCGGTCAGTTACTGCAGTCGTCAACCAAAAATTGCCACATCACGTTTTGCATATATTGCTAGCTTGGCTTTGTTTCAGGTCTCTTGGCCAAATGGCGGATACAGGGGCGCTGTGATCCCATCACACGAATATTGTACCACAGACGGGCTGGCAGCCGTATTTTGGCCCAGAATGATTTCTCCTGAGGGAGAAGTGAGGGTCGCATTAAAAATGACTCGACCTGGGGCCTGGGCATATACCAAGCGGATGGGATAGTACTGGCCCTTAACTAGTTCGGCCGACACGCTCATAGGACCAGTGTTAACGCTGATGTCATACGTCATGTTCGCATTCGCTCTATCCCAACCGCTATATGCAGCGGACCCTAGCCAGGCGAGCATGATATCATCATCGTTATCGGTGGTAAGGGTGTATGTCCCACCAGTTTCTGCGTATATATACCCACGATGGTTAATAACGAAGTAGTAAGGCGAAAATGTCTCTGTCGAGCCATAAATCGAGATGTCGTTACTATCTGAGCTCACTTCTAGGCCAATGTAAGTAGTGCTACTGTTGTAGATCGGGGTCGTGTTTTTCAGAAAACTGGGGTCGAAATTCGAATAAGCCGGATCACTTATTATGGTGAACGGATTTTGGTAGTATGCCCATTCGAGACCCGCGTTGCTAGAGCATCTTCCGGCACAACAGATACCAGAGCCACACTAGGTTTTATGGCGCGAGTTAGTTTCCAAATACACTATAAGAGAGCTGCTAGTGGTACGATAGCAGACTTACCTTGTTGCTACATTCACCGCAGTTATTCGCAGATGTTTGTGTATTCACACATTTCCCGTTACACAGTTGCTCAAAAGGATTTGTTTTGAATGGCCCACAGGTAAAGCAGGGTCCTTGGTGCACCGCGGCCGGAATAATGCAATCATTGAGCCCCAATTTATTATCAAGGCACCAGTCAATACATTTCAGGACGTCGACATCCGGCCCGCTAGATGCGCCGGCAACGAGGCCTATTTTAGTTTGTCAGCCCTCATCTGATAACTTAGCAAATTGATGTGCCAAAGAAAGTCAAGCCTCACGTACTGCATAAGGGCAGAAGAAGGAGCCATATTTTCAGCATCTTGGGTTGAAGATCAAGATCGAACGCGGTTCAATAAATGCATAGATGGACAAGCTCAAGCCCCGTTCGGCCTTTTATATCTTCACGAGTACCAGAAGTAGCACATGATGTCTATTCCACCCATAACGATGGATATCCGCGTCCCATTCCAAGAGCCTGGCCGTGGTCAGGAATTTCTCCTTTGTTACTACCCATTTCTCATAACTGGTACCTCCGGAGCATTTTGCTTAAATACATTCCTAGGATAAACGCACTGCTTCAAGTGGAATGTCTCGGATGCTAGCTTCTCATGTAACCTACTAATGTGCGATACCGCCATGATTGGCTAGCACTCATTCGCGCAAATAATTTGGCGAAGATGGCTTACAAAGTCGTCCGACACAGAAATGTGGACTATTTTAGCGATAGGCTCTAGAGGCATGAAGTTAATTACATTGGAATTCCAGTCCCGCAGACATAATATCTATAAGTAATGTGCTTCAATCCATTGTTTTCGTTGGCTCTGCTTATTTGGAAAATAGCCCATAGTCCTGCCAGAGGTCTGCTAATGACATACCAACAGTCTAAACTAAGAGTTAGAACCCTCATTATTGAATCATGGCACGAAGATGCCTAAGCGCTTTCAGAATATGCCCAAAGCATTCTAACACGAACCATGTATCTGACGCCTTGTAATAGAAGACTCTGAATTCCTTGACTTGTAAGAGCGAAATACAATTATGCATTAAATATGGGAGGACTTGTAATGTTTGAATGATATTGTTGGAGTCCTGAAAAGATTTGCCCAAGAAATCAAAGCAAAGGACCGAAAGGAAGTCAAGGGGAAGAAAAGCTGCCAGTCATGTTGATGCATAATTGCCAGAACTCTCAAACTCCGCGCGCCTCCATCCATCTCGCTCTTTCTGAGGTTGCATTGCACCGCCCCCGGTGTCGCAGATCTGCCTATAGTTTCCTGTTCTGGAGCGCAGCGGCGCCCAATTGTCATCATACTTCATCCCAAGTCTTCTTTAGCGGATGTGTCGTTGAAGCCTCCACGCGGTGTGTATTAACCAGCGGTGAAAATGCCCTTGTGTTGCCTCACTTCTGCCAACATCTGTCAAAACTTTGTTGAAGGGAAAACCTATCGCCGCGTTCATGTGTAACTCGAAACGAGGCCATGAGCTTTTATATGAAGCAAGAGTGGTAAAAGGACAAGAATCAGAAGTCCAGCGAGCGAATCTCCTCGAATACTTGGAACATTGGGACCATAAGGAGGAAGACTGTCGAACTTCTTCCCCCGTTGAGCAGGGCACGCTTCCCTACGACTACATTGAGTGGCCATAAAATCCAGATTACGGAGCCAGAGCCAATCGCAGATGAGATTCGTTGGGTGCCACAAAACGCTCATTAAAGACAAACTAAGATTTTCTCAATGACATGATCGGTAAATCTCATACAGTATCAGTTGAGAAAGAGCAGGAAGAGTGATCACAACAATGTTTACAGTACAGCATACTATGCATACTGTAAACGAAATAGAACTTAATCTCGTTGTACCATGCTGCAGGACAGTATATTGCAGTTCACTAGTGCTAGGCTAGGTTCTGTTGGGTGAGTTTCACTTAAAACTTTACTAGGTTGCCACAAGAGTTCAGTGCATGACCCCTATAGAAGGCGAGGATTTCGTGATGTTGGCGATACAGCATGGATCGAAATCAGATTCACCACTCTATTCTCTTTGATTCTTTCCCGAACCCTACATTGAAACACGCTAGTCTATCTTTGATCTAGCTACTTTTCAAAACTGGAAGACGCGCGCGGAGCACGCATCGGCCCTGAAACGATGAAACGATGGAAAGAAGAGGGTAGCAGGAGCGTAAAGCGCAAATGAACTGTTATATTGGCGAGTTACTAAGTCAACGCGCATATGTTGAGCAAAATAGGCCAATGAGGAAAGTCACTGGCATGACTAATACCCGGACTGTGGAAGAGGTGCAAAATCGGATGGAAGCTTTGTGTAAGAGTCCTCAACGTAACAGTAGCACAACTCAGTGGCATGCCTTTCCATACTTTCTCAGCCGGACATAATTGTATGGCAAAGGGGCCAAGAAGCCCGCCCCGATAGATAACACAGCCGCCATCCAAAACTTGGGATCCTCAAAAGCAACAACGCCCCCAGTGAGGTGGTAGTCGACCGTGTTCTCTGCGAGCTCCATGGCCACCATGGAGACCATACTCATACCCATGGCAGTTTGAGCGGCTTTCTTCCATGACAGATTATCAGGACCCCGTCGAAGGTATGCCGTCTCAAGTATAATGGAAGTTGTAATGCCCGAGGCCACTGTGTTTGTACGTCAGCATGAGAAATTCTTGCATTGCGGTTCGGATCAGGGACAGTGCAAACTCACTCGAAGCGAGCATGGTTGTGTTCATCCCGAGCTCAGGATAATAAGACTGCAATATCCAAAGCGCAGAGAAATCGCCGACCGTACAACCTACTAAGCAGCGGAGAGTGTTGAGTTCAGCTCGTCTCCACGTCGAGCAACATGTCCAGAAAGGGGCGCTTAACATCGAGCCGGTGCTTCGCGAAGGTAGTGCCGACACAGAGTCGCTTTTCGAATTTTCATTCTGGTGACAAGACCCAGAACCTGAGTTTGTTTGCTTGTACTGACTAGAATGACAAGCCAAAGATGAAGCGGATCCCAAAAAGAAACGGGCATTAAGCAAGATTGGACGAGTAGTAGGACTATTAAACAGATGACGGTGGAGAGAGTACAAACGATTCATGATAATGATGGAATTCAGAATCTGCAACTTTGCAACTTTCATGTCTTTAAGTTTATAGTCGAGAGGTCGACTCGTGATAAACAAAAAGAAAAAAAAAAAAAAAAAAAAAAAAAAAAAAAACGCGATAAAGGCGCATTGTGACCGGATTTCGGAGTTGCCGGAATTAGTACCGGAGCGGAGCGCACCCTATAGCACAAACACCTCACTGGAATGTTGCATGCATGGAGATCGGCTCTAGCAAAAGGCCGTTAAGGCAGGGATCCATCCAAATTCGCCGAGTAGGCTTCCCCTATCACTATTCCCCCTCCACTGCTGGTGGGCCCGCCCAACACAACAACTACTAGACTTACCGACTATCGACTCCGCCTCCTTCACCGTGGGGTAAAGAGCAAATGCCTTTGTAAACTCCAGAATGCGGCTGTTGCAGTACAATTAGCACACCGCCCTTCAATCCCGGTCGCGCCATTTCGAGTCCAAAGCTCAGGTCACATATCGGATTGTTACTCTTGTCGACATCGAGATATTGATTGAAAGAGGAAGTCTTTACCTTTAAAGCTTCATTCCTATTAGGTTAGTCGAAACGCTGGAGGGGCCTAAGAAATCGGACCAATCCACAGTAGTGAAAGGAGGGGGAGGTACAAAGATGTGTTTTGGACAGATTGCCGGTAGACAAATTGTCGACATGCTCTTAGTTTGCTCGGGTTGCGTCGAACTTTCTTAAACTTATCATCGAATTAAACTGCACGGCCGGTACGACTACTGTATATGTAGCAGTACCAATGGGCAAAATCTTATCCCTAAGCTGCCTTACGACTAGTTTGCACAAGGGACAGAAGACGGTAGTGGCAATATTAAACAGAGGGTCGCAGTAAAACTAAGGCCAAGGAGCAGGACACGAAGCAATAATATGAGAAGAACGTGCGGAAAGATGCAGAAAAGGCCCTAGAACCCTAAAGCCAAGACCATCTAATCCGAAGAAGGCAAGAATAATGCAGGTACGAGCGCGCATTAGGGCGAATGGGCGGCGCGCGTGGCAAAACGGCCCATACGTAGTTAAGCCACCTCTTTTTGCACACGTCTCGCGCACACGTACATCCGTGTTGATTAAAACCCTTTCTCTCACTTCGTTCGTTTCAGGGCATATCGAAATACCTTGTAAGGCAGAAGTCACATGGCAGCAAATCCCGTAATTTGCTGGAAATACTCATACAATTGATACTCGACACCTCAAGTGCCCCTCATCGTTCATGCGCGGCTCAACTTTGGACATCAATCAGACCAGCTGTGCTCCGCTCGATGAGGCTGAAGCTCGGCTCTTAGATTGTGGCTATTCCACATATTTGATCGATATCTGAATCACTATATTTCCTATCTCAAGCCACTACTCTCAATCACGATGGCTGATCCCCTCTCCATCGCATCGGGGATTGCTGGTTTGCTCTCACTTGGTATTCAAGTCACCCAATCTTTGGTCAGTTTTTACACAGCATACAAGGACCAGGACAACGATCTAGCAAAGATTACGCAGCATCTTGATAGTCTTTAGGGTATCTTTCGATCCCTTAACGTTGTAGTAGAGGATCGGCGATCCCAGATCGGTGCACAAGACCTATTCCAAGAAGTCGACAAAGACACTTAAAGGTGCTAGGAAATTATCATAGAACTCGACTTGAATGTCTCGGCCGCCGGTTTCAAGGGTCGTATTCATCTTGCTAGGCGTCGCGCCGCCTATCCATTTCAAAAAAGTATATTAAAGAAGCTCGAAGAAGACGTCGGCGAGATACGTCAACATTTGTCGTTCGCACTAGATGTCCTACAGCTCAAAAGCCACAACCAGATCGAAGATGACATATCGGAAGTCAAATCGCTTGTGGAACGAACAAACGCAAGTTAGATCTCTTTCACGATTCGTGCCTGGCTTATGGCAACTAATGTATCTCTTAACCATAACGCTATGTGTGCGAAACGTCATCAAAGTACCGGCCTATAGTTCGTCAATGGCCATCAATTTACGAATTGGCTAGTAGAACGTAATTCGTTCCTATAGCTAAATGGCTTCGTAGGATGTGGCAAGTCGGTTCTTTGCTCAACTACAATCCAACACACATTCCGTGTAATGAAGCAGAGGTATGAAGTAGGGATCGCGTTCTTTTACTTTTCCTTCAACGATAAGTCAAAGCAAGATAATGACAGCATGCTACGCGCATTGCTATTACAGCTATTAGGACAGCTACAAGACGGTGAAAAAGATCTAGAGCAACTACGTGCGCTATATAAGTCGGGTACTCCTCTAGTAGAAGAGTTACTCGACTTGCTTCAACGGTTCCTTAGCCGATTCCGCGATGCCTATATTCTACTCGATGCAGTAGACGAAAGCCCCCAAGATCGCAATAGGGAGGGTGTCTTAAGAGCGATACAGGTGATACGCAATTAGTCCTTACCTAGTGTCCATCTTTTGATAACGAGCCGTGACGAGCTTAATATCCGTAGGTCTATAGATCCTTCTTATGAGCAAGATCTTTCGATAAGGAATTCGGCAATCGGGAGAGACATAGAAGATTTTGCTCTTATCAGCTTAGTAACGACCCAAATCTCCACAGGTGGAAAGCGTCATAGGGAGATCCAAGCAAAACTGACAATAGGTGCGCAGGGAGTGTAAGTGCTAACAATGAAAAATAGTTTTCGCTGATTTGACTAAAATCACGTGTAGATTCAGATACGTTGAATATCAGTTCAATGCCCTTAGGCGAGCGCGAAACCGGAATCAGCTTGATAAATGCCTACGTACATTGCCCCGCGATCTAGATGAAACATACGTGCGAACATTGTGCAGTATCAACGAAGAATACGTTGAGGACGTGCGGTAGGTTCTGACCGTGCTTTGCTTCTCCACTCGACCGCTTAAGGTCAACGAGCTGATCGACGCCCACGCTATTGATCTTAGTGTGACACCACATCTTGATCGTGATGGTCGTTCGTACGAGCACGATGATCTTGTAGACATTTGTCTTGGTCTTATCGAGATTGGGGCCATGGAAGACGACAATGGGCAAAACAGCCTGACTACTCGCATAGCCCATTTCTCTGTCTAGGAGTATCTTCAATCAGATCGCATCTTACAACAAAATTCAAGAAGATTCGCCATTCGAAGTGCACCTACGAATAGAGAGATAGCTTAGATTTGTCTTGCGTACCTCTTAGAGCCAACTCTTTCTAAGGGGATATTGGATCAAGCAAAGCTCATAGAGTTCCTACTCGCTCATTTCGCAGCTAAACATTAGTTTTATCATTACGCAAACTCTAGAGAAGAGAAGTCTAGCATTGAACATCTAGTGCTAAGGCTTTTCAAAGACCAGACAAGGTCATTCCTAACGTGGATACGTTTACATGACATAGACCGTCTATGGAACGCGGAAGTGGCTCATCATCGTCCTATCACTGACATTGCATTGCCTCTATACTACGCAGCGATGTTGGGAATAGAATCCGTCTTGGAATGTATCTTAGCAATCGACATTGGAGATGCAAGTATAACAGGAACAGTGAATGCCCAAGGTGGGGAGCTTGGCAATGCACTGTAGGCTGCAGAGTCTAGAGGCCATGAAAATGTGGTGCAGGTGCTACTGTATCATGGCGCTAACGTTAACGCGCAAGGTGGACGTTTTGAGAATGCACTCCGGGCCGCCTCAATTGGCGGTTATGAAAAGGTGGTCCAGATACTACTGGATCATGGTGCAGAGGTTAACGCCCAAGGCAAAAAGTATGGGGATGCACTCTAGGCCGGCTTAACCAACGGCCATGGAAAGGTGGTGCAGATGCTGCTGGATCATGGTGCCGACGGCAAGTCCAAAAAAGCAGAACTCAGCCCCCTTTTTTTTTAGCTTGTTTGCAAGGTCAACGTTCTAGAAAGCCCAGAGACCTTCCAATCTAATACAGACGCTACTTTTAAGCTGTTATTTACGCCTATACTGAAATACTGCCAAGAAAGGGGTTCAGGGGCAGAGAAATAGTAATAGGTATAGCGCGTTTCGAAATAGGGTTCGGGAAAGAATCTTTGTGTGCAATTGGTGAAACTAATTCCGATCCATCCTATATTAGATTCTATCAAACGTGGATTGATATTTGCCATCTCAAAACCGATAGAGGAGCGGAAGTGACATAGCAGGGCAACCAAATGAATCATAGTAGAGGGAAGTACTGTATCGTAAAGCATTGTCTATAGCTTTTTAAACATGTGCTCGTTACTAGAAGTCAAGAGCTACCCTAGCCAACCACAAACTTTGAAGCGCGCTTTTGCTTGCGCTGCTTTGTAGATCGATAAGTCTAAGATTAGGCCACCCGCCGCTTCTTCACTAGACTATAACCTAACCGTTTAGTATTAAGACGATGAACATCCTACGCGTGCCTACGAAGATGCATCTCATGTAAGAGATCTTCTTTACACATGAGACACTTCCGATCATCTAAATGCTTCTTTCGAAAATGTCTTAAGGTTGACTTATACTCGCTCCATTTCTTCACTTGAGTATAGAATGGCTCCTAGGTATTTCCAAAGCATTAGAAACATCTTTCGGGTTGACTTGCATCCCTGATATGATGCTCGGCTTCTAATAGAATCATTTCATCTAGCGATAGCGCCGTATTTTCTAGAGTTCTTATGGCTAGACTGACTATTGAAACTAGCTGTTCTTCTTTAGACCCGTCGCCTAGCGATACTCGTTTGCGTCGTCTACGCAACGGCCTACCTTTAAGGTGACCATAGTATTATGAGATTGCAACGATAGCCGCATTTCGTCTCTGCTACTCCGCATCTAATGAATGGGAAGTCGGCTAGGTTAACAACTTCTTGAGAAGATTGATCTACTCTAGCAACATACTATCTGTTCGTAGTGAGTCCTTGGCTTCCTCGTCGTCGATAGCCGCTCTAGAGAGCTATCGCTCAATGTCTATATTCGCCTATCCGCGGTCAAACTCCTTTCGAACTTTCTGCATCAACGCCCTCTCTAGCCGGCTAAACATGTTGAGCTTATCGCGTGTAAGAGTGTCACATCGCGATTGCATTTGTTCACTCGGGTCATAGATACAAATTTCAGTTTGCTCTTCTAATCGTCGGACCGCTTCGATATACTCGGGATGTTTACGGATCGATGCTCGTTGCTCGGTTATTAGGTGTCGAGGCCGCCTCGTGTCGATCCACCTACTCATGCGGGTGATTACGCGCATCAGAGATTTGTTGGATTCGCGGCCGTTTATCACACTTTACATGTCCGTGTCAACGTGTCGCGGAAGGTAATGATTAAGGAAGGTGCGGGTATCCGTGTGCTTTATGATTAGATTCTACTATGCTTCGCTGACTGCGTCACTATTATTTAACATCTTTCTACCACTATAGCGCATACGATGCGCAAACATTGAATGAAGCCAACCATAAATCTCTCTAAGATTCCTTAGTCGAGCGGACATAGTGACATCAACCATGGGTTGATCCCCCCGAAGGATCGGATGCCCGTTGACGACTTCTGTCTTGCAAAAGATATAATGATCCTCGACCTCGGGTTTCAAGGGGAGTGGCATCTGCTGGCGACTACATTGAACAAATAGACTTCGAAGTTTCTCCATAGAGGAAAGGGCTAGAGATTCAAGAGCTTGCAGCCAGAAGAGGATACCAAAGATGAATACATGCGGGCTGAAGATAAGAGAGGGGTCGTCGATGATTCCAGGAAATGGAAAAGTATTGCTAAAAAAACAAAAAATCGCCGAGCCTTCTAGGATCAGGGAGTAATGTATACCTACATGGCTTCAGACCCGAGGAACCGCTTCGTGTGCTCTGACCTGATCTCCGCCAGAAGCACGGGAGGGCCATCGTGAGGATCCTTCTGTATAGAGAACTGCAGATGCTTGAGCTGTAACGAAAGCAGGGCACTCAGTCGAATACTGCACCACTATTTCTCTTTCATCCAACGCACAACATTTGGAGAACATTGCAAAGACGAGCCCTACTGCTGATATAATCCCCACGTCGCAGATTGAATGACGGCATAGCTTCTGAGTCAGGTGCAGGGTCCAATTCATTGTCGCAGAGCTTGTTAAGATGTTGCAACGAGCGGGTATTCACAAGAAAACGATTGCTTTGGAGTGTACTGTGGTTGAGACTATTGTGATACAAAATTGATCTGGTGTGTACCGAGCGGGAACCAACCCCTGACTGATGGCGGACCCACCTGCGGGAGGGCCTGCGAGTCTTAGCACGGCCCCCAAACCCTCAGGGCCCGCTAGATAAAGCCCGCTAAATCGCCAGAAATTTCTTTTCTGATATGTTCGCATTTCAGGACTTTTCAACGAATGACTGTATTACGCCCCAATATGTTATCTAGTCATTTGTTCTTGTTATTCGCCCTCCTAGGCTCTTCTCTGGCATCAGAAGTGGTCAGTTTTAAGATCCCACGCGAGATGGCTAATCTACGACTAACGAGTAATAGACGATTCCATGGGTAGGGCAAACTAGTGAGGGAAATGTCTGGGAAGATTGGCATGGTGAGCTGGCAGCGAAGGTATGTACTATAAGCCACTGGAAGAAGCAAAAAGCTAACAACAGCTCAACCAGAACGACAATAGTACCACTTATTACATCCAGCCAGGTTGTGTCACAGATACAACTACAACGGGAGCTTGTTATACTCTTGATCCTCCGATTACTTTGATTGTTGCCCCTACTTGTGAGTGGGGTCATGCGCACCATAGCATGTTCAAACCATTCGTCTAATTTCAATTGGATATAGCATATCAAGTAATCACGACAAACCCCGACGCATTTCTCGGGTAAGACTTATCATCTCCAAACTCGATACGAATACTTACATATGCTCGATAGATACCAAAGCTCTTCATGCACTCTGACGGGATCGCCGTCCCCAACAAAGGCACATTGCTTTTGGACCGACCATGCGGCTTTCCGTGGTTCGACTTTCTCGGATTCTGCAACGATAGACTATCCCGACTCTCTCGGCTTGAACACAATCTACTCAGTCACCTTGACCTATGGTACTCCTGTGGCTAAGACTGCGACGGCCACATCTATCGAGGTTACGGCTACTGCTGAATCGACAGGTACAGCAAATGGTGCTACTACCACTCAGGGCCCATCTAGTACAACCACTTCCAGTAATATTGGAGCCAAGAATGCCGCACCCATGATGGTCCTAGGAGGTGTCCTGGTTGGGGTTGTGTTCTGGGCTTAATGCGTATTGAATCGGTTGAAATTCGACTAGAACCACATTGATCACGGACTTTTGCCCGCGCAGGCGCTTTTTATACATGTATTCATAATTATACAATTCTAGATATCAAGCATTTTCTGCTGGGAAAGCCGTCTCAAATGTTCACTCTCCAACTGAGGAAGCGCCGCAGTTTTCTGCGCCACGGTTTTCTTCGACCACCGTTAACCATGACTTGCAACGCAAAAATCGTGGCCAACTGCGAGTATAGAATCCACCGGTTCGCTTCTTTGTTGGTTTCGCAGCCCTCAAAAATTATATATTGTCTACGAACCTACGACTATTTAGGTGTATTTCCCGTCTCTAGTTTTTCGTTCCATCTTCCGCTAAACTGGGGCTATGTCGTGGTAGTTACTCTTCGCACGTGCAAACCTCCTTTCTCAAAGGCTCTCAAATTGGCCATCGGGCCTTGACACCTAACTGGGCTATTGTCTGACTGCATCTTTCGGGCGACACGCCACGGGTTTTCCTCAACTTGGTACTTAGCGTGGCTATCGCCTGCAAATCTCCTTCGCCTGGCCGCATCTTTCGGGTGACACGCCATGGTTTTCTTCGATATTCTAGACCGTAAGAAAATACCCCGGCCCAATGGTTTGATTCTCTGGGGTCATGAGTGCTTGGATTGTTCCGGCCAAGCAGGCTTGAGATGAAAGACAAGAAGAAGACGAGAGTAGAAGCTTTTAGTTTTCTTCTACAGATAATTATGAACTACAGTCGAGCAAATCTCAGAACAAATCTACCAGCCCTCAAAGCAAATTTCAAGCCCTCCGCGCTTTGGTCATCACTGGGCAACAACAACTGCGTTATGTAACAAGACGACGAACATCTTGTGCATGTCTCCGCGAAGGTGCATCTCATGTAAGAGATCCGCGCCACACATGTAACATTCCCGATCATCCAAATGCTTCTCTCGAAAGTGTCTCAAAGTTGACTTGCACTCGCTCCAATCCTTCGCTCGGCCATGGAGTGGGAGCTTGGTATTGCCATAACATTGAAAACACATTTGCGGTTTCTCCGCCGTCCTGATATGTTGTTTAGCATCCTGTAGGCCCAAAATCAATCGGTATCAATGTCCGATCCCGCTTCTTCTTTGGCGTGGTAATTTCGTTCGGTGCTAAGACGATGAACATCTTCTGCGTGTCTGCGAAGATGCATCTCATGTAGTAGATCTTCGTCACACATATGACATCTTCCATCCTTCAAGTGCTTCTCTCGAAAGTGTCTCAACGTTGACTTATATTCGCTATATTTCTGCGTTCGACGATGAGCTGGAAGCAGGGTGTTGCCATAACATTGAAAACATCGTCGAGGCTTTTTTGCCTTCCTGATATATTTCTCGGCTTTGCTCAAAATAATGTCTTGCTGTGAAGGTTTGGGAGAGCTGCATTTGATCTTAGTTGGCTATACTGTCATTGTTGTCTGTTCGTCATCGAACCCATCGCTTGGCGCTATCCGTTTGCGTCGCCCACGCAACGGCCCACCTTCGAGAACAGGACAGTATTGTGAAATCGCAGCAATAGCATCGTTTCGACGTTGCCACTCGGTCTCTAAAGAGTGTGATGTTGGCCATGTGAACAATTTCTCGAGGAGAACTATCTGCTCTGGTAACATTTGGTCCTTAGTCCGGAGTACCTCCTTCGCCTCCTCATCGTCAACTGCTGTTCCAGACAGCTGACGCTCGATGTCCCTGACAGCCTGTTTTCGATCAAACTCTATTCGCGTCTTCTTTCGCAGAATCCTCTCTAGTCGACTAAATGTGTTGGCCCTTTCGCGCGTCAATTCACACCAAGTTAAGGCCTAAATTGTTTTACTAGGAGGTCATGGTTTGAGGGTCAACTCAGAAAGCTTCCGACGGCATATTTCAGGTCCTCCTAAAGAAGACTTATTGTTCAACTGCGCAAGTCGAACAGGAATGAAGTAGTAAAACTAAGGATCTCCGGAGGCCACATGCTTTGGCCCGTCGAACATTGATCCGGGACACCGCGCGCTTATTTTCTCTGAGGCCGTTTTGGCTCGCAGCTCCGACTCGCCGCCATGTTTAGGATAGGCCATGTACGGCAAGTATGGGAATAAACTTGCAACACTTTCTTTTGTCTCACCAGATGATCGCTAGTCTTAAGCCTAGGCCCTTATCTCCTGTGCAACCGGCGATATCGCTAAAGGCGTAAGCCATACGCTGCTCGGACGGAAACAAGTTGAGCAAGTGTGTAATTTTTTGAGGTCGAAAGAGCTGTATAAATTCTCAAACAGCACAGAGATACCTTAAGCACTAGAGGGAGCTGGTAATCACTTGCTACGAATAAGGCGCCCCCGTCAATCCCTGCAGCTTGGTTCTATGTGTAACGATTCAGCTGGAGGTTCTTGTCTACGGAAACTAAGACAAATGTAGAAATCCCTAACCAATCAAAGTTTAAACATGCATCAACCAGCACACGCTCTGACAGATCTGCAGGCCAAGCAACAGAGCCGATCACAAGGCGTGTTTGGATATTTGAACGTGATTTGGCCATTTGACCACCCACGGCTGTATCCGCAGAAGGTTTCTTGATGGGATCTGCGAACGACTAGAAATCGGATCGTTAATAAGATTAGTCCCTTTTCCGCGCCCGCTGCCAACCTTGCTGTTCAAAGCTCTACCAACAAAATGACCTCGCCGTATCGCCAACCTAAACAATTCGTTCTGTGTTTCGATGGAACTGGTAACAAGTTCGCTGGCGATGAATCGGACACAAATCTACTGAAGATCTATCGTGTAAGTGTGTTTTCTGTATCCATGGAACTAGCTTAACCGGACTTCAGATGCTAGATCGGAGCCAGAGCCACCAATTCCACTACTACCAGCCTGGGATAGGAACCTATGTCTCATCGCATTCACTTGGCAGCAAAGGCAGATTGGTGCGGATCCAGTCTGCTTACAAAAAGGCCAAGGATGCTGCCTTGGGGTCTTCATTTGACGAACATGTGTTGGGTGGATACAAGTTCCTGATGCGGTACTACTCTCCTGGTGACAACCTTTATTTCTTTGGATTCAGTCGCGGATCTTATACCGCTCGCTTTCTGGCTGAGATGCTTGATTACATTGGCCTTCTTCAGCCAGGCAACGAGGAGCTTATCCGGTTCGCCTGGAAAACATTCGCTAAATGGCAACAACGACGGGACAACACCGATGCAGACAAGGAAAAGAGACACAAGCTCTTTTCATTCATGAGAGCTTTCCGTGAGACTTTTAGTCGGCCAGTCAGTCGGATCAAATTCCTGGGACTTTTTGACACTGTCAATAGCGTACCGGTCTTTGAGAATGCTTGGATGGAAAGAAGTAAATTCCCTTACACGGCCCACAGCTCAGCTTGTATCATTCGACATGCGGTTTCGATTGATGAACGTCGAGCGAAGTTTCGCCAGGACTTGATCTCTGAAGTTATGCCCCCGCGACATGTGCATGGGCATCGATTGAGACATTTTCTTTCCCGAGAAAGCCACGAGATGGTCGATGTTCCCAATATCGTTCGGGAGACACCCGAAAACGAGTACCAAAACAAGAGCCAAGAACATCAGCACCCTCAACCTGACGAGATACAAAGATATCGACCGCGTACGCCCAGACAAAACCCTGCTCTCGAGCCGTCCAGCAGCAATCAGCTCCTAAGCGACAGAGCTTCGCTAAAAAGCGGCGTCTCTGGGGCCTCACTCCAGGTACCTGGACTCGCACATGAAACAGAGAAGAATGATAATGATCAAGATATAGCAGAGGTATGGTTCCCTGGTCAGCATGGTGATGTGGGCGGTGGCTGGAAAGCCAACCCGGAAGATCCGTGGCCATTGAGTCAAATTCCTCTTGTCTGGATGGTAAAGGAGGCGCAGCTTGCTGGGCTTGAATTTGATCGTTTGAAGCTCCAACGCTTCAACTGCGATGAAACCGTTAGAGACATGAAAAATCCCCAATTCTGCAAGGAGCATCCGACAGATGACTATCTTGTGGCCTTCAACAACTCAGTCACTCAGGGTGTTGTTCATGATACACTCACATATGGCGGGGGCGTTTCAATGCTTTCTACATTTGCGTGGCGTATAATGGAGTATATGCCCTTTCGAAGGATGGACTTACAGCCAGATGGGTCGTGGAGGCCAATTCGGTGGCCTCTTCCCTGTGGCGAAGTACGAGACATTCCTGATAGCGCTGAGATCCATGCTTCTGTCATTCGCCGCATGAAGATTGATAAGAAGTATCGACCTGGAAATGTCATCATTGGCGGCGGTGGCAGAGGTGTCAAGGAAGCCTCGGAGAAAGATGGCATTGGGGAGTGGGTGGTGTGCAAACATGACGGAGACCCCGTGAGAGAAACATTCGTTCGAAAGAACCCTCCTACCATTTGTCGAGATATTCACAACTAGCTGCTTCTACTTTCCCTCGTCCCATCCCGCAATAACCTATAGAGAGGTTTTGACCTTTCTCGAATGCAACCATGCTTAATTTTCTTTGATATATACTTACTGCCCCAAATTGCTTACCACATTAAATTCAACAGTGAATGAGCAATGGTGATTGTCAAAAGCATACGAGGTTATTTTGCTCTACCCCATGGGGGTTACTAGGACGTATATATACGAACGATTAACTCCATGGGCCAATTGGCACCTAAGTTTATAAGCAGAAACACGTTTTTGAATAGCTGAGGTGGTTCTAGCTGATTGTCTAGTCAACGAGGAATGCTAAACCACACGTGTTAAAAGTCTGAATGGATGTTGCTGTCGCACCTGGTCGTCGAAGAGTTGGTGATTTCGAGTCTTTTGCCAAGAGCGTGACGCTTTCCCATTTCGGATTAGCGACTAACCCTAAGAGCACGCTAATGCCGTAGACTACGCGGGTGTGCCAATAATAATGTCTAAGTATTAAAATGGACGAATCCCTGTCAAAATGGATGAATCCCTATCAAAATGGGGCTAGAGATTCCGAGGAACCTAATGAGCTATAAAATCCTTTTATTTGATATGTTTACTCAGAGAACTAATAAGAAATAAGGAATTCTGTTTATATTCTTGCGGACTTAACGATTTTTCTTTTTAATATTTGCGGATGCTAGCGGATCTTACTACGTCTCCTCCTCTAAAATCCGCACTAGCACCTACAGAAGTCCAATCAGCATATCGTTTTATATTAATATGTCAAACATGCGTACGTGTTCCCCTAAATTTTTATCATCAAACTTCCCTAGATAAGTCCCCCTTTTCTATCCTCTAATGTCTCCTGAGTCACTACTTTTGGGTTTACCTTCCTATCCATATACCTACCTAGCATGTCACAATCACAAGCATCCGAATCGCAGACATCCTTCTATGCTGAGTCGTTTCTTGATCCTAACCTCCTTCAACCAGATGATCCCTTTGAGCTACCAAGCAGCCAGCCAACAGTGTCTTCAATACCAATCTCAGATTTTACCTACTCTCTACGTTACTCCGATGCCCCTACTTCACTTACGCGCGTTGGCCCTACCCTCCAAAGATTCTGGGTCCTCTATAATGCCGACAAAGGGATGGAGGTTTCTCGGAAACAGTTCGTGGATTGGTGGTTAACAACAGACTTTGGCTTAAGGAAAGAGCTACAGACTACTATCCGCTGGGACGGGAAGAAAAAGTCTGATATCTGGGAGCGCTTTGATCAGGTTGCACATCAAAAGACCTGCGAGCCTAAGGTTATGTGTAAGCAATGCTATACTACCATTGTGCATCCGAACAATCACCGCGCAGGGTCTTCCCCAATGAGAGGACACATTACCACTAGCGCTTGTCGTAGTAAGCCAAGGCTATGAAAAAGAAGGATAGACCAGTTACTACGGGACTTAGTAAGGTCTACAAATGCTACTCTCCCTACTTATTTTACTAATATAGCACAATCTAGCCGCATGCCCCACCTAATAAGATATTCAGTCAGAATGTCTTTGAGGAGAAGCTTCTTGAATTCATTACATCCGCCCCACTCCTATTTCGAATCATTGAACAGACACAGTTCAAGGATCTACTCGATATGGTGCAATCAGCTAGTTCTAGGCTCAATATTCCTTCCGCAAGGAGTATCCGGCGCCGTCTAGAAATGTCAGTGGAAAAACAACATCAGAGCGTTCTTAGTAAACTTCCAGAAGGAAGCCGCCTCGCTATTGCACTTGACTGCTGGACATCTCCCTTTAACCAAGCATTTATGGCGATCACAGGCTATTTTCTTGACGAGAATTGGAACTATATGGAGGTGCTTCTTGGTTTTGAGCCTCTCCATGGGTCACATACTGGAGGGAATCTAAGCAAGACTGTCATTCAGATCCTCCAGCAGCACAGCGTCGCCAACCGGGTATCATCAATCACCACTGATAATGCATCGAACAACAACACTATGATCACAGGTGTCCAGGAGATAGTACAATCACTCGGTCTAAGCAACAACTCTATTCTCCGAGTTCCATGTATTGCTCATGTGATTCAGCTTAGCCTAAACCAGCACCTCGGAAGGATGATAGCAAAGCCAGTGAATCAAGAAGTAGAGACTGAGTGGTCTGACAAGCGCACCCGGTCGCTACAATCTCGGTGAGGGATTCCCGCTGCTAGCGGACAAATATGGCCATTTGGTTAACACCCTCGAAGTCCACGGGTTGGGGAGCGAACGGCTCAACACGATGCACGTTCGAAGTGCACACATTTCTGACTAGACTACCCAATCTGCATAGTCTCTCACTATGTGGAGACGACCCTAGCACATTAGGCCGGCTAGAACTATTTCTGGGTGGACTTAAGCTATTCGAGCAGTCGAAAGAAAAGAAAAGAAAAGAAAAAAAGAAAGAAAAATAACACAGTTAGGTCTTTAGTTTTCCTTAAAACTCCATAATTAGTCTAGTTATGCCCTGAATGGTATTAGGATATAATTAAATCGTATATTACGCTATTGCTGTTGAGATATAAGTTGTAATATATGCGTTTACTATGGTGTTTTGGGTTGAACAAGTCAGCTACATGACTCACTCGCTTACCGAATACGTTTTTGATTATCTTTCTTGCTATTGCTTGTTCTCGACAGTTGAAATTGAACAAGGTAGCGTGCCAGGGAGCGGTCGCGTTGGGTGGCCAACTCGCTTGTGGATTGCGTTGTTGAGATTTGATTCCTAGTGAGACTCAACTTCCTGCGTCGGTCCGGGATTCACACTTGTTTAGCGTTTCTCACATCACGCTATGCTGATCCGTGCATGTGAAAATAGGCAGATCCATCCCCTGTCAGGTTATTTATCCTACCCGATGAGGCCTGCCTAGACGTTTTTGCATTGGTCTTTTTTATTTTGTCCTGCTGGACGCATCGAAATTTTGCAAGACAAGCGCAACATTATCTCTTTTGCCGCTAGCATGCCTTCATTTGAATCCACACAGCTGGTTAAGAAAGACAGCGGGAATAGCGATGGCCTTATCAGCTGCGATCGCCACAATGGCAGTTACAGGAGTTCGGTTCGGTCGCATACGTCTCCCGCGGAAGAAGATAGCAATGGGAAAGCGGGATTTCTAAAGAGAACATGGAAACATTGTAAACGACCAGGGTAAGTACTTTCACTATGAAATGCACCAAACTTGCTTTGCTATCGCGCCGCATCGCATGGCAGTGGTCAAGTTCTCTGTAACTGACTTGGATCTGAAAATGAGCATAGGAGCGCCCTCGTTGCCAGGCACTTCGCTCAACCAATTCTCGCCAAGTCCTCGCTTTCTCTGCTCTCTACGTCCTTGCACAATCCCACGCCGAACACCGTTGATTTCTCAATGCGCGTAACTTTGACACTTCCGGTCCCCTTTCCGGTCCTACTAGAGCCCATGGTCGTTCGCCTATGCCGAAACGGGCATGCTCCTAACAACCCATTCCTCGAAGTGACACTACCTGCATGCCAAATTGTACGCTCTGCGGATATTGAGGTCATCAGGAAAACGACAAATATTTTAGACGTGGAGCAATTTGGAGATTTTATAAATGATGTTATGTTCAAAAAATCGGTTATATTAGATATCAAAGGTTCAGCGAAAGTGCAGGTCCGTTGGGTAAAGTCTCGCTTGCATTTGAATGATCATATTAAAGTAATAGGTAAGACTTGTCTCTTTCCCCTCCCTTTTCCTTCGTCTGTCGTAATTGAAACATGCTAACCCTTCATGTGTTATTTTGCAAGGATTTGATTCTTTCCCTGGCTATATGATAAAATCTTGTCAAATTCTCCTGAACGCTCAGGACGGGGCCCATCTCGAGGCCGTTTTAGATCTTCCAAATCCATCCCTAGCGACGATTGAGATGGTACGTACCTTGGCAGACAGTATGGTAATATATATTCCGAAGCTAACAAAAAGCTGTTTAGGGAGATCTGACCTTAAATCTTTATGTTGGATCCGTCCTCGTCGGTGAAGTCTTCATTTCCAACGTTACCTTCACCCCCGGCCCGAATGTCGTCTCATCGCGCGTGTATCTCGACCCGAAGACGGCCGTGCGTAATATTACCACAATTATCCAATCGCAAAAGGAATCGCTTTACCGCGGGAAGCTTGGGGTGAGAGTGTCAGGGAAATCAACAGTACGCAATGGCGAGAACCTTGCATACTTTGAAAATGGACTCTCCAAGCTGCAACTGTACTCCATGGTACCAGTTTCCAGAATCCTTGGCAGCACAGTCGGGGGGATTGCAACGTCAATCACTCCAGGAAATATTCTGATGCTCTTGAGAATGACGGGGATAATGGCCAGATTAGAAGGTAATGGGGTCGATGTGGCGCAGATAACACAGCTTGGACAACCCGCGTGAGATTTTTCCGGCATTCTATTTTATGAGATCGAAAGAGGCTGGCCTAGAAATTTAGACGTCTCCCCCCCCCCCCCTTCTCTCCCCCTCCTACCCAACCCCTTAATTGTAGGAAACAAAAAGGTCCGACGCGCCGCGTCGCGTTATGAAGTCGCGAACGTCTAAGCCCTCCCTCGTTATGAGCGAATCAGGCAGTACTAGACCCCCTATCAAACGGTATTGGACCCCCTATCGAACGGTACTAGACCCCCGTCGGATTCCCCCCCAATTTTTTCTACTATTACAAGTAGCGCACGAGTAAAGTAGACCGAACCCCCCCTCAATCCCCGAGCGCCACCCGAGGCCGGCCCCTCCGGGGGTCCGCCCCGGAATCAGACTGTCAAAACAAGGCGTGAAATTTAGGAATTCAATAGAGATATCAATGAACGAAAGGCGGGTTCATTTTAAGCGGCCTCCGCGGACAAAAAGCCTACTAGGATGGGGGTACAAAGTCTACTAGGGTGACCATCGGCGCGGCCATAGTTAAGCAAACCCTGATCTTATGTAATCCTACTGCACCCACCCCCACTGTGTTAGAGATCAGACCAAATTGTGTCAATTGATGGTATGTCCTATGCACAAGGAGGATTCATTAAAGAAAGAAAGAAAAGAAGAAAGGGGAAAACATGAAGTAGGGATAAACATGGCAGAATGAAAAGGCGGTCAACAGTCACGAAGCTTCAGCTGAGTATAACAATATCAGGACTTCGTACGAAGGTCCTATAACACACTGCTATATCCACGGTGGCGAGGTCTTTCCAGAACACCAGGATCCTGCAAATGCAAATCCAATATTCGATTATAATTCGTGATTTGTGATTTGTCCATGATGATTGTGTGAAGCCGTGGGCTTACTCAGAGAAATTCGTACCCATTAGGCTTTATATCGGCTTGTGCGCTTAGACCAAACACAACCAAGTTGCAAAGTGTCTGCGTACTACTTGAGTGGCCTGTCTTTCCATCATCAAACGAGGTCTACGATCTGCTTAGCGCAAAGGCTCCTTGAAGCGAATGCATAATCTTAACATTAAACATCCCTATTTCTGTTTGGCTAAGTTGGTTTTAGTTCGGAGGATGTCTATTCAGACGTTCTCTCAGTCAGCCCTCCCCCTCGCAATGGAGTACAGGAATTGTCCATCCAGGACTTATGTGATTGTCTCCTCTAGGAGCTTTGAAGGATTTAATCATCCTAGGCCTCAAGATGGGGCTAATCCGGGTTAGCACCGCGGTTCTACGCAGAGCTGCCTAGGGTCAACCCGTTAAGTTCCCTTATTTAATTTTATTTGGCAAGAATTTCCCTTTTTTGGCCAGAAAAATGATGATTCTAGATATAATGCTATTATATACACCTGTTCTAGTCAGTGCATTGTCAGGGCTGCGGTCTTACAGTGCGCGATACTACCATATAGTAGTCCGAGGCATTTCAAAGTTAGAGAACTTCATCATAGTGGTTTTTTTTTTGGCCTAACTGGGTAGCGCGGCGCTGGGCGCACCCCTCACAGTTAAGAAACTGCCAGTCTAGTTTACATATAGTTACTATCTGCGGATTCCCAATGTCGTCCATGCGCGCTTGATTTGACTCTCTGGCACGGAACCCCGTTGTGGGTTCCTTCCGGCCAGTCCGCCACTAGCTCGTGATATCTACGATTGGGATTATACAGCGGCCATATTCAATTATACAACCGCTTACCTTGATTGTCTGGCTTTCCCGGTGCAAATCACTACTTACAGGAAGATCCGAAGCCCAAATACGCATTGCAGCAGAGGATGAGGATAGATTCTAATCATCACCCTTCCTAAGCATACAAGCAAAATCAGGCCACGAACATAAGCCTAGACCGTACAATAACTTTTAAGTTTCGAGGAGAAATTTTACTTATTCTGAAGTCCACTGCTATGCAATGAGACTTTGGGGATTTTGTCCGGATCCATCCACATATAAAAGGTGCTAAATTTGAATATGAGATAAAGCGGAAGTAATGTAAAGGGAACAAGGTATTCAAATTGGCATTCATTCTCATATGGAAGCTAGTACAGAAATAAAGGTACAATCCAAATGATCAATCACAGGAGTAAACAAGAACTGGTTTAGTATCCGCCCCGCTGGTCGCCGACAGCGTTTTGTTCATAATTCGAGCCTTGAGCTCTAGGGTCAAGTTTGTTCATCTGCTCGAAATTCTGAGGACCTGGCGACCCTCTAGCACCTGAGCTGTTGTCGTTGTAGCTACTGCCACCAGTAGCACCGCCACCGAAATTTTGCTGACCCAAATTTTGCTGACCCATACGGCTGTCAGGGCCAGTCTCGCCACGCGGCTGCATATCGCAGGGCTCGGTGTGGGTAGTGGTGGAATGGGTTTTGTGTTCCTGCGTGTCGTTGCTGTAGCGGTCCTCGCTAGTCATTTGATTGCCGGAGGTAACAGGCTGGGTGTGGGATTTGTTTTCCTGCTTCGAGCTGCTATAGTTGTCCTCGCTAGTCATATGATTGTCCATACCGCGGGACTGCCCAGTGGAGCCTGTGCTGCTGGGATCGGAGTCACGAGCGCCGCCGCCGGTATTTTGGGTGCCGGCGGTTCCAGGGTAATTGCGGCGGTTATCTATATAGAGTTTCGAGTTAGCTTTCTAGCTCTAGGAAATGGTCATGAGAGTAAACGTGGATGTGGCTCGCGGGATTCTGTACAAGGCATAATGGGAAGAGTTATTCAAATGCCACAATAGGACGTATGAAGTGTCGCATACGCCTAAAAATGCCACCGGTTCTTACTAATGGGAATGATGCAGCTTACCTAGATCACTATCGACGCGAGGATCCATCTTGTTGGCCGTTTTTGAATCATGAGGGCCAGCATTTGTTGAATCACCTGCGTTCCTAGTATCTAAATATCCATCATGTGTGTCAATCAATGGCGTAGGAAGAGAGACAAGTCTTAGGAAACTAACCGTCGACGTTGGGATCGCGATGAGTACCAGTACCAGCCTCATTTCCATAGCCAGGGCCAGTGCCATAAGTGTTAGAGCCCATGCCGGAAGAAGGGCCCATGCTAGAAGAATTACCCATTCCAGATGAGTTGTACTGGTTCGGACCAGGGTTCATTGTCTGAGGATTATCCCTGTCACGATGATCAGACACAGCATCCTTGACTTTGTGCATGAAGTTCGACATGATGGTGGCAATCTGTCGTAGCAGAAAAGATTATTAAGACGTTTTGAAATTGGACGTTTGATATATTGGGATTAATTAATCCTGGGTTGTTATATTTCTAGAAATCATAAAAGGGTTTGATACATCTTGGGGGTTTATATGCCTGTAGGCTAGCATTACTAGATCGTTATTTGCGGAGACTTAATGACGCCATAACGCGGAAGGTCACGAGTACAAAAAGTATTGAACAAGGATAAGGTCCTATTATTGCGTTATGTTGTATGGTCATGACGTGCCAAACTGGTTTAAAGCAGCTAGATGAGTATGTTGGCCAAAAATAAGAGAGCAGTAGATGTCATCCGTCGTCATCCCCGGGATCTAAAGCCAAGAATTCCACTGAACCAGTGCCCCCCAGGAAAATCTAAAGATCGGGGAGGTATACTGCCTGGAGATCTTGGGTACGACCAAGGTTGCCTATTGCGATTTCCATGGTTGCCTCAGCACCAATAGCTCCATGTTCAGGTTTTGACAATTACCAAGCCCGGTGTCATTGGCCACCCACAGAAGAATGCCCAGCTTTCTTGGTAAATGCACAATTCACGCTACTCAAGAAATCCTGATGTTGAATTTAAAAAGTTCTACCCCATGGGGGACATAGGCTGGGATTCGCTGTTTTTCTCAACGGGAGAAAAAGTGGGGCCACGTCGATCATCACATATATTTTGGTATGTACTGTGTATATTGTCATTATAGTACTGAGGGTACTCCTAAGTCCCGCACTTGGGAGTACTTAGAGGTGTGGGTCCAAATTGGCAGGGTACTTTCAGCGATCCCTAGTCACTCCCAACTGTGTGCCCAATACGTGACGGTACCGCAGCCCTCACATTCTTCCGATAGTCCAGTATTCGCTCGATTGAGCCATGATGGTTTCCACAAAGTCATACCCAATGTCAAATTGTATCCCATCCGGGTTAGTCAAATTATATGGCTTATCTATAATGCATAAATCAGCCAAAGGTAATGTTTACTAAGAAGGGAGTGGAGCAAAACTAACACCAACTTTCGTCAGCCTCGGGGTGTGGACCGACAACCCCTACCCACCCATTTCCAAATGGTGTTACGGAAGCAGCAATGTCATTGTTGGTTGAATATCTTCCTAGGATGATGGCAGACGCATTTTGAGGTAATTTTATAACTGCTCCATCCTGGAAGAACAACCAGCGGCCGTTCTGTAGCTCGCCCTTTTCCGGACCCGTTCTGAAGCGCCAGTTCACCTCAATGATAGTGTTTCGGCCGTTCATCACTTGCGCTCCTGGCTGAACAATTTCTTCGCCTGTAGCAGAACTGGGGGGTAGAATATCGAACCCGGGAGTACCGAAGGCCGGGCTGTTGCCTGCCAAGTATGCCCCAACACAGAACCCAGCATATCGGCCACCGCGGGCAACGAAATCACGAATGGCTTTTTTGTACTTCTTTGTATGATCCCATGCTGGCTTAAGACCTGAAGACAAGCAAATCACTATTAGCGAACTGGAGAGGAAGGAGAAATCCCTTCCTTGCCCCCAAAGGAAACTTACTGCCACCTCCGGGCTGAGCATAAAGCTGAACTTCCTGCAATGACCCTTCGTTGATGTCGATCTTCTCATTGGGGCCCGCGTACTGAACGTCGAAGTGAGAGGAGGAAGACCGGAGAAGCTCAGCCACTGATTCCGGACAGCCGTTACAGGCGGCTGGTCCACGGTAGACCATCGCCTTCGGGCGTGGTTCTGGCGGGCATGCGTCTGGTTGACCCAAGACCATGCTACCTGCTAGGAGAACAGCGATGGAGAGATAATGGCGCATTTGGACTACAACCATATGCGGTTGGGTTAAAACAAAGACATGGACACAAGGTAGAAGTTGGCTCTTCGTAGGAATATTCATATGGAAGTTTTGAGACTATTATGAAGATTACTCTCCCTGTCATCAGAGCGGCAGTGCCGGGAAATTGGGTCGGTTGGAAATGATCACTTTTTACAAGGCTTCGAAAATCAGCCTTACAGACTAAGGCTAGGGTAGGGTGGACTTGAACCCCTTTCCCCAAACTCTGTGGTCGTATGTACTAGATATGGATGTTAGAGTAAAGGGTCGATTGCCTTGCGTTCTTTGCCGCTGCAGAGCCTACATGAGAATGTTGAATGCACAACGAAGCTGTGAGAGACGCAGTGGTGATTTAAGTTTGGCCCCACGTTGCACGCCGTGGCAGCCTTGAACAGGGTCAAATCTAGCCGTGTCCTCTCCTGTTTCAAATAAATAGCCATGATGTCTACAACTTCCCGTTTAGATCTCAATTTTGATATCCGCTCGGCCGTTCATACGCCCCAGGCGACATCATCATCTGCGCCAGACGCTGGACGCAGTAATCTGTGCCGAAGCCACACTGGTCGCATAAAGACCAAGGTTGAAATCTCCGCCGCCTATCGAGCTGGCCTGATCTTCCGAGGTTGTATTATTATTATTACTATTCATACGCCGCGGGCCTATTGCCCAAGCCAGTTGGCTATGCGGTCCTCTGTCAAAGATTGGGAATTACATAGGAACATGGCCTACAATCACGCTAATCTGAAAAGGGCCTAGTCGGAACTCATTAACGAGCCCCTCTCTGCCGTGTGTCTTTCCATGGATCTGACAGACAATTGATTGTTGCCGACCAGGTCAAGTCGTACACATACAATGCCAAAAGGAAAGCGCATCATCCTATGTTTGGATGGCACGTGGGTCAACAGTGACAAGGGATATAACCCGCCGACCCTGGGCCAGCCGGATGCCACTCTTCAGGTGCCTACAAATGTGACGCGCGTCTATCGGTCCCTGAAGAAACGGGACGCGAATGGGAAGAACCAGGTCATGTACTATCATCCTGGTGTTGGGAGCACGGGGAACATCACTGATGAAATCGCGGGCGGGGTTTTTGGCTCAGGAGTTTCTGAGGTGCGTTGAAATCATACTAGTTGAGGTGACAGGAAGGATTCCTAACTGCAAGATGTCAGAATATTCGGGAAGCGTATAGTTTCGCTGCAACCAATTACGAGCCTGGAGATGAGATTATCATAGTGGGTTTCTCTCGCGGTGCATTCACTGCGCGTAGTGTGGCAGTAAGCATAGCCGTTCTCTGGAAAGTTTTGAGCATTGAAAATTCATGGTTTTAGGGTCTCATCACCGAGATTGGGCTGCTCAATAACAATGGAATGGAACTTCTCTATCCAATCTTCAAAGACATAGAGAACATCAGAAACCCTCGGTACAAGGATGAATTTCCGACTACACCCTTCCCTGACAAGCCCAGAGACAAACGGGAGTACAAGCATCGCCTGGAGGAGGAGGATCTCACGCGACTGTATGACCCGGATGGGCGTCGCATCAAGGTTCGTTGTGTTGCAGTCTGGGAAACGGTCGGAAGTCTAGGCATTCCAGACACCAACTTGAGCAAAAAACTCAAGATACCTCGCTCTACAAAAGAATGCAAGTTCTACGACACATCACTATCGAATGGAATCGAGTATGCCTTTCAAGCACTTGCTTTGGACGAAGACCGCACATCTTTTGCTCCATGTGTTTGGAACCGACCTCGCAATGTTCGCACCGATTTACGCCAAGTCTGGTTCCTGGGAGCCCATTCCAATGTTGGGGGTGGGCTTCCAGACCAGGAACTGGCCAATATCACCATGGCTTGGATGATGGATCAACTAACATCAATTGGCGTGGCCTTCGAGGACGATACTATTAATCGGATCTTTCAACAGAGTGTTCGCTACTTCTTCAATCATCCCCGCCCGCAAAAATCACAAACCGGCAACCAACACAAGCCATGGAGCCAGTGGGCCGTTTCCTCCGTCTTCAACGAACACAGACCTGTTCGACCTTGGGGGCTTGGTGAAATTGTTCAGCCCGAGACCGGATACTATCACCTCGCTGGCAAAACCACTCGCACGCCGGGGATGTACCATTATGTTGATCCGAACACAGCTCTGTCCACTTCTGAGTTTCTGACACATACCCACGAAAGCGTGCACAGAAGCGTGCGCATTCGTCTTAGCCTCGAGGGTCTGGGATACGATGATGTAGGGCTGTATAAATGTTCTGCACTGAAGGACTGGAAGCTGGAACGGATGCGTGTTGTGTCTCGCCGTGATACTCGCTATTTTGATGGGACGGCGGGAGAAGAGGAGGTTGTGGAGAAGGTACAAGATCATCGATGGGGGTGGGTATACGTTGGGCCTGAGCGAGATACGCCGCCGAGGGATATTTTGATGGAGGAACCACTAGGCCCGTATGAAGACAGGTTGCTCCATCTTAATAAAGGCAAGTTGGCATTCCTTTTCGGAAGTTTGGTCGTCCGTTTATCACAAACCTTTTGGATACTACTCCTGGTACGTGTATGCTAATTCTATCATCGGTATCGCAGGTCGGCCATTCTACAAAGCTATGCTTGCGGAAAGCAGACGGTGATGAAAGGAAAAGAGAATGACAATTTCTCAGCCACCGTGTGTGTTACATGGATGTGATACTCCCTGCTTAGAATCGACCAAAATAGAACATCACTCCCGTGTGCGAAACCGGCACTTTAATCCATGCTGCTTGGCAAACCAGAATGTCTCAACCCGCCATTTCGGGTCCTCAGATGCCCACTCAATCTCGAAGTGCCGCATTAGCTGTGGAATCAGTTTCCCCATCTCCATAATAGAGATATTCTTTCCAATGCACGTCCTCGAACCATACCCAAACTATGACATATCAGTATAGGTGGAAAAGAGTGGGAGCATTGTACAGACTGTCATCAGATGGCGATCCATAATCTTGATGTCTTCATCACTCGACTCAATCCACCGCTCTGGGCGAAAGTCACTGGCATCGTCTCCAAAAATTGTCTTGTCGTGGTGCATCACTGCCGGATTGATACCGACGATGGTACCCGCTTCGAGATGAACGCCGCAGAGCTCAGTTCCTTCTTCAGGAACAATTCTCTCCAAGGGAAAGGCAACTCCGGGATGGCACCGCATGGCCTCTTTCATTACTGCTTGGCTATTTGGTTGGAGAGGCGTTAGCCAATAGCGCTTGAAAATAGAGTCCAATGCTCACAGGTATCGCAATTCAAGACATTCGGCATAAGTTACGTATTCTGAGAAATTTCCGGCCCGGTCGGCTTCGTCAATCTCGTTTTGAAGCTTACGATAGACCGACGGATTCTGGACAACGAAGTAGACGATCGCTCGGAGGGAGATAGCAGTTGTATCACTCCCAGCAAGTCTGATGAGGTGGCAAGATTGTTAGGTAGCTTGGGGCTTGAGTCTGTGTCCATAAGCTCACAAATTGTTGCTGAGATGATTAATCATATCACGATTCAGCATTGGCTTGCCCTTCTTCTCCTCGCTTCGAAGCCAAGCAAGGAAATCCGGCCGATCCATGTGCTTTTCGACAGGCTCGCTGTCATAATCATCAATGCATTGCTGAGTAAACTGCAATCATTTAATACTTTATTGGGTTGCTCAGCCATATCTTAAAGAACAAAGTACTTACCTGAACAATAGTCCTCAAAGGATCTGGCACTTTCACAAACGGCTGTGCAGCCAATAACTTCGATAGCCAGAGGTTGCCCGCAAGCCACGGGTGGAAGGCAGGCACTTGACCAATAGTGCCTGCATATCGAAGGCCCCTCTCGATATCGGCAATCATGCCATTGAAATCCTGGCGGGTCTCCATGAAGCCAAACCGGCGCTGGAAAGTGATTGCCCCAATCACATCAAAGGCATACCATTGGAGCCAGACACCCAAATCAATGCATTCACCTTGAAGGTCCTTCATAGAATCAATGAAAATTTTCGTGCATTCATCCGCAAAAGGCTCTAGGGCTTTGATTGAAGACATGGAAAACTTCTGTGCCACTGGTCGACGGAGAGCCTGATGCTGGTTCGGATCGCGCACCGTAAACATGCTAGGCATGATCTCGTCTTCGTAGAACGGGCTCATAGTGTCATAGAATCCAGACTACTTACTTGTTAAAATAACTTAGTTTGTAGTTTAACTGTACTCACTTTGAGAAATTTGCTGCCGATGCCGTATATGATTGGCAGTGCTTTGGGGTCTGAAATATCCACTGTCTTCGGCCCAGTGCGAACAATCCGACCATATTGACGATGCAGTCTCAGATAAAAGTCGGGAGCGTCGCCCTTGGCAATTTTCCAGAGGCGGTAGAAAGGCGTGAAGCGTGCAATAATCGGGCCTGGTATTGATCTTAGGCCAGGCTTCAGCGCTACAGCAATTGGCCTGACGAATAAAAATACCAGTAAGGCAAAATAAACGCCGAGAGTAAGCTGATTGTGATTGTGAGGTTCAGGGTTGTCGGGTGCTGATTGTAAGACCGCCATTTTCAATGTACGAAGTCGACAACAAGCTTGGAATCATGCTCTAGGGGGCCCTTGCTTTTATCCTGTGTCAATTCCCTAAGTCTTCCCCGCAAAATTTCAACCCCCGTCATCTGGTCTAGATAACCACCTCCAGTAGCCAATCTAACCAGTAAGCCCACGACAGAGTTTGCGGGGTCTATGACAGTCGCCGTATAATAGTGGGGTGTCAGCTCGCACACTCTTCTTAAAACTTGCAAGCCACATTCTCAGCATCAACGCGTGAATTAGTTTTCTGGTGTATTTTGCATTAACTAAACCTGCAAGCAGTTTACGGGATCCGGGTCATAATGGGAGTACATATGCGTGTCGCTCTTCTTGTGTTTCACTCTCTTTGGAGCAATTCAAAGAAAATAAACAGTAATTTGCATAAGAACATGTTTATCAGGGCATATTTATCTGATTGCTTCAAGTAAACACTGTTTGCAGACAGATTAGACGCTAATGATGAGGAGCTCTAGCAAGAAACTCCTGGGCATTCTTAAGATACACATTTTCTTTCACTTCAGGTAAAAACTCACTTGTAAACCCATCATCCATTTTCTTAGCAAATGCTAGTACGGCTGGCACCGGTGTGTAAGGGTAGTCGCTCCCATACAACAGTCTTGACGAATCCACTAATCGAAGAAGACCGTGGATTTGATCAGGGAATGGCAACCCTGCAAGGTCGAAGTAGAAACGCGTTTGGAGCATCTCCTTCACCTCGTCTCCGGTAACTCGTAGCTCTGGACTGAGCAACACTTGAGAGAACTGGGCAATCCGCTCCATCACCGGTGGAAACGTGCCTCCACAATGGCATGCCAAGAATGTAATGCCAGGACATCTCTTTACCGTACCTGATGTAAGGAGACTCATGAGCGACCGGGTCGAATCAAACATGAATTCCATCATCGGGCTCGGCACACCAAATTGAGGCGTCGCCCGAGTGACGGATCCATCCTGCCTATTGTGAATGTTGCAGCTGGTTGGATGACAGAAAACAATAGCTTTCAGCTCACTTAGCCTGTCGAAAACTTTGCTGAAGCGTGGATCTCCCGGGTAGATGCCGTGCGAGTTGGTCAGAATTTGAAATCCGACTGCGCCCAGGTGGTCAAGCGCATAGTCGATCTCGGAAAGGGAGCCTTCAGTGTCCGGCAGAGGAAGCGAAGCAAAGAATAGAAAATGATCTGGATTGTCAGCGCAAATTTTGGACATGTCGACGTTCACGCGGCGGGTCAGAGATCGCGCCTCCTCGTCATTGCCTGGCGTCAAATGAGTTCCCGGGGATGAGATGCTCAAAATGGACTTGGTGATGTTCAAGCGCTTCATCAAATCAATATGAGTTTCCGGGTCCCACTCCTGCGGTTTTCGTCAATCCTCGGAAATATAACCGTAAATTTTGGATCACAAACGGGGATGGCCGGCATGCCATCCGGATGCCCTTTTCCCGCAAAGTCATTCTGCAGGCAGTATTCGCGATAGGCCGGTGGCACACAGTGGACATGGACGTCTATTCTCTCCATTTTGCTGGTTTGGAAGCCGAGTGGAATACAAATTGAGAAGAAAATGAAGGGTCTAATGATGGAGACTGATCATAGTCCCCGCATTCCACCCCACCCACAGCACTCGTGGGCCTTATCCAAGGCCCTGACCATGAATCTCAATTTCTCGATATTAATGGATTAACAAGTATTTAAAGGTTGGGGGTTGTTTGCGATCTACACCTGTTACAATTAGTAAAGATACATAAAAGAAGTGCTATGTAAGATCCTGCTAAATTCCCCATTATTGCTGTGGTGCAACTGACACGCTAAAAGTCAGAAGAGAAGCAGGAATATGTACTAAAAGAAGAGGTAACATTTGCAGCTGCAAAAGAATGCCGTAATTGCAAAATGGCATCAAGACATTAGAGAAGTTTAAGATGGTCGATCTCAAATTGATCTTTGGACTCATGGATGACTTTCCACCTCGGATGGAACAACTCCACCATCAAAGCTGTCATGGAAGCTACCCAAAGAACTGTGCTGCCACATCTCAAGATTTCTGTGGCCGGGTAATGAAATCGGCTAGATCAACCCGTTTGTTTGTCCTGGAGCAAATTCAAGCTATGCCAAGAAAGCTTCGATTTGGGTCCCAAAACAGACCCGTGGATGGTTCCGGCGATCTCCAGATCACAACATAGTATAAACTGCACAGCGCGAGATCGGCATAAATTCTAATCGTTTTGGTCTCAAAGCCAGATAAGCGGAGGGTTGCAGATCGACAGTGGTGCTCACCTGGAGAGTGCCAAGCCAGCCTGTTTCAAGTGCGCTCTCTCGACCAGTGTGAACCCCGCGATCAGGGTCCGTTTTATCCACAATTTGGCCCTCAATCATGAGATTGGATCTCCCGTACGCAGCTCCGTAGGTCCAAGCGCAAGAAGCGGCCAGCCTAATAATAATCATGGTTCGTCATGGCCTCGCCCTAACCGCAACTTTTGTTTCATCAACTTGGGCCTCTTCGGCCTTTCACTCATTATGGCGCCTGCTGATGAGCAGCAGGGAAGGGATGCGGCCTTTTGGGCACCAGGGACAGTGACGCTGGAAGACCGTAAGCATGATTGCCCGAATCTGATCGAGAAAAGACGCGCTCACATTCGATTCAGTTCACCCAGCAAGAGAGCAATTGGTTCTCTTTCCTACTCCCTCCTCTGACCCGAACGACCCTCTCAACTGGTCTACTGCTCGGAAGGCCCTCAATTTTACCTTGGTCAGCTTCTACGTCCTTTGGACCTTTGTCCAGCTTGACATCGGCTTTACGGCATGGGGTCTTATGGAGAGAGATCTCGGCTTTACGTTCGATAATTTGAGTATGGGAGCCGGGATCAACTATGCCGGCCTTGCTGTGGGCTGCATATTCTTCATTCCTCTGGTGCACAAATATGGTCGGCGGCCGATTTACCTCATTAGCGTTGCTCTTCAGTTGGCGTCTTGCATTTGGCAGGCCAAGGTCTATACTTTTGGTGATCTCATTGGAAGCAATTTGATATCTGGGCTTGGAGGCGCGATCAGCGAGATCATTGCTCAGATTACTATAGCGGACATGTTTTTCGTACATCAACACGCCACTATGAATGGCTGGTATGTCATCTTCCAGAGCACTGGTGCTTTTCTCGGCCCCGTCGTCTCTGGGTACATTACCGTCTCGCAGGGTTGGAGGTGGATGTGGTGGTGGTGTGTCATCTTCTTCAGCGTGACACTACTCTGCGTGGTCTTTCTCTTTGAGGAATCGAAATACATACCGCCTATCCGGGGCCATGATATTACACCTACGCCTGTCTCACAGAATTCAAATTCAACGGGTGGAAAGTCCAAGGCTGAAAATAAGGATCGGACCAACAGAGCGGCCGTGGCGAATCGAGTCGCGCAATCCGATATCAAGCTGAAGACATATCGCCAACGAATGGCCCTCGTCACCACCACTAACGAGTCGATTTGGCAGCATGTTTATCAGCCATTTATAATGCTTCTGACTTTTCCAGCAGTTACATACTGTGCCATCACCTATGGCACAACGTTGTGTTGGTTTGCGGTCATGACCTCACTGCAAGCATCGTACATGATCTACGCGCCGTACAATTTTTCTGCGATCGGCATCGGCATGATGAACCTTCCACCTTTCGTCGGTGCTCTTCTAGGTTTCCCATTTGGTGGATATATCTGCGACAAATTTATTATATGGCTCTCGAAGAGAAACGGCGGTATCTATGAACCGGAGATGCGTCTTTGGCTGTCCCTTCCTGTTGCCATCATAAGTCCGGCCGGGATATTGATGTTCGGCATAGGTATTGCTCATGTATGTTTTGATCTCGGAAATGGTTTCACGCTCGTAACTGATTTTGAATACAGGGTGTTAGCTGGGGTCTTTTGGCCGTTGGTTTCGGCTTCTTTGGGTTTGCATTAGCTTCGGTCGGCGCTATCTCGCTATCTTACCTCATGGACTGCTATCAGGATGTGAGTGAACCTACAACCACATCGTCTTCGATTTGACTAATTGAGTTGCTTAGATTATTGGCGATGCACTGGTTGGAGTTGTCTTCATGCGAAACATTTTGTCTGTCATTGTCCTCCTTGTCTTGACTCCATGGGTCGAAGGCATGGGCCTGCAGAACCTCCATATTCTCATTGCGCTCATTAATTTTGTTATTTTATTGCTTCCAGTGCCTTTACTCATTTGGGGCAAAAGGGCAAGAGTCGCTACTGCGACGAGGTACAAGAAGATGGCACAGAAACAGCTTAGCCATCGTACTATCTGACCGGGGTCAACAGTACTAGATACTATATTCAACTCTTCAACTTGCCCATTCGGTCTGTATAATCAGCTATATTGAACCAGTAGAACTGAGCTCCACAATCCCGCGCCGCACACACGGAGATTTAATAGGCCTTAAATAAGGCCACAGACTGTTTCGAGAATTTTATGACCGACTGGTCCATTGCAAGCATGGCCCTTCGCTCTCCCAAATCTATAATTTCAAAGCACGCTGCTTGACAGGCAACCCCTAAGCCCGGCATTGATCTCCCCGTGCTCTTTATGACCATTCCAAATTCCTCTAGGATAGATTTAGGCATTTGAATAGCTCCTTGATTGCACTAACCAAATGGATGTCGTAACCGGTGTATAATAAGAAGCGCACTCAGGCGGAGAATCTTGGCCTGCATCAGCATGGTAGTGACCTCGGGTTGGGAGAATCAATTGAGAAAATTTTGCTGGAGTCAATGGTTGCCATTCCTCTACCAAAATTTGTAATGTATCAAGGCGCGTCATAATTTTCAGGTGTGCAGTTTCATTGCTGTGTCGGAGTAAATGACTAACTTCACATATGTCGTAAAGAACGGCCAGCAACGAACCACTGAGCCCAATATAGCGATCAACATGACCCGTTGTTTTGGCTTCGATGCTGATAGTTGGTTTTTCGGATCGAAGCAGACATTCCGAAATTTCGGTGGTGATGAGACAACAAGAAATCTATCATCCCTGAGTCGGCGCCCGAGCCGGAAAAGGCACGATATACAGCACTTGGCTTGATGAGGTTGAGTGTGTAGTGCGCTATAAGAATTGGCTGACCATCTTCCACATGCATGGCAAACATAGCCATAGCCACACCGAGTATCAAAGCGATGGCGAGATCATCAAAGTCAATGACCGCAAGACAACTTAGAGATGACATGGCCAATGCGCCTCGCCGGTTGGCAATTTGAAGACCGAGGCCATCGTGTTGACTGTATTGGTCACCAAGAAGGACGGCGGCACAAGCCACTATAGCATCTTTCAGGATCGGTGGCGCTTGAAGGGGGTACTGCACGAAGGACCGATGGTGGATTTCGTGAAAACTTGGGCCAATCAAGTATATACCGAGGAGCGAAGGGGCCGACATATCTTTCATGAGGTCGAAGAAATATTTCTCCCACACGCGAGCTCGGGGAATTGGGTTGGGTTACTGGGAATATAGTTGTAGGCACGAGAATCAAAGAACACATGAGCATCGCTTGTGGAGGTGTGGAGGTACCAATCGATTGCTATGTGTTTTGACGGAGGAGCTGGGAAGCGTGTAACCCACGGTTTTGGTACCTCGGGGCTTTTTGCCGGGTCGAACACGCAGGCGAGTAGTGTGGCAGGTGTGATTGAGTCGAGCACATCGTTCGCAGGCGATATCAGGCCGCCCGCACTTCTCCTTGAAGCGTGGCATTGGTCACAAACCCTTTTCGTTTCGCATGGTGCGGGCATCGCAGATACTCCCGGAAAAGAGCCTCGACGGAGTAATGAGCCTTTGACTAGAGAATATTGTTGTAGCTTTCGACAGATTGACAATGGGTGGAAGGAGATGCGGGGAGATAAGCCGATAGGGGTATTCAATCAGACCTGTCTAGATCTTCACTGCCTCCATCGATTGACAAACATTTCCACTACCAATGCTGGAGAATGTCCATTAAGAGCTTCATGAAGTCTCTTTGTCTTGGACTGTAGCTCATCCGCACACTTCTCGCAGGTCACCTTTGTAGCCCCTAGAAGCGCCCCTTGACTTCCGGGGTCCGTTTCCATCCAGACTCAAGAGGTGCGAAGTCCTGGAACGAGATCTTGCGATCTACCTGGCTTCGTTACAGGAACAGTTTCCCCTCCTCAGCAGCGTTTGTCCAAAATTCTGAGTTGGAAAATCGATCCATCTGCATTCAGTCTTTTCTTGGTACCTCGGAGGCTGCCGTTAAGGATCGCTTCTGCTGTTCAAGCTTCTCTCTTTCTCTTTTGATGACGCGCTGGTCTTCCAGGTAGGTTGTGACAGGAGATGACGAAGAAGAAAAAGAAAGAAGTGGATAGCTACATAGCATTAACCCGAGAATCCATCGTTCCGCCCGTCTGTACTTCTCGTTATCGCGCACGGACCCGATTCTCCCGCCGCCGAGGAAATTCTTCCTTCGTCTCTCTCTCTCTTCTCTCTCTCGCCAACTCCCCCACCCCAACCCTCCAAACATGGCGCCGTCGACCTGTTTTCACTGCCACCAGGCCCGCGCAGTCATTATCCGACCCAAGAACCGTTACAAGCTTTGCCGCGCATGCTTTCTCCAGATCTTCGAGACCGAAGTCCACGAAACAATCACTGGCGCCCGCCTCTTCTACCCCGGCGAGCGCGTCGCAATCGGTGCTAGCGGCGGCAAGGATAGCACCGTGCTCGCGGCTGTCCTGAAGACACTCAACGAGCGATACAACTACGGGCTGGATCTGTGTCTTTTATCGATCGACGAGGGTATCCGCGGCTACCGTGACGACAGCCTAGAAACCGTCAAGCGCAACGCGGTGCAATATGACATGCCGCTTGAAATAGTGGGGTACGGCGAGTTGTACGGATGGACGATGGACCAGGTGGTGGAACAAATCGGCAAGAAGGGCAACTGCACGTACTGTGGTGTGTTTCGGCGACAGGCGCTCGACCGGGGCGCGGCGCGCTTGGCGATCAAACATGTTGTCACCGGGCACAATGCGGATGATGTTGCGGAGACAGTTATGATGAATCTGTTGCGGGGGGACGTGCCGCGCTTGTCTCGAGGGACTAATATCGTCACTGATTCGGACGCTTCGGAGATCAAGCGCAGCAAGCCGCTCAAGTATGCATATGAGAAGGAGATTGTGCTATACGCGCATCATCGCCAGCTGGACTACTTCAGCACCGAGTGCATATATTCTCCGGAGGCGTTTCGGGGTAGTGCACGCACTCTGATCAAAGACCTGGAGAAGATCCGCCCCAGTTCAATTCTGGATATTGTCAAGAGCGGCGAGGACATGGCAGCACTTGTTCCACAGGAACGGTCCCAGAGTGGTAAATCAAGACAGGCAGCTGCAGCGGTAGAGGATGAGTCGGTGGGTGGCTGCGGAAGCCAGAACGGGCGATCCGGCGGCGGCGAGATGGCAGCGATGGAGAAGCAGCTGGCAGCCAACGACGTCGCCGAGTCGCACGAGACAGAAGTCGGACTTCCAGCCAATTCGTTTCGACCGACAGGCAAGCAGGTCAAGGTGCAGACTATGGGCTATTGCGAGAAATGTGGCTACATCTCTAGCAACCGGGTCTGCAAGGCCTGCTCGCTTCTGGAGGGTCTCAATCGGAACCGACCCAAAACTGCTATTGAGGTCAGCGTGGGCATAGAAGACGAGGAAAGCAGCACGACCTTAATGCGGCAGATGGAGCGCACTCATTTGACGAATAGCTGAGGTACCTCATCGGGCCATTCATGGCCGAGTACCCTTTCCCTTCCGAAGATGCAAAAAGCATCACGAAATCTGTACTGCCAGTGAGCATTCACTTCTAACCACCTAAGGCACTGCTGTTACCACCGCAACCTGGAAACCGCCCAGCGAAGACCAGTCGCAGCAGCATCTACACCTGCATTCCAAGGCTTCGTCGAACTTAACCGCCCTGTATGATTGTCACGAGTCCCTTTAAACAGACAACAAAACCACCGGGTTGGGTGACCAGTGTTCGAGTCGAGTCTCCTCGAAAGTGAGACCATGCAAATACCAAAGAGATACCAATTGGCCAAACAAGGACCATCCGAATTCAATTCCATCTTTGTACAAAACAAACAGCCCAGATCCTAGTATACATGAACATAGACCTATATTCAAGAGAAACGCCCATCCCATGGCCTCAAGTCATGGAATATATATGCATCCACCACAACCACCGCCAACAACACTGACAACAACCACTTTCTGTATTTCTCTTGTCCCCATCCATGTCAAAATCCCCAGAACAAAATCAAACCCCGGCTATCCACTTCGATATAACCAACAGTACTCCCATCCAGGCAGTCCATAACTGCAACCTACTCCTGCGTCCCCTTCACCACCGGCAAATCAAAGCCCACCCTCCTAGCCGTCAATCTAACCCTCTCCTCCTCATCCATGTCCATGCCGGGATTATACCGCTCCAGCAGCGCTGCATAGGCGCGCTGTGCGCGAGCGTACTGGGCTAGTTGCTCCGCTTCTTGGATGCGAAGAGCGCGTTCTTCTATTGTGGATGGTGTTGAGAAGGGGAGCGTGGATGTTGGTTCTGCTTGTGCTGATTGTGTTGGTATTGATGTTGATTGAGGGAGTGGTGATGGGGTTGAAGGGGTTGTGGTTTCTGCGCGGAAGAGCTGGCGGAGACGTTGATGTAGCGGGGATGGGGTGGAGAGATGCCGGCGTGGGAGTTCGCGGAGGAGGGCGCGGTAAACGGTGCGGGTTTGGAGGGTGAGTGGTTCAGTCATTATGGTTTTGCTTTGGAAGCAAAGAGAGGTACAAAGATGAAGCTGAATGAATGGACGGGTTGTTGCTGGAAAAGTCGGAGCTTCGTCATCACGTGATCGATGGAGGTATGCGGTCCGGATCCTGGCCTGAACAGAGAAGGTACGAGTACATAGCGTTTATTATTTACCGAGTAAAAAGTAGGTAAAGAGGTATATACCAGGGGGTAGAGATTCCGATCTACACCACGGGGCCGGTGACACTCCCGCCGCCAGGAACGGACGTGCTCACTCTATGTACAAAACATCGTCGCGGCCTCATCAATCAAAATGCATGCGCCGCTCCAAGCGTCATGTCACGTCACAGCACAGCTCACGTACCTTCATCGACGCGCAGTAAATGAATAAAAAACAAGAGGCAATATATATCAATCATAGAGGGGCATGTCGACGTGAGGGGGAGCATGATGGGAAGGAAAGAAGGGAGAGGGAAAATGTGATTTTGTATAGGGAACAGACCCAGGGGACAGGGGTGGGGTATGGTTATCATGAACGTAACCAGCCGAATTTTCTGCGCGGTGCCTCACCGCCGGTCGATGGCTCGAGATACAAACTGCGGCTGTACAAGTCCTGACAGGGTCAGGTCAGCCAAAAGGGCAATCAATCACTAGCACAAGAACTGGGCTCGCTCACCTCTTCATCGCCAGAGAACTTCGAATTCAAAATCAACCGCTCAACGTCATCATACCGGTGAGCCTGCGGGTGAGGCGTCTTCTGGCTTCGCTGGATCCCCAGCACGACCTCGCCCATGACCTCGAATTTCTTCCAGTTAATCCGAGACCGATTCTCGCCGACGAAGGTCTTGTTTCCTTCCTCGGCAGAAACCAGGTCACGGCGGTGTAGTGGCAAGAATGGGATACGCTCTGTGAAGGAGTTCTCCCATGCAAGACGGTAGGCAAAGTGACTGCGCTGGGTGCTCATGAGGATGACCAGCCGCATGAACTCCTTTTGCGTGTGGGCAGGGATCAGATCCCGGGTTTGGTTCAGGCGGTGGACAGGGGTGCCGTTGATGGCGGCAATGACGGCACCCAGTGAGTTGTAATTATTTTGGCGGCGGAGTTTCTGGATTACTGTCAGCAATGATCTAAAACTAAATGGATCAAAACTTACCGCCGCGATCAGCATGAACTTTTCCAAAGCCTTGGCCCGATGCTTCGGCTTGTCGCGTAAGAGAATCATGCTCGCCACGAAGAAAGCGAGGTGGTTGAACTGCTTGATCATCCGGTTGACATTCTTCAAACTCTTGATTTTCTCCTTATCCACGCCGGAGATGCTCACATGGCGGACGAGATCGCGTGGCCGGAACGAGTTGTACATGATCCAATCGATACGCGTTAGTTCCCGTGCGAACTCTTCCTCCGGTGTCTCCATAAAATACCGCCACTGAATCTTGGTCAGAAGAGTACGAGGCGTAAGCTCCAGACGCGCAGCTTCTTTCTGAGCAGCCTCAGTTGTCAACATGGTAAACGACAGATTGAGGGTACTGCTGGGCTTCTCCGGATTGGAAGATAGGGAAACGCTTGCGGAAAGCCGGGAAGTCGAGTCATGCGGCCCATCGCTGAGATCGAGTGCGCTCATGCTGTAGATAGGATCCTCCTCTTCCTCCTCCTCGTCGTCGTAGGCAGAAGTGAGGAACGGAACCGGCGAGCTTCGACCAGAATTGTGGAAGAATGTCTCTGTATGGCCGTTGTCCTCGACGTCGCCATCCGAAAAGGCCCAGCTAGCTTCGTCATCCTCGGCATTCAAGTCTAGATACGATCCGATCTCCTTGGCGGCGAACATGTAGAAATGGCTCTTCTCAAGGGTTGCCACGAACTCGCCGATGCGTTTGCGTGTCTTGGGGTAGGCAAAGTCCCCAGGATATTCAGACACCCACTGAGCAACGACATTCAACAGCCTCAGCTGATCGGCAATGCGGGCAAGCTGGTCGGTAGTATTTGTCTCGTTCCGGTCAAAACGAGTGATCAACGCTCCCAGCAAACTTGCAGGTGCTGCAAACTTTCGGTATAGGCACAGGAATATTGACTGGAACTTGTTATCATTCTTCGACATGGGCATGGCAACCAGACGGTCCACCAGCTCATCAAATGATAGCCCTGATTCGGCACTCGAGTTGCTCTCGCTGCTAGGCTTCGTTCGAATCACCCCACCAGGACTGGTGGGGCGGCTCTGCCCGTCTTCCAATTCCTCGTCCATGTTCAAGAAGCTGCTGAAGGCGTCCAAGCCAACGCTATCACGCCAGGCTGTATGCATTCGCTGCTGGCGGTTTTGGTCTCGGTTGGGCGAGTCGCTCGTGGCGGACGGTCGGCGTGGGTTCAGGCGAGGCGCAGAGGGAGGCGTCTGCGGTCGCACAGGTTGGGAATTGCTCCGAGCATATCGCGAGGAGCTAGACGGACGGGCGGTCGTTTGGTGAGCCAGGTTGGAGGAGGATGTCTGGTCGGTGGGCCGACGGTTCCCGCCGTCCCCATCCACTGTCCGATCCACGGCCGTCGTTGTTGAGCCGCCAGCGGCTCCGGTCAAGGCAGTAGGGTTCTCGGACTTGGCGCGGGCGTGGTGCCTGTCGGTGGTGGATTGGCGAGTCGAGTCGGGAGATTTCTGGGGGGAGTATGACGGAGGAGGAATCGAACTTTTAGGTTGGGCGGACAAGTCTGGCACAGAAAGGCTGTCAGATTCGAGTCCCTAGTGTCTTTTTTTGGGGGGAGGGGGGGTCTGCGCTGTCGATCGGTGGATGACAAGAACAAAAAGGACCGCTAACGCCGCTAGTGGCTCGCCAGAGGCCCAAGCTCACCACAATCGGATTGAACCAGACAAAGAAACGGGCACTCACCTTCTCGGTGCGCAATGATGGTCCGCAGCACCAGTGCAATACACATCCGCTGCGACCGCGGCGATTCGGGAGATGTGCGGCGGATCTCGTAGCGCCCATGGAGCGGCTCCAGCTTGCTGTCGTCAGTGATTAAATCGCATTTGCATGCCACCAGCAGGAACGGTAGCGCCGCGGCATCCAGGGAGTCTGTTAACAGTTAGTGAATCTTATGTCTGAGCAGACGCCTGGGATCGACGCACCCAGTAGATTGGTCATCTCTTCCAGCTTCTCCGGCTCCGTGGCATCATGGAGCACCAGAGCCCCGTCAATTCTGGGCGAAGATTTGGGCCATAAAATGTTCTTCTTGCTGCCCAGCCGGACCTCCTTCAGATCCACCTCGAGCATGCGCACGATGTAGACCGACCCATCCAGCGACATCTTCTTCTTGCTGGAATTTGCGGCGGGCGTCGTCTTCAAGTCCAAGGCGCGACGAATGAAGCTGCTCTTGCCCGCATTCTCCTCACCAACCACCGCAATGGTGACTTCGGGGAACCCGACTTTGGCCGATTCCTGTCGTAGGTTAGAAACGCCCGTCATTCTCACGGTGGGGTGGTTTTCTGCCATACCTCGTCGCCCTTACTCGGAGCCGGCGTGGACTTGGCAGGGACGGGGGGTCGCTCATCCTCCTCAACGAGGGGCTGATCGGATCTCGAGCCCTTCCGCCCGGGGTCGGGTTTGTGGGAACCACTCGAGGAGGCAGACGAGGTGCGAGGGATGCCCGGTGGAGGGGAGGTGGGCGTCTTCTGGCCCTTGTCGGTGGACGCTCCGTGAGATTGAGACGAGGCCATAACGAGGGGCAGACGCGCAGGCGAATACGAATTATTGCGAGCACCAGCAACACAGCGCTGGACCCATTATTCTTGTCGGACAGAGTAGACAGACCATGTAGGGAACGGGGTCAGAACGAAAGAGAGAAGACGAAGAAGGCGGTCGATCGAGAAGCAGGAGATGTCAGGTGCAAACAGGAGGCCCAAGGGTGGCTGATTAACTTCCCTTGGTTAACTAACGGAGTTAGTGTCAAGTGTATCTACTTCTTCGCTGGGATTTGGCCCCAGACGCGCTATCTCATTCGTCTCCATGAATTTTTTTTGATCCGTATTCATTTACTATTCATTACTGGGATTAGTTCATTCGGTCGCGTTCCTCTCCTTGGTGACCAGCGCCAAAAATTGCATAAAACCCTCCGCCCCCGGCCCCGTCTCCAGCCCTGCCTCACAGCGCTGTCGCAGCTGACGCACCTTGCCCAGACCGCGATTGAATCCCTTGTCGGCCGTCCACGGGCCTCTGCTGCGGCGAGCAGAGCCTCCTCGGCCACGGCCGCGTCCGGCGGGGGGATTCCATTCGACCCATTCTTCTTCTAGTGTGGTCTGGTATGTATCTTGCAACTGACCGCGAAGCTGCGGGCAGCGCTGCACCAGCTCTTTCAGCTCGGGTGATGCCGCGATGGCGGCCGGGGTGGCTACGCGCTTTTTCTGGTCGGGGGGAGTGTCGCCGTTGGCATCCCTAGGCAGCTGTGTTATAGGTGGAGGGTCCTCGTGCGACAGGCTCGTCTTGGGCGCACAGTATATCTTATGGGACTGGGTGCAGGCCAGCGAACAACTGCCTCAATGAGTTAGTGAGCCGGTTCGACGATGGGAACAAGAACCGAATTACCTCATGAGCCCGCATGTGGGACAGCGATACTTGGCTGCTTCTGACGAACAGACCTCACAGGTCCCCATCGTGTAGTGTGCCGGTTCAAAGGGGGAGCGAGAACGGTGCCAACGAGAAAATTGTCGATGCCTGAGGCTGGAAGAGCCGCACTTGCCTGTTGCAGTACATCACGTGATTGTCGGACCGACCCCTTCTCTTTGGGGATTTTTTTTTTGGGGGGGGGGGGAATTGCGCGGTCTCGAAAGGAAGGAAGTGATTAGCCTAGATCCTATACTGCCACGGTCCGGATTCAATGAATCAATCTAATATGCCTTCATCGGAATAGGAGATGGGCGGATCCTGATTTATCAGCTCTCGGTCAGGTGACCCTCGAGATTGCGTCAGAGCCCTTTTTTCTCCGCCGAGGATGTTTTCCAACGCTACCATCTCGCAATCAAAATGTCCCTGGGCACTGCATCAACCGCCATGCTGCGCCGCACACTCTTCGGTGTGCGCCGAGCCACATCCACCACGGAGTCCTGCACCCGCACCATCAAACCCGCAGCATTCGGCGCCGCTCGCAGCATCGCCAGCACCACCCGCCTTCCAACACTGACAGCCTCGGAGACTCGTCGACGCCCGACCCTCCGACTACACCAGCAGCGGGCGTCACAATCGCCCGTGTCTCCGAGCAGCAAGCGGACGATCTTCATCCAGACCGAAAACACGCCCAACCCCGATGTACGTCTGATGGACCGCTCTGGACCGACCGTTCGGCACCGCAATGAAGAATTCAGCTGATTGATCACCGCTTCTGCAGGCTCTCAAATTCATCCCCAATCACCGCGTCCTGCCCGAAGACTTCCCCACCACTTTCCTGGAGTATCTCTCCCCGCGCGCAACGCTCGCTCCGCCGCACCCATCCCCGCTGGCCGCTAAGCTCCTCGACGTCGACGGCGTCACGTCCGTCTTCTACGGCGCGGACTTTATCACCGTCACCAAGGCCAGCGATGCGCAATGGGCGCATATCAAACCCGAGGTATTCAGCATCATCACGCAGGCCGTGACGTCGGGCGAGACGATCGTCGCCACGGTAGAGAATGTCGGCGCCGAGAGCGCGCAGGAGGGCGGGGGTGAGGACTCGCTGGTTTACAATGAGGAGGATGATGAGGTCGTGGGCATGATTAAGGAGTTGCTGGAGACGCGGATTCGGCCGGCGATCCAGGAAGATGGCGGGGACATCGAGCTGCGCGGGTTCGAGAATGGAATTGTGATGCTGAAGCTCCGAGGCGCGTGTCGGACGTGCGACTCGAGTACGGTGACGCTGAAGAATGGGATTGAGTCGATGCTGATGCATTATGTGAGTTCTTTTTGGCCCCCTCGCCTGGGTGGGTGCTGACTACGGGTAGATTGAGGAGGTGAAGGGTGTGGAGCAGGTCATGGACCAAGAGGAGGAGATCAGCATGCATGAGTTTGCCCGGTTTGAGGAGAAGCTCCGGCAGCAGAAGGGTGCTGGGGCGACGGCCAGTAGCCCGCTGGATAGTGCACCGCAGTAGTCTAGTTAGCGTCTGGATCCATCCGCCACAGCCACCAAGCGATCGTATACAGGCCGGATCATACCACCCACTTTCCAATCACCTCGATCCATTCTACACTCCCTTGTAGTCCTAACCAAACTCACTCCCCTCGCCGCCTCCTAGGATCTCCTCGGGTGCCTCCCTCCACCTACGTCAGCACTCTGGCCAACACAAACAACCGGATAGATTGGCCGAGCCGCGCGGGGAAAGACGACTCGACTTGCCCCGGAGGCTCGGGGGGTGGCATGATTCGCCTGTGCACCGTCCAGCTGTAACCGTGTGTGATCAACAAGCTCTCCCCGCAACATCAATCCGGGGTAAGTCTAGAATGGTCCCATAGGCCAGTCAGCGCTAACACTAGTGACGACCTCGCTAAAGCAGAGACTGTCCCACCTGAGCTTCGGGGCAACGTTGCCAGATCCGTTTCTCGCTGTCCATCCACCCCCGCCCTTTCTGACTGACCTTCTTCTGCTCTGCTTCATCCTCCCCTGACGATTCCTCCCCTCTCCTTCCCATCTCATCTACTTCTCCCCCTCCCCCTCCCCTATTCAACAATGCGCCCTTAACGGGTCGTCGGTCTCGACTCCACAACGTCATCCATAGTCACGCCACCACTACTGCAACCTCGCGCGCATTCCGGCACGCGACCGCCCCGAACCAAAAAAGAACCTCTTGCCGACCGACGGCGATTCCTCTCTCAACCACGAGCAGGTGTTTCGCGACCATCCCCACGCGACACTCCCCTTCGTCGTGCGAAATACGGGCCTGCTCAACCTCTCCCGGCTGCCAGAGCGAAGACCGACCAGAAGAAGCCTGGCCGCTTCAGTCCAACCAACCTCCAAAAAAAGAGAGTGGGATATTTTTTGTTACGAGACCCACGAAGAGCCCCAGCTGGTTTCCCCATAGATCTGGCCCGAGAAAAGAAAAAAAGAGAAAGACCCTTTAGAGTGGTGAGTTGGACGGGTGGCGCGCATTGTTCCCTTCTCTCTGCCCCCCCCGCAATACGGGGTTGCGACGGTCGCTGACTGGAACACCACTCATCTCCAACGCACACAGACACGATTACGATCCCCTCCCTTTTTGTCGCATTCCGTTCTTCGGTTTCTTCGGGTGAGATCCACTCCAAAATACCATCACCTCGGGGGCGATAGTCGCGTGAGGGACACCCTGAAGAATCCCATCCGGTACGTGTGCAGACTGCTGGGCTGAGCTCCCATGCAGCAACCCTTTTTGATTTTTCCCTCTCTCTCGCTCGCATCTTATCGCTCCCTATTGTATCCCCGAATTCCCCGAGCTCTTATCAGTTGGCTGGAGCTTGCGATATGTGGTCTCCCCACTTTTGCCACTGGCAGAGCTCGGCCACTCCAACATGTTGCGTGCTGCCCTGTGGTGTCGGTCGAACTGCAAGAAATTATCCGATTGTTGTGACTGACGGTTGCTCCGTGGAACATAGTGCATACCACCTCCCTCCCTCCCTCAGGTCTTGGAGAGACTGAGCTGGTTTCTCTGTCTCTTTTCTTTACCGCGTGGACACCAAAAGACTGGAGCTTTGTCGCGTGTGCACGTTCTTGTCTTCCCGAATCCGTTCTATCTATCCTTGTCCTACAGAGATCTCGGAGGTGAGCATAGCTCTGTCCGGAAACATTCGCAGAGGTTTCTAACCACGACCAGTTCCACCATGGCCGCGCCATCGAATAAGCTGGCCTCGGCCCAGTCAAACACGCCACCTGCACCGGGTGCAACAGCTGTCAGGCTGGAGAAGAGTCACCCGGGTGTGCGCCGCTCGACCCCAGACTCGGAAGCGCTGGCCTCATCTGATGATGACGGGGACCATATCGCTCCCACCCAAACCACCGCCCCTCAGACTAAGCCTGTGCGGCGCCCCTCTTGGTTAAACGAGGTGCCACTGGGCGCTCAGCGAAAGCCATCTCTCCCCGGAGGCCCGCTTGCTGCGGGGCCATCCAACCCTGCCAGCCCTTCTGGCGACCAAGCGCCGTGGGCGACCAACCCGAGTCCTGGGCTGAGCGGCGGCTCATTCAACTGGAATCAAGCGGGCAGCAGCTCATTTCCCTGGGGAACCGGTATCTGGAACACCGAGTCCCGCAAGGAACCACCGTCTCGTCTGTCGGAGATTGTGCCGTCGCCAACGATGACCAACCCTCCACCCTCAAGTGGGACCCTAGCAGATGACATGCTGAGTCCAGTGACGCGCACTATCTCCGGTGAATCGGCAATCCCATTCTCGATTCCGCTTCATCCTACTCCCAAGACCTATCGCTCCCAATCCTATTCTGTCGGTCAGATGGACCCAGAGTTGCTGGGGTTAATGGCCAGCAAGGCAGGGACTGGCGCTCCGTATGCGGGTGGCCGCTCTCGTGGACCAGGTCAAATGTCTGCTGTTCAGCCCCGCTCCGCGCGACCCAGTGTTCTCGGTGAACTAGGTCATGACCCAGCAATGCTCGGCCAGCTACGAGAAGACGAAGACGGCGATGATGATGACAACGGCGCGGACGATGGCAATTACTCGGCAAGCCAGGCGCGCACAATTGAACAGCTTGCGCGCGAGAATGCCATGTTACGACAAGCTGCAGCAGGTCAAATGGACAGCCGATTCCGGGACCGGGCTTCTTCGTCTGCCTCCGTCTCCGGGGCCGCGCATGCCTTGCATCGCATTCATGGCAGTGTTCCAGAGGAATCGGATCTTGCCGTTGAGGATATAGGAGAGCTGCGCGATATTCAAGGATATACCAACATGCGCAGCAACGCACGGAGACGGTTCTCGGAGCATTCAGCCAATCTGGAGCCGCAGTTTTCGTCGTTCGCTTCTCCCCTGGACAATCGTGCGCTGGACAATGTTCGCAAGGCTCATTGGCAGACGTCGCTGGGGTTTGGCAGTCTTGTCGATGTGCCTCAGAGCCGTCGCCATTCGTTTGCTGATATCCCGGTCCGGCACACATCAGCCGGCTCGGTCGATGCGCATGCCGGGGGTGCTCGATCGGGCATGGGAGATCGTGAGGAGAACTATGATTACTCTAACCCGTCCATGCAGCCACGTAAGTCTCAACGTCCATCTGGGCTTTCAGGTATGATGCTAACTTTGTCTTCGCAGAATCCTACTACCCACGTGAACAAACCTTGCGCGGTGATGGTTCATCAGGCATACCGGCTTCCCTGAATCAGTATGCTCTGTCAGGTGCCTATGGCCGTCAGCCAGGCTTGTCGCACGCCCACCAGAACCAACTTCTGTACATCGTAACATTCAAGTGCCACCGTGCGGATGTTTTTTATATCCAAGAAGACACAGGCCTACAGGTCAAAGTCGGCGATCTAGTAATTGTTGAGGCCGATCGAGGTACAGATTTGGGCACTGTCCAGCATGCGAACGTCTCTCTTCAGAAAGCGAGGGAGCTCAAACAGCAATATGCCGAGGAGCATTACAAGTGGCTCATGATGTTTTCTCGACAGGGGCAGCTCGAAGCGTCGAGTGTGGCAAATCCCACTGCAGGTATATCAGGGTTGGGTCGAAGTGCCACCGGAGGCATGGGTCCCCATGGTCCGCACGGTGTGCAGGAGCCTACTACCGACATCAAGCCCAAGCTTATCAAGCGCCTGGCGCAGAATCACGAGATTTTGACTCTGCGAGACAAGGAAGGAAACGAGGCGAAAGCCAAACGGGTCTGCCAGCAGAAGGTTGCCGAGCATCGACTCAACATGGAGATCCTCGATGCCGAGTTCCAAATGTAAGTTTCTTCTGTTATCTTCTGTCTTCTTAACACACAGCTAATTGGCTTTTTGTAGGGACTGGAAGAAACTCACCTTTTACTACTTCGCGGACTCATACATCAACTTCAACTCGCTCGTCACCGACCTCTTCAAGATCTACAAAACCCGCATCTGGATGTCAGCCATCAACCCAGCCTCCTTCGTCACCCCTCCAAGCGCGGGCCTCCAAGGTCCGCCTAGCGGGCTCAGCAACCCACTCTACAGCCAGGACGGACCGCCCACCGACCGCCGACACCAGCACGACGGCAGAGCCTATGCTGGCGCGCGCTCCGACGTGGATCCAGGCCGCGAGGGAATCTCCAATCCCATGATGCTGCGCAACAATTACTCCGAGCCGTACCAGCCATTCACGCAGTCTTCCCGCCAGTCAGAGGGTCAGTCCGACCCGTTTGCCACTTACTCGCCTACCAGCTACGGCCCCCTCGACACAGCAGGGTACGCCGACTTCCCTCCCGGCGGCGCTGCCTCGAATGGTGCGCCGCGCATGCATCCCACCCAGGGCGAATGGGTCAATCGCTTCCAGGGCCTATCACTCAATTCCTAAGTGGTCATCGATCGATTCTTGTTTCCATTTACTTATTTGACTCATTTGCTTACTTACTACTAAACCTTTGTACAATCTGCTTTTAGTCTGTTTTTGTTTCTGTTTCCTGTCTTGTTTTGTCTTGAGTTGCTTGTGCCTTTTGTTGCTATATGTTCCCTGGCGAAAGAAGATTCACACACGCGTTCCCTAGACTTGTTACGGTTCGATCCATACGCTCTCCCAGATGTTTTTGGTTTTATTTTCATGCTCATTTGATTTGACCTGATTTGATCCGTTTTGTTTTGATTTTTCCCAAAGAAATGGATGATGGATGGGATATGGGTGCCACTCTCTATCCAATTCCCGCAAGAACTGCAAGATTTGCAAGATTTGCAAGAATGCTTTTTATCTGTTCTGTTCGTGGACCTGTGGTCTGCTTTCTTCTTTTTGTCTTGTCCTTTTCCTTTTCCTTTTTGTTTCTTGTCAACCTCTCCGTGTACGAACGACTTCTTTAAAGATTAGAATTCATACCCCTGGGGTGCACACGGGACGGAGACCCGCAGTCGTTACCACCGCTTTCTTTCCTTTTCTGTTTTCTGTCTCTTAATAGATTGATGTTAAAGTTTGAGAACAGAATAAGAAGAAACCATTTTTGTTTCTAGTGAATAATGGGTCGAGATCTCTGTTGGAATGGGCACCAGACACAATGTTATGGTGAGACATACCCTTGATATCGTCTGTCTACTGCATCTATAAGCACGGTCTCCCTCTATATTTACAGTAGAATAAAGGTGAGACTATCTCATCATCCACTTTGAGAATGGACTTAATGGTCCTGAAGTCGAAAGGGCAAAAGAAGTAAATATACTACATAATGTATATGCCGAGCGTCATAGCCAGCTGTGTAGTTGGTTTGTATGTGAGATCTAGCACTTGCGCAGGCTGGGTACTAATCTTTTAGTATCCTCAAGGTTCTTCTCCTGACGGATATGGACTGGTGGCCTCTTGTTCTTCGGTCGCCATGCCTCTTGGCGAGCAGGACCTATAGCGCACAAAGAGGCGGGTGCCGTACCGGCTTCTTTAGCAGTTTCTTTTGTTGCCAGTGAGAAATCGAGATCCTTGAGATGTTCCGCTGATATGTTGGTAGCCGATCATCTATCGTGAAATACACCCAGACATCCAGAAATATACTCATCTCTGGCCTGCAGGCTATATAACCCTATCCCAATTAGCATTTCTTCCTACCAAACCCAGGGGGAAGAAGGAAGAAACACACCTCAAGCAAACTTATCATGCTTTCCCTTGACCCTAACATCCAACACCTCTTCATGAAAATTGCCCTCCTTCCTCGCCCTCCTCAACCGTTTCACATCTCCATCATCAAGTTTCCTCCCCACAATCCCCTCCAACTCCTTGCGGCTAATCTTTTCATAGGCCTTGGACTCCTTCGACGCGCGGAGCTTCGGCTTAAACCGTGCCTGCATCCGAATGCGCACCGTCGTGTCGAACGAAAGTGCGTTCGCGTCCCCGCGGATCTCGACGCCTTTCGCGGACTCTTTCACGCTGAGAAATGTCTCCGAATCACCGCCGCGCGTTTGCACTGAGAATGTCCCGGGCAGGTCTGGTGATGGGATCGCGAGGAAGGACTCGTAGTGCGATACTGCTGATGCGGTGGCGCTTAGGATACCGTAATTGTCACTGCTGAGGTATCTGCCAGCCACCCTACTCGTCAGTGGATGTTATGGTGTGGTACTACTCCAATGGAGTGGGAAGGGGGAAACGCACTTCCCATGATGCCCCTTGAAACTAAAACTCTCCGTCCCCGCCACGCGCGTCGCAACCCATACCTGGCGCACATCATGCGGCTCCGCCGTGCCGGGGTCATCCGCAATGAGATTCTCCAGCGCGCTCGCGAAAACGGTTCCGTTCGCGTCGCTGGCGATGCAGGTGGGTTTGTCTGACGCGAGGACTAGCACGACCGGGCCGGCGATATCGCTCGGTGCGTCGGCGGAGACCCAGCTCTGGTCTTCGGGCTCGTCGTTCTCAGCGGTGGTCTTGGCGGGTGCAGCGGAGGAGGGGGAGTCATCGGTTTTGAGAGTTTTGGAGGATGATTTGTCTGGGTCGGAGAGGTCGCGGTGTTTGCGTTTTTTGGGCTTGTCGCCTTTGAAGGTCAGGGGTTTGACCATTGTGGTGGTGATGTGATGTGGTTGGTGGGAGGTGAAGAATGGAGTTGGAAGTGGAAGTGGAGAGATATCCAACTAAGTCAGCAGTTGAATAATTAACCAACTAACTACTACGGAGCATTGGTATTAGACGGTTAGCAATGCTAGGTCAACTCGAGAATAATGCGGCCATAATTCTAGTTACTTAGGTCAACGGCCCACCTACCTTGGTGGCTGCCCGAAAGGTCCTCATTTGCACCCATATACGTAAAAGGGCAATGTTCAAGGAAATCGATTATTTCTATTAATCAAAATCCTATGTGTCCAAATATCCTATGCACTCGCTCATCTCATAACTCACCATGTTTAACCGGCCTAGTCGAAGGTGATGGCAGCCTTGATGGCGCTCTTGTTTCGCATCGACTCCAGGCACTCGGCCCACTGCTCAATCTTGAACACCTTGTTGACAATACCGTTGACCTTGACCTTGCCGGAGTCCAGATAGTCGATAGCAGCGGGGAACTTGTACGTCTCGGAGAAGCTGCCGATAATGTTGATTTCGTCACCAACTGCGCAATAATCAGCAATTGAACGACACCTGCAAGAAGTAGAAAACTTACAGATCTTGGCCGGAGGCCACGAGACGCGGTCCTTGTTCGCGTACACGCCGTACACGACCAGCTTGCCGCCACGACGAACATAGTTGATCGAGTCCTCGAGGATCTTGAGGTTACCGGTAGCCTCGATAACGATATCGAAGCCGTACGGGTTCTCGGCCTTGAGTTTGTCGAACTGCGCCTGAGGATCCTGGCGTGATAGCTCAACATACACATCGCCAGCACCAAGGTTCTTCGCAAGCTCCATCTTCAGACCTTGCGGCGCAGCCACCACGACATGGCAGCCACCGCACTGGCGGAGCATCTGCGCGAGAACCAAACCGGTAGGTCCAGCACCGAAGATGAGCACGGACGAGCCCATCTTCGGCGCGATCTTGTCGAGACCGTGCGCTGCGCATGAGGCCGGCTCCAGCAGCGTCGCATCCACATCGGACAGGTTCTTGATCTTGAACACCCGGCCGGCGGGGTAGGCGCAGTACTCGGCGAAACCGCCGTTCATTGTCACGCCGTGGGCCTGAAAGTTCTCGCAGAATAGCTCGTCACCGCGGCGGCAGTAGAAGCAGGTGCCGCACAGCTCAGAGTTGTCGGCGACTACACGCTCGCCAACTTCGAAGCCCTTCACCTTGGGACCCACGGCTGCGACTACGCCGACAGTCTCATGACCGGGAATCAGGGGGAACTTGCGGAATTGTCAGCTGTCTGTCACAGCAGTAGGACTGGATACATACCTGGGCGATGAATTCACCCTCGTGGATGTGCAGGTCAGTGCCGCAGACACCGCAGGCCTTGACCTTGATCTATAATGCCACCACAGTCAGCTAACAGATTTCACAAGGTATGCTGCGGTCATACCAAAATATCGTTCTCGCGCAGCTCGGGTACAGGAACCTCGACGATGCCATAGTGCTCTGGCTTCGAGTATCTATAGCAGGTGGTCAGTATACTTTCAACATAGGGCAAGTCAGGTAAGGTAGGGACTAACAGGAGAGCGCGCATAGTCTTGGGGATAGCCATGATGGAAGATTGAGTCTAATTCAACCGGATGCAGAGGAAGAAAATACGGGGTTCAAGAGGGAAAGAGGGGCATTATATACCCGCGGCCAAGGAGGGGCCACCGCAACGCCATCATCTGCTTCACTATTCCCTCTTACCTGGCTACTTCTCACCATGAAGTCACAGCCTCAAGTGGGCCTGGATCGGCATTGACGGGATTCTTGCTCCTGTATCGACTCCACTATCGTCTCTCCCAACATCTGCCACTGCTGCTCGTGGCCGCTGTTTGCGCATTGGTCCGACAGAGGGCCGCCTGCACGCTCTTTTGGAGAATTGCTAATCATAATCAAATCAATTGGAACAGTTATTTCATGTCAAACCCAGTCGGATTCAATTCGGTGAACCGAAAGGGGGAACGTTGTTGTTTTGCGCATGACTTCATTTGCGCCTCCCGACGGCCCCGCCCTAAAACCGGGCCATGCTGAAGAACATCAATATGAACAACCAGGTGCACTTGTAATTAATTTTTGCAGCCCATCCTAATTTCTCACCAAAAAATATTCGCGCCACCTGACTTCCCCCAAAAATACCAATGCAGGAAACTCGTGTTGCTCCTAACCCAGATCTAAACTGACTGCCTCCTCCATCTCATCTCATCTCACCTCTAGCTCCACCAGGAAAAAACAAAGATAGCCACGGCGGCGCCTGAAACTGAATACGCGGACCAGCTCTGGCCATAGCTTATTTTTTTTTTTTTTTACCAATTCGTTTTTTATCAATTCGACTGCCTAGCGAATTGGCGCGATCTGGGCTCCCTGAGCGCTGCGGCGGGGGACGCGGCCGATTTGGACGCCAGCTGCAGGACGATGTGTTCAAAGTTTGTTCCCAGAATCAACTGGCACGCTGCGACACGGGTGGTTGTGACTCGTAGCAGTTGAATGGATCAGACCGGACTGGAATTTGGTGGAGGTCAGTTGAGTTTGAATTGACAGCGTTGGGATTAAGCCTCTGCTAATCGATCTTTGGGACTCATTTCTCAATCGGGAATTGTTAGACTAGACGTTGGGCGGTTCCAGGCTTGAGCTGTATAGTTGCTTAGCTTCGCATTCCACGGACTGGCCCGACATAACCCATTAATGTAGTGGCATCGTCCAGCTCTTGCTTCCACAACAGGCAAGAAATATTTTAAATTTCGATCTATAACCCTAAATATTAGGTAAAATATTTGCTACCTCTAATAGAAGGATGAACAGGTCCAAAATAGTCAAAAGAGTTGTATAGTTCTGATCTTTGTTTATAAGCTAGAAAGCGGGCCCGGGTAGTCTACTGCGCCATGGTGCGCTCCGGTCAGTCCGCGGAAGGTCCGTGAAGTCAACCGTGCCCCTAATTCTCCGGTGTGTCTTGGGGGTCGTTCAGAGCCTCGTCTCTTAGACCAACGTAATCTGAGGTAAGACTTTAAAAGAACAACCACCCACTTCCCTTCTTTGATTTCTTTCTTCTACTTCTCCCTCAAAACCTCGATCCATTCATATCCCCAAATGAGCTCATTCCTCACCCAACTCGGCCTCCGCGCCGCACCCGCCACAGCCTCAATCTCAAACTACGGCCCCGCCTTCCTGGGATTCAACTTCATCTTCGCCTATGGCCTCCTCTCCAGCCGCACGCTGAAACAAATTTACGGAATCGACCACCAGGAATCACCGCGCGAGGACCTGTCTAAATACGGCGAAGCCGCCGTGCGCGAGGGCAAGATCACCCGCGCGCAGCTGGACATGCTGAAGCGCAACGAGGCGGCGCATGCGAACGCTGTGGAGAATTTCACGCTGCTGGTTGCTAGTGTGCTTTTTGCGTCGCATGCTGGAGTCCCGGCGCAGACTATTAATGCTGCTGCGGCGTCGTATACCATGGCACGGACTGTTTATGGGGCGGTTTATATTCTTGTTGGACATCCACGATGGAGTCAGGTTCGGGGACTTGTGTGGTGGTGGGGGAATATGAGCTGCTTGTTTTTGTTGTGGAGGGCGGGACGGTTGCTTGCTGCTTAGGTAGGACGACGATCGAATTTGTAGCAATAGTAATAATACATTATCATCGCCACTCAGTCGGGTTTATAGGAATACATCCCCAGGAATATAAGTTGCGATAAGTTCTCATTGTAGAAGGTTAATTCCTGGTCTGCCTGGAAACCCACGGCATGCACCACACGATGTCAACCCCAAGCACCATATCCATTCCTATGTATTTATAGAAATACTAGCAGAGCCATCACTTTAGACAAAAAAATGGTAACCATGGACGCCGAGCCAGCCCATTCGTGTCATCGTAAAAGTGTCCTCCGCCAGAATATTCGAAACCAGCAGGACTGGAGACATTATTCTTCATCCCAGGCTTCCAATTCCGCCTTTTCATATTCATTCATGGTTGCTGTGTCGAAAATCGTCTCCCCAGCAGTAGGGATAGTGGTTTTGATGTCTTCAAAGATAGGTCGGAAAGCATCACCCCAGCGCTTGCGCCGGTCCATCACGATCTTTGCGGCGTCTCCGACAGCGGGGCGAGAAATGCCCGCGCTGGCAATGTGGCTACCTCCACCGGCACCACCCGGGCGGTGCTTTGCCTGGGAGCCCTTCTTGCTCTTGCCCATGGTGCGGGTACGTTTGAGATAGGCCTGCTGGACTTGGGAGTCAAGGTCGTCCTGGATGGTAGTGAATTCCAGAAGCGCCATGTGCTCCTGCGCGATCTTCAGGATGCGGGCCTTGCGCGCGTTGTTGGTAATGATCTGTTTCTTGAGCTCGTTCTGAAGGAGACGGAGGCGCTCGGCAACTTCGTCGTCGTAATGTGCGTCGTAGTCCGGGTTGTCATCTGCACCCAAGAACCCAATGTATCGTAGCTCGGCTTTTGCGCGCTCATCCAGTTGGGCGTGGTCGAGCTTGGCCACGGATGTTTTGAACCCATTCGGGTCGGCGTCCCGGAAGGCTGTTGCCGGAGGGTGCGGCTTGCTCTCGGTCTTGGTCTCTAGCTCTCCGTTCGTGCCATCAATATCCATCGCATCACCCCCCAGGCCGCCTGCTCCGGAGGTGTCGCCATTAGAGGTAGGATTGTCGTCCGGCAGAGTGCGATGCTCGTACCGGAGGAGGGAGCATAGTCGACTGAGTAATGGCCCGATCGAGACTTCGTTGGTTTCCGCCTTATCGTCCGTCAGTTGCTCAATGCTGCCACGTCCTTGGTTTAGAGGTAGCTGGTCCTTGTCGTCTTGGCTTTGGTCATAAGAAAGTCCGTCTTCCTCGGACCAGATCTGACGGTAGTTCTTCTTTCCCCGACGCGGATTTATAAAAGGGGTCACGCGATCGCCCTGTGTCCAATTAGTATCCTGCGCTGCACCAATGTAAGCGGCGCATCTTACCCTCTCTCTGAGCCAAGCAATGTCTTCTTCGGTAAGAGGCCGAACGTAAGGATCAATGTATGCCTGGAACGTATTGGCGCTGACCTGGTTGGAAGGTTTGGCGTTGCTGAAGTCCTTGTCCGGAGGCGTACCCGCCATCAAGTCCTTGAGATCAGTTTTAGGGAAGCGAGCCACACTGTAAATCTCTTTTTTCTCGTCGTCGGTCATATCTGGTAGGACATCACGGATATGGTAAACAGTCGGATCATCGAATTTCAATGGATTTGCTCCAAAGACTTGCACCTGGGGTACTGCCGGTGTGGGTTCAGGCTGGTGGGATTCGGCGGCGGACTCGGAGCCGGGAGAGCCAGGTCCGGTAGCACCTTCATCTTTCATAGTTGCGCCGTTCGGTGACATGGATGGTGGCGACAGAGATGAACTGCCTTCGGAGGCTGCATTTTTAGAGTGTTTCGAAACTGGGGAAGCAGCTGGAAGTTGTCAATTATTTTTGAGGTCCGAGAACACTTGGGGTGTTGACGCATCACTCACCTCCCTCGACCTTCGTCTCAGCTCCATCCTGCCGAGCGACATCATGCGCGCCGTGGCTCAACGGGCGCTCATCCTTTGCACTGGCGCGCTCCTTGCGCTTCTTTAACTTCCCTCCCTTGGGCACATCGTCGTCATCCTCCGTCTCGCGCTTCAGCTTCGAGCGTTCTCCCACCTCTCGCTCAAGCTCTTGGTCATCGACCACCTCTTTGCGTTTTTGGGACATCTCACGCATTCCAGCATTAAATGTCTCGCCACGCACATCTGCCATATCACTGAGGGACTTGAGGTGTTCCACCAGCCTTTCGAGGGTCTTAGAGTCGGGAATGTTCGGTCCGGCCACCAATTCGAGCAAATCCGTATACTCGGTATTGGCTACATCAATCTGCTTGGTCACATCATTGTCGAGGTAGCTGGGAATTGATGATGCTGCGGCCGTGGGTGCGCTCGCGGTGGACGGGGTGGTGTTGCGGCTTCGCGATTGGCGCGCGTCGCGACCTTTGCCCTTGCTCTTGTATGCGGACGGCATGGTTGATCCGCGGATAACGGTGAGCGAAAGCTTTTATGATGTGGTCGGGTAAAAGCAGTTAAGAGGGTTATCGATCGGGGTGGAATGAGAGGTTCGTTCTTATGAGGCACGGCTTGGAGTTCGGTAGGACATTTCTTCAGTCGGTCACTGGGCCAGGAATCGATCAAACGAATGAAACCGGCACACTATTCCTGGTATATCTGCACAAGTACACAGAGACGCTCTGATGGCCAGTGATGCATGTGAACGGACATGACGACGTTGGCGATGTTGAGGCCCGTGACTCCAAGTCTGGCACGTGATGTATGTCACATGGTGATAAGCCGATAACCGACCGATTGTGCACGTGATCTGGTCGTAAATGGGGATGCTGTAGTGCTCGGCATTTATTGTGTAGACCTTCTAATTATCTGTTGGTTTACAATAAAATGTCTTTCATTTCGTGGCCTTTGGGAACGTATCACTAGTTGCTGTACCATCTCTAGGGTGGTGAGTGGACAGACCTGGGCAAGTTAAGATATATTTCGGACTGGAGAGTATTGTGCCCTTTCAGAACCATGGCAGCGATTTGGACTAGTTACAAGATAGAAGGAACGAGCTATTTTTCATATATAAAGCTGAATAATTACCATGTACTACATATATAGTATCCGGGCCGTCTATTATTGCGAAAGTGTGCGGGAAATATGATACCCCGGAAGCGTAGTCCTTCCGCAAACGGCAACCCTAATCCGGCAACCACTTGACACGAACAGGGCATGCACCCATCCCTTGGCACGATTGCGGATATGTTTTGATGTTTGTATATTCTAATAATCAATACCAATCGTGATCTACAGGATCCTCGTGGTCGGAACCAGACCTATGGGCATTCCTACGACGGACCCGATCAGGCAAAGCATTCTTTTGGCCACTCATGATGACCGAAATGGCTGCAATAGCTATGGTTAGCCCGTTTTTTTGGCCGGGATCAAATTCCTTGCTCTCTCCCAGGCTGGCCTCTAAAACAGATGCTTTCTCTTAATTTGCTTCTCTTCTTTCCTACTCAGCTACTGCGACTTCATCATGTGCATGCACCCACAAACGGTCAAGCTGATCCAGTGGAGTTTATGCTTCAGTTTGCATGGTGCTCAGTAATAGAGAATTGTTTATCAGAATGTCTCGTACTTACTCGTCTGACTCGTCGCAGTCGACAGTGGCCACGCTTTTCGCGGGCCCCGGGAGAGCGTCTAACGACACGCCATCGGTTAATGTAATGATATAATGATCCTCCTTTCATTTTCGGATACGAGAAACTGACTTCACACCTCCAGGATAATGTTGGATTTCGCTTTGTTCTCGACAACACAGTCCAGACACTCTCAAGCTACGATGCGCCGAAATCCGGTGCCATCTCGGGTCTCTTATTCGTCCCCAGTCTCGAGCCCAAAGACCCATGTAATTCAATTACTTTACCATGGGTGCCCTCAAATGTGACACGCCATGAAGATGTCTGGCAGTTCGGATATCCCATTCTCGGCCTGGCCCCTTGGGTGAATGTCGAGTGCACAAAATCCTTCTTGGCTGCCTCGGAGAAAGTTGGAATACAAGCCCTCATCTTTTTCCAGCCCTCCAGCAACGAGACGGGACTACCACCGCCACCCAACGACGATCTGTGGAATTTGAATGATCGGGATGCATGGAAATCCGACAACCACTACCCCGTCTATGCGATCCCTGGTCCGGCAGGTGAAACACTGATGCGCGAGCTTTCTTGGTTCTCGGATGGTGGGAACAGGAACAATATCAGCAACAGTAGCCAGCCGTTCATGGATAATCATGCGGAGGATAGTAGGCTCTTTGCCATGATTGACATCAGTAAGTGATTGCGCAAGATGTATTGTAGCTAGATTGAATTGCTGACCCAGTTCACAGATGACCCAGCAAGCCAGATGCCGAGTCTCTGGGGGTTCATCCTGGCTATTTTGGGAACTATCCTGGTGCTGACTCTGATCATCCTGGTTCTCTACCGTCTTTTACAGCGACGGCGGCGGAATACGCTCCGCAGACGTATCGATGCAGGCGAAGTCGACATCGAGTATCTGGCGTTGAATCAAATCAAGGTTCCTCGCAATGTCGTCGAAGAACTGCCGCTTTACACTTATCCCAGCATCGAATCACCCCCGGCGGCGACACTGGCCAAAAACAATACGCACTCTGGTGTGGCTGAGGTCAATGGTGACCTCGAATACGCCACATCCTCCGTTGAGAACGTGGACGATGCTAGTCTAAAGAAGCCTAAGCCCGCGGTGATCAGCTCAGCCGCACAGACTGAGCCTGAAGACCCGAAAGCCCATTATCGACTGAGCCACACGCAAACCACCTGCGCGATTTGTCTTGATGATTTCGTGGTCGGGGAATCCACGGTCCGGGAATTACCTTGTGGCCACATATTTGACCCCAGCTGCATTGACCCGTTTCTCATGGAGAACAGCAGCCTGTGTCCATTGTGCAAGAAGAGCGTCTTGCCGCCGGGCCCTTGTGAGGTGCAAGTGACGAATGCGATGGTTGAACGGGACGATATGATGAGGCGGTTTCGAGAGAGACCCGCACGGGGGTTGCGCCGGTCAGCCAGACCAGACAGGGAGACTGTACAGAGTGAATAGTTCTGGATTTGGTTCAAATGTTGGATTTAGTTACTGTGTAGATGGAATTGATTAGTCATGCAATAAACCCGTTCATGCCTGAGGCATCACAAGGCAGAAAGCGACTCCGCCCTCGCCTAATCCCACACACAATCCATCCTCTTCGCTTCCGTCCGTTGAACTTTTCCGCCGACCGACAACGAACGACACCACCACACAACACCTAAACCGACAAGGTATGCTTACAATAATTGAAACTGCGGCCATTACCCTGAATTGAAATTCGGTTTCTGACTCGCTGTGTGTTCTCCAGATGGGTGCCCTCAAGTACGTGGAAGAGATCCAGAAGAAGAAGCAGTCCGACGTGATTCGCTTCTTGCTGCGCGTCCGATGCTGGGAGGTGAGATAGACCCCTACGACCCCCCGATCCGCTTAACATCTCCGCCGGACGCTCGTGTGCGTTGCCATCGGGAATATCCTTTCAGTGGTATTGCGAGGCTCGAACAAAAATCGATTGGCCCGGCGGAAATGCTTTTTGTGGCACGCAAGAGACCCCCCCAATGGAGTCCTGTGTCTTGCTATACACTCGTTGAACTTTGCTGAGAGTGCATCAATATAGCTCCGTCAGCTGAACGCCATCCACCGTGCTTCGCGTCCCTCCCGCCCCGACAAGGCCCGCCGCCTCGGCTACAAGGCCAAGCAGGGCTATGTTATCTACCGCATCCGTGTCCGCCGCGGTGGTCGCAAGCGCCCTGTTCCCAAGGGTGCCACCTACGGCAAGCCCACCAACCACGGTGTCAACCAGCTCAAGTACCAGCGTGCCCTCAAGGCCACCGCTGAGGAGCGTGTTGGCCGCCGCTGCGCCAACCTGCGTGTCCTGAACTCCTACTGGATCAACCAGGACTCGACCTACAAGTACTTCGAGGTCATCTGCGTTGACCCCCAGCACAAGGCTATCCGCCGCGATGCTCGCATCAACTGGATCTGCAAGCCTGTCCACAAGGTGAGACTTGTTTTTTCGCCTTTGTATTATACGATTATACTAACGTATTGGGTTTTAGCACCGCGAGAGCCGTGGCCTCACTGCCACCGGCAAGAAGTCCCGTGGCATGAACAAGGGCCACCGCTACAACAACACCAAGGCCGGCCGCCGTCACACCTGGAAGATCCACAACACCCAGAGCGTGTGGCGTTACCGTTAAGTGCTGCAAGGCACTGGGGTGGTGGAGGTTGGGGGATTCTGGCAGCGACATGTGGATATCTTTTCAAAAACTTGTCGCCCGTGTGTCATCTACGCTGGGGTTGAGTTTAATACAACCGACCGGTTGGATCTGCTGTTAGCCAAAAAGCTGATTTTTTTCATAACGAAGCATGACTGGTGCAACTTGATTAGTCTGTCCTGGTCCTCGGCCAGTAGAGTGTAGCACGAAACCACCGAGTAGTCTGCGGTGATAGTCTTTTATCCGAATTTGGACTGGGTCCACAGGCCCTCCCGACCTAGTCTGGCAGGTCTTTTCAGCCGCACTAGCTGATATATAATCTAGAGTCGCATGTTGTCCGTCCATCAGCTCATAGTTCCGCGCCCGGAGTTTGTGGCTGCCTCAGGCCACCACCAGGCACGGATTCGCGGCTTCCCATGGGTTAGTTACCCTCCGCTTTCCTAATCCGTCGACGACAGGCTGCAACTCAACTCTCCTTCACACCTTCATCTTGGCTTCTTTGTTACCTTTCATCATCACTTCCTCCATGTGTGACTGAGTCCTGCCTTAGGCCGGCGTCTCGGTTCTCTTTGATGTCAAAAGAGCGACCTTGAAGCCTGCAACTTTTCTTCCTACTCGAACTACTCGCCGAATCGATGCGCCTCCATGCCGTCCTCTGGACGCAACCTGCCTGTCCCTCCTCTCTCGCCTCTCAGTCCGCGGCGCCCCTCGTATCCACATGATACTCCCACACCAGACAACGGCGGCGCACCTACCAGTCCATACCGTCGCGGACATTCTCGCTCCATCTCCCTCACCTCCCCATTCTCCGGCAGAAAGCAGAAAGGGGGCGCCTTAGACATCTGGGATTCTGATGATTCCGATGATGACGATTTCACCCCTTTGGAGTCTGCGTCGACAAGTCCCCGGAAAGGACTGCAGACACGAGGCCTTATCGGCGACGATTTGGCCACCGGCAAGTGCGCGACATGCAATGCAACAGTCCGGTGGCCGCGAAATATGAACTCCTACCGATGTACGGCGTGCCTGATGGTCAACGACCTGGAAACCAGCAAGGATGTGAAAAGCCCGGGTGATACAGAGCTTAGGGTTCCGATTTCCTCAAATCCTACCAACACCTCACCACCATCCCGTTTGCATAAGAAAGAGGTTCCTTTGTCAATTGATTATACCCGTGTACTCATTGAGACATGCGTGTCGGCCTATTTTCGGGGTCTTTTAAATGGTGCGGACTCGGCTAGGTTACCACCCAACGATAATCGACCTGGAAGGCCGCGTGATCCAAGACTTGAGGGCTCGGTATCGGGTGCTGCGCACAGTTCTGCCGGCACATATCTTTCGGCATCTCGACCAGGTGATTCCCGAAGCCGAAGTGCATCTGCATCTAGTGAACGCGAACGATTCGACATGACGAAGGAGAACTCGGCTTATCTCACACCGCAAGCTACCCACCGAGATAGGAAGATTGCTCCTCGGAAGCATGTCCCACTTAGAATCCGTGCGAACTCAGACCTCCAGAGCCCGAAAGCGGAAGGGCGATCAGCACGACCAGCAGACCCTGACCCAAAGAGCCGCAGGCCGGCGCTGATTTTCGCTCAGTTAGAAGATTACATTATACGCTCTTTCAAAAGTTGCGAATGCCTCAACAACTCTTTTACCACGAATTCTCACCGATCTAATCGTTCAGCCAGCAACTTCAACCCCCCTCTGCTAGAACAAACGACCACCACTGAACTGCCAGCAAATACAGCAGTCTTTGAACCCGATGCCAAAACACTTCTCTTGGGCGATTTGGCCGAGAACTCTTCCTGGTGGATGAATGAATGGGCCCAGACTGACGGTAACCGTGGCCATTCCAGGAAGAGCTCACACAGCGGATCTCGAATGGTCTCATCGCGAAGCCCTCGAATCAACTGGGCTGATGTCTCTCAGTGGTACCAATTGGTACTCACTGCAGGAAATTCGTGGGCCGAGCAATGGGCTGCGGAAAAGCCAACCATCTTGCAGTCAGACGCAGACTTGACAAAGAAAAGGAGATGGGAATCTATCGACCAGTCTGTGATCGAGAGGGAGCTTGCCGATGCTCGTATGCATCTTCAAAGGACTTTGTTGAAAGCCACTGAGAATCTTTTGAAACGACCACGACGGCCTCTGAAGAAAATTGACGATACAAGGTTTCTTTTCATCTTGTTGGCGAACCCCGTTCTTTATTGGTCCCATTCCCAGCCAAGTTCGCCATCTCGAGAAGCTCGACGGCCGTCGACTCAGCACCAAGGCAAGACGCGACTGACGCCCCAGGATGGCAATGCGTCTCGAAAAACTTCTGGCACGTCTTCAGCGCGGCAAAGCAGCTCGAGTCATCATTATGGAATCGTCAAGCGAATCTTAGGCCTGATGTCCAATACGTCCAATGACTGTCATCACTATTTCGTGTCTTGGTTTTCGCGTTTCTCAGCCGGACACTTTGAGCGATTGGTGGAGCTGATAGGGGGGTTTGTAACCTACCGGTTGACTCGTCAGCATGGCCGCAGACGGAGTGAGTCGGCGCAGAATGGGAATGAACTGGTCCCAAGCTTTGCCAGTGCCGCCGGCAATACGCCGGCCGAGCTGCATGCCGCTATCAATCGACGGAGCCCGAATAAGAAAGCCGCTGCCAAAAAGGAAACCCCTATGATATATGAAGAAGATTGGCAGATCCGAGCCGCGGCCAGGATGATGTCGTTGCTCTTCACGGCCAACAATGCAAATGTCCCACGTCAACCGGACGGAGTTCTCGGAGCGCTAAAGACTGTGCATCGCTATGACTCTGCCGTGAAACATTCGGGACACCGCCAGGGCCACATGCTCCCCCTAAGCTCTTTCTACAACACCCTTCTGGACTACTCGGACTTGGTTGCAGACTTTGAAATCTGGGAATCTCGAAGTGCCAAATTTTCATTCTGCCAATATCCCTTTTTCCTCAGCATTTGGGCGAAGATCCATATCATGGAGCACGATGCGCGTCGTCAGATGGAGGGAAAAGCCCGGGAAGCATTTTTCAACAGCATTCTGAACCACAGGGCTGTGAGCCAGTATCTTGTGTTGAAAGTGCGGCGCGACTGTCTGGTTGAAGACAGCCTTCGCGGTGTGAGCGAAGTCGTAGGATCTGGACAGGAGGAAATCAAGAAGGGCCTCCGCATTGAATTTGTGGGGGAGGAGGGTATTGATGCCGGCGGCTTGCGCAAAGAATGGTTTCTCTTGCTCGTTCGAGAGGTGTTTGACCCACACCATGGTAAGCAGACGAAGCATGAGTGAGTCTGCTGGATGATAGCTAACAAGGGAACAGGACTGTTTGTTTATGACGACGATTCCAAGTATTGCTATTTCAACCCAAATTGTTTCGAGTCGTCTGAGCAATTTTTCTTGGTCGGGGTGCTCCTCGGGCTTGCCATATACAACTCCACCATTCTGGATATTGATCTCCCACCGTTCGCCTTCAAGAAACTGTTAGCGGCGGCACCGCAGAACACAGGACCTCAGCCAGCAACCTCAGCGCGAATCAACTTCAAATGTACTCTGGATGATCTTGCCGAGTTCCGCCCCGCGCTCGCCAAAGGGTTTCGAGCGCTACTGGAGTTCGACGGTGACGTCGCCGAAACTTTTTGCTATGACTTTGTCGCTCAGATCGATCGCTACGGTTCAATTGTCGAAGTGCCTCTCTGCGCTGGTGGCGAGAAACGACCGGTGACCAATTCCAATCGACGCGAGTTCGTCGACCTGTATGTCCACTATCTCCTGGACACGGCCGTGGCCCGACAATTCGAGCCATTCAAGCGAGGATTCTTCACTGTCTGTGGCGGCAATGCGTTGTCTCTGTTCCGCCCAGAGGAGATCGAACTGCTGATTCGCGGCTCGGACGAGCCACTCGATGTGCTTTCGCTCAAAGCCGTGGCCATTTATGAAAATTGGAAGACCCCCAAACCCGAATCAGTCCCTGTTGTCCAATGGTTCTGGAACTTCTTCGAGACTGCCGCGCCACAAGGGCAGCGCAAGATCCTGTCGTTCATCACGGGCAGCGATCGCATCCCCGCAATGGGGGCAACCAGCTTGACGATAAAGCTTGCTTGTCTGGGTGATGATTGTTCGCGATACCCCATTGCGCGGACATGCTTCAACACGCTGGCCTTGTACCGGTATGCCACGCGGGAGAAATTGCAGCGTCTGCTCTGGGATGCAGTCATCAACAGCGAGGGCTTTGGACTGAAATGATCGAATGAAATGAGTTTGGGGTTGGGGGTTGTGCTTCTGTCTTTTTTGTTCTTTGCTACTCTCAGAACTTTGAACACTGCAACGACTTGACGAATCATTGGCGCGCTGGAAAGGGCCATCACATATCACAATGGAGGAGTTTGGAGTTTGGCGTTGTTTGTTATTCTTTTGCTACTGGCTTCGGGATGACGGATTCGGCGTATTGCTGCTTAGCTAGAATCTATCAATGCTGTTTTATCTCTAGAACGATATCTATAACCCTAGAATCCAAGGTTCTACAGTCCTTCTTAACAACAACACATTCGATTCATCACGTAGGTTTGGGCCCTAAGCAAGGAGATAAACCCACTACGTTCCAACCTCTCAGCGCCTGGTTTTGTTCCCAGAAACTCAAAAACACAAGGAAATCCTCAGTGCTGCTGTCTACATTTAGGTGTCATCGTGACCGACGGATTCGTCCGGGACTGTTTGGCTCTTGAATACGCAAGACGGCCTTAGCCTTAAACAATCAGCCATGGATCTCATCGAGAGATTGGAAGAAATATTCACATCTCAATATCTCCATATTACAATACGCAACATGGTAAAAAATAAATAGACCGTAGGCGACATCTATTAGCAACTGCCCAGCCCCGATAGGCAATGCCATAGAGGTAATAGAAATCGATTCTCGAACCCCGAAAGAAGGAAACCAGTCCTTGGAATATAACGCCAGGAAAAGAATACGCCGACTGATGCAAGGCTGTCACAGACTAGCCACGAAAGAACGAAAATGCGATAGACGACGAGGGAGTTACCTCACCGGGCTGTGCCGGAGGCCTGGTTGGAAGACGACGGGAGAGCCGCACTTGGTGCCAGGATGTTGGCAGTTGAAAGCGGGATTGATTCAAAGAAGCTCGTCGCGCTGGTGGGTAGACGTGTACCCTCGCGGTGCCGGAGCGATGAGAGGAAGTTGAGTGGTTGGCCGGCACGGATAGCATGGAACATCTCGCTGTAGCCTCGCTCTCCATCTCCGACCTCTTTCAACCACTGTTCCCAATCTTCATCGAGAGGTACGTTGGCCCCTTGGTCTCGTGCAGCCATAGCAGCCAGAAGACGGCTGTTCAGCGCGACGCCGCAGCTCTCCATTTCCTCATCACTATAATCCTCCTCTTCCTCTTCTTGGTCTTCAACCTTGTGACCCAGCAACTCGGTAGAATTCCGATGGCTCGCGCGGACGGTGTGGTCGCTCCGGGTATCGATGTTGTAGTCCAGTTCCTCTTCTGGCCCGCAGAAGTCCTCGAAATGCACCTCAACCGGCGGCGAGGGAGACGGAGTGGCTGGACGGATCGAATGGGCCGTGGTGTCCCGCACGCTGATCCCTTCTTCCTTCTCGTAGCGCTCACGAGCCCACCTTGTCCCTTCCCAGCGACAGAGCGAGAGTATCTCAGCCTCTGTCAGCCTCAGCTCATCGAAAACGCGGAACAGCTCGTGATGCCATGTGAAGCGGCCGAGTCGCATGCGATGCGGTCCGTAGGAGTAGTCCAATCCCGGGTATTGAGCCTCGATGCAGTCCAGTGCGCCGTAGAAAATGGACGTCTCGAGGCGTACCTCTGGCACGAGGTTGCGGGTGATATGAGCCGCGAAGGAGCCTGGGTCACTCGTAAGAGGACGAGGGAATGTGGCGCTGTACACGATCTGGGAGAGCGACGGTTTGTGCATAGTGAAGTGTCGTTTGGCTGATATGATAAAGAGAAAGCCAGAAGGGAAATGAAAGGGTGGACCACACAGACAGACACAGGCCCTGGAGGGATGCCCCTTGCCCTGGCGTTAAGTGGAGTTGTACAGGGAACAGGAACACAAGAAAGAGGGTGACCTAGGGATAAGCACCCGCGATGGGAGAAGAATGACAAGCACCACCTCTAAGTCTTTTTATGTCGGCGGCTCGCGGTGGAGTGTGCGTTGGCCCTGCAGCGGCCAGCTGGTCGACCTGAACACGGAGAACAACACCGGGGGCAGTGTTGGCTGCCTGAGGCATCGCATCGGGTCATGGGATGGATAATCCGGTTCATCTACACCTTCTTTTCATTCAACCATGTCTCTGTAAATCAAACAGTGTGTGGATGGCTGTCTCTGTGAGGCATTTGAGGCAATAGGTCTATTGTTCGCCATGTCTTCTCTTTAGAGCACATCGGCGACCTTCTTCTGAGATATCTCTACCTGAACCAAAGAAGATCTCTGGATGAGAACCTCGCTCGCCCCTAATGTCGACCTTTGATGGCCGCGTGGAGGGTAAGTCTCCGGCTGCATGTGGACAAGTGAACTAAGCTGACTGCCCATGACAGAATTCCCGGACATCCAGAGTGAGTCGGGCGCCTTGCTCGTGTAAAACCGCCGCTGACAGCCGCAGTCGACTACTTCCGCAAGAGGCCTGAACGGCCGCCGCTAGCATGCTTCCTCAGCCATGTGCACAGTGACCACTTGCAGGGCCTGGAGTCCTTCCGGGCTCCGTTTATTTACTGCTCACCAGCTACGCGGGAGCTACTCTTGCGGATTGAGAAGTATCCCCATCGGATGAACTTTCGCAAGGGCATCTTGGAATCGCGCCGGCTTCATTACAAGCACCTCGCCAAGCTGTTGCGTCCGATTCCATTGAATACGCCCACGGAAATTGAACTCACGCCCCGGAGGCGCGTTCGGATTACCTTGTTTGACGCAAACCACTGCATCGGAGCGGTGATGTTTCTCATCGAAGGAGATGGGAAAGCTATCCTATACACCGGTGATATCCGAGGTGAGTTCCTTTTACTTTCTAGTTTTGCTTGTTCATTAGCTAAAGACCGCCAGCTGAGCGATGGTGGATCAACAGCGTGGTCCGGAATCCGGTCTTGATACCATACACGCTGGGCCAGAAACGATTGGACAAGCTGTATCTCGACACAACCTTTGCACGTGCAGTGAACAAGTTTCACGAGTTTCCATCCAAAGCGGTTGGACTGTCCGAGCTTCTCCGAAAAGTCGAGGCATATCCGGACGGCACTGTGTTCTACTTCCGCGCATGGACGTTCGGCTACGAGGATGTGTGGATGGCACTTTCGGCAGCGCTAAACACCAAGGTAATCAATTGATTTAAGAAATCTTCCGCATGTTCACTGACCACACCTCCAGGTCCATGTAGATCAGTACCAGATGGGTCTCTATCGGTCCCTCATGCGTGCCTCGGGCACCCACAGCATCACTGAAGCATCTGCACTCTGTGGGTTTAGTCTAGGCAATCGGGCAGTCGCAGGTTGTCTGAGCAGCGACGCCGCCAGCCGAGTCCACAGCTGCGAGCCGGGAGTAACTTGCCCTACAGCCCGCAGCCCCAGTACAGTTTACATTGTTCCGATCGTGAACCGCACTATTGAAGGCGTTGAAATTCCGGAAGTCGGTGCAGGCGGCGGCATCGGTGATCTATATCAGACTCACGAGCTTGAGCTTCCTGATGAGGCTACGCTTGAGGAGCTGGAGAAGCTGTGTTTGCAGCACATCCATGATGAGCAGTTGCGACAGCAACTGCGTATTACACTCATCGAAGCTTTTCGCTCAAAGAGAAAGGCGCTATCACTTGATGAATACGGCATGAAGGAAGAAGGAGACATTTCACTCAAAAAGCTAGTAGACGTGCTCAGCCATGGCATGTCAGAAGGATCGTCTGGTGCCATCACATTCAGAGAGCCTGTGGCCAATCTACCGAAAACAATAGTGAGTTACACCACCTTCCTGCAACATACTTTCCCTAAATTTCCATCAGCGATTCCCATACTCTCGCCATTCATCCTACGCTGAATTATGCGACTTCATTGCCGCTTTCCGGCCTAAAGACATCCACCCCTGCACCGTGGACGAATCAACCTGGACCGAAGATGTCTCTATCCGGCGTCTATTCGGCCATCTATGCACAGAAACCCGATTCTCGCATGATGCCCACATGTGGGAGATTCTCGGCGATGCAGACGAGAATGACAAGGACGGTCCGCGTGCGAGAAAAAGAACTCGCTACAATCCGGAACTTTCAACTCAGTCTACCGAGGGGTCTAGCAATCTAGTCATGGACGATGAGCTGAGTACAGGAAGCAGAGAACAGACTCAAACCCAGACTGCTTCCCCATCCTGTGGCACAATACAAGAATCTATCAACAAACCGCTCAATTTCCCACTGCCCAGTCCGGAAACCGCAAAAGCGAAGCGGAACGAGATTCGGCAGGCTCGTCGGTACCTCCAGGAACATACAGATCGCGAAATGTTTCACGTTGGCGCTCTCCCTTCTTCATGGAGGACAGAGGGGGATGAGTTGGAGCCTGAGAAGAAGAATAAACACGTCTCCGAAGTAGAGGAGAAGCTAACCACTACCGACTCCACCGAAACTCGGGAGGTGTCAGAGACAGATCGCCAAGGTGATGGAGCCACAGACCTGCAAATGGAGTCTCAGCAGGCTGACAGTCAGCACACGGCGCTTTCGATTTCCGAATCGGCATTTGCCTCTCCACTGCCGGTCGAAGAGCATTCTGTCAGACTATCAGAGGACAATGAACCCGATTCGGAAATTACTCCCACTCACCATCGACCACGCACTCATACCCACGCTCGTATCGCTGCATATCTCGCTGCTCGCGCGGACTCCTACTCTGCATGGACGGATGTGTCTCTTGTGTCTGCGGGGGATAATCATACCGAGGAGGAGATTGAATTGTGACCACACTTAAGTCTACGTTATGTTACATGTCACAGTCTGAGATGGGAAGAACTGAGTGAATCACTTCATCGTATGGATCTAGCTGGTTATATCGTTATTATGTACTCGAAATGGGGACAAAAAACAGATGTCAATCAAATCAACGCTCAGGCTGAGAGGCACAAAGGTATAGAGAAAAGAAAGGGCAGGACAAGATGCAAATCAAAAAGTCGAAAACGTGAAACGAATGTCATCTAGAAGATATAGTACGCCTGTGTCAGGGGTAACTCGGCCGCAGGCTCAGCATCACAGAGCATGCCGTCCGCTTCGACGGTCTGTGCGTGGAGAGAGTATCATTAGTACTGAATAATGAATCAGAGAGAAGAAAACAGAGGAAGGCAACTCACGTAACTCTCCGGATCAACCTTCATCTTCGGCATGGCATTGTTGAACTTCATATCTTTCTTCCCGACAGACCGGCAATTCTTAACGGCTTCGATGCGCTTGCGCAGACCGTAGGACTGCACGACCCCGGCGTCGATGGAGGCCTGGGAGACGAACATGATTGAAGCGCTCGGGAGACGAGCCTGTTTTGGGGATGAGCAGACGCCTTTGAGAGATAGAATATAGATTGCAACTTACTGCGAATTGGGGCCGCACGATCATTGGTTCGATGGTTGGGATGGAGGCGTTGGGATCACCCTGGTTCGGTCACAAGTCAGCCAAAAAAAAAAAGCCAAGAATAAGCAAGCAAGGAAAGACAGACCATCTCAGCCACGACGATGAAGCCACTCTTCAGGACTTGCACCGGCTTCGTTCCGAATGTCTTCGGGTTCCAGATGACCAAATCCGCGACCTTGCCTACCTCCACGCTCCCAATAGCATGCGCCATGCCCTGCGCCAGAGCAGGGTTGATGGTGTACTTGCTCACATAGCGCTTGACCCGGAAATTGTCAGCGCCCGTGCCCTCATCCTCAGCCAACGGTCCGCGCTGCGCCTTGTTCTTGTGGGCGGTGTGCCAGTTGCGCAGGATGACTTCGCCGCAGCGGCCCATCGCCTGCGAGTCCGAGGACATCATGCTGATGGCGCCGAGATCGTGCAGCACGTCCTCGGCGGCGATGGTCTCGGCGCGGATGCGGCTTTCGGCGAAGGCGACGTCTTCGGGGATGTTCTTGGACAGGTGATGGCATACCATCAGCATGTCCAGGTGCTCATCGAGCGTGTTGAGTGTGAATGGTCGGGTCGGGTTCGTGCTGCTGGGTAGCACGTTAGGGTGCTCCACCACCGAGATGATATCTGGGGCATGCCCGCCGCCGGCGCCTTCGGTGTGGTACGTATGGATGGTGCGGCCCTTGAAGGCTTCGATGGTTTGCTCGACGAACCCGGACTCATTGAGTGTGTCTGTGTGGATCATGCACTGGACATCGTACTCGTCGCAGACTTCCAGGCAGGTATCAATCGCTGCTGGCGTTGAACCCCAGTCTTCGTGCAGTTTCAGGCCCGCTGCTCCAGCCAGGATCTGCTCCTCGATGCTCACCCGCCCGCAGTCGTTCCCTTTGCCCGTGATTCCGATGTTGATTGGGAGACTGTCGCACGCCTGCATCATCTGGCGCAGATGGTTCGGTCCGGGTGTGCACGTTGTCGCATTCGATCCAGTCGTGGGACCAGTGCCACCGCCCAGGAAGGTTGTGATGCCTGATGCCAAGGCTTCATCCACCTGCTGCGGACAAATGAAATGAATGTGTGTATCGATCCCACCTGCAGTGATGATCTTATTCTCGCCAGCCATCACATCCGTGGAGGCTCCCACCACCATGTCCGGGTGTACACCGTCCATGACGTCCGGGTTGCCTGCTTTGCCAATGCCCGCGATAAGTCCGTCCTTGATTCCAATGTCGGCCTTGTAGATACCGGTCCAGTCGATAATCATCGCGTTCGTGATGACAGTGTCCAAGCACTCCGCCGCCGACCTACCAGACGCCTGACCCATTCCCTCACGCAATGTCTTGCCACCACCAAAGGCGCACTCGTCCCCATAGACCGTCAGATCCTTCTCAATTCGCACCCACAAGTTCGTCAGTGCCAGTCGCACCAGGTCACCAGTGGTCGGACCAAACATGCGCGAGTACGCCTCGCGCTCCATCGAAAACCCACTAACGAGAGCACTGTCCGCCGTCGGCTCCGGCACATGCGCAAACCCAGCCGTCTGCAAGCGCTCCACGATCTCCTCCGTCCGACTGAGATCCACGGGCCCATTCGCCAGGAAATTCCCGCCGCGAATAACCCGGTTCCCGCCAATCTCAACGAGAGTCACCGTCTTTGTGTCGCCTGGTTCGAAGCGGACCGATGTGCCTGCGGGAATATCCAGACGGAACCCGTACGCTTGGACACGATCAAAATGCAGCTGTGGATTCGTCTCGACAAAGTGATAGTGCGATCCCACCTACTCCCCACGCCTCTTAGTTTCTGCAATTCAAACGCTCCGGCAGTTAAGACGTACCTGAATCGGCCGATCTCCTTTGCTCATCACCTTGAGCCGAATCCTCCTCCTTCCCTCATTCAGGGCCACCCTCGCACTCTTGACAGGAATGATCGCGCCGGGCATTTTCTCAGGCAGGAAATCATTGGGGTCTGGGTCTGGAAATGCGTCGCGCGGAGGAATCGGCAGGAAACAACTGTACAGCGCGCGTTCGAGGTCTCCCTCGTCGCTGCTGATCGGGTGGTGCACGGTGACGAGGTACGTGCCTGTGGGAAAGGTGCCTTCGACCTGGAGTTCGACGAGAGTGGCTACGACGGAAGGTAGGACGTGGCGCCGGCCTAGCATGGTTTTGCCGATTGACATGAGGTCTGCGACGGAGTAGATGCCATCGCGGATAAGCTGTGACAGGGGTGGTTGTGTTGGTGGGTTGGATCTAGTGGAAGGAAGAAGGGCAGGGCAGGGCAGGGCGTACCTCGTGGAGATTGGCGGAGATCAGAGCCTTTGCAGTTGCGTTAGACTTTTTTTCTTTCTCTCTCTCTCTCTCTCTCTCTCTCTCTGGGAGTGTTGGGAGTGTTATAGAGTACTCACCACGGCTTCAGCATGGTTCAGGCGTACTCCGCGGGCCAAGCGACGCTGCGCCAGGAACCCCAGATGCGCGATGGTGAGCTTGTCGAGCTGGGCCAGTCAGTGAATGGGCAGTCGTTCAATGTAGTCTTCACACACCTCTTTCGGAACCAACTGCATGGCGGTCCTGGTTTGACGACAATGATGAAGAAGAAACCGGTGGTGTGGGGGGATGTCCGTCCTCTTTTTCTCCAGCCGGTCCGATAAGGGCGATAATGCTCCGACGGCCGATTGGGTCGCCCTTCGGCGGTGTTAGTCAAGGCTTTAGTTAACCTAATCAGGGGTGCTCGGCGAATGAGTGAGATAGTATTGAAGCAGGAGTAGTAAAAACATACACCATGGGTGGGGAGCATATTATTAGTCGCAGAGACATTCTCGTTACAAGAAGTACAAGTACAGCCATGATCACAAAACATTTCCCTCAATTTACTCCTTGTCCGCCTCGCTCTTGCGCTTCTTGCGCTTGGGCTTGCTCTCCGCGGGCTTGTCCGCCTTCTTCGCCGACGCGGGCGGCTCGCTCTTCTTGCCCTTCTTCTGCGGCGACGCCTTCTTCGCTGGCGCCGGGGTTTCGACCTCCTTCTTGGCCTCGCTACGACGGCGCTTGGTTAAGCTCTTAGGAGGCGTCTTCTCCTTGGGTTGGGGGGAGGGGGACTCGTCCGAAGAAGACTCGTCTTCAGACTCGGAAGAGGAACTCTCCTCGGACTCGTGCTCTGCGCTGGCGAAGTCGTTCTGCAGCTGGTTCGCAGCGGGATCGTCGTCTTCCGCGGTCTTCGTGGCCTTGTACGCCGTTACTTCCGCTTTGTACTTGTCCAGGTTCTCCAAGTACAGCTTCTTCCAGATCTGTGAGACAGGGGTTAGTGATCATGGTTCAGTCACGCTCTCGGTGCAAAATACATACCTCCTTCTCCACATCCGACATCTTCTGCCAGCGTCTGGTTCCCTCCTCCGAGACATCCTTGGGGCGCGAGCCCTCGCCCATCTCTTTTGTGATATCCCCTCGTCGGTGCTGCATGTATAGGAAGTACGGGGTCAAGGGCCGCTTCGGCGCATTGGGGTCCACGACGCGCTTGCGCTTCTGCTTCCCGTCGCCGACTTCCGACTTGGCGACGGGGCTGCCGGCGCGCGGTAGGCCACTGACACCGGCGAACATGGGCGGGATGTCGATGGTGGCGGGCCCGCCATTGATGACATTTTCGGCATGCTTGAGGTAGGATTTGCTGAGTTCGGCGACGTAGGACTGCAGGTCCATCAATCGCATAAGCATCTGCGATCGCCAGGGTCAGTTCGGGGTGCTCTAGAGTCAATAGGGCATGGTGCGGTGGGAAAAGTGGTCGACAACACGGCGGCGACAGGACGCGTGGGTGTCGCGCCAGCGACAGCGCTAGAGGAGAGAAGCAAGAAAAACATAATGATAAGGAGAACGAAGCTTCGCAAGGGACCCCCGAGCTTGCGAAGACCAAATTATAGGCTGGGGGAAGGTCATAGCAAGCTTCGGGACAAGCGACGCGTAGGCGACGCGCAACAACAATAACAATAGGTGAAACAAGCCCTCTCGAACAAAAAAAAAAAACTAAAAATGTAAAAGAAGAAACTATGACAAAGAAAAGTAAGACATACCGCATCCTTGGACTTTCTCAGCTCGTCGATGTTGACGGGCACAGTGGGCGCGCCGGGGGTGGATTTCTCCTTCGGGGCCATGGTTGCTGGCTGGGGAGGGAGAGAAAGAGAAATTTTCGGGGCGAGCGAGGGTTGAGAGTTTGGGGGGGGAAGGGGTGGGCTAGGGGAGCCACTAAATACCCCCGAGCGCCGGCCTGGCATGCCTGTGGTCTCTGCTTTGGGCTTAGGCGCCCTGTGCTGGATTCTTAGGGGCCGACCTGCCTGGCTATCACCCACGGTCGGGGATCGCGGATAGGCATGTTCCCTATTTCTGACTTGCGGTCGCTGCCTATGGTTCCAAGGTTCATTTCGCGTGTGGCTTTCTTTTTGGGTCATCATTTCAGAATTCGCAAAAGAAATATACTATCTCAGCTCGGAGTTGTGAGATTGAGATTAACCTTCGCTAAATATATATTTCTGCATCTCTGCGTTACTTAGGCGCCAAGTTGAGGTCGAAAGTACCCCCATGTTTAGGAGGTTGCAGGCTTCCTCGGCAGCACAAAGGCTCTATCATTCTTATTACTCTAGATAGCCCTATCCCTTTCTTTTTAATCCAGAAAGACAGACGAAACAGTTTATATTGTCTAGTGGATATCCTATGAGAAAGAAGAGAGAACAGAACGCGGAACAAGATGCATCAATATCCACAGCCCATTCTATGTCCCTGCCCCCAACTCGGTACTGTGCAGCCCTCTATTTTAGAACTTGAAGACCTGGTCCTTGCTGTAGCCCAGCTCCTGCAGGACGCCGCTGAGCTCACCCTGGTCCTTGGGACTAACCTTCATACCGCTGACAGCCTTGTACAGACCCGGGGGACCGCAGACGAAGAGCTTGATGTTCTCTTCCTTCGGCTCGGGGAGGACGGTCTTCAGGAGCTCCTTGGTGATGTAGCCCTTGCCGCCGGTCCAGTCCTTGGGCGGGTTGTCGAGTACGTAGAAGGCGCGGAAGCGCTGCGGGTACGTGTTCTCCAGCTCCTGCAGCTCCTTCTTCAACAGGATGTCTTGCTCCGTGACATTGCCGAACACGAGCGTCACCTTGGTCTTGTCCTCTGGGTTCTTGAAGATCTGGCGGGCCAGCTGGTACATCGGCGTGATGCCCGTGCCTCCAGCGATCAGGCAGATGTGGTTGTGCTTGTTGGCCTCCCAAGGGTACTTGGGGAGAGGGCCCTTCATCGACAGTCGCTGGTCGGGGTTCATCGAGTGGATGTGCTCGGACATGGGGCCGTTCGGGTAGGCCTTGATCACCAGATCGAGGTGGCCGGGGGTTTCTAGTGAGCGTCAGCAATGATTATGCAATTAACCATAAATTGTTTACATACCCTCATCGCTGGTAGGAGTGTAAGGACGGATAACAGGCTTCTCCGCGCCCTCGGGCTTGAACTTGGTCAACAGCGCAGCTGAATGTGTGTCAACAAACCGATCTGACCATCAACCCCAACCCACTTACAGGCAACGTGGAGACCCGAGACAGCCTCCTTGTCCTCGAACTCGAAGCGGAATCTCTTGGTGTTGGGGCTCAGATCCTCCACAGAAGCCAGCTTGAGGTCCACCCATCCTTGGTCACCACCGACAAAGACCTTCGGGCGCTCCTTGGGCTCAGCGGCAGAACCGTAGTAGCGCCACAGACCAATACCCACACCGGTGGCACCGACAGTGGCGTAGATAGGGGCGAGGGACTTCTTCTGTTGAGGGGCCTCCGAGGAGTATTTGCGCAAGCTCTGTCGAGGTATTAAAACTTGAAAAATGCCTGCATTGGGGCCGGAAAACGTACCTGGCGCAGAGGCTGTGCACAGCGGAAAGACTGGCGGGCAAACATGGTGTATGTGAGAATCGATTGAGATGTATGGGAGATGAGAGAAGGACAAGAGAGGAGAAGAGGAGAGGAGAAAAGGGTGGAAACGGGTTGATGAGAGAGGAAGGCGGACAAACTCGCCGCAGACATGACGCAATCAGCCCGATGAGCATCCTGTCAGCATTACTGTTTATAGATCTACGTGGTCGATTATACATGTAGGAGCAAGTCATGGATCGTTATTGTTGTATTGTTGTGCTCGTCGGATAATAAATAAAGTTCTTGAGGTGCGAGATTCCGCTTCGGCGTACATGGGCTGTAAGGGATCCATGGTAAGCCTCCGAGAATATCCGGCCAGGGACCGAATCCAATCAGTTGAACATGGATTGCTGCGTCCAGCAATTGGAGTGAAATTCGGTACGCGTACACAGAGTAGGATGAAGACAGCTACGATAACGCACAAAATGAAAGAAACCCGATAATTTTTTTCAGATAACACCTCGAGATGTCACTATACGGGACTAGGGACATCCAAACAGGCCTGTGGCCAGTCTCGTTCATGCATGCTATGGCCATAACATAATTCTCATCCACACACACACCAAAAACCCCAGAACATCACGTTTAAGCAAAGGTCGAGGGGCGCGAGTAGGCGAAGAGCTTCTTGCCCGGCTTGACAGCGCGGTGGGGCAGGGGGAACTTGAGGTTCTTGGAGAGGAGCTGCCGGATGTAGGGGCGACGGATGCTGTCGACATTGTCGATCTCGACGACCTTGAGGATCTGCGGAAACGGTTAGTATGTAGTCCGTAGAAATGACCGCGAGAAACATACGTGGATGGAACCGAAGCGGGCGCGGTGGCGGGCAGCCATGTCCTGGTAGAGGGCCTCGACGGCCTCGGTGCGGCTCATCTCACGGAACTCCTTGTACATGTTGTGGGTACCGGAGCGCGAGTTGTAGCGGAGCCAGATGCCGAAGTTCTTGACCTTGAGAGGGCGCTTCTCGGAGATCTGGGCGTTGTCAGTTTCTTGTTTTGTTGGAAGATTAGACAACAAATCCCCAACATACCACGTTCAGGCTGACGATCTCGCCGTTGGCCTTCTTCAGCTTGCGGAGCTGAGCGATGAAGTACCAGAACCGCGACTTGGCGACAACGGTGTTGGGCGCAAAGATGCGCATGCGGTACAGCTTGGGCGAAGGGTTCGCCTCGGTGGGCAGGTGACGCCCGATGACCTGGTACTCAGTGAGACGCCCTAGATGATTCCGTCAGTCATTGTCAAAAAACCCCACGATATTTTCCATTCCAAATCAAGCGGGTAGACGGTGCGCGGTCGAGGCCAATGAGTGACATCCAAGGGTGCGAATGACTTGATGGTGGTCGCTGAAAAAAAAAAAAAATCATTTCAAGATTCGGTTTCGATTTTCACTTGATCGCAGTGTGTGCCCAGTTCCTCCATCGCGTAGCATTGTATTCCCATCTCTTTTCCGCGGCGTGTGTTGCAAATTGCCGCAGTTGTTGCTCCTTGGGATATTTCGCCAGTCCGACCGTAACGCACCGTCGCCCTCCCAACTCAGACCAGAAGAAAAACGATGGCACTTACCCATCTGTAAAATAAAGACGTTAGTATAATTTCAAAAGATCGAGCAGCGTTGGCACCACCAGGGGTGGGGGAAGTCACTCACTTTGATTGTCGCTGTGGTGGATGAGTCGTTAGTGGTGCCGTCGGGGTTGAGGAGAATTGTGAGATGGGGTGGTTGTGTGCAGCCCTAAGCCCTTAGCGAGGCTAAGTCACGTGCGGGACGGGAAATGGTCACCAGCCACAATTTCCCCACCAGCCACACTCTCTGCCGCCCCACATGATCCCAGCTTCTCTCAACCTGATGGTGGTCACACTATACTATACTATAGCATCACGGCCATGAGCACCACTGCAACTGCGTTTCGGGATGCCTACCTGCACGGGTCGGGTCCTGCCCTTGCTGCAGTGGTCACACCGATCGCTCCCCCCGAAGATCCAGACCGATTGCACGCTTTCTACCAGTTCTCCAACCCGGCCTATCTGACCAAAGACCTCCATTTCCATCTCTTCCACGGCAAGAACCTCAAGGTGTCAAAAGCCGAACAGAATGCATGGGTCGACATCTTTGCCGCATACTGGGAAGCCGTGGGGGAGGTGCTCAAATGCGAGGACCGACACCCCGGTGCCTCCGTGGTCGCAGTCTTCAATGCGTGGAAGAAGGTAGCCAATGCTGTGATTAGGGGCTACTCGAGCTCTTCCGGGCTTCCGGCCTGGACGCTACCTTGTCTGTACACGGTGGGGAAGTTCTTGCGCACGTTTGCGCTCAAAGCGGACGTCGAGGCGGCTTCCCAGGGATCGACGGGCTTTGGCTTCCAGGATGATGTCGCGGCCGATGTGGACAAGAATGCAAACTTGGAGGAGGCGGCTCGGATTATCAATCGGATGTTCACGCTGTGTCTGAATGACAGGTGAGTGACTTGGGACTGGCGAGAGCTTGCATGGCTCAACTAACTGGATTTCCAGAGCGGCCATTGAAGAATCGCGGAAATGGGGCATATACAACATTACAAATCTGCTGTTCAAGACCTACTTCAAGGTATGGAATAGCCAGATGGCGTTTTGAAGGTGTTGCTGACTGGCTGCAGCTCAACTCCGTTGGACTGACCAAAAACCTTCTGCGTGCCCTCAATGCCCAGTCGGTCGATTTGCCCCCCCTGGAATCCTTCCCCAAATCTCAGATCGTCACTTTCAAATACTACGTGGGAGTCATTCACTTCTTGGATGAAAACTATGCAGAGGTAGGTAAGATTGAGAGAAGTGGTGGTCCCAGCTGACTTTGCGCTTTTAGGCGGAAGAACATTTGACATCTGCATGGAAAATATGCCACCGAGGGGCGTTCAAGAACCGGGAGTCGGTATACCACTTGCTTGTAGACGAGCCCTGACTGACCAGCATGCAGGCTCATTCTCACGTATCTCATTCCATGCCACCTCGTGACGACTCATACGCTCCCCAGCAAAGAACTTCTTGCTCCATTTCCACGACTCGAAAAATCCTTCCGCCCTCTCTCCAACTGTATCCGTAAGGGTGACCTAGTTGGATTTGACCAGGCCATGTCCGCCGGGGAAGACGAATTTGTCAAGAGACGCATCTACTTGCCACTTGAACGAGGACGAGATATTGCCTTGCGCAATTTATTCCGCAAAGTTTTTATTGTGGGTGGGTGGGATGAATCCAAGGATGGACAGCCTCCTACCCGGCGATCCCGTGTCCCTATTGCGGAGTTCGCGGCGGCTCTCCGAATTGGGACTCATGCGACTGGCCGGTCGCGAGTCGATATGGACGAGGTGGAGTGTTTGCTGTCTAACCTGGTCTATAAGGTATGTTTTGCTTTGGATTTTACGAACCCAGATCTGACAGCTCTTTAGGGCCTTATGAAGGGATACATCCATCGTGAGAGAGGAATGGTCGTTTTGAGTAAAAAGAACGATGCCTTTCCCGGCACTGGTATCTAGTCAACTGTCAACGGCTCGGCCAGTGCTCCCTTGCACTCAGAACAATCGTCGATACATCAATGCTAGGGTGGCCACAACCACCTTTGAGCAACAACACGCCTTCAAGATGCTGCCTAGACGTCGTTTGACGGCAACGACGACATTCGAATCTACGCTGTTTCCCTACCGATGCTCCGATAAATCTCGAACAGTACATCAAGGCCATATCGACACCCCAATCCGCATCCTTATGACCATTAATACCTCGTGATCCACTCCTCTCATACAGGAAGAGCAAATTATGCATAACAGCTCGACGAAGAGTGTTTCCTGCCTGTACCCTTCACGTGTCTGCAGGGGGATGGATGGCCCATATAGAAAGGAGGTCAGCCAACGGGCTTGCCTCGGCTCGGAGATCATGACATGAAATCAGTTAGCATTAGAAAGAATACAATGCATCACAAACATATGGATTCTTAATTGAATAAATTGAAAGTATTCAGGTATATATGTTTGTTAACCCTGAGATTGTAGCCTTCTGTGGAAAGGGGAGGATAAAGAGGATGTAGAGAAGCGCAGCTTTCATTTTTGGCCTTTTTGGGACCATGTGGACTGATCACCCTACATCAAATCACCCCCAGTCTGGTATGATGAATGGTTTCTTGCTATTTTCTGTTGGTGTTCAAGATCCCCGGGTTTTTCAACAGATACATTATTTCAAGACAACTTGAAACTCCCAGTCACTGTCAAGACATTCTACTATACAATAGCAACCAAATATAGCCGCACACTCGTGAGAACTGATGCACCGTGGTCCTTACTCCCATTAACAGAGAGTACAAGAAGCTACGCAGACAAATCCTATATTGCTGATAGCCGGACGACACGATCACTGGGCCATCGAGGACTGAGCAGCAGCAGCGGGATCCATATCATCCTGACATACAAATCAGCATTATTATCCCACCCCCCTAATCTCCCAAAATCAAAAATTAAGAAGAAAGAGAGAAAAAGACATACCATATGATTACACAATGCAACAAACAAATCAAAAAACATCTTCCCCCCGCGCTCCATCTCCATTTGCATCGTGCCACTCTGCTTAAAGGTCTCGCGACATCGAACGATAAGTGCCAGATAATGCGCACGCAGCTTGGACTCGGTGTCCGGTGTGTGCGCGTAGGCGTACCGCGCGCTAGCGAGGATGGTGCTGCATGAAATCCCGGCATGGAGGCCTTGTTTGCGCAGGGCGAGGCGCTGGAGCGTGGGCAGGGTGTATTTTTCTGCTGCGCAGCTGGGTTTGTTAGCTGTTCTTTTTGATAGGGTGGGGAGAGAGGGAGGTAAACGGGAGGAAAAGAGGATCGAGGGTAAGTAGGAAGGGAGAGGGACATACTAGACAGCCGTATCTCGCAAAATCAACCCTTCAACCTCAGCACAGAATATCGTCGCCCCATGATCATCCGCACTACTTCCTCCCTCCCCCTCCCCCTTAGGGCCGTCATCATCTTTCCCCCCCTCCAACACCCAGCACCCCTTCTCCTGGTCCCGTCTCAACCGCGGGGAATAATCTCCTTTGTACAGATACTCCAGCACACATGCAAATACCTCCGGCTGCTCATCGGGCAGATCGATCCGTCTCGCAGGCGGGTGGTGCGGCGGTGCCCGGGTGCGCGAGCTGAAACTGCGACAGCGCGATGCGAAGAAGGGAGATGAGCTGAGGATGGATTCGTGGGCAGCGAAGAGGCGCTTGGAGGGACCGACGCGGAGCATTACTACGGCTGCTGCTGATGAGGTGGATGGAGAGGGTGAGCTTTGGGCGTTGATTCGGTTAGTTAGTGGTTTGTGTAGTGGATGAATGAATGGGTTTGGATTGGTATAGATGATTTGATTGCCCTGTAGCTGGGAGACGTACACTTCATCGGGAGGATGGCTCGGTTTCCGTCGTCGGTCCAGACGTCTACTTTCTCTACCTCTCATGACAGACTTGGAAGCTCGGTACCGAGCTGAAAGCGCATCAGGAGGCTGTGTTGGCTTTCGACTGGACAGCATGCTGCAAAGTCATGGACACCGATGAAGATGAGACGACCCAGAAAGACTCAGGGGCTTTGCCAGCTCTTTATACGCCGCTCAGGAGGCCAGGCAGGTACGAGACGATGCCCCGTCGGGCCTTGTATTGCTGATCGGTGGGCCACTGCCCAGTCAGAGCACCCAACGGGGGCCCATTGGACAGCCCCCGAACGCGTACGAGCTTGTACTAGGCGTGTACGGCGGACGCCAAATGGGCGCGTGGTCACGTGTGCTGCCAATTTAGCCATATTGGGCAAGTTACAGGGGCATGAATAGCGGGAGTGTAGCTTAGGATGGCGGGCAGCCAGCTGCAATTGCAATATACAACCATACCCGGGACGCTACGTACAATTCATCCCTTCATTCATCGATCCACTCGAAAACGCCAAACGCCACGATTCCCGTGATATAGCCCAGCTCAAAAAAGGAGGGAAACAAGTCGAAAAGAAAAGAACGGAAAGTTACAAGAACACCTTTCGAGCGTCCTTAAAATGGCTCTCGTTCGGGCAGTATGGGCATTTGAACCTATTGCCCTTGCTCAGCCGCTTCAATGACTCCTCAGCAATGACGTGCCCGCACGGCATCATCATCGGCGGATTCTGGTCCGTCGCTTGCTCCTTGGAGACGGGGCAGACGAAAATGGAGTGGAAAAGGTACGAGGGAGGAAGCGAGATTTCGACCTAGACGGATGTGAGTGTCGGGGGAAAAAGGAAAAAAAAAGGCGGCCGGGTTCACACTTACCGGAAGCTCATTCTCGGTCGTCCATTCCGTCCGCTTGGCCTTCATGATCGTCTGCAGCTTCAACAATGTCGGCAGCGCAATTGCGCCGGCGGTGGCGGCGATATACAGCGGCGAGTCAGCGGACAATCCCAGCAGCGAGCAGAACTCGCGCGTAAACGAATGGGCGACATCCTCCCACGCGGACGGATTGTTGAAGATAGACCCATAGGGCGAACCCTGCAGGTTGGAACAAAAGGCCATGGCGCCCATCAGCTGCTGGATCTCCCGGAGATAGCGGGGCACAAAGGAGTGGAACTCCCGCCGGGCGTATTCCAGGGCTGCCTGCCGGCCACTTGTCCCAGTCACCTGCTGGTCCGATGCGCCGTGGTACAGCCAGACAAACTGCAGCCGACACAATTCGAATTCCAGGTTACTGCCGCGAGCTTCCAGCGCCTCGCGGTTCTCTCTCGACCATTCGATGGCTGGTAATAGGTTGTAGTTCTCCTGCATTTGCTGGAGGATGTAGTACATCGCCGCGAACTGCTTTCGGATCTCGGTGGATGGGACTTCGTCGACATCGAGCAGGTTGATGGCGTGGTCCGTGGCTTTGGCATCCGGTGCATGCGCTGCCGCTCGCTTCTCGGTGATTTCGGAGAGAAAGGTCGCCGCGACGGAGAACTGGCCCTCGCGAAGGAGGTGCATCGCAATGGCGCGGTTGATTAAATGTTCTTGGGAGGAGAGAGCATCATGCTCGGTGCTGGGGAGGGGTCGGTCTTTGAAAAGCTGTTGTGCCGGGTCGTTAGGGAGGTCCATGAACGAGATGAGCGACGGGCGCAGTCCGTACCTTATCTAGAGACCTGGTGTACTTATTCAGGCCACTGTGAGTTTCCTTCAAGCTATCATTGATCGAGTCAAATGACGTCTTGACGGGATTCTGGAGTTTGGCGAGGGTGATCGACGCTTGCGTTGGATCTACAACCCGAGGGTCAGCTTGCCTCGTTCCCTGTCTAGATGGTCTTCTTACCCGCAGCGATGGCATCTCGAGCGGACTGCAGCAAGTCGATCGAGGACTGAACATTCTTAATGCTCTGCGAGGCCTTGAGCCTCTTGGAGAGCCGCTCGTGCTCCTTCTGCACCAGGTCCATGGCGGCTCGGGCAGCTCGGTGCGGCGTCGACGAGGGGACTACTCAGGGTACCGCTGCTCGGGCCGGGCAGATGGTGCCATGAGGAGGACACGGAATAGCTCAGGCTGTGTCTATGTTGGTTCCAACAAGAGCCGCCGGGGAGAAGACCGTATGAACGGGGCGAAGGGGTGCGGTGGTGGTGAGTGAGCCCATGACCTAGTCCCGTCCCGAGGATCGACTGACGCCATGGGCACGTGACTGCCCGCCTGGATGATTCGGGAGGGAGGAGTGATGGTCTGGCGAGGGAGTCCATCGTGGATCCTGTCGGGCATGTGGGACAGTTTCCGTACAGCATCCCACGCCCTGATTCCTCCTATCCTGCCCGCTCTCCCTCTCTCTCTCTCGGTCCCTCGAGCGCTCCCTATCGGGTCCAGCGGGTGACTCAGCAGATGATCTGCTGACTTAGCTGCTGAGTCATACCCGCTCTCGCTTACGCTAGCGCGCTTTCCCGGCCCCGTATTTAAGGAGGGCGCGCGCAGCCTCCTTTCCTCTTTTTTTTTCTTTTCTTCTTCATCCTAGTGCACGGGTTTTACACGCGTCAGTGAGGAGACATCCGAGACCGTGTTTTTGCTAGTTGAAAACTACCAAATTGACTACTCCAGTTGGTCTTCGGATCGTCTGGGAATTTTTGAAACTCTACTTGCCCTGACAGATCCTGCTGCTCGGGATGTCAGACTGCTCTGGTCGCCACGATCGTGGATGACCGGAGCAGGTATCGGTTCTTCTTTTCACTGCTGCTCGCCGACCTGGTTGTTGGCCTGTAGAGAAGAGAGTCTCGTTGCGGCTGTCTCGTGGGGTTGACTGGAGGTGTTGCCCGTGGCGAGGGAAGGGAAGGGCAAGCGACAATAGTCTTCTGGTACCCTCCTTTCTCTCTTGACAGTAGATTGGTTCCCGTTCATGATGCATTTACCGTATGCCACCGTCTCCCGCCGTCCATCCCTCCCATGATCCCCCTTCGCGTCCCTTGCCTGGCTCATGCCAACCGACGGCGGTGGCGTCCCAGGAGCAGGCTCTCTCGAGCCCGACGGCGGCGGCACTTGCACCTTGGCCTCTTTTGCGAGCGGTCAGGGCCACCATACCATCTCGTTCGCCAACACTCCCTGTAGCTCCCACGATAACACATGATTGATGCTGGATCTTGTCGGTCCTGCAATCGGGCGACACGATCCCCTTCACTCGTTTCGTCGGGCCCCAAGTTAAGAGAGGCGACATCAAACCCCAGCGCGTGGAGATCCGGTGTATGTACGAATAACACTCGGGCAGGCACTTAACCTCAGACATTTTTCGTAGAAATGTACCTAGTAGAGATAATGGCAGTTACTTGAACTACAAGGAGATCGCCCATTCACCGCCCGCCCGGGTGACGTCGACCTGCGGGTTTCCGCTTCCTGTCCACTGCTTCCCTTCTCACCCCTCGTGACTTTGTCTTCCTGGACATGTCCACCCGCTGCTTCGCCCCGACCAGCACTGTCGGAGGATCGAGGGAAGGTCGGCTCCTTTCTTCGAGTGACCGGTGGCGGTAGACAGCAGACTATGATGCAGCCCACGACCCCCGGCCCGTCTTCGGATCGACCCGATTCCGTGCAAGGCAGTCCCGCCTCGCTCCAGGAAAGCAACAAGCCATCCCCACAGCACGGCCACCAGCGCCTCGTCTTCACCGACCCCGTTGCCTTGCGGTACCTCGAAGAAGACCCCTCGACCGACGTGCTCCACCGCCGCGCAACCCTCCAGGGCTACGAACTCTACATCGTCGAGCAATGGGCCTGCTCCCGAACCCATCCCACCTTCGTCATCTCGACCTACACCGGCGATCTCTCGCACAAGGTGATGGTCGGGGTGCTCAGTGTTCCCACCGATGAGAGTACATGGTCGCCGCGGTTGAAACTGTATTTTGATGCGGTGAAGCAGCATGGTACCCGGAAGAAGGATACACCCCTAGGGACGGTCATTGTGACGGATCTGGGTTCATTCCCTTCCGCCCTGACTGTCATTCCGGTGCCCGAGGGCGACATCAAGAAACACAGAGAGGATTTTATTGTCAACGAGAACTTGAAGAGACTGGGCTGTGCAGGCCGCGCAGGTCTAAAGCTTCAACCACCGTCAGCGGCTACCGAGGCCAAATTCCACCAGCTATACCGAACAAGTGAGAGGGTGCCTCTCTACCGTGCCGTCCTCGAGCTGGTCAAGCTGTGCCAGGTGGCTTTGTTGGTTTTTGGTAAACTTGGCCCGGAGTATATTGATGGCCTACTCTGTGACGTGACAGAAGGGGCTGTTGCCGACTGGTGGACAGATATCGGGACGGACCTGTACAATATCGAGCCGAGCGACGGCAACCTGGGACCGACGACTGTGGCTGCCCTGCTGGGCACCCTTCTGGGCGCTCGAAACCGATTACATGCCTACGGAGCACCCGTGGCCAAGGATGCATTCGACATTTCCAGTCTGAAGAGAGGAATTGGCAGTTTCCAGAAATCGCAGAAGATGCCTCGGACACGGAGACTGGATCGACAAACTTTGGATCGACTCCATCGGGCCACGACCAAGGCAGCGAACGCTGAAGGGTGGACGGACGCAGTGAAATCTACAATGGCCGAGCTCAGCGGACAAGGAGGCGAGATGGTCATGGGGATGGTTCGCGGCCGCGAGAAAGGCGGTATTGCTGATATTGAAACCCTCGACCTGGACAACTTTGTCCAGTGCTGCTCGGGAGAACGAGCGAAATGGTTGTGGCTGGGCAAGCCACGCAAAAGTGGGCTTGATGACCGCTTCACGCGCGGGCCAGCAGCGGACATGATGTTCACGACCGATGAGCAAGGTGGCTACGTCTGGACAAGCCGAAGAAGAAATTCCGCCGAGGACTTGCTCGCTGATCGACTGGGCGCTGCATTCGACCGCCCCAGCAAAGTGTTGGAGCCTTCCTCAGAGGAGAGGGACCAGAAACGAAAAGGTGTCAGCGAACGAGTCTCGGATGCACGGGCAGGGCTTGGCCGCTTTAAGGATGCAGTTGGGTTGCCGGGTCTTCGGTCACATCATAGCAAGCCATCACGAGATGGCGTAGGCCTGACTCACGACGTAGCTTATCGTCCGTTGAGTGACAGTGACACGGAGATACCACCATCTGCAAAGGCGCAGTCTAATTTCGCCTTGCTATCCGAACCCAAAAACGAGATTTCAAGCCAACCACTCTCCGAGGATGAGCTTGAGCCTCTAAGTGCTATCGAGTCCGAGGCTAAAGCACCTGAGATCCACATTCAACCAGCACCTCCGGCGCGAGATTTCGGGTCACCGCCACAACCGTCGGATCAGCCTGCAACGGAGCAGGCTTCCCGAGGACGGGAACCGGACTTGGACATTGACCGTACCAGAACCCGGTCCACAGCAGCATCGAGCGAACGAGAAGAACAAGTCCCTGGACTGGCCGTCATGGCTCTGCGACGGCCTCAAAGCTGTGATGATTTCGATAAGGCGGATAAACAGCTCTACCGACGAGACAACTACTATGCTCGTCATCTGTCCTTTACTGCTGTCGAAGAAGTCGTGCTGGGCTGGGAGCCGCTGGTCGGCAAGGTATCTGTTGACGACACCGTCGAAGCTACGCTGGAGGAGGCAGTTGCCCAAGAAGATATGCTTGCCTCCGACGCGCGGATCTTCAGCTCCCGGATGCTTGAATTGAGTCAATACACCGTCCCCTGGGTCGAACGGCAGGTGGACTCCGTCGATGAGTTGAACCGAATCCTGTACGACCGACACGAAGAACTGAATTCCGTCTACCTGGAACGATTGGGCGATTTTCAACGACTCCGCGAACGTTCCAGCGACCTGCTCACCGACGAGCAAGCCCATCTCGGCGACAGCGTGAAGCGCGTGGAGCTACTGGGCGCCAAATTGGACTACGAACTACATGTGCTCGAGTCCAAGGTCGAAGACATGGAGGACGGACTGAGCGATTTCGAGCGCCACATCGTGAACGTCGAGACGAGGATCAAGGCCCTCCTCCGAAACGAGGAGCAGCACAGTGGCTCCTCGTGGGTTACCTGGCTGGGCCGGTCCATTGGCTTCACTATGCAGTGAACGATTGAGAGGGTGGTTGTACGATAGTTCCATTTTCTGGGATCTTCTTTCCTTGCCCACCACGCTATTGTACATAGAACGTTGGATCTCGCCTTTCCAACCCGCGATGATCCAGACAGACTCCTAAATAGAAAGATATGACATGACGCTCTGCAATTACATGCCAAAGCCCATCCCGCCACCCTGCTTGTTGGCCGCCTCGCCCTGCATCTTCTCGCTGACCTTGATGTTGACGTCGAAGAACTTGGATACGCACCGGTCCAGACACACGGACTCTCCCTTGTTCAGATCGCCTTCCCGGTAGTCGGCGGGGACGCACTTCTTGGTGCAGGACTCGGTCAATCTGATTGATTGTCATGGGTTAGTCTCTCTTCCTTTGGTGTGGTTGCTGGAGTCACGGCAAGATCTTTCTTTCGTACCGGTTGAACATGTCGGAGATCATCTCGACCTCGGTCTCAGCGGCAGCAATCTTCTCTGCCGAGGACATCTTGGGGGCACCGCCGAAGAGGAAGGACATGTTGATCGTGTGATGGGATGATAGGTCAGAATCAGTGGGAGTGGGAGTCGTTGAGTTGTTGCTCGGGACGTAATCACGAGTGAGGTTGAGCCAAGGCGGAAAGAAAGCTTGGACCCGCCGAACCCGAATTTTCTTCTTCCCTTCCTTTTCTTCCACACTTTCCCACCCATCATGCATTCAGTGCGCCCTCGGGCAGTGTGGTCGGGCTTGGGCAGGAGGTAAGAATCATGTCTTTCTTTCTTTTCTGACTTTCAATACTTTCATGATGATTTTCCCATTTGCTTCAGAACCGCTGCAACTGATGCTCCTCGCGGGCACATGAGCTTACAGGAACTCCAATTCTGACCTCTCATTCTTGACCCTATTGAACCACTCACTTATTGGTTGTGTGCCCGGGCTAACCCAGAGCTTTAGCACAGGATTGCGTCCCTATCTCCAGACCCCCCGACACCAACCACAACTAACCAAGCAGCCCCTGCGGAAAGGTAGCACGACCGCGTCCTCCCCTGAAAAGGCGTTCCAGGAGCGACTGCACGAGATTAGCAATGCCTGCGCAGACCCATACCCGCGCCTTGCGGTCGGCCCGCGCTCTCTGAGCTGTGAGCAGTTCCGCGCGCGGTACGGCCAGCTGGCGGATAATGAATCAGTAGAGGACACGGTCGTGGTCACTGGTAGGTTTTTGCAGCCATATATTCAACGTCATGCCATGTATACTTAGATAGCTTAGGTAGGATCCGTACCTATAGACTCGCGGGGAGCAAATTGATCTTCTTCGATATCGTGCAAGATGGCCACAAACTGCAGGTAATGTGCAACCAGCGCCGACTGGACGGCGTGGAGCCCGAGCAGTTCAAGCGGCTATTCCGTCTGCTGCGAAGGGGAGATGCCTTTTGTATGTTTCTCTTCGATCCTGTCTTGTACACCTTTCCCCTAACTAAACCCATGTCAAAGCGATCACCGGCAAACCGCACCGGACTGGCCGCGGCGAACTCACCATCGAGACGACGGAACTGCCTCAATTGCTCTCGCCGTGTTTGCACGATATCCCCGTCCACGACTCCACGCATGAAACCTCGCCGTACCCGCGCCATGTGCAGTTCCTGGCTGATCCCGCTGTCGCGGATGTCATCCGTGCCCGATCATCGATCGTCCAGTACCTGCGCCAGTTCTTTTTGGACCGGTCGTTCATGGAGGTCAACACCCCGATTCTAGAGGCTGTTGCCGGCGGCGCGGTTGCGCGTCCGTTCTATACATCTGCCACGGAATTCCCCGAGCGGCAGCTGTCGCTGCGAATTGCGCCGGAGCTGTGGCTGAAGCGGCTGGTTGTCGGTGGGTTCGACAAGGTCTTTGAGATTGGGCCGTCGTTTCGCAATGAAGGTGTGTATATCTTTCTGGGAAAGTTGAACCAAATGCTAACGAACGAGCTATAGGTCTGGATAAAACACACAACCCCGAATTCACCACCTGCGAATTCTACCACGCATACGCCAACCTCGAAACCCTCATGTCCATGACCGAGGACCTTCTCTCCGGCATGGCCGCCCACATCCGCGCCTTCAATGCCCAAAGGGGAACCCTCAATCCCACCCCCGTCAACTTCACCGCGCCCTTCCGCCGCATCGACTTCATCTCCGGCATCGAATCCCAAATCAATCGCAAACTCCCCGATCTGACCTCAGCCTCCGCTCTCTCCGAAACCCGCCACCTATTTGATGCCCTCTCCCTTACCCTTCCCGAAAATGCAACCCTCCCGCGCCTCCTCGACGAGCTAGCCGCCATCTATCTCGAGCCCCAATGCAAAGACCCAACCTTCCTCATCAACCCGCCAGAATGCCTCTCCCCACTCTCCAAATCTTTTATCCATCCAGCAACACACCAGCGCGTCGCGGCGCGCGGGGAACTTTTCATCGAAGGCAAGGAGGTCGTTAATACCTACGAAGAGGAGAACTCGCCGTTTGAGCAGCGCCGCAAGTTCGAGGACCAGCTGCGGTATTCCCGGGAGGCCGGTGAGCCTGGAAATGTCGATGAAAGTTATCTCGAGGCGCTGGAATGGGGATTACCCTCGACTGGGGGGTGGGGGTGCGGTGTTGATCGGTTGGTGATGCTGTTCACGGGGGCGAAGCGCATCGGGGATGTGTTGCCGTTTGGGAATTTAAGGGCTGTGACGAGACGACCGACGGGGGAGAATAATCAATAATATGGTACGATAGCATAGTGTAGAATATACACAGATACAACACAAATCCTATGTACGAGGTATACGGTATGTACTATGAAGAATATCCGCTGCTAAGCGTCCAGCCCTCGTTCGGCGCGGCCCGATCTCGCGGGGAAAGAAAACTTTCTCCTTCACACAATTCCAACATCATGACAAAGGGAATCCAAGACGCAACGGTGGCCCAGGCGGTTACGGTGAGCCTGCAGGAGCTGATTGAAGGTAAGTTATAGGAGGAGTTGCATTGCGAATGAATGAAATATCTATAAATCAACTGCGATCTAATAATGCGGACATCGTCCACCCCCACAGGCACCGTCTCCTTCGACACGTTGACCGAAGCCTTCGGACCATCCTCCTTGGGGATTATCGTCGTCAAGGACCTCCCAGCGGACTTTGTGAAATTGCGCGCCCAGGTCCTCTCTAATGCGTCGTATCTCGCTGCTCTCCCAGCTGAGGAACTAGGTGAACCACTTCCATCCCACCTATTACAGCAAGGAAACTAACGAACGAACCACCCAAAGAATCCCTGGAAAGCCCCCAATCCAAGTACCTCGTCGGCTGGTCCTGTGGCAAAGAAACTCTCAAGACAGGGCACTTCGACACGTTGAAGGGATCCTACTACGTCAACTGCGCCTTCTACCAAGACCCCTCTCTGCAAAGCGCGCCAGCAGACGGTTTTCCAGATTTGCCGCAGTACACGGCGCCCAACATCTGGCCGCCCGGCGCACGTCTGCCCGGTTTTCGGGACGGGCTCGAGCAGCTCTGTGCGCTGATTATTCGCACCGCGGCGCTCGTTGCGCAAGCTTGTGATCGCTACGCTGAGGCTAATATCGACGGCTATAAGCCTGGTTATTTGCATCATGTCGTTACGACCAGTTTGACTACCAAGGCGAGGCTGTTGCATTATTTTCCGGCGCCGGAGACGGAGGCACAGAAGGATTCTGGGCTTGAGGGTGAGGAGGAGGAGGATGATGATGATGATGATTGGTGTGCTACGCATATCGACCACGGCTGTCTGACGGGTCTCACATCGGCCATGTTCCTTGACGAAGCTGCTTCACCTCCCACTCTACCTACATCTTCATCTTCATCGTCCCTCCCTCTCCTCCACGAACTCCCCCGCTCGCCAGACCCGCAAGCAGGCCTCTACATCTCTTCCCGCACGGGCGACATCGTCAAAGTCAACATCCCCAAGGACTGCCTCGCCTTTCAAACAGGGGAGGCCCTCCAACTCATCACGCAGGGCAAGTTCCGTGCCGTCCCGCACTTTGTGCGAGGTGCGCGATGCCCAGACACGGCGGAGTTCGAGAATGCGAGGATTGCGCGCAATACGCTGGCTGTTTTTACCCAACCGAATCTGGCGGAGGAGGTGCAGGCGGGTGTCTCTTTTGCGGAGTTTGCGAGGGGGGTTGTGCAGAAGAACTATTAGGTATTCTACATTTACATTTACATTACATCTACATCTACATCTACATCTATTTTTGGGAGTCAGTTCGGTTCATTGCAATTGATATCTAATTGTACATTTTGAAGATGTGGTGCAATGCAATGCTGCGCTCGCTAGCTGATTCGAGAAAGGGGATCATGGGGGTATCTGTTCATCAACATCATGGGTTGTGCTCGAGTGTAAGATCAGCTCGAGCATAGACCAGTGGGTGCTCATTAGTTTCCGGGCTGGTAATCGCCGAGTTCGGTCTCTTCAGTTCCTCCACGGAAATACAGCGGTTGCGGTTGACCTCCAAAGGGGTCGTCCTCTTCGCTCGAGCTGGACTCAGCCTCGGACTCCTCCTCGCTGTCCACGGGAATGGCATTGCCAGGAACGTTGCCCCTGACGGTGTATGCGCCGTTGACTCTCTGCCGTTTGCCGCTCTCGGACTTCACTTTTTTCTCTTCCTTTATCTCCATCTCATTCTTTTCTTCCTCCTTTGCATTTTCCTCCTCCTCTTCCTCCTCCTCCTCATCATCATCATCGTTAGAGACTTGTCCCAACCCCGTGCTAATGAGCTTGCTCGTCTTCCCCAGCTTTTGAAGGTCCGAGTCCTTCTTAAACGGACGGCCACGCTTCCGAGGCAGACGGGCATCGCGCGCGTCAGTGGGAGTTGCCTGGCCGTCCAGAATCCGGAAGACAGCCAGCCAGGGTCTCATGTGAATGGGATGGTCGGGATCGTACTCGACGTCGAGATTGGGATCCCGTCGCTGCTCAGCTGCCACGCCAACATCATATCCGTTCACACTCTCCAGACCCAATGTCTCGGCGCGGTAATCGCCCCAGAACCAGGTGCTACGCTCTGGCATGCGGGCATCGGCGATGCGGGAGTAATCGCGGCCCGCGAGGATAGCTGGTAAGTCATTTCCGAGATTATGATTTCCCCAGTGGAACAAGTGGGCGTCAGGTTCGTAGCACCGACCGAGAATCATATCCTGCGACACAACGGCCGTCTTGCCTTCAGCCACGCGGTACCAGTGGCCGTATTTGTTCATGATGTTCAAGTTCAATGCGGTGGCTACCTCCTCCATCGACATGGATTGCAATGGGATATTCCCAAACACCGCAGTGTCAGGTCGGTTTTTGTCGAGAGTGTAGATTTTGCCCTTGATTCGAGAGCTATACTGGTCTGCCAGATGCTCATCATCCGGATCATCGATGCAGTCCTTCAAGTGCACTTCGATCGTTTCAATAACCATCACATCGGTGACTTGGGAAAGGTTGGTTCCGTCGCGCGAAAGCGGACGGAGTCGCACCCTGTCGCCCACAGCTAGCAGCTCCGCGCCGATCCAGATTCCCTGGCAGAAGATGGAGGCGTTCGGCCATGTGCCCTTGAAGCGGTAGCGGGACACGACGCTCCACGAGGACATGGTTATCATGGCGTTTTCGATAGACGGGTCCCATTTATCGCGAGGAATGTTATGCAGGAAACACTGCCAGAAGCCGAACGGCTTGATGCAGCTCAGCGGGAGATATTTGTTGAACAGCGAGTCAGACTTGTCATCCTCAATCGGGTGCGGGAGGGCTTCAACCCGGAAAAGAGAAGAGGTCCAGTCTTTGGGTCCTTTGTTCGAGGCCGAGTTCCCGGGCTCCCTGTCCTCGGGTGTGATGATTTCCTGGCAGAGGATTTCTTCCAAGGGAGTCTGTGTGATAATGCCAGCGAACCATTTGGGTTCGCGGACCCATTCACCCTTGTCATTGCGCACCATGAGGGCTTCGGTATCTGGGTTGAACTGGAGGTATTCTCCGGGCTTGAGAGACAACGGAGTCCAGAGCACCGTCTCCCCGTGGCGGGGGAGGAAGGCAGGTTGGAGCGTCAGCATTTCGAAATATTCCGCGAGGTGATCGTTGGTGAAACGCCAGTCCATATTCATGCGCTCTTCGATCAGCTCGTCGATCGTCTCAGGAGCCTTGGTCTTCATGTTCGCGATAGCAACCCGGAGCACGTCGACATCAGTCGGGACACTGCGGTCTCGACGCTGGCGAGCGCGAACGGGAACCATGTTGCGGGCTGTGGAAAGGGTTAGACTGTGATCTCAGTGGAATGGCAAAGGAGAATAGCGTACTCTGCGTCTGAGGTCTGGTATCAGGAGTTTTTGATTTCCCACAGAGGTCACAAGGGCAGTTGGCAAGAGTGTCGGTCATCAAAGCGAAGAAGTGTGGGTAGAAGCGAATCCTGGATTGGTAATACTTTCCGCTGGGATGGCCGAAGAGAAATTTATCGCGCTGTTGGGAACATAGTTAGACATGCTTCCAGTAGCCAGCACGAGAAGAAGAACAACAACAGCAGCAGCAGCAACAACAACGTACAGGGGCTTTCGGGTCGCCCCCGCGGGGGCGATCACAGAGCAGGTAGCCTTCCGGCAGGCTAGGAATGGTGTAGGTAAGGCCATTAGGAGGGCAGAAGTTGGTTGCAGTCACATTCACATCTGAGCGGATGGTTAGCCAAGGCTCGGCCGTGTCTGCAAACTGGCGTAAAGCCATGGATGGAGTAGAAACTTACTTGCATCGATCTCTCCAAGCACTCCGATATCCCTCATCCACATCATAGCGAGACCACGGCACCAATTTGTAGTGTCGGCCGTCTCATATCGCGTTGTGCCCTCCTCAGGCCAGAAGTCCTCGTTCCCATCACTGACGCCCTCAAGCGGGACGACAATCTGGGAATCTTCTTTGAATTGAGAGGACATGGTGTGGGCGATTGGGGAAGCTAGGAACTAGTAAACCGAAAGAGGAGGACCACCATGCTAAGGAGCAGAGGGTCCATATTAGGTACGATAGAGGGATGTTGCTCTCTCAAGCTACTCGTTTGCTCGATGCGATCCTTGGCGATAACAATGGTCACGTGGCGATAAGCCGAATATCTTCAGGGCAGTATCCCGCTTCAGAGGCCTTGGTAGGAATCCCAGTCACCTGTATTAGATGAAAAGGTGACTATTGATTCTTCTCTTATTTAATACTCATATATACTAACTAGACCCTGTCCATCAATTAGCACTCTCAATAGGGCCCTCTGACATGGGCTGGTCTTCTTCCTCCTGGTACGGCGGCGGCGCAATTTCGCCTTCGCTAGTCCAGACCTTGCGGAGTTCATTCTCAATCTCCTCGCGGCGCATCTTCCACTCATCCACGCGATCAAGCCGTTTCCGCAACTCTTGCAGCTCTTTCTCAACGCCAAGCTTCTCCTTCTCGGTGCCAATCCGTTCAAACTCCCACTGCTCGCCTTCAACGCCGAGTCCGAGAGTGAGATTATAGGTGTGGTACTTCTTGAGGGATGCGCGAGTTGAGATGGTGATGAGCGTGATGCCCCGCTCCTTGGCTCGCTCGTACAGCACACCCTCGACATCGGAAGAGACGGCCGACGTGCCTTCGTCGATAAATGCATATCGCGGCTCATGGTAGAACAGTCTCGCCAGGCCCATGCGCTGCTTCTCGCCGCCGCTGAAGACGTCCTTCCACTCCTTGCGAGCATCCCAGCCGCCTTCGCGCGCAGGTAGATACCCCAGATGCGCGGCGTCGAGGATCTTCTGCAGGTCGGCGTCGGAGACTTCGCCCTCGCGCATGTCGATCTCGGTGTGTGGATAGATGACCTGATCGCGCAGAGTACCTACACTCAAATAGGGCCGTTGGGGAAGGAACATGATGCCATCAAGACCAAACCCACGGGGCCGGCTGACGAGACCGCGATACACGGGCCACAGTCCTGCCACGATGCGAGGAATCGCAGACTTGCCCACGCCATTGGGACCGGAAATGAGAAGATGATCGCCCGAATGCACGATGAAAGACAGCGACTCGATGAGCTCTTCCCCTCCGCGTGGATGGAGAGATGGTGCGACTATCGGGACCTGCTCCAGGCGAACCCCATCGAAGCCGTTATGGATGGTTCCTTGCGAATCCGCAAGAGAATAAAATTCAGGATGTGTGCCTCGGGGCATATAGTATGCGTTGGCATGAACGCGGTGCAGGGTGGCAATCAGACTGTACACCCGCGAGGTGTATCCGGCCAGTTCAGAGATATCCTTGATGCTGTACATCATGCGGCCACCTGCATCCGCCAACGAAAGCATGAGGCGCTTGTTGGTGATGAACTCCTTCATTCGGCCTCGTTCGCGGCCCATGCCCTCGGGTGCATCAGCCAATTCCATGGCACCACCCATGCCGCCCCAGGCGGGAAGGAAGATAGGCAGTGAGGTGACGAGATAACCAAAGGCTGACCACGAGTACTTCAGAATCATATCTTCGAGCATGTTGTACCGGATCTTGAGGCTGTAAATGCCTTCCATCCAGCGCTGGAGGTCCTTGAAGCTGCGGACCAGGAAGACTCGCTCGATATCGGCTCCGCCGTAGAACGAGATTTCTTCCGCATTGGCCAGAAGTCGCGAGTGCAGACCGCGGAAGTCGCCTTCCCTTTTGCCCTCGACTGCCTTGAGCTTTCCGAATGGAGGTGACAGCTTCCGGAGTACCACGGCTGTACTGAAATAGCCCGTGAGAATCCCGCTCAAGGCCAGAGGCCCAAGCGAACGGTACAGCTGGTAGTTGAACACGAACAGATCCACCAGAGGCTTACCCATGGATGAGTACAGCGCCGCGGCGGACGAACAGAACAGAGTGAGATCTTGCGTGATGAATTGATCGGGACCATGGCCAATGCCGCCGTCCAGATTCATCAACTTGTAATAATTGTTATTGTCGGTCAGGTAGAGGTCATGGATATACCTCGTCAACCGAGTCCGGAAGGCGATCGACACCTTGGCCTGAAGGAATTTGATCATTGCATTGGTGTACGATGCGAGGGTTCCAATACCGCACCACTTGACGATGCCCCAGGTGAAGGCACGACCTTTGCCGGCAACCAAATCTCTGACAATCTCACCATCCAGCCGTGCAATCAGCAGCGAGAGATATGTTCTCAGCAGGAGAAACACGCCGTGGCTCATCAGCAAGCCAGTTTCCTTGCTTCCCCATCGCGGGACCATGATGCTGCCGAGACTGAGAAATTGATGCAGGAAGGCCAAGTTCAGACCTGGTTTCGTTGTCGGTGGGGGAATTTGGGTTGCTGAGCCATCATCTTTGGCCCGCGCAGATGCTGGGGGGTTCAGGAACAGTCGTCGGTGCGCATCGAAGGTGGTCGGCTTGGTCGGGTGAATCAACACCTTGGAGGTCTTGGATCCCTTGTAGGGAACATAGATGGTTCGCGACCCATCTTTACCCCGGATTCCCGAGTTTCGACGCAGCAGACGGCGGCCCTGCGCCCGTTCTCTTGCTCGTTCCCGGAACCAGGTGTACCCACCGTATCCTGACCCGATGATGGACAGGAGCAGTGTGATGGTGGCGATTATTCGAGTTATGCGGGAGCTTTTGCGAATGCGTGAACGCAGAAGGTCGGAGTAGTGGAGATATAGCGCCAGGAGGGGATCCTGCGGACGCTGAAGCGTCGACTGGGCGGCCATGCTGACAGCCACTGAAGCCCGATGTGAAGCCTCTCTCGGTGTCTTGAGATGCCTCAATGGCGGGTGGTTGTTTTACATATGAGGGTTGGAGGCCATGCTCCTGATGCCCGAGCAGTGCAGAGCAAGAAGGAGAGGAAGCAGACAAGAGGGAAGGAAGCAACGACATCATGGCATGTGAACAGCCTCGGTGCCCGAGAAAGTCACGTGGCCGGGGTACTGGGTCACGTGGTTGCTCCATAGCCTGGTGTTTTGCTTGGAGAGACACTATCTGAAATATCGACCAGGTAATAATGCCGAGAGTATGAAATGGCAGTCGGCAGATAAATGGGTATGGAATCAAGAAATGATACCCAGAGTACAGTCACAGAGAGCACGATAGAATTGTGCTACTTGAGTGATCTGGACAATGGAATTCGCTGGTAGGAAAACAATCAGCTCCAGAGTCACGAAGGATAGTGAACAGGGATACTCTACTCACGACGAGAGAGAAGTGTGGAATCATTTGGGTGATTATCATTGGTAGGCCAAGAACAATTTCCGGTCTACCCACCGTTCCTAAACAGTGAACTCGATCAACTTCACGGGATGTGGATCAGGCACACACTACCCCATGTCCTGTCCTCTATGCACACCAGGATAAAAATAAATCTCACTATAGCCAAGCTTCTTATAATTGTAGCCTTGGCCGCGTCACATCCTAACATGACCATCAGCACGTTGTGGTCAAACAGCCTCGTGGCGCCGGGCCAGGGAACAAGGGGGCCTGTGCAGCCCGCCAGCCAGTGGTGAAATCAGAGTGGAGCTCGATCTGATCGGATGGTGATTACTACCTTTTGTGCGAAAATCATGCTGGCTCTGCAGGAAGTAGTGCTGGTTCTGGTCCAGGCCCAACTAGTCTCTCAGGGGGCCGGGTGCTGGGTACTTGGCTCGTCCCTTTACCCGACCCGGCAGAGAAGGTACCTGGTACTGTAGCGATGTGACGACCACTCTGACTAGAGCACTAGCCGCCGACGGCTGAGGAGAGAGGAGACAGTTACCATACCGTAATCCTAGTTCGCTCGTAAATAATGGCCTGCCCCCCCAGACAGACAGACAGAAAGGCAACTCCAGGGCTTCCAGAACACGTGACCTCGTTGACTCCTCTTCTTGCTCTCCACCCCCGAGCACTTCTTTGCGTCCCATCGGATCTTTCCACGGTTTCTTGTTGCTTTCTCTGAGCCTGCGTGTGTTGTTGCCATCCTTGGCGTGCTGAACAGCCAATAGTGTTGGCTGATTATCTGGGGGGCTCGTTGAAGGCGGTACGTGCAGTGTTCCAACGCCAGAGAGCTCAGGGCGCTTGCTTATCCAGGAGGTTGGCCCATGTTCACAGCCGCGCTCCCTCATTCCTCGTGCTGGTGAGACTTCTGGCCTGCTGCTGCATCCCCTCGAGTGCTTGTGCACTACTGGATCCTTTGCGCTGGACAGCCTTCCTTCGCAGCTGCCCCCGATGCGTGGCGCGAGCACGGGGCGAGACTCCTCTGCCTCAGCTCCGCCTACCCAAGCGCCCATGAATTCCACCCCTGGACAGTCGGACCCGAACAGTAAGTCAATGCGCATGACCCTTCTCCGGCTTGTTGGCGCCCAGAGAACATTGCCCCCCTGACGCGTTTCGTTCTCCAGGTCCTGAATCGCCCCCAAATCCAAGTCGCGCTGCCGCCGAGACCGAGATTCAGCCCACCGAGCAGTCAAACCAGGCTTCATCTGCCGTCGCATCGGCATCGAGTTCTCCCGAGGCTGCTGAAAGTGCAGACGCTCCGAAAAAGCACCACCTCCTGATCCCGATGCCGTCCAGACGCTCCTCGAAGAAGGCAGACAAACCTCCCGTGTCGGAACAGACCGAAGAGACTGGACGCAAAGAGCCGACTCGGCGTCCGTCGAAAGTGAGCATCTTGAAAGCGGGCAGAGACCGGAGTAGGGCCAGCAGCCGCCGGTCGCGCCGGACGCAGCAGGACGTGGCGAATGTGGAAGAGAGCAAAGAAACTCCTGCTCCCGCGATAAACGGTCCCGCGAGACCTCAGAAGAAAGCACCTAACAAGTTGTTTGCTTTTCTGAGTTGCTGTTCTTCCCCGGACATTGATGCTGACGATGCGACCCTGCCCGCAAAGAAGACGACCAAGCGGCAACCGGTTGGAGGCCGGTTGCCCACCCCCGACAAGGCGGAAGTCCACAATGGCGACTCGAGCACGGCCGAGTCGAGAGACCCGGCATACTTTGGTGATGAGAAAGCGAGCTTGACAGTCAGCGCAGACCAAGCGCAGTCTCAGGCCGAGGAGGAACGCAGTTCAGCTGCGACTGATGTGCAGGCAACGGCCGCGGGACTCAGCCAGCCTGAGGCTGGCGCCTCCCCTGTGTCCAAGGAACAGTCCGAGCATCATGCTACCAATGGGACGATAGCCGAGTCGAAAACGGAGGGCATTCAGCGACCAAATGAGCCTCCCAGCCCGGTGCCTGAAGAGCCGGCCGCTGAAGCAATGTCACCCAAGAGGCCCGGCGACGGTGTTGATGAGTCGTCCCATGAAGAGGTGGTGCAGTCCACGACAGTACTTCCCCCGCCGCCACCATTGGCGCCGCCCGCTCCCCAACCTCGCTCTGGAACCGACGAAGATCAACAGTGGTTGTTGGGGCCTCCGCCGCCTCACCTCAAAAATCGAAAATGCCTTGTCCTTGATCTTGATGAGACTCTGGTTCACAGCAGCTTCAAGGTAAATAGATTATGCTTTTGCAATGTTGCTAGTGCTCACCTTTGATATAGGTCCTTGAACGCGCCGACTTCACTATCCCAGTGGAGATTGAAGGCCAGTATCACAATATCTACGTAATCAAGCGGCCCGGTGTGGACCAGTTCATGAAGCGCATGGGCGAGTTGTATGAAGTAGTAGTGTTTACGGCATCGGTTTCCAAGGTATGTACCAATCTCCCCTTCCCCCACCACATGCGCTGATTGTGTTCCAGTACGGTGATCCTCTGCTGGACCAACTGGACATCCACAGTGTGGTCCATCACCGGTTATTCCGAGAGAGTTGTTATAATCACCAGGGGAATTATGTGAAGGTCAGTATCATTTGAGCGAGCAGCAATAGCAGACTCTAACTATGATGCAGGACCTTTCCCAGGTCGGACGAGACCTCCGGGAAACCATTATCATCGACAACTCCCCGACCTCCTACATCTTCCATCCCCAACACGCGATACCCATCAGCAGCTGGTTCTCTGACGCGCACGACAACGAGCTGCTTGACCTTATCCCCGTCCTAGAGGATCTGGCAGGGGCGCAAGTCCAAGATGTTAGCATGGTCCTGGACATCAGCCTCTAAAGGTCGGGGCAGGACGCCTTGCGATTCCCGTTTTTGAGCGTCTTTTCTCTTGCACGCGCGAAAAGCCTCTGTTCCAGCATTTCTTCCTCTGTCTGGGGGTTTACTTTCTTTTGGCCCCTCACGCTCAAGGGAACTGGTCTCCCTTGACGTGACCGGCGGCATCTGTTGCATTGTTGTTCTAGGATTGCCGCTTAGCCTGGCATCTTGTTGACCTTTTGCATTTGTGTGAATCCATTTGACCTGACCACCGCCCCCAGCGAGCCGGCTCACCCCCCTTTTTTTTCTCTTTCCTTGTTGTTGATTCGATTCCCTGACGCGCTCTGAAAACCTTTCTCTTTGTCTGCCCTGTGCAAGTCCTCTTCCTGTTGTTTCCTATGCATCCCGCAGGCGTCCATTGGTTCTCATGTCAATGCTGTACCCTCAGCCAGCCTTTTCTTTATTACTTGTCTGCCTCGCTACCTACGCTGCCCGCCGGTTCTCGAAACATCCCCCTCAATCCATCCTGCTTCGTTCCGATCCCTCCGCAGTGAGCGGTTTAATAGCCCCTCTCCCTCTGTGCCTCCACTACGAGGAAGGACGCGTCCTGTTGGATAGTATTGTTTGAAACTACAATGTACATGACCCATGAACCCCGCCCTGTTGCTGCCGTAGTTTTATATGTAAATATCGTCGTGTCTTGTAACTACATTAACTAACTTAACGTTAATAACCCATGTGTAGTCAGCCACTCCAAAACTCCAAAAAAAAGCTCCCCGCATCATCGTCATCTCACCCGCTCATCCCTCCAGCCACAACTCGAATCATGAAGAACAAGGAAGGCTGGGACGGAAAGCTTCGCATGGAGCCCCAGGCTGTGCTGGCCAACCCGGAGGCCTTGGAAGATTCCGATTACTCGGATCCTGACGCCCCGCCCGTGGACGAGATCCAGGCCGATGAGGGTAAGGACGGTGGTCTCCCCCAGCATGGAATGAATGAATGCTGATAACCCAGCAGATCTACTCGCCGACGAGGATCCAAACACAGAGGAAATTGACCTGGTACATTGTCGCATAACCTCCCTCGCAGCGCTCCGGTTAGAGCGCTTCCCAAAACTTCAGGTACTCCCACTGTCCCTCCCCACCCCGCCCTTCTCTCAAATCAAACACATACTGATTCCAGAATGAACAGAGACTCTGCTTCCGCCAAAACCAAATCACCAAAATCAACTTCCCGCCCAACGTCGCCGCCTCCCTCACTGAGCTCGACCTCTACGACAACCTCATCTCGCACATCAAGGGCCTCGACGAGTTCCGCGATCTCACAAGCCTGGACCTCAGTTTCAATAAGATCAAGCATATCAAGAATGTGGCGCATCTGACCAAACTGACGGACCTCTTCTTCGTGCAAAATAAGATCTCCCGCATTGAGGGCTTGGAGGGGCTGACCCAGTTGCGGAATCTGGAGCTGGGCGCGAATAAGATTCGGGTGTGTCTCTCTCCCGTTTTCTGGGTGCGAATTGATCTGATCTGTGGGCTAGGAAATTGAGAATCTCGAGACCCTCACGGCCTTGGAGGAGCTGTGGTTGGGCAAGAATAAGATCACCGAGATGAAGGTACTATATCCTCCCACTTTTTCGAATATTTATGGAGCTGACATCGGCATAGAACCTAGACCACCTAACAAACCTCCGCATCCTGTCCATCCAATCCAACCGCCTCACCACCCTAACCGGCCTCTCCTCCCTCCCACATCTCGAAGAACTCTACTTCTCGCACAACGCCGTCACCGACCTCTCCGGTCTGGAATCCAACACGGGCCTCCGCGTCCTCGACTTGTCCAACAACCAAGTCTCAAATCTAGCGCATCTCTCATCCCTCATAAATCTAGAAGAACTGTGGGCGTCGAACAACCAGCTCTCCAGCTTCGAGGAAGTGGAGCGCGAGCTGAAAGATAAGGAGAAGCTGGAGACGGTTTACTTTGAGGGGAACCCGTTGCAGACTGCTGGTCCCGCGGTTTATCGGAATAAAGTCCGGCTGGCGTTACCGCGGATTAAGCAGATTGATGCTAGTATGTATATGTTTCGTCATGGTCAGGGAGGATGTATGCTAACGTGAGGATTCTGCCTAGCTTTCGTTCGGGTTTGATTCACATGTGGGATATTCACATGTATGTGCTAGTAATGGCTCCGGTGTTCTGTCGGTTTTTATAGCCCTTTGCTGCAGCGAATACACACGATGCGATGTGCTGCTGGATCCTGGGTCAATAGCGTAGACGCTCCGATATGTGGCGCGAGTATCCTCCCTGGGCCACTGGCTCTGCTCCCTAGAGCGACGCGTATCTGGGACGCCTGTCGGAAAGGGATTCGTAGACTCCATGCGGCGGAGCAGAGCCTACATAGGGAGCTCCTCGATCCGTTCGAGTATGTTGCGCTCAGTTAATTCTCTGCCAAGTAGCACCAGCACCACTTCACCCAATATCCTTCCCACCCTCCTTCTGCTCCTTTTCAATCTCCCGCGCCCTATCCTCCTTCCCCATCTGTTCCTGTTTCTCACCCTCCATCCCCTGTCCCTTCCTCCAAAGCCCCATCAAGCTCCCCGCGCCCAGCGCCTTTGAATTCTCCGCAATCTTCTCCTTCACCGCATTCGAGATATAATACTTTCTGCTCGCGAGCACATCCGCCAATTCCCGTAGCGGGATCGCGGTTTCTTTGCCCGTCAAATCCTCGTAGTGTGGATTCTTCTTGTAGATGTTGTATGTGCTGTGGAACGGGTTGCGGCGGAGGTTGCGCGCGTGATTGTGGTATGAGGGGGAAATGGTGCATGTTAGCACTGTGGGAGGAGTGTTTGGGGCGTTCGGAGAGGAGGTAGCGGTGAGGGACGAGAAGAGCGAGGAGAGAGATGTTTTTGGCGGCGAGAGCGGGATGGTTATGGGCGACGCGGCGATGGCGCGCTCGGCTGCGTCGGGGGTGCCGAAGATGGCGAGGATAGATTCATCCTTTTTGGGATTTGTGTTGAAGACATCGTACTATTTCAATCGTCAGGGGGTCGGTAAAAGAGTGCTGGGGTCGGTTGGGCGCACCTTCAGGTTCCGAAAGGTCACCACCTCGCCGAACTTCTGCAGCGCTGCCAGCACCAGCTTGCTGTCGCCTAGCTTGCGCGGTACAGGATGTGTAGTGATGTGCACCTGGGCGCGTGTGATGGCCGAGGGAGAGGCCATCGGGACTAGTAGGAGCGAGGTTGTAGAGGGAAAAGGGAAGAGAAGTTGTGACGAATGGAATGCCGAATGAATAATGCTTGGCACTTTTCTATTTAGCCTCAAACTACACGACAACACTAGGTGACGGGAAATCGGGCGCCAAAAAAGGCGGGACCCGCAGTTGATGGGACATTTGCCTGTCATTCTGGGTTATTTGAAACATAAAAATAATATAATAAGCACATTTTACAGAACATGAAGACCCCAAAAGGTATAAGATGAATGACCGGGCGTGAAACGTAATAAGCACAGATCAAAGCGGACTCGATTTGAGGACGTCTAAGAAAGACTCGCCCCAACGTAAACTAGAGCAGTGTGGGTCAGCGACTACTAGAACTCACTCTTGCGGAATAGAAAGAAAAGACTTGCCTCGTCAAAGTATTCACGGTTTTAACCGCGGCGTCGAGTCTGCTCTGGCGATCTTCTTGTGGCATTTTCAATGCGGTAAAGATGGCGTCCGTGAAGCGAGGAATGTCATAGGGGTTGAAGAGAACAGCCGATGGAAGCAGAGTGGCCGCACCGGCATACTGTGAGAGCACGAGCACGCCTCTACGGTTGACCTGCTGGCTAGCAATGTACTCATAGCAAACCATGTTCAGCCCATCTTTGATGGAAGATACCAGGCACACGTCAGACACGGCGTACAATGCGTGGAGTTGTTCTAAATTAAGCGAGCGATAGAGATACCGGATTGGGGTGTAAGTGAAGGTCCCTGCGGTTCGTTAGTGAACTGGGCAGAAGACACAGCATCTATCGGGAGGTTTGGGAGACTCACCGTGCTTGCCATTTATCATTCCTATCATTCCTTCTACCTGTTTGCGCAGCATTTTATATTCTTCGACGTCCGTCCGGGTCGGGATTGCAACTTGAATCAAAACAACCTTCTCCCTCATCTCCGGGTGATCAGTCAACAACTTTTCGTAAGCGCGCAACTTTTGAGGAATTCCCTTGATGTAGTCCAACCGGTCGACGCCTAAAATAATCTGCTTGCCGTGAAACTCCCGAGACAGGTGCCTCATCTCGCTCTGAGTAGCTTCGGAGGCAAGTGAATCTCGAAAGTCATCGGGTGCAATTCCAATGGGAAATTCTTGCACGTCTAGCTTTCGGTCGTTATAATGCAGGTCACTCGGTGATCGTCGAACACCCCTGTGCTTGCGGTTAGATTGTCCAGAATGAAGTGTAGACCAAAAGACTTACGGAAGGACTTTGGCCGCGGAATCGAGAAGTTTCTCGACGTATTCTCTCACGTGCAGACCGACCAGATTACAGCTAAGTAGACCGTCGCAAATATCTTCGCGTAAAGGCAGGACGGCGAAGGAGTCGTCGCTGGGGAACGGGGTATGTAAGAAAAATCCAATGCGAACGCTTCTGCGGTTCGCCAATCGTTTCCGAAGCACGGCCGGCAGCAGCAACAAGTGATAGTCGTGGATCCATATTATATCTCCATCTTCAACAAACGGCACGATATTGTCGGCAAACATCTCGTTGACTTCTCGATAAGCGATGGCCCAACCCTCATTGAACTCGGCTTTGGATGGCATGCTGTGCAGAAGAGGCCAAAGAACAGAATCTAAGTTTATCAGTCAATCTACAAGGGACTCCCAAAGTAGATGGAATGGACTTACTCGAGAACCCATTGTAATGCCTTTCCGCGGTTTCTTTGGGCAGAAAAATCGGCACTGCTTTGAACCGGGTGGCCAGTTCTTGTCTGACAGTTTCCCTATCGTTTCTGTGAATCTCCGTGCCAGGCCAGCCGAACCATTGAAATTCCATCGATTTCGACAGGCCCTGAAGAGCAGATACGAGTCCCCCAGCGGCCATAGTGTATTGGAATTGGCCATCTTCCGTCTGGGTGATGGTTACTGGGAGCCTGTTAGCGACTACGAAAAGCCTCCCATCGTTGTTCCGATTCATTCCTGGCATCGTTGGCTACCTGCAACTGACTGAGTAAGGAATGTTAAAAGGAGTCGTTTCTTGCCTAGTCATCGGCCTTTTGTAATATTGCAATAAGCCACGGCGTCACAGTGTGGTAAGTCGGTTGAGAGTACATGAACTAAACGTCATCAATAAGTAACGAAACCAGCTCCTGCAGCCCATACACCATCTTTTAAATTTAATGCCGGGCCTTGTCCTCCCCGCTTGCCCCACACATTCCAAGGTTAATTAATGATCGTTCCTCATGTGGTTCCCTGCGCTGGTGAGGGCTGGGATGCTTATTAGATTAGTGGCCTAAGGCAGGAATTAGGTACGGCCTCAGGCTAACCGTACGGGAGAGCTAATAACTAAGGGCTACCTTTATAAGCCCACGGAATAGTATTTAGTCTAAAGATAGCCCTCCAATGACAATTATGCGATTCTTTCGGAGTCTCGCTCATGCCGAGGAATAGTCATATGGCCGCGCCTTCCAAGTAGACCGCTCCAAATTACGATTCTTTGCTTTGAAGGAGGTGCGGCTGCACTTAGGTATTTTAGTGTGACTGGCCCCATTATTCTAATGCCACGACCGGCTCTGCGCCGCATTTGCAGCTTGCCTACCCGGGAGGACTGCCGCCAACCCCGAGCCCCAGGAAACAAGGAGTCGCGACAGACCTATTACGGAATAATTTGGTCAATTGTATCCGTAAACTTGGTCAATTGTATCCATAAACTTGGTCAGTTTAGGAGACAATTCTAGACCTGAGCTGGTTTACAGGATATCAGGCCAAGACTATGGCACTCTGGTTCTCAGATGATTCGAAATCGGCGATGCAAACCTATTTCAGAACCCCTGAGGATACTTCATAAAAAATCATTGCGCGCGTGACACCTTATGGGGTGGGGTGGCAATCAGGATCTATCTACTTTTAAAGCCAAAAGTAGGGAATGTGACATAACACCGCACTACCTTAGTTACCAATGCCCGAAGCCAACGGTTCGGATTTGGAAAATAGCGTGCCTCCAAATAAGAATACGGCTGGACGCTCAAGGGCCTTCTCGCATAATAATATTCTCGTTTTCGTGCAATGGTAAACAATAATGTCTCGTCACTCCTTTCCTTGGCCAAGCCTGCTCGCCAGGAAATCCCAAGATAGGACTGTCCCCCTTTTAAGCCAACAAATTCGTATAATACCGTACAACTCCGCAAAACTTTTGTCTTTGCCTTCCAAACCCCTTCCTGAATGCACGACTGCGACGTGTGCACGTGCCATTGAAGACTCCGCCCGAGGCTGCCACTGCGTGGGATTCGTGAAGTTTCACCGTTTTGCACTCAACTTCCGCCTCTTGTTCGCGTTCTTTGGCTGGAATTCTTCAGCGTAGACTTGGAAAAATCCGTTGGGTTCCTGAGGGTGCGCGCCCGTGATATCATGGAAAGCGGTTGTTGAGATATAGTTGGTTTTACCCTCTCGGACCAAGGAGTAATACTCAAGTAGATACTGCAGCTCAGAATTATCACTAGTCGACTGGGCATGCAAGACTTTCTTCGCCTCGGCCCTGAAATGTCATCAGTGCTGTCCATGGAGAACTCGTATGTTTGGCTCACATACTCCGAAATATCCTCGAATTTCAAATCCTTTCCTAATGCTTGGCTAGCAGCTGCCGCAAGCTCGTCACCAGTTGCAAGCATGGGCCCTAAGTAGTGTAAGTTGATGATACATTTTCCACGGGCAATGGTGCTTTACCAGTCAATACAATCAATTGGCCGCGATGTTGGTCGCTGAAACCGTGCTTTCCTTTTCCACAAAGAACGTGCGCGGCCACCTGGGAGACATCCTGCTCATTGTCAGATACGGCAAGGCAATATCATAAAGGATGGTTTACCCCTAGAGCAATTGGAGCGAACTTGTGATTGGTGCCAACCGGAATGGGAAGCACGCCTTCTTCGTGTGCCTGCGGTGAGTATAGGAGGAGATTCTCTGCATAGAACCCGGCGCTGTGTTCTTATGTTAGCAGTAATCCAAATGATTTTAGAGCATTGTCTGACCGAATCACAACAGGAGAATGACCCGCAGAACTGGATGGATCGCCCTTGCTGGATAGGAAATGTGTTTCAAGATCTATAAATTCCCGCAGTCTTGGTTGTTTGCTCCGTTCAGCGACGTCGCAGCCAGCGGAGCTGATAAGACAAACATTTGGAATGTTTGCTTTCTTTGCTGCCTCTATCAGCTCCAACGTCAAGTCGAACTTGTCTTCATGCGCGGGAGGTATGAGGCAAAGCGTGTCTGCTTCGGTCTTCTGCAGGGTCTTGACCATGTTCTTCAGTCGACCCGGCTCGTGTGGAACAATCTTGGCACCCAATTTGGATAGCTCTTTGCAAGACTCCGCATCGGGCTGAAGCGATAACCCGGTGACTGTATTGATGGCTTTTTTGAAGCTGTTATTCGTCAATACTAGCTCCGCAATAGCGAAGCCAGTGTGGCCATCTACGGCGGTGACACAGAGATGACGAGACATCGACGCAAGCTTGCAAATTTCGAGTTCTGACCTAGTATAGGGGGGTTATTCCATACTGCGAAATTAGGAGGAAGTCTTGCTATAAATGTTTTACAACGCTGGATGGCGAACAGCCACGTCACAATGATCTCGTAAGTCTGGAATCATACGATTACTGAGAACGGTGATCGGTAACCAGTATAATTGTCAACGTGTTGTAAATCCTGCCGATGTACGTTAACAAGCCCTGGAAACCTGGAAATTTCGAATTACCTACGATAGAGTTGCGGTAAAGCAGGTTCCGGAATGGACCATCAGAAGTCTAGGCTTCGACTCTACCTCGACGGTGGAACAATAGAAGTGTCAACCACCTGAAGCTTCTGGACTCCATATTCGCAACCAACAGGGTCTATAACGCCTCCAAGCTCCTTTGCCATCATTGAGCAAGTTCCTGCAGAGTGGAAGTTGGACTGAAAATCCTGCGCGACATACGTAACCCAGATTGAAAGCTGGATTCGGGACCGCCGAGTACCACCCTGTTATTACGGATTCCCATCATGAACTGAGACGAAATGTTAGCCATTACCAGCCGCGTCTAGATATCGTGGTCTCAGTGTGTAGTTAACTACTTGGTGATCTTGATTAGATAATACTCAGTTTAGCTCTGAGTGCTTAGGGACCGGCTCACCTTATGATCTCAGAGACGATCATTACCCGAGCGGGAAGGTTTACCACCAACTATTCCTACTTATTCCTACTTATTCCAACACGGAAGGTGACCGAAGATATCATTTTATCATTTTATATACACAATCCGAATAAAAAGTAAGTCGTCATCAACGTCGGGACTCGTCATGTTCTAGGACGGTCTCTTGACATCTAGAAAATGGGGACATAGAGGCCGTACTATATAGAACATCATCAGTGTCTACTCCAACATGATTAGGAAAGGGGGGAACTCACAGCAAGGGGGTCATTGAAGCGCAGACCCTTGTCCAGAGCACTGATCGAGTCAATCTCGGCAGCGTCAAGGTCAAAGTCAGTGACCTGGAGATTCTGCGCCAGACGAGTCGGGTTGTTGCTCTTGGGGATGACGGCAATCTTGCGCTGCGTAGCCCAGCGCAGCAGCACCTGTGCCGGGGTGCGGCCGTGCTTCTGCGCAATAGCAGTGACAGTGGCATGCTCAAACAGCAGCGGCGTATCCTGTGCATCCTTCAAGTTCAGCTCGAGGAAGCTGAGCGGGCCGAACGACGAGTACGCCGTGACGGTCAGGCCCTCCTTCTGCGCATACTCGACCAGCCGCTTCTGGGTCAGGTAGGGGTGGTGCTCAATCTGCAGGGTGGCCGGGCGGACACGCGCATACCGCAGCAGATCCATCAGCAGCTGGGCGCTGAAGTTGCTGACGCCGATGCTGCGGGCCAGCTTCTTGTCGACCAGCGTCTCCATGGCGGTCCAGGTCTCGCGGATGGTGGCGTTGCTGAGCTCCAGCTTGTCGTCGGCGGACATCCAGCCCGGCGGGTAGCGCACCGCCGGGTCGACGTACTTGAGCGCGATGGGGAAGTGCACGATGTACAGGTCGAAGTAGTCCACGCCCCAGTCGGCTAGCTGCTTGCGGCAGATCGGTTCGACCTTGTCGCCATCGTGGAAGCTGTTCCACAGCTTCGACACGATGAACAGCTCCTCACGCTTGACCAGGCCGTCTTTGATTGCGCGTGCCACGCCCTGTCCGGCTTCCACCTCGTTGCCGTAGTCTGGTCGCGTGGGTCAGTTTAGGAAGTACTATATATACACTATGAAAGGAGACTCACCGCAGGCACCGTCGAAGCAGCGGTAGCCGGCCTTAATGGCGTTGTAGATCTGGTCGGCGCACGTATCATTGTTGACCTTCCACAGGCCGAAGCCCACGAGGGGCATTTCGAAGCCGCTGTTCAGCTTGACGGTGGGAGCAACCATGGTGAGAGAGAGATTGAGTGTTGACAAGAAGAGGGAAAAAAAAAAAGGAGGAATCTGACCGGAGCCTGGACAAGCGAGGGACGAGTGTCTGCTCTTAAATTTACATTTACGCGGCGCCACACAGCTGGTGGTCCAGGCTAAATGCGGGAAGTGTAGAGGACTAGCGGCGGGTAAAATGCACGGCTAAATTCGTTCTATGGAACCTCGCCACAGAATTACCCCGGGTCAGCGGAGAATAATGCAAGAAGAAGATCGTAACTATTATTATTTTCCAGAAATCATCGTAGTCCTGTCCGACGCCACATCCTTCCCCAGACCCCGAATAAATAAATAAAATAATCACATCGTATGAGCGTACATGAGAGTTCCGAGACAGTAGTACATAATTATCATTACCAATAAAAGTCTTATCCGTTGGAAATATTTCCTAGACGGCATCCACCGCGTTCTCTCCATAGCCATTATTGGCATGCTCGGGGCCTGCCCCGTGAGCATGCATGCCCGGTCCGGGATTCGACATGCGTCCGACGATCTTGTCCATCAGGTCGTCGCCCGGCATGAGGCCGTCGAAATGTTGCTGCGACTCCCGCGAGGATGGTTGCTGCTCCGGCGCATGGAACTGGAGCTGGTGATGGTGGTAGTTGCCGCTGCCGACGTCGCTGGCCATCTGGCTTGAGTGGTTGGCCCACGACGCCTGGCCGTGGCTGAGATCGTCTAGGGACTGCGTGTTGGGCGCAAAGAAGCCGTTCAGCATGTGGTTGCTGCTGTCGTGCACGCCGACGCTGTGCTGCTGCGGGGGCACGTACTGCGACCCATCTGTGCCTATCCCGTATCCGCCGAGACTGGAGTGGGAGAGGGGCAGATCGTGCATGTTCAGCATCACGGGCCCGCCGCTGGAGACGCTGAGACTGGTGGGTTGGGAGGTCTCGGGAGCGAGACTCGTGGGGAAAGAATCGAGGACGGATGACCCGGCCGTCTTGTCGCCGAGTCCATCTTCGGACTTCATGAAATCAAGATTTCCCGACGAATTAAACATGTGGGTCATGTTGTCGTGACCCGAGTACATGGGCCATTGAGACTGGGACTGGCCCTGATGGTGCATCAGCTCCTGAGGCTGCGGCGCCTGGTAGACGCTCTGAGAAGGCTTGTTGAGAAGAATCGAATCCAGGGACAAAGGCGGGAGGTCCACCCCAGACGCGGGTAGCGGGCTGTTGGTCGACGTTCGATCCGGCGGTGGGATCAGACGTCTCCAAGTCGTGGTGCCTACTTCATTGGGCCGAGTTTGGCGGAACTTCCAGACCAGAACGGCCATCCGCTTGCTTTCCTCGCCATGGTGGCCTGGGTGATTGGCCATGCGTCGAGAATTGGGTGAAACTGCGCGAAGCTCTTGCACCGCCGTCAATGACCGCAGGAAGCGCCGAGTACGCTCTTCGGCGGCATGGGCGGCCTCAGGGTTGCCCGAATCTTCTGCGATACGCTTGTCCTGCGTCAATTCCGTGAAGACCTTTGCCCACCAGGACGACTCGAAGAGTGGCTTGACCTTGGTCGACTGGGTTTTGGGCAGGTCGTGGTATGTCTCCAGGAGTCTCCGTCCATCATCGTAGATGTGCGTGCTGCATGTCCAGTTCTCCATCTGGCTGACCATCAAGACATCTCCCGCGGTAGGATGCCCGAAGTCCAGATCCAACTGGATACCCAGGCGGGACCTCGCCGGAGGAAAGTCGTTCATGAGTTGGAGATTGACCTCCAGCATGATGATATCGCAGTCCAGTGGACCGTTGATATCATCAACCAATGAAGCCAAGTGGGGAAATGAGGTCCGCCATCCTGAAACAGTTTCGAGAGGCATGGGCGGTGCCACGGGATGGTGCGAGTCTCCTTGGAGACGGGTATATGCATGCAGGGCTTTATCAATGCGGTTGGCCTGCTGAGGTGCGCTCACCCACATATCGAAACTGAAGCCGTGGATACCATGCGTTCCTGCGTCCTGCATACTATGACCCATGCTGTAGTGAGACGGGGCAAGATCTCCATATGGCTGCATCGATCTCATATTATCCGGATATCCAGGATGAGCGTGGCCCCCATAGTGGTTGGATACCGATGGGTGGTCCATCGAGGTGCGCCATTTCGGGCCATTGGCCTGGGCATGTCCATTTGACCGCTCAGCAGAAGCTTCACGTACCAGGCGTTCCCCTGCCAGTTCACGTCAGTCAATTGTCGTAGATAGCTTGTCATGTACTCACAGTCCGGATCGCCCTTCAGGAAGGAGTCGAGCACCTGCAAATGACTCGAGACCTGCTTCCGGGTTCTTCTCTTGCCGGTCAATTTGAAGATATACTCCGCAATGAGCTCGTTTCGACCATAAGATTTGCCCCGTTCGGACCACTTTCTCCGGCCCATGGGAGGGTTTGCTTCGAGAGCTATATACACAATTGTCAGCATCATGTTTTTTTTATTGGGACGGAAAACTTACCCTGCTGGAATGCATCTTCCAATTCATCCGACCATACGGCTTCTCCATCCTTACCGGTGTCCCGGCGAGGGCGTGCCCTATATTCCAGGTACTTTTGGGACTTGAGGTAGCTTCTTGCACGCCGAGCCGCTACATTGGGGCCAACGGAGTGAAGCCGTCGTAGCTTACGGGCGTGCAGCCTGGCTGCTACGGCCTGCTGATGCACGTTCGGGCCTTGCAGACCATGAGGAGGAGGGGCGACATGGTGAGCATGAGGATACTTGTAGCCCAACTGCTGGAGTTGTTCTTCATGACTGTTGGGATCGTTGTGGGCCAGGCTATCCGAGTAGGACTGGACATTCCCAGAGGTATTCTGGAGGGCACGATCCGAATGAGCACCGGCAGCGGGCTCTAGGGACGGCTGGTTCTGAGGCACCAGGCAGTCGGGCTGCCAGTCAGCAGCCATTGGAGGCAGCAGGCACCCAGCGTGCTATTCTCTCAAAAAGAATGACGGATTCCAACGAAGGATTGGAGAGATGTGAGAGAGTGTGGCACACCGGGCCAAGCGCAGTCACAACACACTGCCGACCCAAGAACGCAAGATAGTCGGGAAGAGAATGTAAGAAACTGGGAAAGAGAATGTGAGAGCGAGCAAGATGGTGTTTATAGGGACTACCATAACTCTTCGCCCTAGAGGGAGGATGGAGGGGGAGGGTGGGACGTGTTTACAGTAGCAGCATTGCTACGCCAGGCTGCTTGTCGCCTGCCGTCCCTCGAACGCCATCTCCATACTCCTGGGCAGGTCGCAGTCCTGGCCGGTTCACGCGTTGATGGGGCCAGAGAGCAAAGGACGGCCGCCTCTCCGTCCTTGCCGCAGCAAATCAGGAGCCAAGACAGGGCTCGATGGGAAGGAAGGTGCTCCCAAATGCAAGGGATGCAGAGCAGCACGACCCAGTGAGCAGTCAGCCGGAGATTTTGGGTGCTCGTTCATCGACGACAATCGCCACTGATGGGTGGTAGTTGCGGACGAGCAGGAATGTCGCCCATCCACCAACATTGCCATTCGCGGGCGCTGAAGAATGTTGGGGAAGAAAAAACCTCACAACATTCACAGCTGGAATGTCGACCTGGACGATCTGGAGGGTCTGGTTTTGTTGACCCTGCAATCCAGGCCCGTGGAGTGTACAAAGGGTGGATGTGGTGCCCGTTGGTTGGTACGATGTAGGGTTAGGTTACTTGGACGGGGAAATTTAGCGCACGAGGATTGACTTGCAGCACATTGACAGCCGCAGGAACGTGTTCGGGGTATCTCTTTTGCGTACAGTAGTAGACTCGGTGTTTCCTCCATTGCCCTTCACGGCAATGCAAGGGATAGTTTCTTGACCAATCCATGGCCACCCAGGGACCCCTGAAGGGAGCCCAAAGACCTAGAAAGAAAGAAAGGGACCAACCAGCCTTCATGCCTCCTCGTCCTCCTGCGCCCCTACGGTAAATTTCTTCCTTCCCGAGCCCGTAAGCTGCTGGAGCTTGACCCTGTCCACCTGCTCCCCTACCTTCTTCTCGATCTTTGCGATCTCCTCCTCGGGATCGACGGCCTCCTCGCTCGCGAATTCCAGCACCAGTCTCCGGCCCAGGAGATGCGTGTTTTTCAACGCGTCCATGGCATTTTCCGCCTCGCGGGCGCTTACAAAATCAGCGAAACCAAATCCACGCGCCGTCCGGTCGAATTTCTTGGGAACCCGCACAGACCGAAGTTGGCCGTAGGCTCCGAAGAGTGACCAAATGTCTTTTTTGGTAGCTTGGAACGGCAAGTTCTTGATGATGATCTTTGTCCGTCGGGCTGCGACCTTCTTGGCGGTATCCTCGCGACGCCGCTCTTCCGCAGCATCCATGCCCTTGTGCGATGCACGGATGACAAGCTCGTGCTGATCCAATTTGTAGCCATTCATGGCTGCAAGAGCAGCCTCGGCTTGAGCCTTGGTCCTGAAATCAACAAACCCAAAGCCCATACTGAGTGTTTGCCCGGGTCGTTTGGGATCAGTTTTGGTCTTGATGCGGCCTGTGATAAAGCCGTCCAGTGGCCGGAAGGCCTCCACAAAAATTTCGTTGGTTGTGGAGAAGTTCAAGTTCTTAACAAACAGTGTCGAGGTTGCCACTGAGCTCTCGGGTTCATCTGCCGCGAAGGTGTCCGCCGTAGAGAATCCTTGAGATTTGCCCCGAATATCCGGAGCAACTGCCTGCGGAATAGCGGTGGGATCAAACAGATCCTTGGGCGCTTTTTCCAGGAAGAGAATAGAATCACCCAGCTTGCGATAAGCAAGGCCCCTGAATGCCTTTTGTGCTTCGTCGGGCCGACTGAACTCCACAATAGCAATGGTGCCGCTGGGCGGCATCAGTAGTCGGATGATCTGACCGAAGGGCTCAAAGAGTTTTCTCATTTCTCCCATCTTCACACCGAAAGAAAAGTTCTTCACTAGGATCGCCGTGTTTCCACGTTCTCGGTGCTTGAAGGCATCGATATTGACTCCGTTAGATGCGAAGTAGGCCTTCGTCTCCTGGATAACATGCGTCTCCGCATGTGCCTGTTTGACGGCGGCGTCGGACGAGGTCGGGTCTAGCAGGTCTGCCTTAGAGACACCGAGTCTGTCGGCTACGGAGGACATGACAGCATCGGCCTAGGAGGTTAGTTAGTGTATAGTAAATTTTCAGTGTAGTGGGTGAACTGACATTCATATACAGCGAGTTCCAACTGAAGTTGGAGGAGGTCGCGTCCATCCTGCGCTTTATTTGCTTCTGCTTTTTCAGAGGGAGCTTCGATAGCTCGTACTCGTCAATCTTATATGTCTTCTTGGCAGACGCTGGCAGAATATGAAGAAGGCGACCTTGGAAATGCTTGCCGTCCAGACTTCGATAGGCCTCCACAGCTGCGTCGGCGTCGGCATACTGAATGTAAGCGAAGCCTTTGCTAGTCGTAGAGCGAGTATCGAAAGCGACGTGGATCTGCATTCACTCCGTCAGCATTTGATCAATAGCAAAAAATGTGTGACAAAAAGAATGGACGAGTGGCTCTTCAGATAAACAAGAGCATCTACTAAAATATCTTGACCTGTTCACATCACATGCGTTTTGCATCAGATGTCCCTATCAGGAAAATCATCATACGAGCACTCTGCCAGCATATATATAAATATATATATGCCAGCATGTCCAACGGGGAAACAATGAAAGAAAAATAAGACACTAACCTCCTCGATCTTTCCAAAAGGTGTAAAGAGTGGCTGTAGATCCGCCTCGGTTAAATCGTAAGCCAGGTTCCTGACAAATAACCGAGCAGAATCATGAATGAGATCAACATTCGGATCGTTCTCGGGTGTTGCTTGAGCTACACCATCATCATCATTATCATCATTATTATCGTTAATTGTGGGTTGAGCTCCAATGGTCTCAATTGCCGCAGTGCGGGATTCTTCATGGTTGCTTGCTGGTGAGTCGGCCCGTTCTTCAACTTTCGGTTGATTGAATTCAGCCTGTTCGTCCTCATCTAGAAGTCCCAAGAGGCGACTAGTTTTGGATCGCAGCCAGTCTGCATCCGACACCGGCTCAGCGTCACCTGGAGCCGAGTCTTCTTGCTCTGCCTCATCCTTATTCTCGTCTCCTCCACTTTGGTCGACCACGATGGGCTCAGGATGCGCAGCTGGCACCTGGGTCTTGGCTTTCTTTGGTAGAGACTGCAACTCCTCGGCCACACCATCATCGTCGGGCTGGTTAGTGGAAGGCATAGGATCCTCCGAAACCTTTGCCGTGTCATCGTCATTCGCCCATGTCCGGGTCTTGGATGAGTGTTGCATCAAGGAGAGATATTCCTGGAGCTTTGGGTCCTGGGACTTGACCTCGGCGTCCCTCTTGCGCTTGAGCTTGTTCTCCGAGTTATCGGTAACAGCATCATGTTTCCGTGTTGGATGGGCCTTCTCAACTGCGGTTGAATCAATCTACAATGAGACGGGTCAGTTTCCAGACCACCTTGATCGGTCAGCGTGCGCGGCGGCGAGAGGATGAGACCGATCAGTCACCGTGTTCGTTCACATACCGGACGAGCGATGTCTACCGAGATCTTGGACAACTTCATGTAAGACCTGTTGAAATAGTCCACGGCTTGTTTGGCGGCTTCCTGGCTTTTGAAGCCGACGAAGCCCATGCGGCGTTTCGGCAGGACATGGGCATCCGTGACTTGAAAGCGGGTTGAAAAATGCTTCCGGAGCTGATCATTCGAGCAGGATGGCGGCAGACCACTGACGAAGACCCTTGTATTCTCCATTTTGAGGGAGTTCGGAGTCGAATGCCGTTTCAGAAGAGCAGAAGCAAAACCGCAGGAAAAACTTTTTTTTCCTCTTGTAGAAAGACCCAGGCGGTGAGGACGGGGCTCCGACAGGCGGTGAGTGGAATGGAAATTCCAGGCAATACTTGTCCAGGCGGTCAGCCTCTGTTGGTGACGCGACTCCCATCACCGCGCAATTATTATGCCTTGTCACCATCATTCGACCGGCACCTCACACTTCTGACCCTCTTCATCCCGCTCAATCAAATTTAGTCGCCAGCTGCGAACATGGCCTCAGAGAAGAAGGACAAGATGGAGGGTATGTTCTGCCCCTCCACGGTGGTTCCACCTGCTAACCATTGTGCGCAGCGCAAATCAAGTCCGTCGACATGGTAAGAGACACCGGTGCAATGACCAGAAGTTCGGGCTCTCATTCAGATTTCTAGACGGAAGATATGCAACAGGAGGCAATTGCCCTCGGTATGAGACCACGCCGACCCCCGCAGACGATTAGAAAACAGTGACTGATCTTCCACAGCGATCGAGGCAATGGAGAAGTACCACATTGAGAAGGTGGGTGCATATATATCCGAATATTCTGAATTAAGACTGACATTCTATAGGACATTGCGCAATATATCAAGAAAGAAGTCCGCCATCCTCAATCCCTCCTTCCCTCGCCCGGAGCGCTGATATTTAATCTAGTTCGATTCGCGGAAGGGGGCCACCTGGCACTGTGTTGTCGGCCGGAACTTTGGCAGCTTCGTCACGCACGGTGAGAGGATCGCTAATAGAGGACCCCACAGGACAGATGCTGATATTCATAACAGAGACAAAGCACTTCATCTACTTCTACCTCGGACACTGCGCGATCCTCCTATTCAAGACCCAGTAAATCTATTATTTGCAATGCTTTAGGATCAGCATATCGTGCACAGTCCCTGATTTCTTCAGCGATCTTCTTGTCTTCGTGTGATCACTTTCTGTTTGCGGGCCAGTTGTCTCCTTTGCCCCGGAATTGCCTTGTCCCTCTGTATACAGTATAACGATGCCTTGATCAGCAATCCTGTGCCCTTATGTCTAGGAATTAGTGTAGCACGGCTTACTGTAACCAAGCTGGTACAACCGGACGACCTAGAGACCCAATTTGGCCTTCGCACAAAAGAGAGTTTTGGTATCACAAAAGGCGAGACACGAGAGAAATCTTCAATGATTGGCATTACTTATCAGTAAATGTCTAATGATCAAAGAGCTGAAATTTGGCTCAATAGGACTTGGGCAAGCCCAGAACGCGTTCACCAATATAGTTACATATCATCTCCCGACTCACTGGAGCGATCCTCGGGATGAACACTTCACGGAGATACCTTTCCACATGATATTCCTTTGCATATCCCATCCCTCCGTGTACCATGACGGCTCTTTCACATGCCTCAAAGGCAGCCTCCGCGGCGAGATATTTAGCTGTATTAGCGTATTCCCCTCCGCCATACCCTTCGTCATACATTCGTGCCGCATGATATGTCATTAGGCGAGCCCCCTCCAGTTTCATCCAACTCTCTGCAAGAGGGTGTTGAATAGCCTGGTTTTTCCCAATGGCACGCCCGAAAACCTTTCGATCACCGGCGTAGATAGCCGCTTTTCGCAAAGCTGCATAGCCAAGACCTAGTGCCTCGGCTCCAATGAGGACACGCTCAGCATTCATTCCATGTAAGATCATTTTGAATCCCTCATTTTCCTTTCCAATCATATCGCTAGCCGGGACCCGCCAATTTTCGAAGAAAAGAGTGTTCGTGTCGACCGCTGCACGTCCCATTTTAGGGATCTCCGTGATTTCGACGACAGCTGGATCAAGGTCGACATAGAAAAGTGATAAACCTTGTGACGGCTTTTGGACTTGATCTAGAGGCGTGGTTCGAACGAGTATAAGAATTTTTTGCGCGTTTTGGGCGGTAGAGATCCAGATTTTCTGACCCGAAATGTAATAGTAGTCCCCTTCTTTCCGAGCCCGAGACTGTAGCTTCAATGTATCCAGTCCAGTATTTGGCTCAGTCACACCAAAACATGCCCTTTCCTTGCCAGCAATCAGAGGCTCAAGCCAGCGCTTTTTCTGTTCCTCTGTGCCAAACTTAGCAACAGGTTCCAGACCAAAGATGTTCATATGCACTGATGAAGCAGCTGCCATTCCACCACCAGACTCGGAAATTGTTTGCATCATTATAGCGGCCTCAGCAATGCCCAGCTCGGATCCGCCATACTTTTGCGGTAAGCAAATACCGAGCCAACCATGCTGAGCAAGCTCTTGGTGCAGCTCGGCGGGAAACTTCTTGCTTTCCTCTTGCTTGAGCCAGTATTCATCGGAGTAGTTACTGCAAATCTTGGAAATAGCTTCGCGGACAGTCCGTTGGGAATCGGTCAGGTCGGCGTCGTAGTTCTGCAGGTACTCAATTGCACGGGCATGGCCATGAACATGCCGCAGACACCTGGTGGGATTGGAAGATGATCTCAGCGGCTGCCTCATCACCGGCCGTATGCTGGACACCCTCAACTTGGAGGATTTAGTAAGTCATGCATTTCCCGCTTCCCGCACCGGTGAGGGGGAGACAAACAGGAAATTTGCACGCCAGAGAAGCCATCTCGGTCAAACAGAAACCCTTGATCACAATTTACTTCCGCCAAACTGCCTTTTTAAATACCTAAACCACGAATCACTGGCTGACCCGAGTATCTTAAGAGAATGCCGAGTGCATCACTTGTTCACTGGAGCCAGAAGATACTCCCAGTTCAGTCATACCTTCGGTGCCGCGGTCCGCATGCCCACCCCACTTTCTCCGATTGTGGAGAATCTTCGGCGCAAAAGCCCGAAGGCCTTCACCACGGAGGTCCGTTATTGACCGCAATGCCATCGTATGACCGATTGAATATAGGCATTTATCGGACTATTTTAAATTCCTCGCTAGTATTATCACCTTCAGGCACTAAAAGGGGCTGTCATGTCAGATGTGTGTATAATATTAATCGGCGGGGAAAGACTCCGCTGTCCGAGAGAGTCCTAGAGTTCGAAGGGATAAACTAGTATTTTTAGTAATGGTCCGCAGAATACGCATAAACAGTGCCTTCTCTTCTTCCCGACGTTTTCCATCTTCAATTCATTTCATGCAATCAATAGTAGTGGATTGCCCCCAATTCAAGATGAACTGTTTGACTCGAACTTTACCCAGACCGTCTTCGCGTGTAGCGTCATCTGTGCTCTTTAGGTGTCGCACCTCTCTCAATACACGTGGGAATCACACATATGCTTCGCGCATCGCTCCCAGTGGCCCACTGGCAGGCGTCAAAATTCTTGACTTGACACGGGTCCTTGCAGTACGAACCTCCATGAACGACACGGATTGATGGCTTCAGGGTATCTGATATCGATAGGGCCCATTTTGTACTCAAATCCTTGCAGATTACGGTGCAGATGTAATAAAAGTTGAGCATCCACAAGGCGGAGTATGTTAATCTTCATCTCTTACCTCACCATCGCAGTCGTCCAATCGCTAATGCAGCATGCAGGACGACACGCGTCTTTGGAGAGAGGCAGGTGAGGAGAATATCTGGAAGCCTGAAGCTACTGGGACTTCACTTTATTTCAACGCCATTAATCGAAACAAACGTTCAATTGCCGTCAATCTGAAGAATGGGAAAGGGAAAAACCTCATCTTGGAGTTAGCTCGCAAGGCAGACGTCGTGTGAGTTTTGGGACAGCCCGTGAGGCAATATTCTTTCCCAGTTGCCTGACATTATACCATTTATACCAGGGTGGAAAATTTTATTCCTGGAAAATTAGATAAGATGGGTCTCGGATATGATACTTTGAAAAGCGTCAACCCGTCTATTATTCTGGCTAGTATATCGGGTTTGTCAACACACTCCTTGAAGTTGGTTTGGACTCTAATAGGTTGCCGTTACTTTCAGGTTATGGTGCAGACGGTCCCTATGCCCAGCGTGCAGGATACGATGTGATCGGAGCGGCTGAAGGTGGTTTACTTCATATCACCGGCGAAGCAGACGGCCCTCCCACCAAACCAGGCGTTGGTTTAATGGATATGTGTACAGGACTATATCTCCACGGCGCAATTACGTCTGCATTGCTTGCACGTGAGAAGACCGGTTTCGGGCAGAAGATCGATACCTCACTCTTCGAAACCACCATCTCGATTCTCGCGAATGTAGGGATGTCTTGGATGAACCTTGCCAACGAAGCGCAAAGATGGGGAACAGAGCACCCCACTATTGTGCCGTACGAAGCATTCAAAACCAAAGACTCGTACTTTGTCATTGGTGCAGTCAATAACAGGCAATTTAAAAACCTGTGTCTGCGTCTGGGACACGAGGACCTGGCAAACGACCCTCGGTTTCTAGACAATAATTCCAGAGTCCAAAATCGAAAAGATCTGAAGCGCATTCTGAGTGAGTCCTTTGCGTTAGGGACAACCGAAGAATGGGAAAAGACTTTCGAAGGAAGTGGGATGCCTTATGGTCCTATCAATACCCTAGAAAAGGTATTTTCGCATCCGCAGGCTCTAGCCAGAAATATGGTGGAAGACGTTGGACAAGATGCAGCAGTATCGGGAAGAATTAAGGTTCTAGGTATGTCTTTTGCTAAATATCGGACATGACAGTATCTAGCGTTTGCTGATCATATAAAATCCAGGTATGCCGGTCAAGTTCAGCGGGTCAAAACCATCGATCCGGGAAGGTCCACCATCTTTGGGACAACACACAGACGAGGTGCTACAAGAGCTGGGATTATCTTCTGATAGGATTGCAGAATTGCGTAAAGATGGGGCAATTTGATATTGTAAAATGGATTAATCGAGCATTGGATGCTATGTGATGCACAGCCTTATATACATCAACCGCAAGATCTATTCATCCGAAAAAGGCTACCTTTCAAACCACTCTTGCGCAAACCCTAGCATAACCTCATCTGTCTGCGTATGCCCTTGGACGCTAATATTGTTCTGCAATTCCTGAAACATCTGCTGAAAATCAACAATGGGATCGGAGAGGGGATCGTCGGGATATTGAGCGAAGGCCATATCGGGGAATCCTGGAGAAGGATAGGTTTGATGAGGCGGCAACTGTGCGGGGTTCAACGTAGATCCTTGGCCTGCTATAATTCCTGCATCCGTCGAAGGAGGTTGTATGTTTGTTTGTTCGTTACCAGGGTCTGACCTGGAGGTAGTCACCTTAGTGCATTTTTGCTGGAAGCTTGTTGCAGCAAGCTCTTTTAGAGCACTCATACTCAATATGTTGAAAATATCGCACGAACCCCGAGCGTCGTCCCATCTTTCACAGATTGCCGTTAAAATATTGGAACACTCGCGAACATCGGAGATGACATCAAAAAAGGGAGGCAGGAAAGCTATAATGCCCCGTTTTCGTCTTTGCGCACAGCACCCGACGGCGTAGATATTTGCAAGACCGGCCATGAAAATGGTGTAAAGACACACCCATGAGTAATTCAGGTGACGTAACCGCAATAGCTCTGAATATTTGGCTAATATGAGACGAGATGAATTCCATATCATCTGGAGTACGTCGTCTATATCCTCATCGGATTCAAGCCCTTCCATGGCTGGGAAGGTCGCAGATGGCCGGAACAACAGGAGACAGCCACTGTGATACAAAGCCTCGAACCAGCTCGGATTTAAGTGGGACGACGAGATTTCAGATTGTTTATCTGCTGAAGGCAATGAGAGCAGAGAGATATTTCTTCTCCATTCTTGAAGCTCATTAAATATGCCCCTTCTGATAGTTTGTCTCTCATGGAGAGGAAGTGCCTGAACCGACCGACTGGTATACATGAGTCGATGAATCTTAGATTGGATTCTGCGCAGGTTGATGTGCTGCAAAAAAGGCGTTATTCTTTGTGTTGTGTCAGGTGAAACCAGACCGAGTTCATCGTCATCGGCTGAAGATGGTAGTGGTACATCAATGTCATCGTCATGAAGAGCAAGAGGCCGACCCAAGGAGATGTTTACAATTCTGTCTTCTTATCAGTGATCTTACTCATTCAACAAAAGGCCATTTTGGTACCTTTCCAGGTTATAATAACACCAAAAGCAGCGGCGCTGCATCTCCACTTGCACCGAGGCGGGTATCTGCCCAGAGATATGCATGTTGCAATTTGGAAGAACAGTCGAAGTGTTGTGGTGTAAGCCGATTTGCACACATAACTGAGTGGCTTTCCCTAAAATCCCCCATAATTCACTGGAAGTATCACGCAGACTAGCATGAATACCATATTTACAGTACAGCAACAACGCTTGTAGTGATCGTATGTCTTGGAAGCTTGAGACCTCATCCAAATGGGTCAACGCTCGGAAAAAATGGGATTCTGCATCGCCATTTCCAAACTGAACTCGATTTGATGGGACAGATCCCAAAGCCAAAACAATATCAAAGGCGAATGCATAGGCGCAATTCTGTTGATAGAGCTTGGGGTCGGCATAAATAAGATGTACCATTTGCATAAACGCGGGACGATAGAGTAGTGGGAAAGCCAAGTGCCAATGGCTAAAGTAGGAGTTTATCAAGGGCATTGCAACCTCCCGGTTTACCAGCACGGCAGACTGAGGAATTGAGGGCAAGGTCACTCTTTCAGACACACGACGACCACCGGCCACTCGCCCAAACAGACCACCCGTTGAATGAGAAGAATCAACGACACGTTCAACAACTTGGACAAAATCGACTCCATTACTGGAGCCTAAGTAGCGAGCTTCTTCGCCTGGCGTTCGGTGAAGAGAGCCCGTTGGCCGAGATGGCGAATGCAGCGCATCGAGAGGATGGGATTCGGTTGAATACTGTCGGTTGGCTAATTGAAGAGAATCAGGAGAGGATCGATGTGACTGGGCAGCGTTGTCTGGCGGAGCCGATTGAGCGTGGGCAGATGCGTGTTCTCTGAGTTGTTCGTTCTCATTCTCCACCTCGGACAATCGCTGCTCGAGTGAATTCAGATACTCCTTTTGCAGTTGTCGGTCTCGACGCTTATTGGGATACCGACACATGACCTGGCTTTTTATGCATGAACTGCAACGAGGCAGGCGGCGGTCACATTTGGTTTTCCGCGAGTAGCACCGCTCGCACGCGTGCATGCTAGCGAGGGTAGACGTTGACTTTGAGAACCAATGAACAACCAGAGGGAGGTTCTCAAAAACTCCTAGGTTCCCAGTGGGCGTTGGTTGCAATGTGCTACGAAGGTTTGCCGGAGCACTGTGGGCGAGGCACATTTCCGCACATTACGTGACAGAGGGTACGATCATGGTCAGGTGACCCGAACATTTTCGGTGGTGTGATGGTCGTCCTGTGACAAGGAGCACAATCCTGATTCCGTGACCGGCTCTGCTCGCAAGCGTCTTCCATCTCCCATGGTCAACAATGTCCTAGAACTCGTTCCAGAGCTCCCATTGACAGCCAACGGCAAAATAGATCGAGAAGGATTGCTCTCGAGACGGGTCAAATACCTCCAGGAACGGGCAAGGCAAGAGCCTCACGGAATAGGGAAGACAAAAGACAAGAGAATGATCCTCCAAGGCCTCTGGAAAAAGCGTCTGAACCGGCACTCAATAGTTATCACCCAGCCAATCGTATGTCAGTAGATCTTCAGGCAGCATCAGGCATCAACAAGGACTTGGTTAAGGTTGGTGGGCAAAGAATCACGTGGCCTGCCAAGCTGCCTCGCCACGGCGCAACGCCGCTGCCTTGAGATCTTCAGTCTTGCTTCATCTCTGGCCAGCTGGTCTTTTTCTTGCCATTGAACCCGACTTCATCATGGCTATCTGTATCACATTTGGCATGCACGGTGAGTGTGTCTCTCCCTGCTGGCCTTGTTCCTGGCTTCGGCAGCAAGTGGACCTACCCTTCCCGTTCCTGAATAATGAAGCCATCCACCCCATCCACTTTATATTTAGCTCCTCTCCACCGAACTGCCGACCACAACAACTGACATGATCGCACGCAGAGTTTACCTCCATGCTGGAGGGCTATGAGCACGTTCGTGCCTATTGCTACAATTGTGAGTGATTTTCATGTTGCTGTGGCGTAGACGGCTGGAAGCTCTCTTTGAAGCTTCCAGCCCACCTTCCAATCGCCCGCTAATCAATATTGTTCTTCCAGGCCAGCACTGGAATGGCCACTGCCTCACCCGATGGTATGTACTTTCCCCCAATTCAATTATTGAACCTGACAAGCTCACTTCTCTCAGGCCTTGGTTTACCCTCTGCTTTGTGGTAAGCTCCCTCAACTCAAGCAGATCTCGCCATGGAATATTAAGGACATTAACCCCTACCTTAGCCTATCCTTCCGCTCGCCATACACAAATACAAGGTAATCCTAACCCCCCTCTTACCACAGTCTCTGATACTGATCCCCTTGCAGGAAGTGACATGCTACACCTGCCGGTTCACACAAGACCTGCGGTAGGTTCATTCTGCCCATCGAGTTCTCTAGGCTGGTGGACTAATTTCCGTGCCAGCGACCGGCCTGACATTACTCCCGAAACACGGCCCCCGCAGGGAATGAACTATGGCCCGCAACCACCACCACAGGCTTATGCCTCTGGAGGGTGGCAACCGCAGCAGCAAGGGCCCCTGCAAGGGACTCCTGGTCAGAAGCCGCAGTCTGAACAGCCACAGAAAACAGCCGACCAGTATGTATAGCAAATGGTGGAAGTCTGGGTTCTTTTGGGTGGATGACTGCTGGGTGGGTTTACTTTTTCCTATTTTCTATGCTTCTTTGGTTTTGATGTGACAAGAAATCCGAAGACAACTGGATGGCTTGAGCGGTTGGGAAGAAAGAAGTGGGCGAGCAGATGCAAACTCGGGTTCCCTGTCTATCTTCAAGTGTCGGATTCTTCTTTTGTGGACGGTGTACTCTACTCCTACGGCGACACAAAGCTAGTTAAACTCGCAACCGTATGAAAAGTGGTATCATTAGTTAAACAGGACTATAGGTATGTCTGGGTATAAGACGAAAAAAAAGGCAATACAAGACAAGAGCAGAATTGTCGCAACATCTAGAAGAGTCCATCCTCCGACAAGACAACAAAATCTCAAGCAGAGATCGCCAAAGCCTCTTTGGCTTTAACATCGCCAACTTTCTCCGTAGGCGTCGCAACACCAGACCTTGAAGCCTCCCCCTCAGCCTGCCGACCCCGATAAACAGTCATCGGCTTCCTACCCATCAGGTCCAATGCCATAAGTCGCGCAGTACGCATGATACTCTCTCTGCCTTCATAAAGTGGGAAGATAACAACCCCACAAAGTGTACAAAACAACCAAATCAGTCCAACAACAACCCATCCCGTGAAGAACTTCTTGCTGAAGACGTACGACGTGCCGTACATGGGAATGGGCCAGAGGACCATAAAAGCAACGGTCATGAACACAGTCAGTGTGCGGGAGTACAGTGCTGCGCGGTCGAGTTTGCGCGCTTCTTCTTCTTTCTCCGAGTCTGTTTGGATGGGATCGGTTTCGCCGGGAACGAGCTCTGGATCTACGTGTGCGGCGGCGGTGACTTCGGTGTCGTCGACTTTGCGGATTGCGCGCATGGATTCGTAGTTGTAGTTTTGTGGACCGAAGGCGTAGGTCAGGATTGGCACAAAGATCACTGGACTGAGGAGGGCGGCGACGTTGCCAGCTAGCATGGGGTAACTATAACCTTATGTTAGTACATGTCGACGATGGCAGAAACAAAAGGCTCACTTTGATCCGGTGCTGGTGACAGTCAAGATACCGTACTCCTTCTTTGCGGTGACCAGCCACGCGATGAGAGATACGGCCAACCCCAGTGGCGGCGATGCAGCAGCAGCAATCCAATTCTGTCCCTTCCAGAGGAGAGTCATAGCTCCGGGGAAGACAGCAGATGAAATGATAACACCCATAAGCAGGTAGAGATACCCCATCCCGATACCAGCATAGGCAAGACCCGTGGAAAAGCCAGCCATAATAATGGAATAAACAATACAAGACATATGCGAGATCCACACCAGCCTCTTGCCCTTGGCCGCAGGTTCGATGTACGCTTGGTAGATGTCATATGTCATGATGGAGGAGACGGCGATCAGCTGCGCCGAGAAGGCGGACGTCACGGCCATGAAGATCATGAGTGTTGTGGCCACTGCACCGCTGTAGCCGAGGAGCTTGACGGCGGCGAAGGGGAGCACAAGGCCTGCAGTCACATCGTTGGGGTTAATCCGCTGGGATCCCTCTAGGGCTAGCGCGGAGATGCCCATTGTGCTGGCGCAGAGCCAGGGAATCGCGAACCAGCAGAGTCCGCCGATGACATAGCCGGGGAATGCGTGGACGGGGCTTGCAGCGATGGCTATAACATGTCAATTAGTTAAAGGAAGAGAGTGAGGACGGGCTACTAGATACCTTTGTTGTAGTATCCATTGTCGAGGAAAACAGTGCTGGGCAAACTAAATCAGTATAACGCCGTGATATATGAGGACATTCAACGAACCCAAAGTTTCCTGCATTGCCATCATCAGTCAGTCAAGATCAGAAAAAATTAGCCAGAGAGCTACTTACCGATCAAGTTAATGACCCAAAAGATCCCACCCTCCTTCGAGCGCATAGTCAGATAACTCCCCTCTGCATTCCCTTCAACCGGATGTCTCTTCGCAGCCTCGACCAAGGCATCATACACCTTCGCCGGCGACCCGAGGTTAGCATTCGTCGCGTATGCCGAGAACGCGAAGAGGAAGATAACGACCAAGATCACCACGGTGTGCATATAATCGGTGATGAAGGTCGCCTTGATGCCTCCGAACAGAGTATATAGCACGACGCCAATGGGAAGCAAAAAACAGGCCGCGGCTGTGTTCACTCCTGTCAGGGCTGTCATCACAGCTGAGCCGCCCGTGAGCAGCATTGCTGTGACGAGGATATTGGTCATTAGGCAGAAGACGATGAAGACGGCGTGCACGGTGGTTCCGTAGCGGGCGCGGATGACTTCGAGGAAGGTGTGTGCATTGGGGGCTCGCCGTTTTAGTTCAATTGCCAGAGTTGCGAAGAGGAGGATCTGAACAGTTGCACCTTTTACAAGAGAGAGTTAGCTCCAGATCTTGATTCTCGGGTATGGGAGACCTACCTGATGCATAGAAGAACGGGCCCGAGATGCCGTACTTGTAGGCAACAGCCGACGACTGCAGCAGAGTCGCCGCCCAGGTCCAGCTGCTTACCACCGCGGCGGCGACCAAACCCGATTTCACGGATCGTCCTGCAGTGGTGAACATCTCAGAGGTTTGGACTTCATACTGGTAGCTATTAAAGAGATGTCAGTGGAGGTGAACACCAGAAAATCAGAACAAAAACCTACCGTTTCAAAGCCCAAGTAATAAAAATCATCAGGAGCGCAAACGCAAAGCCGAGTCCCAGGATAATGCCATAGCCGAAGGCTTGGGAGAGAGGAGCCACGAACTGGACCTCCCCAGACATAGCTGTTGTGGAATCAATGGATACGGCCAGATGGTGGAAGCAGTAGTAGTGGCTTTGTAAATAATAAAGAAGCTCTCGGTCAAAGGATGTGACGGCAAATCAAAGGGGCTGATATTGAGTACAAGTACTACCGTGGAACCCAGGTTGTTAAGATATGGATATAAACGAAACCAACCACGGACGCGACGAACTAAATATATAAGAGCTGCATTAACACAAGCGCCTGCAATTATCCGTCCACCGGCTCCGAATTCGCACGATCTGGGGCACGCCATGGTGCGTCCTGGGGTAAGTTGAGATAAAGATACGGAGATTGGGCGATAAGGGCCCAGACGGGGAGACATAAGCTCTCGTAATTTGTGATATGGAAGAGGTTAGCCGGCAGACAGGAGGACCCGACCGGCCCTCTCCGCCTGGAGGATTATCAGCGGTGCGTTTGGTGGGAAGTGAGCAAGCTGGGAGGGCTTATCAGGTCTGTAGATCGCGGATGGGATGTGATTGGCTCGCGGGACCATGGCGAGATAAGACTGTTCCGATCCTCACCTTGCTTGCTGACTAGTCGCGATTGATAGCGGATTGGAGATGTGGGTGGTTCACTTGCATTTGTCTTCGGATTTATACGAGAGATCAACTGGTGGATTGATTGGCTCAATTACGAATATAACGAGCAGACCAGATCTAATTCACCGATTACGTGACTACAAAGAGCAACAGTAGAAGACTCTCGTCCCGAATGATTCAATGCAGCAAATTTCACCTTCACCGGTAAATATTGTACAGACACCCGACAACACAGCCCCAGCATCGGTGGTCAATTCTCGTCAGTCAACCGTTGCTCGCTCCCACGAACAGAATCGAAGAGAAACGAGCACAATTGGTAGTCTGACCCCAAGAAAATACCCCCTCAGCACTCGACGTCGTCAGGCTTCCACACGAGAAAAATGATGCCAGATCGACCTATGCAGCGGATAGGTCTCCAACGTCTGTCTTTTTGCAACGCCCCCCACACATGCCATAAAAAAAAGAAACGGAACCATGCCAGGACAGGATGGTTCCAGCGCCACCACTAGGATCAAGGGAAATGACCGGAAGTCACGGGGTATAGGAGAAAGAAGGGATTCGCAGGAGAGAGTGATGGAGAGAAAGTTGAGGATGGCTTCACACAGCTCGTGCCGAGGAGCAACAACACATCAGGGCTGACGCAACACGCTCACGAGGAGAACTTGCGGGTGATCTTGGCAATGACTGTGGAAGAGAGATATCAGTTTCGATTGATCGAGAAACACACTCCAACTGAAAGAAAAAGCTTACCGTGCAGGCCAACGACAGAGAAAATGAAACCCAGGCTCAGCACCAGGACGACAACGGGGTCGACGCGCAGACCGGGGCTCTCATCGGTGTACAGCTTCAGCATCGTGCCGGACGAACCACCCGCGCCAGCGGAGCGAGTCGAGCTGGGGCGAACATTCCGCAGGGACTCCTTGTGGTCTGCAGCCGCGCGACGGCGCATAGCGGCGCGAGGACCACCGGGGGAGTCGGCGACGAAGGACGGCCGACGGATGAGCCAGTGGCGGCAGCACCGGAGCCGGAGCCAGGGGACTTGGCGTCAGGGCCTGACTCGGCGCCGGAGGTGAGAGGAGAGGCAGGGCGAGGGGATGCCTAGAGAAATTGGGTGTCAGCTCTGCTGTGCCATTGACCGACAGCACAAGACACCTCGATGGGAAAAGACACAGCCGACTGGGTGTCCGGGTGAGGCATTGGCTGTTGAGAATGTAGGGACTTACCATTGCGACTGATGGTATTAGAAGGGATTGGGTTGAGAAAATAAATGCCGTGCGCTGGAGAAAAGAAAAGAAGGGAGAGGATGTCCAGACAAAAGAGGAAAGGAGGTTGCGGAGTGTGTCAAGAGGCCACGATCGCGGATCCGCTAGCTTCGCACACACGTGACCTCTCCTTCTTTCTCCAGATTGGACAGAGGCCCCCTTCTTGGAATTTATGTCTTGGGATCCAGAAGAGATATGTTGGAGAGATAGTTAAAGAGCAACCCCGCAGACACTAAATCATCGTAAATTTCGACCAGCCACACAGACTGCAATACCGAAACCATCACACATAGGGAGGTATCATACCGGAAACACAGGCTAAATGTCCAAACCGTTCATACAAAGAGAACTCAAGTCACAGAAGAAAAAGGTAAATAAATCATGACGCTCCTAATTTCAAACGCCAGGGGGGATATCAACTATGTAAACTAAAGAGACAAAAATGTCATCGTACTATTTTTTGACCATCAAATCTTGCTAGTTCGAGGAACCAGGAATCAGTCGATCATCATCCGAGACGGAACTTGGCCTCCAATGTTGGACGATAGCTCCGTCGTCTTTTCCTCCTCGGGCGTCTTCTTCTTGTTGATGTGCGGCTTGAGGCCGCGATTGAAGTTGTGGGCGCAGATGCCGGCGTTGATGATGGTGATGACAATCAGGATGAGCGTGATGACAGCGAAGAAAGTCATCGAGGCCCGGGCCGGTAGGTACTGGTAGAACGTCAAGGGTGAATACATTCGATAAAGCTTGAAGCAGAAGTATGCCATGGCCGCGAAGAAGAGCAGCTGCAAACGCTGTGATTAATCCAAGTTCGGGTGGGTTCGGGGGAAGGTACGAGGACTTACAATGATGACGACCATACCAAACATGGTTTCGCGTCGGACAAACAGTGCAGCACACGCCAAGATGACAATAGTCACCGGGATCGCAATGATGGTAAGGATGAACTCGGCATCGAGATTGGCCGACACCACGACGAGAAATTGGACGGTAAATCCGAGAAAGAAGAAGAAGTCGAACTTCAGCAGAGCGATGTAGATCTACAGGATGTTGGTCAGAAATTTCTCTAAACACAGAAACGTGGGAACTAACCTGGTAGGCGAGGTAACGGCGTTTCATGCGCAGGTCCGCGCTGATATGCTTGTAGATCGTCCAAGCGAATTCATCATACAGCTTCCACGCAAGAAATGTCATTAGAACGGTTGCTAATGCCACGATGCAGGGAATGATGATCAGAAAAGGCTCCGTTTCTCCCCAAACACGGCTGTTGGTTGCATGATTAACCGCCAAGACGGCGACTGACTCGCGGATCTGTCGCACCTGCACGGCGCCGTAGATGAGAAGTCCAACGTTGCAAACGCATAGTCCAATGATCTGAATAGTATTCTTCATGCGAAGGGCGTCATATACCAACACCAACTCGTAGATGAAACCGAAGCTGTACAGAGCCAAGAAGGTGGGGATTGGTTTGGCGGCAGGGGCAGCAGCGATGTGGAGCTGAGTCTGGAAGTTCACAAAGATGTAGCTAGCGGTGTCGTTAGTGATCTGAGAGAATTCCCCCTAAAAAGGACTGGTTACATACCATTGGAGCCCGAGTGTGACGAGCGTCTGGATGAGCGTTACGATCGCGAAGGACCAGGTCCACTGGGTATTCGGTAGGTAGCATTTCCGGGTTGTGGACTTGGGCTGCACAGTCGTATGCCCTTCCCTAGCAATAAACACGTCCGTATCTTGCCGAAAGGAAGGGTCGAATGAACCTTCCCAGAGGGACGCGTGCGACCCATGAGATGGAATCTTGGCGAAGTGGCCCGCCGACACGGTCGGTGGGACCACGCGATGACTTGGAGGGAGAGACACGGTGTTGGTATTGACCACCTGACGGTGGTTTCGTCGATTTATAGATCAAAGAGGGGTTCGTCGCTGCGACCAGGCTGGACGGTGACGGTTGAAACGTCAGGAGGCTTGAGTTGTCAGGCTTGGGGAGTTCGTTGGTCGGGAAAGGATCAGGAGTCAGGCCGGAGTGGCATCGAACTGGGTGAAGAGCTCTCGAACCAGCCGAGATGAGCGAGCGATGGACGGTCGGGAATTTCCCCCCTTCTTGTTTGTGCCAAGAGATGACGCGGACGGATGGTGTGGTGCTGATGGTTCTGTAACGCGGACGGATGGATGGATGGAGGAGAGATGGCGTTGGCCTCCTGAAAGAACGAGTGACGGGGGGAGGGGGGGAAGGAAAGGAGGAAGGAAGAAACACCGTTGGGATTTTGGGGGAAGCGAAGAAAGAAGACTAGGGGCTGTCCGGGGTTGGGCATTCCACGGCCGGGCGGGTCACACAGCTACACCAACTGTCTAGACTTAATTCTCATTCTCCATCGTCAAATCTTGCCTCCTGGTTCCTGGTGGGTCGACCCATCGATTCGCGACAGGCACCGGACCGTGATCCCTGGGCCCAGAAGGGTCGGAGCCAAGTACGTGCTTACATGATTATGATGATTTAGACGTGAAGAATAACGGTTCTCCGTCTCAATTTATGTGACACTCCGGGACGGTTTCCAGCGGGGATCCAGAACTTTCCCGGCCTGTGGCTGCCACACGCTGAAACATTCCGGGCCAGGGCGATCAGTGTCAACATCAGTGGCGGTGGCTGGGCTGCTGACTGTCACTGAGAATGTGCGATGAACTCCCTCGAGTAATTTACTCTCAACTCGACACAGCCACCAGATAGAGCGGCTTTCGCATCCGACCGCCGTATCGGTGCAGCAGTACATACACCGGGATCAGGCCGAAGGTGCAAACGATCGCTTGTGCCGAAAAGGTCCAAGCCCAGCCTAGAAATCCCCGGTCAGAAACAGCATTCTCCGCCAATAAGGAGCAGTGGATTACCAGAGTTCTCAACCCAGATGCTGATGAACCACGGATTGATAAAGGCCGACATCTGTTCCGGGCATATGGTCAACCACCACATCTCGAACATCCCATATTCCCACTCACATTGATCACCACCGAATAGAACATGATGACTTCCATGGCGAACTCGGGATAATTGTCCACAATGTACGTGGACAATACCGTATTCCCGACCTGCGTCCCAAGGGCATCTGGGGAACGATCAGAAAGGAGGCTTGCCAAGGATGAACCGATACTGACAGAGGAAAAATGCAACTTCGCCGGTCATCCAGTGCCAGCCACGTTCAACGGAGATGCCCCAAACAATGAGCCCGACCGATGACACGACTGCGGCGGGATACCCCAACCACAGTCTCATCTCGGGTTCCCGCTGGGCATTATTGCGGCGGGCTAGCCGGGCAACAAGCCAGTCGCTGAGATTCCCCGAACAGAAGACCTCGGCGAAGACCAGACCGACAATGAGGCCGATGAACAGCAATCCTTGTACTTGCACCCGTTTGGTCTCATATGCCAATGGCTCCATGGTCATGATGGAACAGATCCTAGATCGGCGCATGAGCCTGTGCCTCATCTGAGGACTTGTTCACCTACCACCAATATTGGAAAAAGACGTATGCGCACACGCTGATGGAAATCGTCGGGTATGTCCACAGTCTGCAAAACTCGAGGATAGCATCCCAGAACTTCGGGTGTCTCACTCCAGGGATTGGATGAAAGTGCTGTGGCAATGTTAGAGAAGCCTGCCCAAAACAAAACCTCGGAACTTACCAAGTACCCCAGCTGCTTGGTCCTTTTCAAGTCATCGGATTCCATCTCCTCTGACTGGCTACCTTGGGCTTCTCGCTCGAGCATCGCAGCTCGTGGGTAGTGTGTTTCCGGTAAAAACACGCATTCGCAGACCAGCAGCACCACAAATAAGATGGTGACATGATAACTGATCCAGTATTGCGAGACTGACGCCAGGAAGCCACCCACTGGACACCGTTAGAATCACAATATCAACCCTGACAACAAGAAATACATACCCACAGCTCCAAGCACACTCCCAATATTAGCCGACATAGCCCAAAGTCCTACGCGAAACCCTCTCTCATGTTCAAATGACAGATCATTGATAATGGCCAGCCCGATATTAGCAGACGGCCCAGCGCCCACACCCTGGAAAAATCGGGCAGCCATATACCCCGATAGCGAAGTATTCTTCAACGAGGTGCACCCACTCGCAATGACAGAGACGATCGTGCTAGCAATCAACACCGGGCGGCGTCCATAAGTCTCCGCTAGAGACGAGGTGAGCAAGGGACCCATAGCTAGGCCGAGACATGGCACCGCGAAGGTCCAGTTCACTTTCGTATAAGTGGTATGGAACTGCACCGCGAGCTCAGAAAAAGCCGGGACAGACGCCGTCGTGAAATAGGTGAGGAGGCAGTAGGCAAAACAGACGAGTAGGATACAAGTATATTTCTGGACAAGAGACCAGTTCAGCGGATCCAGGGGGTCGTTCGTTACTGTTGGCGAGAGTGGGAGTCCCGAGGGAGCAAGTCGAACTGACTTCAGCTCGCCTGTCTCAGCGGCTGTCGCTGACGCTTCGTTTACACCCGGTTTCTTGGGTGGCATTTTTGCGAACGGGTATTCAACTAAACAAAATTATAAACTATACCTACGGCCTTTATGTAGTTGGTGACTTCATAACAACTCTACTGTACGGACTTATCTCCAATTATTTGCTCGTATAGCAGATAAGCTCTAACCCTACACTCTGCACTGATCCCTCCCTATCTCCTCAGCTTGCCTAATCGGGGCAAGGTGTCTTTCCCCGCACGAGATACCAAGCGAATCGACTGTCAACAATTGAACTGCTTATCACAATTGCAATCCAGTCTTATACAAACATGGCCATATTTTGAACTATTCGGAAAGTAATTACATCTTCTCTCGCCCTGAGAAACCTCAGACTTCGTCCGTCTACTCGTATCTGCTGGCTGGAAGATCTTTTCTCTAAACATGCTGTCAGCGTGGGCAGGTGTCTTTCTCTTTGTTTTCTATATCTTGACAAGAGAATTCTCTCCATTGTCCCAAATACCAGGACCATGGTACACCCGATTCACCAGTCTATGGATCAAGTATCAAGAGTTCACAGCGAATCGTCGCGAATTCATCCATCGGCTACATCAGATCTACGGACCTGTCGTCCGACTGGCTCCAAACGAAGTATCCTTCGCAAGTCTCGAGGCTATCAAGGAGATCTATTCCTCTGGAGGAAGCGGGTATGACAAGACCGAGTTCTATGACCTTTTTCGGCAATTTAGAATCAAGTAAGTTTTCCGCTATTAATCCTTATAGCAGCTACTTAGGGACTCTGGCAGGACGATGTTCTCTACACTGTCCAAGGATGAGGTTAGCTAATTGCTGTCGAGATGGCACTGCATTCACTGACACAATGTGCAGCATAGCAAGAGAAAACGGCTGTTGGCAGAGCGATATGCCATGACCAATATCATGAAAGAGAAACCCCTCGCAGAAATCAACGAATGCGCCATGTCTTTTGTGTCTAGATGCACAGAGGCTGGTCAGAAGAGTATTGATGTTTATGTATGTCCTGACACAAACGAAAATAAGAACCTGGTATATTAATTGCGTTCAGGCTCTCCTCCACTGCTATGCCCTAGACTGCGTCACACATTTTATGTTCAGTCCCAGAGGGCTTAAATCCCTCGATATCCCCAAGGACTTCGAAGTGATGCAAGAGATGACATATCATCAAAGCCTTCAGCGTAAGTTCCGCTCCCATCAAGCCAGTCAACGTCTCTAAGTACAAAATCAGAAAACCTACTGGAGTACTACCTCCCACAAGTAGCGCTTCATTTCCCAAGAGCACTCCGGCCGGGCGCCTCACCCATAGCAGACAAATACGTAATAGAGATGGCCTCCCAAACAAATCTGGAATCATATACACTCATGGAGAAACTAACGCGCAAAGGATCCAGCCTCGAGCTTATGCAAGCAGCCGCAGAATGCAAGGACCACATGGCAGCCGGCATTGACACGACCGGCGACGGGCTATGCTTCCTCATGTGGGAGCTGTCGCGACCACATAACCTTGAATTCCAGTGCCGGCTGCATGATGAAATTGTCTCTACGCCGGCAGATGCAACACTTGATAGCCTTGTCTATCTCGATGCTGTTATCAAGGAAGCGCTCCGCTGCTCCCCACCTATCCCTATGTCGCTGCCTCGCTATGTGCCTGACGGCGGCCGGGTGATTGATGGGTACTTCGTTCCAGCCCATACGATTGCCAGTTGCCAGCCCTATACTGTGCACCGTTTGAATGAGGAGGTGTTTCCAGATCCGGATCGTTTCTACCCGGATCGATGGCTTGAGGCGGAGGGTGCGGCGGATCGGAATAGGCTCTTTTTTGCGTTTGCTGTTGGGGGGCGCGGGTGCACAGGGAAGAAGTGAGTTTTATTCTTACTGACGAATAATTCCACGCTAATAATTCTTTGATTTTCTAGTCTCGCGCTGGTGGAAATGAAAATACTTCTTCGTGAAGTGTATTCGCGCTTCCAGACCACGGTGGCTCCGGATATGACGGCGTCGATGGAAATCCATGAGCAGATTATTTCTGCGAGACCCAAGGGGCAGATGTGCAAGCTTATTTTCCGTCCAATTTAGATGAATTTAGTAAATAGAATAATAATGAGTGGTTGAACCGACGAAGTTGCTCCCATGAGGGGAAATGACCAGCCGAGCGGGGAAAACTGATAAGCGTTTCTCCTCGACATTCCGGATCTGTCTTCGTCAAAACCACTATAACTAGCTCTCGAATTGACAACTCTACCCGGACCTAGACAACCCGCGATATCATAAGGGGGCCCCTCTACGCTCCTAAGCCTGGGAAATCAACAGAACAACCCAAGAGAACCCCCTAATTCATCACCATGGCCAACAAACTATCAACCAAGACAGAATGCCGCTTTTCGACCCGCATCTCTATCCGCTGGCTCCCTGAGCCAGCAAACGAGACAACAGACACAATCGTCATGTCTGTGAGAGATTGGTATCTGGATTTACGCATAGACAAGCAAACAGGCGGCATCGACTGGGCCATTGCGGGCCAGCGAATCATCGAGAGTCAGGAGCCAAGTAAGTCCTTCACTACATATAACCAAAAAAAAAGCCCCCCAGAATTGACCAGTCCCAGTGCGAGTCGCATTTACACATGAGCTAGATTCTCATGGCGAGTTTAGCAGCGCCGACTGCGGGACGTTTGTCTCATTGCCGAATGGTGATGACCTCGAAACAGGCGTCATGCCTCGTCCTGATATCCCCGGTGCACCACCAACAGAATACGAGGAGGTATGGCGGGAGCTGCCATTCAGGGATGGTCCTGATGGTGCGCATGGGGGCATTTCCTGGGTATTGGAGTCGGACGATGACGACCTAATTGGGAAGGAGGGAGAGTTTACGGTGACGAAGACGTTCCTGGGACGGATCTGGGGCGTGTATCTGGCGCTGCAGCAGACACAGACTCATACCCGGCGGAAAACTCCTTCTGGTGAATGGGAAGTCAGGAAGACCGGGGCGGATGTTTGTGTTCGAAGGGAAGAGTGGAGTGCTGCTGGGTGGAACGCAAAGTATGTAGTTGGCAGTGATGCGAGTACCTTGCCGTCACTTTTGGCTGGGTTTGAGGGTGAGGGTAAAGGAGCATGGTGTGTGCCAGGGAGTAAGGTTGTGGTCAATAGGAGGCGGTATGTTGTTCGGGCATTTGAGGAGATAGGTCGACTGCCGGAGGGGAAGACCCTCCTTTGATCTTGAAAAAATATAAAAGCAAGATCACTATCTCTACAGACCATATAGAAGATTGTCAGTCGTGTTTCCAATACGTCCTCGTGATATAGTGAGGTAACCCGCGGATTGACGGGCGCCGAAGGCCAGTTTCGAGTTGAATCAACCAACCGCTATCTAGAGCTCTGACCGCAAGCTTGCTGTGTCCGATGATTCGGTCAGTCAATGTTCTCAGACATATTCGATATTCTCGGTAAGTCCGGTAATAGCCTCCAACATTCTACTCTCCGACTGGTGAGGACTCCGCTGTTTTATACACAGAATGACTAATTTGTACCACGTGATCCAACGACCCACCCTAGTGATTTCCCACTGTTCGACTCACTTTCTTTTTCTTCTCTTCCTCAAGCGCCATCCCCACCAATGCTGCGTTTCTTTGCTACACACGACAGTCGGACATTGTCCACTGTCCTTGGGGACTGAGTCCTGGCACTCAGTACCCGAGAACCCCTGCAAATGAGAAATTCGGAGGAATCTTCATCCACCAACCCGCTCCTGGTTCTGAACCAGGGGCCGGTACTGCCCGTGAGGGCCTGGTGTGAGACACAAACCACGGCTTTAACCGGCCGTGGCACACCTGCACTCGGCATCAGAAACATCGGGGGATTTCAAACCCCATGGGAGAGTCGGTGCGAAGATTGTGTGTGATGCCACTTTAGTGCAATACGCAGCATACCTCTTGTTCCTCTGTCTTGATTTCGGGATGGAGGAATTGGGTATCATTCGATTCCGATTATTCGGGTGGGGATGGCGCTTCACCTTTTTTTCCCTTAGGTCAGTGTGTTCTCTCTTCTTTTCCGTCCCCAGGTCCGTGACTCGGGCGGTTCTGGAAAGATCTGCTTTTTGTGGTAACTCTGCTAATTGGCAGGGTTGCCGGCCATATTCCCTCAGGTCCTTCTAGGTCGTCCTGTATGGAATTGGCGTTCGGTGGACAGCGACGGGTGGGATGGAATGGATTAAATCCTTGACTGTCCAAGACTTGACGGGCTAGATAGTCCAGGTTTATCGAGAACAAAGAATCTTTGTCGAACAATATCTACTACTACTACTACTATATGCTGCGCATAATGGCACGAAATAGCGAGAAGTAAACACTCGACGTGAATGGTCCAGAATCCGACCGCGGGAAATCTTAACGGAAAGTAATCATTGTAGTAAAACCCCTTCTGTTCTCGAAGCAGACTGAGACAAAAAATTCGTTGCTTCCGTCACATTCTCTCCGTGGTAATCAGGGTAGTTTTCCCCTTTTGCATAATAAGTTTGATGTAACCAAGCCAGCTTCTTACTCCTCGTCTCCGATCTGCGGGGAACAAGCACGTTAGCACAGGGCAAATCTCGGAAAGAAAGGAACAAAACAAACCTTCGGAGCCAGGTAGAACCGCAGGTGGCCGCTGCCCAGACTGTACTCGACGAGCAGTGGCACCTCCTGGGATAGGTGCAGCTTTACCGAGTTGGACAGGTTGGAAGCCTTGCAGAAGTTGACGAGGTACTTGAGGGAGAAAGTCAGGGCGACGGGTTCGGAGAGGGAGATGGTGACGTTCTGCTCGGGCTTGTCGACATTGGTGTGCTGGCGGATGGTGACGGCGCCGTTACCAATATCACCCGTGCACGAGAACTTGACACCCTCCTTGCTGGCCTCGATGACAACTGCGATCCGCTGATTAGCCTTGCGCGTCATGGTCCCAATCTGAGGGATGTGCCCTACCTGACTCTGACAGCGCGTTCAGATCTCTGCAGATGCGCTGGAACTCCATCGCGGGCATCTCCACGGTAGCCGCATATTCGGTCTCGGGGATGGCCAGGTGCTCCTGGTCGATATCCATGAGCTTGATATCATATTCGCTTAGCCGGTCGGTCTCAGCACTCTCGAACATCAGGTTGACCGCGTCGGGCGAGTCCTCGGCCTTGAGGGTCAGGATGTCTTCATTCTGGGCGGCCCGCAGGACCTTGGTCAGCGAGGTCAGGTTGATACCCAACGCGATGTTGCGGTCGCAGCGGTAAGGAGAGAAGCCCTCAGCACGCAGCAGCATGGACACCAGCGCCACGTGAGAGTTATCCATCGCCTGGAGGGCAATGCCCGAGTCATTGCAGTCGAAGTTGCAGTCCTGCACAAGATCCTTGACCGCGTCGACGACCTGGCAAAAAGGGCTCAATCAGTCGCCTGTTCAGCGGATGTGGGAAGAATGGGATCATCCTGGTATACATACACGCTTCAGAAGGCTTGCCTGCTCCAGCCGTGCTTCCAACACTAGAGGGGTCGTTCGTTAGCTAGCTCGATGGAGGGGCGGACAGGGTCAATGGAGATGATGTAATAACATACTATTGACAGGTGTGTGGGAGAGAACTAAGGTTGTGTGTGTGGGAGAGTAGCAAGGTGATGACGAGGCAGGAGGGATTGAATGAATGAGATGTGGGAGGCAGAAGAATCGCGTGTGGAAGTTAGTTTAGTGGGCGACTGAACGCGCGAGTCACGCGTCTTCATTATGCCCCTTGGGGCTAGAGTGGTGCCTGAGGCATTCTACGGGCGGTATCCACATCATTACTCAAGGTTCATTATTTCATGGAAGACGAATATATACACTGCTTCCTGCTATACATGGGGTATCAAGTCGAGTTCCAAAGGTAGCGGTTTGAATGGTGGCCATTAAATGCTCGTCACTCTTTTCGAGAGGTCGTTCCGCGGCCGCTGCTGTATGACCATCTCCAGCTCCTTGAGCATGTTCGTGTTCGCATCCACCTTCTCACGAGCAGCGGCCTGCCTCGCCCGATCTTCGCGAACACGCGCCAGCCGCTCGTCTCGCGTCAAAGAGGCCCTCTTGTTTCGAGACGATGGCAGCACAACAGCTTCAAAGATCTCCTCATCGTCGAAAGCATGCGTCAAGTCTGGTCGGCCTTCCCCGTTCAGTGCTTTGAGCGCGTCAGTCGGGCTGCCTTCGACGGCGGTGGTGCCTCCAAGGCTCGAAGTGGGGGACAAGGGCGAAACCATCGCACTCGGTGGTCGCGATCGATCTCCAGCGCTATGCCGCTCGGCGCTGTGCAGCATAGCAATTTTGCCTGCTTCCCATTCCTGGAGCAGGGTCCGAATGTCACTGCCGATTGATTCGTACTGTGCAAGGAGAGTTGCCTCGAAATCGGTAGGAGTGTCGGTCCGTTCGATATTGGCATTGGACTCCTCGCTGATAATGTGCATCTTGGCATGCAGGGCTCGTACTCCCTGTGACAAGGAGTTGAGCCTTCGGAACTGCGCACGAAGGTTGTCCTTGCTTGGAGAGGCCATGGGCAAGGGAGACGGAGGAATGGCATCCCCTGTTTGGAAAATTAGCTTGTGCTCATCGAACCAATTCAAAAATACTTACGGTCCTCTTCATTTAGAATGCTTGTCATTTTTAGCATGCTCGCTCCGGTCACCGTGGCAAGATCTCGCATTTCCTCCACGGCAGTACTCCATCTGGCAATATCGGAGCCGCCTCCATCGGCGCTCAGCGCCAGTAGACAGCACAAAACGCTCTTTCTCACGCTATATAGTTTCCCGAAAAGATTCCGCAAGGAACGCAACGAGTACTGGTCGTCTGATGTTCGGTGCGACACTGTCGCTTCGATTGCTTCGAGCTCCTCTAACCCAATGTCATAAATATCGTAATACTTCGCGAGATTGCCTTCATCGGTGAGTGGCCGCAGGATGTTCTGTGACCGAATGTATCGCTCCAACATCGAAAAGAAACACTCCGAGACCGCCCTGCGTAATCTCAGGCACCTCCGTGTCTGCGTCTGGTCTTCGAGTCGGCTGATGGGTGGTAAAGGAGTGCTGATCCGATAGCCCCGCGAGACCAGCTCGACTTCCTGTATAAATACCACCGAGGCAGATGAAGCAGAGTCAAATCCCTGTGCGTTGCCAACGAAAGCCCCAGCTGCCTGAACAGCCTGGTGTCGTAGATACTTGAGCCACTGCCGTTTGGCAAAGGCATAGAATAAGGCGCCCACCATGGGGACGAGGATGAGAAGGACTATCACTCGTTTCGGGCTATGACCGGCTCCAGACCGGGAACGACTCCAGTGTAATAGCCATGCGATTGAGAAAGACGCCGCGGCCGTGACAATGGCGCCTTGGATTCCAAACGTCGTGGAGAGGGATGGGAGGTCAGCGGATTGTGAAGTCGACACCACGTCTGTGGCAGATGTGTAAGAGGGTGCGCTGTGCTCGTTCAGCAACTGCGACGCGACGATCACGTAGCCGAACTGTTCGAGGAATCGCTCGTTGTCGCTTCGCCCGATTTGGGCATTTAAGGCAGACTGGAATGACGAGTCCATCAGTCAAAATTTCTAGGGGAATTGCAACCAACAACCATACCGAGCATGCATTGTACAGCTTGCCAATAACGACTCCCTCCCTTGATCTGCTGAGGTCTAGAGGTTTCGGCAGCTTGTTCCGGACGCGCTCCTGGAACTTCGAAGCGCCTCGAGGGGCGAAATTGGAAGCCGTGTCATTCGGGTCATGTTCGCTGCGTGATTCCTCCACGAGCCAGCTTTCGTTGCTCTCGCCCTCCCCTGGAATAGGCACCGGTGAGGGGGTTGCATGCGACACTTGTGTGGTGGGTGACATACCTTCGAGGTAATCGGCCAACGGTGAATTCTCATACACAAGAGATTCCATGGCCCGGTATCATTCCATGCGCGGAGTAGGTCGAAGACAGAGGAATTGTCAGTGGGTCTTGGTCGAACGGGCGATAACTGACTAGCGGAAGGGAGGAGACAGGGGGAGGAGGGGGCGGGCCACGATATGGCGATCATGCGCCCATGTCGCACAGGGTCTAAGGGAGTCGGGCGAGCAAAAATGGGAGACGGCAAGCCAGGCAGGTGTCAGTGGTCGGAATGAGGAGTGCAAGAGCCACGTTTGAGGCATTCATCCGGGGACAGGAGATTTGGTCTCGTGACTTCCTCCACCATAGCCCTACAAGTATGATTCAGGGTTCAGCATGAATGACGTCCATTATGTCTATTTCACTCTCAGGGTATCGTTTTCCGGCTGCGGATGTACCATATTGTTGACTTTGGCTGCACAGTGTCCAATAATATACAAACCTGGAAATATATATCGCGTTCGCAAGTCAGGGTGAGACACCACCATGTTTACTGTTAAATATATACAGGAAGACACTCCAAAACAAGAGACAAGGGAGCTCAGAAAACATGATTATTCACTCGAGCATCAGCAGAATTATGTTTTAAGTCTTACATTATTTTTATTGAGCAGATCGTCTTCATCGCAAAGAGTCACGTGAGAATATTAGATTACATAATCCTGGTTGCCTGGGACAACCGGGACCATGTCAACAATCTGGAACACGCCTTCCCCGGTCGACGACACGCTCGCGCCGTTAGTTAACTAAAGAAGCTGCGGATGTGTCATTGCCGTTCTCGTTGAATCCGCCTTGCTCTTTCTGTGTTTGGATCGCCTCATCTTGCTACCCAACATCCCTCAACTTCACCGCTCTTCTTGATCCACCTACTACTGCTGTACTACAACATCATCCTCGAGCTACATTTCATACTCGTCAACACGTATGCGCCACTAGCTCGCAGTACCCAGACTTGATGGTACCGCATCATGTCAGGCATTCTTAACGAAGCCGTCACCCCGTGTCCATCGAGGGCGAGGTCCTTGAGATTCGGTGACCGCAACAGTGGAAGCGACACTTTCGACAGCCTGTTGGGAGATGACCCGGCATTTGAACAGACGGGAGAAATTGAGTTCACCACCGAAGTACGCGCGCCGATATTGACGGGCACCCGGCCCCGACGAGCCTGTCGAGCCGGATCAGCTTTCCAAATTCACGAAGAAACCGAGAAGCCAACGGGCCCCGCGGAGAAGCGCCGACGACCGAACGGATTGACACAACAACCTCCAAATCGCAAGTCATCTCTGTTGGCCCAACCGGCCCAGAGATTCCGGCCGAAAGTCAACTTTGCCCCCAGCCCGCCATCTCGAGTCGCAAGACAAGAACCAGAAACGCAGCCCAAGTCGAAGCGAGTGGGGCCGAAGAGTAACCAGGAAAACCTGCCTCCGGTGCGGCTTAACAACCAAGGATCCGAGAAGAAGGGTCGCGTCAATGATCTCAAACGGGATGTGCGTCGCGATACTGTGTATATCCCGCCGGACGACACGACCGTCGCCAGTGTTTTCATGGGCCTGTTCAGCCCAATGAAAAAGCAGCCGCAGTCCGCAGCATCCCAAATACCCGAAGAAACAACCCAGATCAACATCCTGGAGGCGCAGATTGCAAAACGGCAGGCTAGAAAATCGCTGGCAGTGTCTGCACGCAGAGCTCCACTTCAGCCAAGCCAGAAGATTGCCCAAGAGACTGCACTTCGAGTCGACGTTGCCGGCAAGAATAGCGGCAAGGAAAACATTCCCCCGGGAACACTTGTTGAAGTAAAAGACAAAATCCCCGTTGATTCTGCCCGGCCAGTGATGCCCAGCCGAACTAGCATTGCACCAGAACGGAAACCAGCTCGCCGAAACACCTCACGCCCGTCTGCAAGCCCCAAGTTCGAGCAATCTTCAGCCAAAAAGATGAACCGAGCGCAGGAAAAGCGATCGGTCCTCAGTGAACGACAGAACAATGTGAAAATCCCAACATATTCTGTCGGTCAAGAGAAGGATGCTGCCGCGATGCCAAAGAAACCAAAGGAAAAAGCATCTTCTGTCAATGGGCGAACTGCTGTCCGGGCTGGTCTCTCTGCAAGCCGATCTTCTTCTAGCATGAGGAGTGTACCCTCCAACCCCAAGCTGAAGAAACTAAACCAAGAATACCCATTGCTCAAGGAAAATATCTCCCGGCCATCTCTATATGACGATGACTGGCTCTCCCACCAGGAGGTTGTGATAACGCAGCTGGTCAACGCGTTGTTTGAGTGCACGGCCACCAGCATAAATGCCGTGGACGCAGATACCCTTCGCCTCGAATTGCTCGAATTTTACCACACAGATCACTTCACTCATCTCTACAAGCGGATCCAAGCCTCTCTTTCGTGTGGGGCACTGAGCATCCCACGAGATATTCTTACCCAATACACCCGGCTCAAGAAAGATGTTGGAATCCGACGAAAGTTCTTGGACCTTTGGATCCAGACGTATGATATTCATGCATTGGTGGCTGCAGCAGAGACTGTTGTTGGACGGAGAGTTTCGAATGAACGGATCTCATTTGGGTCTGTCGCCGAGAACGCTCAAGAGAACACAACTGGACGCAAGAAAGCCATGGTCAGGAAGGCGGAGGGCTTTCTGGACACGTTTTTGTTGCGAAATGATGACATGGTTCAGTCCACAGAGAAGAGAGACACTCCTGCAGAAGCATCTGCCAAGGCGTATCGCCGCACTATGCTTCGGTGCATCATGCTTGTTGCTCTTTTGGACAAGACCAGACAATCTCCCGCAAGTGCTGTGCCTCGCCAGCTTTTTGTCGCCTCATCTCCGTTCAAATCTTCGGCCGACATACTCCAAGCTTTGGCTCGTCTGCTACTCCCATCGTGTGGGGATATCATAAAACCCTTAGGCCACCTGGACTGCCATTTGACCTACAAGCAGCACCAGCTACAAGAGTACAGCTACCAAATCGACAACATTGCGATCGATTTTAGAGACGGTGTGCGCCTGACGAGAATTGTCGAGGTCCTGTTCTTTTTGTCCAATTCTGGGGATCAAACCGAAATCTCTTTATGCACCGGAGACGTTCTTTCACTCATTGGCGAAGACGCAGACCTTCCGCTCTCCAAGCATTTGAAGGTGTCATGTGCAAGTCGTGCAGCCAAGATTTTTAATGTGCAAATTGCTTTGGGAGCCTTGAGCTCCCTGAAGGGTTCCAACGCAATTATTGGCGATATCCGTGCGGAGGACATCGTGGATGGCTACCGTGAGAAGACCATTGCACTCCTCTGGGCTCTTGTTAGCAGATGGGGCCTTGAAGGTCTGATGAATTTGGACGATATGAGCAAGGAGATTGAGCGACTGAAGCGCAAGGCAATCTCTGAACTTGGGTACGCGCAGATCAAGGACGAGCATTGGTTTTATGGTGGAGGTATGGATGGCGGCGAGCATGCGCAACTGCTCCAACAGTGGGCATCCATCTTGGCGGCTCTAAAGGGTCTTCAAATCGACAATATGACAACCAGTTTCGCCGATGGACGGGTCTATGCGAGCATTGTAGACGAGTACGAGCCGTTCATTGCAGGCCAAAAAGCCTCTTGCTGTTCGTTGGAGGCACGACTTGAACACCTGGGATGCAGCTCACAGTTTGGTAAGCCTTTCAGTTCTGAGCAATTGACAGATAGACACTAACAATGAAATAGCATTCCTTGTCTCCCCGACTTTGGCATCCTCACGTATTCTGGACGCTGACTCCACTCTGGCCGCTCTCGCATTCCTTTGTTCGCGACTGCTTGCCGCCTCGAGACGCTCACGAGCAGCCACCACGCTGCAGCGCGCCTGGCGGGCAGTTTCAAAGGAGCGAGACGCCCATCGGCGTGCGGTCGCGAAGAGTCTCGCTACCCAGTGTGCTGCCGTTGTTCAGACACGAGATAAGATCTTGTGGGCTAAGGAAGTGATTGTCGAGTGGTGGAGAAAGACCAAAGCTCGGAAACAGCAGCGGCGCGCAAGATACAGCCAGTCTGCGCGAAGGTTCAATCGCTAAGTATACTTTGGCAGTCAGTCTTAAGAGGTGGTTATTCTGCAGGGTTGACGACGAGAAGTATGGCCGGTCCTCGAAGGTTACGACAGGAGTTGGGACATTCATTCATAAACTTATTTCCTTTTTTTTTTCCTACTGAACTTTGGCGCCATCCAGCATTTGACAGCATGGGATACGGTGTATGGTTCATTATCCTGTTGATTCTACATTCGTTGTGTACAGATTACCTTCATTTGACAATGTACATGATAACCCTTAAGTATCACATACTTTGCTTCATACTCCACTGTAGAGTTAGTGAGTCCGAAAGAACTGAACACGCATACCTGTGAGCAAGCAACATATTAGTTCCCAATAGCAACATCAAGCTATGAGCCCGATATTTAACGACTTACGAAGCACATTCAAAATCATGCAGGTAATGTCATCATCTCTCCAACTACAGGACCAAAAATACCTCAACCACCTATCTCATCGCAGTCGCCATCCATTCGGTGTGTAATGTATAGCACGAATTCAATCCCCGCACGCGAGGAACGCGTCATGGAAGCCCTGCCCTTCCACCGCATTTAGTAGACACCCACAGCCAGCCAACCGCCCAGGAAAAGAGATCCCTGAAACCCGGGGCTACCCTACCTCGAGCCCTATGCAAGATCTGACGTATGCCCACCCCAGTTTCGGAGAGCGCCGGTAGTTAGCGCGCATAATCCCGACGAATACACCAGTTAGAAAGTACCGAGAAAAACCGAGGTCATTAACTTGTTGCTGTCTGTGCTTTTGTTATTCATACCGTATCTAACAACACAGGTCAGCCTGCTATATAGGGGGGGGTAGGTTCGAGCGCAGCCGCTCGGGGTCGGCTCTCGGGTGCTGCGCTGACATCACTTGTCTTATGCCGGGGTGTATCCGGGAGATCCCTGGATATTATCTTACATAGTAGTTTATGTTGAGGAGATGTATGTGTTCTCTGACCGCTGGTCGGCCTTTTGTATCTGTATAAACCTTGGGATGTCAGCCTCTGTACTTGTAATTGCACCTGCATCTGTGAGATCCTATCAGTTTCTAATAGCGTGTAGCCTCGGCCACAGTGTACTGTTGAAAGACTGCGAAAGTAAGACACAACCGAGTCACTCCTTGGCCTAAAGTGACAGCCACCATTCCAACTATATCCAACTGATCAGTGGCACTGTGGGTGGATATGGATGGAACCCAGTGCTCGTCATATTACATTACAAGGATGGTAGAATGGGGAAGCAAATAAGGTAAGCTGGGGGGATGTTGCCTCCTGGCTATGTATCGGTCATTTAATATGACGACCATGGAGTGCCTCAGAGGCTGTGTTTCAGCCCCATCCATCTTCATTAGCTTGACATCATCTCAATAATACCAGCCCCCATTCTGTTCCATGGGCTGTGGTAATAGAGCCTCTGTGGGGGTGTCAGCTTCCGTCATATCTCTAAATAGAAATGTTTGAGGCGAACATAGTGCGCTGAATGCTGTCGCAGACGTAGGATGTTTGAATCCGGCCCCAACCCGCGGTGATCGCCCCATACCTTACTGTACTGTGTATAGACAGGTCTAGTAATAGTCATGCTGCATGCATGGCAGATCTGATTCGGTGTGCACCGAAGGGTATCTCAGCTAGATTATCTTTTTGGAGCTGATGTGACCTCCGGTCATTGCCGAATTTTCTGGACAGTTCGGGTATGAAAGACTGATAAATACCTGACCATAGGAGTGCGCAGCAAGTACCGTTAGTTCAAAAGTATGTCCCGAGTCTTCTAAACACCCTTACTCATTGGAAGAGAGTGACTAATGTTCACGCGGCAGGCCCGATGACCCCGATCGCTCACCCAACCAACATCTCTGCCTGGCACATCTGAAGTGCGCTCGGGCGATCGCGTCGATCGGTGCTCGTCACGTTGCCAATGATCGAGGGTAAATTTGCTATTTGCTATCTTCCATTTGCGCTAGTTAACTACACTACACAGTATAGAACGTGGTTGAGAAGAACTGGTTATGAAGTTCGGTGTGATACTACGCTTAGGCCTGAAGAATCATAAATTACACAGGAGAGAGAGACCCTACTGACCTACTGAGATGTCATATGCCAAGACATGCTGTCGCGGTTTGTTTACGCGTTTGCTTCTCTGTACGAAAGAATTATGTCTGGCTTCCCCTGGATATTGTCTTGTAGTACTCGGATCGTCGATGGGACTGGATCGAGAGGTACAAACAGTATGTCTTGGCTCTTGGCCGGATGGCCGATCCGAGACAATCCAGTATGGTACAAGCTGGGGAAACGGCTTGAGAGAACAGTCCTATCACTCGGTGCAACGCCCAGGGGGCATCGATCAACAATCAACACCAATAGACCGAAATAGCCACAAATAGCAGAGAGGGTCTCCTGAGTCTGGGCGAACCCGATCGCCCTTGGCAACGCAGTTTCGATATCCCTTCTGCACTGCCTCATCGACAAACTAACCGTGCAAGATGCATGGACGATGTGCCGTAAGTTGCGGCAATGTAGGGTCCTCTTGGCGCCGAGAACAGCCTCTCCCCCTTTCACACCAGCTCTGGCGTCGGGTACTGGCCCATTGTTGATGGCTGAAGCCAAGAAGTATCCATCAACAAGGGGTGGAATCACTACTGCCTCCCTGATATGTATGTATGCCCCCTGATCTTCCTGCCGCGCTTGGCAGTGCTGTTGCCAGTCCGTCTGCTGCTCAAGGTCGCACGGGGCGCATTCTGAAAGTCGGGCAATGCCCAGCCTGCTTAGCGGTTGGAACTATTAATCGCTGCTTGCCAAGCACGGCGGAAAGGGGTGGGTTTGTCTGCGCTGCGCTGCCGGTTAGATCATGATCTGCTCTGCCCAGACTGGAGAAGTGGAGGTGATTCGATTCGATCGCTGGAATCTTGGGCTGTACGCCGTCTGACTGCGTAGGGGGTGTGGCCAAGGCTGGCCATTGCAATAGTTGTATTGATGGTGGATTCAAGGTCTTGAATCTTTCAATGTCTTGGCCATTGTGTTTGTTTCTTGGGAGGTGATTTTGAAATCATGTCTGACAAGGACACTCAGTTAGGGCAAGAGGAGAGCAAAGAGAGGAAGTACTGACCACCTACAGCACCCCTATCGGATCATTCCTCCATGCTGGGCAGTCCTAGCTACTATGTAACTAGCAGTCGAGTAGGAATTATTGTCTAAGCGCACCAACCGCAACCTTCAAAACAACCCTAAACGTTGACATCCCGGTTAAACTCCATCTGGCGACAGTTGCATCGCTCCGGGACCGAAAATGCCTCATACATACTAATCCTCTGCCCCCTAACTAAGTAATGCACGTCCATCCTGTTGTGAATAATACTCTAATCTAATTGCTCCCAAAATCGGCCGCTTATCGGTCGCCGCTAGCTCTCGCTGGTGCGCCCCGTCTCTGCCCGTGCCATCCTTTGGTCTGTGACCCCCCAACCAGCACAGTTCACACTTTATTCGAGTAGCGGATGGAGACCTTCTCCGGTCGGATCAGTTAGGAACCTTTCCACAATCCCAACCTTTTCGAGCCACTGCCATTGGTTGTACCCTCGAGCCGACAACGGTCAGTCCCGTTGGCAACAAGCTCCCTCTTCTTCGAACGCTGACCGGTTCGTGACAGCTAACAGGGGCTATGCCGGTTTCGGACATCTGTACATATAGTCGCTGCTGTGGGGGATCTCCTTGGGACTCGCAGAAGCTTGGTGTATTATTCATTAACGCTGGGCCTGTTTTGCTCGGTTTCAGGTCGGGGGAGTAGGTAGGTACTGCCCGCCGCCCACTAAATCTGAAAAGAAGTGCTGAATCTGTAACACACGCGGGACGGGCTCGCGATGACTACGGTGGCTGACCGCTCGTCTCACAAACGTGGCGGCCGTGCTCCATCTCGTTGCACGAGCGTCCTGCCGATCGGAGCGGACTTGCCATGTCCACGCGATGGTGGGCATGACAACGATCGGCCGGGAAGAGGCAGGGCCAAGAACCGGTCAGGATGGCCCAATGAAGGTTTGATACTACTGTACTACTGTACTGTGAGTGTGACGGCAGCCGATCGCAGTGGCGGGCGAGGGAGAACAACTCCGGGTGTAAAAATACGTCACAGGGGAGCAAGGGAAGGGGACCAAGCTGTCCAATTATTGATTTCCGCGCCAAGACACAGCGCGCAGAGCGCGGCGGTTATACATAGACACGATGGATTAATCCCGGATTTGGAATTGGTTAGGGCTTGACCAAGGCTGACCGGACCAGGCACACAGGCACCGGACTGTAGTGACGCTGCCATCCACAACCGTAGTTGTGGCTTAGGGTTCGCCCCCGACAGAGACGCTGGAAGGCAAGAAGATGGGAAATGCCCAAACAGAATAGACAAGCGAGAACCCACAGTACATTATCCGTCAGAGAGTTAGGAGTGGACCGTATTTATTTTTGCGCTGGCACCGCCGGTGGAAGTGATGGTCTCTCGAGAAACGACCCTGATCCGGTTTAGTCGGCGACAAAATGCCTCATACTGCTGGGGTTTCATGAGTATTTTTCAGGACTCCAACCTAAATCACCCGGTCCACTTATGAAACAGTAATACATGGATCCATATTAGTACTCTGGTCACTCTTTGTGAATGATTTTGATTCCCTAACACTGACTGTAGAAATCCAAAGAGAAACCACCTAGCGTGCGAAAGGAGAAGAAATCTCCGTCGCCGCATGCATCGGAGCTGCTGAGTCAGGCAGCGTGGCAAAAATGGAACAACAGAAGAAAGGGAAAAAATTTCATTACGGCGCTAGGCCCAAAACGACCTGCCGCTTTCCCGTAACGACGGCGTAAGTATCATCACTCGCATCCCACTTACACTAATGACTTCCTTCCTTTCCCTTCCCCCCCCAAATCGTGCCTGAATTCTTCCTTCCCTTCTTATTCTCGACCTCTTCCCATCTCTCTCTTCCTCTCAAACACTCTCCACTCTCCACTCCCCCCTATCTCCATACTTCGAGTCTTCGCATTCTTGCGAGCTCTTATCGACCACTGCGCCTCCCCAGCACAGACCATATCAAAAGTCTTGGGAGGTATCCGACATTTCCTCGGCGCTCGATCATCCTAGAGCTGCCATTCTTGCACAACCTGGTTGTTCTTGGCGAATCTCCTGTCCAATCGTCCCTCGATTCCACATCCTAGTCAATCATGCGTTTTATATCATGACGGCAGTCCTATCCGGGACACAGTCTGTTCCGCCCTCCGGGTTGATCGGCCTCCGTGATCGATATTGAGAAAGCGCAAGAACTACAACCGTCATCGACTTGAACATTGCTTCACAACCTTTGGATCTTCTTTGACTCCTCCCGAATTCTTTTGTGGTATGAGAGAACAGAATGGCCCAGTCCCGTGGCGACCGTCCGTTTTCATCATTCCACAATCTCTTGAAGATGATTCTCTCGCCCAGCAACCCGTCCACCCGGCCGACGCACGACGATGCCGACCTGGCCGACGACGTGGATGAACCGCCAGATCACCGTATCCATCATGCGACCACCATGCACCCCGAAGATGTCATCTACACTCGTCCACCCATTCCCGATCGGAAGGAATCGCTCCTCACCCGTGCCCTCAAGAGCAGCCCCGAGATGTCTCCTACCGACCAGCATCCTCCCTCCCTCCAAGACTCGACATACATGTACCGCTCCTATCCGCACAGCAACATCAGCGGCATCTCCACGGCAGAGCTGACCAGCGATGGTGGCTTGACGAGCCCGTCTTCGTCCAACACTCCCAGCCCGCCTCTACCTCCACAAATGATGGGCAAGCCAGGCCCAATTCTGGGCCACAAGGAGCTTGCGCCCAAGGTGAAGGTAGTCGACACCAACGAAAACACCGTGGAAGCCAACCTCGGGCGCAAGCGATGCATTAGCTTCGCTTGTGGCCGCAAGACCGAACAAGAACCGCCAACCCCGGCACCTCAACCGGAAGAAAAGAAGGACGTGGCTCCTGAGCCGCTCAAGCGGCGGACTGCCCTCACCTTCGTGTGCCCCGGACGAGACTTGGCTAAATTGCGAGACCGCTCGCCTGCAGCCACACGGAAGGCTGCGTTCCGCACGCGCTGCCGTGGTTCCCCAGCACCCGTCGGTCGCAAGCCCTCGCCAGACCGAAATGACGCACCCTCAACAGAGAAGGCGACCGAGATCCCGACGCCCAAGGGTGTCCCCACCAGTGGTCTAGGCAAGTTCGAGGAATCCGAAGCTACTCGATTTCACGAATTCGCCAGCTCGGTTGAGGAGGACGATGAGTGGGTGAACAAGGCGGCTGAATACTCTCAAAAGATCACCTTGAACGACTGCATGAAGAAGGAGATGGCCATTCGACGGCTCGGCGAAGAAGCTGAAGAGGAGGCTGAGGAGGAAGACGAAGATGTCGAGGATGCTGCCGATGATGACTCCACCATCCATGACTTTTCTTCGGATGACGGCAACGAGTCCGACAACGAAGCCGGCTTTGCGGATTCAGACGAGAGCGACGACGACGAGTACGAATTCTGGGCTCTGTCGCGCCCGACTGCGGATCCTCCCTCCCCTGCTTTGGACATCCTTTCTCCGCCCATTGAACGTCGTGCCTCGAACACCTCTTGGGGCTCGATGACCGATGATCACCAAAAATGGCTCCCGTCTCCCGTGCAGCGCATTGCTTCTGCTCGCCCTGCCAAGGTCTCGAAGATGCGCCCGGCCACCCCCAACCTGCCAGACAGCACTGATTTCGTTTGTGGAACTCTTGACGAGGATCGCCCTCTCGAAGTTGCCTACAAGTCTTGCTTGGAGCAACGGCGTATGTCGAAGCACATCCTCATTCCCCAAGATATCGACCCCAGCTTCCCCACGAGTGATCCGGAGGATGAGGAGGATGAGGAGGACTGGTCGAATGACGACCTCGAGGAGGTTGTTATGCGCCGTGAGGACTCGAGTCGCGGCCGAGCAGAGGGATCGGCTCGTAAGCCATCTCCGCGGCATTCGCCCAAGCGTATGGTGTCCCCGCCGCCTCGTCGTGCCGGCCGGTCATCTCCCAAACGCCTCAAGTCCCCTCCCCCCGTCTGAGGACCAAGTCTCCTTCTCCCGATACCAGCAAGTGGGCCGAGGATATTCCTCTCGCCCAGTCACCCGACGGTCTCAACATCAGCCATCTGGTGCAGCGGCCTCCTTTGGTGCGCACCAAGTCGTTGCCACGGACTCCTAACCCGTTCTTCACTGGGTTGGAGAAGTCGCGGCAGGGCAATCCGCCCTGGACCGAATCTCCCGAACGTGAGCGCTCTCGCACCCGGGAGTTGCACATGCGCGGCCCCGTCGACATTGTCGAGGGCCTCGAGAAGAAGCGTCAGAAGCGCAAAGAAAAATTCTGGCGCCAACATTGCCGCAAAGCTGCCAAAGAGCAGATGGAGCGGCGGCCGACCCCCGGCCATGGAGCCGAACGGATGAAGGAGCTTGGCCTCGAAGTTGCTGAGAGGTGCAGGGCTTACGGTGTCGGTCAAGACACCCAGCTCGTCCTATCTGTTTAAGGCATTCCTACCCTACCCACCCCTATTCTACCCTGTACATATTTTTTTTATTAGTTCGGTCTGTGACCGGACGCCATTCGCTTTACATACTTAACCTGATGGCCCTTTTTCCTTTTTTCTTATTAATCCTGGCGGATCTCTCTCGCTCTTTCTTTTGCATTTCCTATTTGCTGCATGGGTTCCGGAGCATATACCCCCTTTGATATTTGCTTGTATATGGATACAGCGGGAGGATGATTGGAGTATGATATGAACTAGAGAGACAGTACTATATCAGTATTTCAATCCAATGAATAATAGTCTCTATTTGTCTTTTTGTGTATAAATCTCGGAAGACTTGGTTGTTGCCACCGCCGATCTTGCTGCCTGAGGCCACCACTCACCACAACCGATCCCCGAAAACATCACCGCAACCTGTCTTCTTGCTTCTCTCCCTCCCCGACTCCATCCACGCTTCAACCCCCAGCCCTTTTCTGGACTGTCCACTCCATCTCCTCTTCCTTCGTGTCGCGGCTCCTCCGTTTACTGAAGTGCTTGTGCCTGTCGCCATGTGGATCGTCAACTGGTGTAAGTGCCGTCCAACCCACCCATCACGGTGTCTATAAAAGCTGGGCAGAGCAACAAGGGGGTTTTTTGTTTGGACATCGCACACAGTCCAGGCCCGGCGTTGGAGATGCTGGGTCCTTCCCCCTGGATACTGCGACTTCCAATACCCGGGATGTTTTGAGCCGCGGTTCCCTGTGGCGTGATGCTTGTGACTTGGGGACAGCGGGAGGGATGCCATTATGTATGCCGTTACTGATTTGATCTCATACAGTCTACGATGTCCTGGCATCGCTGGGACTTATGAACAAGCATGCCAAGCTCCTCTTCCTCGGTCTGGATAACGCCGGCAAGACGACGCTGCTCCACATGTTGAAGGTGAGTGCTGTTGATTTGCATGGATGAGACAGACAGATACTGACCGTTCCATCTGCAGAACGACCGCGTTGCCGTCCTCTCCCCCACCGCACACCCAACCTCGGAGGAACTCGCCATTGGCAACAACCGGTTCACAACCTTCGATCTGGGCGGTCACCAGCAGGGTGAGTCCAGCCAGCCCCCCTTCTTCATCCACCTTATCCAGGCCCTCTAATACTGTGTGATAGCCCGCCGCCTGTGGAAAGACTACTTCCCCGAAGTAAGCGGGATCGTCTTCCTGGTCGACGCAAAGGACTACGAGCGCTTCCCCGAGTCCAAGGCCGAGCTCGACGCCCTCCTCGCCATGGAGGATCTGGCCAAGGTTCCCTTCTTGGTGCTTGGAAACAAGATCGATCACCCTGATGCCGTGAGCGAGGATGAGCTCCGCCACCAGCTTGGTCTGTACCAGACTACCGGCAAGGGCAAGGTGCCGCTTGAGGGCATCCGGCCCATTGAGGTCTTCATGTGCAGTGTTGTTATGCGGCAGGGTGAGTTTATTTTGTCCACATTTCGAGAATTTTGTGGGATGCGTGCTAATTTGTTGTGCCCTGTAGGATACGGCGAGGGTATCAGGTGGCTGTCTCAGTATGTCTAGACAGAGTCCTGATAAAACGGGACTCGCGTCTTCGCTGCTGTTGCTATCTTTCCATTCCTCAACACCGCTGTTAGGCGTCTTTGCTTTGACTTCTTTCTGCTTGAGACAAGCAGTACGTAAGTCTAGATGGACTGGCTGACCGGATGGATGGACGCAACTATCACTGAACCCGGAATGAAATGAAATTACCCAACAACACCCCATCATAAGTCACTTTTTGCCCTTGTTCCCTCGACTCCCCCTTTCGCTATTTCCCCCAATATCTAGATTTCCCCCCCCTCAAGTGTCCTTCTTGTCCCCCTGACTTCAAGTGCGGATGTCTACTTCTATTCCTGTTGATCATGTCCTTATTACCTTACTACCTATCACTGTTGCTACAATCCATGGCTTTTAATTACGAATTCTTTTCGTGTTATCTCCTCTCTTCGGTTCAATTGGCTCGGTGAGGTTGCTGGTTAGTGTACTGTTGTACTTACAGCTAAGCAGTTGCATTTAACTTCAAGCGACATACCTGAACCTCCCTCGGGTTTCTATAGGAAAGATAAAAAACCAAGTCTTTTTAGTGACTTTCCTTCAGTGGCCATGACAGATTGATCAGAGTATAACCGAACATACGATTACAGGTTGCAGAACAGGACTTGCCAATATCAGCCCACTTATGTACAAGGGACTGCGGGGGACAAAGCCAGTCCCAACGTGGCAGGTCACTCACCCCGCTGCACCACCGGAGTTGAGATGGCATCTTTAGGAATACTCTTGCAGTGGTATATGTAGGAAGAATAGTTAGCCCATTCGGCCGAGCAGGTCAACCACGCCAGCATTGTAATGTAAAAGCAATTTTCTGTTCGCTCAGCTGTAGGTACCAAGGGAACCAAACCCGGCGAATCCCACCTGGGGCAATAGATAGTGACAACCTATCTCCGGCTATGATGACCTTCAGTTCAGATAGCTCCACCTGGCACACTTGGGAAGGCAGAGAGAGAAAGAAGGAAAGTAGTCAAAAGCGATTGATATAGATGCTGGTGATCACGTGCTACTGATTGTTCCTGGGCGGCGGCCCCACTTACATAGTCCTACATACCCACCAGGATGGGCACAAGAAAGACATCACTAGAAGACAGCGGAGAGAGGTACATGAAAGAGCTAAAATCCAAAATGAGCCTTGAATTTTCGTTTAATTTAAGTCCTGAAGAGGATACGGGATGCGTCCGGCGTCCATGGTCTGGTGTCATAATCTAGTTCTGTCTGAGAGACCCGTCGACTGGACGGGCAAAGTCTCGATATTAGGCTCACAATGACGGAACCGAACTACCTACGACTTTTTCATCTCCTGTTTCTCACTCTCTTACTCTCTTTTATCTTCGCTCTCCCTCATCTGCTCTCATCTATCTTCAGCCTCACTCAAACCAGCAAAATCCTCAACCAACATGTCTCCTGACAGCTGGATAACCATCGGAGGTCAATTCACTATATACATCATGGGAATCTTTACAGGTTTCATGATTGGCCAAACTTACCAGGAACGGGTTCAGCGCCTACAGGAATCAAAGGATGCACAGAGCAGTCTTTCTGTTGAACTGGCAAACCTCGAGAATGGTACTGTCACTGGGACACTCCCGCAGAAACCCGCGGGGGTGGCGTTGGCATAGATATTGAAACAAGGTAGGCGTTCATCCACGGAGAGAGACGACGCTATCTTAAAGATTATCTCTGACTCTTCTGGAAGTCTTCAGTTTCGCTCGATCTTGCGGGTATTTGCATCGGAGACAACAGAGGAATGGTCGAAATCAGTGAACCTTTTGAAACGTGTTGGATGCTTCACAGACACCATACTTTGTGCTTTGTACATGCTTTTCATATTGAATTGCTTTGGTTATCTGAGCACAGGTATAATGGCTATCAAAAGAATTGTTTCTCTTTATATACACCTCAGTCATCCAAGATTTACCTTCCTGTGAAGAGATGGGAAAGACCTTGGGCTCACACCACAATCAAAAGGCTTGCGCTGTGTATGCATCCCTTTAGACTATACTCAAAGTGCTTCCTCCGTATCGAAGCCTTGGAATGATTGAAGGAGTTGAAAATAAAGTCCATGCAAAAGCTGAACACAAAGAAAGCAAGTAGCTCATCAGTTCGTCAATACCTATCTGCCCTGGGAAGCGTGAAGGCCCTAGAGCAGACTAGATGGATCAGCAATGGAAAGTAAAGATTCCCCATGCATGCATGCATGGCCCGCGGAATGCGCCACACGGGAACTACAGATGCATTCCCCACTCATGCAAGAGGATATCTCTTCCAACTTGCAGATATGGAACTGGTCTACTGATTTCTTTACGGACTGTCTATCCATCCAGAAGATATGGGCGCTAGCCGACCTACCTAGTCACATACCTTGTTGAGGACAATGTAGCTAAACTAGTGGTATCCAGAGCGAGTTTACCAGAAGCGGCATTACCAGAGCAGGTGAAAGAACAGAGAAATGGATGAAGACTAGAATAAGAAACGATAAACAAACAGAAGACAACGACATGAGCTTTCAGAGAGAAAAAGGTGAGCGGGAAGGGGAGGAAGGGGGAAAAAACTCAAGATAGCACTAACAAAACCAGTCCCACCCCTTCCAGGATGCCGAAAAAGTAAAAAACCGTTCCAGATGATAGGAAACAAAAAGGAAGAAGACGGGAAAAGAAAACAACTTGAAAGAGGACTCATTCAACTCCGCTTGGTGTGTCGCGCAGGTTTCGGCCATGAAATGATGATTTGATGCGGGGGGTTTCGCATGTTCGCACGGGTGGCCGGGGTTTGTTGCGTGTATGGTGTTGGGAAGGGGTGAGGATATTATCGGCGTGTTTCGAGAAGAAGAAAAAAAACGAGATGATAAGGAGGCCGGCACCGCTGTGTGGGGTTTGTTGTGGGAAGAATGGTAAGTTCCCTCGATCATCGCGCATCGTTTCGTACTGTAGAAATCCGGGGACTCGCGGCGGAGGTTGCATGAGTGGTTGGTGTGGTGGTATGTGTATCATACGTGGAGGCGCCGTGAATAGAATTGACTGTCAAGAGACTTTATCTCCGCCCGAACCTGCTGCACATGGGGAAGCTCGTATTGATTCTTATTTCTTCTTTTGCTTGCGCGGAGGAGTAACGGGCCCGCCGGAGCTCATGCCACCGTAGACGTACTTTTGTTTCTTTTCCGCTGGTTTCAGGATCTATAAAGAGAGAGAAAAAAAGTGGTTAGTGTTGGAAATGCCTTGACAAAAAGAGACAGCTCACCTGGAAGGAACAGAGAAGACTCTCGTCGACACTCATCATGGCTCCCGCATTGTCGAATTCACCGCAGTAGTTGGGCGCGCTGAATAGAGTGACCAACTGACGCTTCGAGAAGAACTCGTACCCATCCTCCACGACTTGATGCGCGCGGCATATCAAATCCATGTCGTGTTTTTGCAGGAAACGCGAGACCACGTCCGGACCAAAAGTGAATGATACACCACGGTCGTTCTCGCTCCAGCCAGTGATGTCCTTGTCGGGATCGGACCACAAAAGATCGCAGAGCAGGCCGCAGTCGGGGATCTGTTGTCAGTGTCAGCGCATGGGGCCTTCAGCTGCGGAAAGCTCGGCCAGAAGGAACAAAAGAGAAAACGTACATCCGTAGGGCGCATGACTCGGCGAATCTGCTCCATAGAGTTGAGATCGGGGCTCAGACCGCCGTGCATGGTGAAGATCTTCTCGTCAATGATGGCTGCAATGGGAAGGCAGTTGAAGCAATCCGTGAACGTCTTCCACAGCTTGATGTTATATCGTCGCTTGCACTCATCGTAGAATCCGTAGATACGGTTGATCGAGGCGCACTCGTGGTTCCCGCGCAGAACAAAGAAGTTCTCGGGATACTTGATCTTGTATGCCAGAAGGAGGCAGATGGTCTCGAGGGACTGCTTGCCACGGTCGACGTAGTCGCCGAGGAAAAGGTAGTTGGCTTCCGGAGGGAACCCGCCGTATTCGAACAACCGCAGGAGGTCGTAGTATTGGCCGTGGATATCACCGCAGATCTAAGGCGAGGACACGTTAGACCCGCGGGCTCCACCCGTGAGGGTGCAGAGACGCGCGACTTACCTTGATTGGGGCCTCCAACTCCAGCAGTATCGGCTGAGATATGAAGATCTCTCGGGCCTTGGTGCACAGATAGCGAATTTCGGACTCCAACAGCTGCACCTGCTTGCCCGGCCGGCTGCCCCTCACCTCCAGCAGCCGATCAATGATCGAGTCCAGATCCACTTCCTGGTCGGCCATGTCGGTCGGCCTCTAACGAATGACACGAAAAAGAAGAAAAGGAAAAGGGAGAAGAGGGATGGAGGGATCTGAGGAAGGAAGAGGTGACTTCCGGAGCGATCGGGAGGAGGGACGGTAAAGATTTGATGACGCGGCGGCTATGTCCTGTCACACTCAGGGTGATAAGTTAGCGAATCTCAAAGATCCCGAGATGTTTCAAAACGGCTGCAAATGGGGTCCCGAATATGGACGTGTGGTTTTTTTTTCCTTTTGCCATCATTCCCCCTTGAGGGAGTTTGGTGGGCTCGTGCGAGGGAAAACAAAGATCCGATACAAAGGTGACCGACCTACCAAACCAGAGTTCAACGAGACCAAGAGACTCAAGAATAAAAGAAAAGGGCCCTACGGCCGCGGAGTCAGGGGTTGGACAGAGAATCCAGACGAGGTGGACGATGCGCCTGCGGAGAGTGTGTCGGATGCGTGGATAACACGGAAGGGCGGACGGGGAGCGGCTCCTGGGCGCCTCAACGGAAGTTGGGGCTGAGCGAAAGGCGGTGGGAGTCGATTTGGTCAAGGCCGTGAACCAAGCAGACGATAAGAATCGACGCGATGGCGATGGGCTGATGAGGTTGGGAGAAGCGGGTTATGATGGTGAAGGAAGGAGGGGTGTGGGAAGGGAGTCAGGGCAATCAAGGGAGAAATTTTTTTTTGGGCCTTGGAACTCTTCGCAGGCGATCGGTCGGGGGGGAGATGACAAAGGTCGCAGGGATCCAAACAAATGAGGACGGGCGTTGGGAAACGGAAGTCCGAGAATTGGGGATGGAAAGAGAAAAGAGAAGGAGGGAGGAGGTGAGAACACGAGAGAGAGCGAGATTCTGGCGGGCGAGAAAAGCGGGAAGCGGTGTTTGCATTGCCTGTTTGGCTGGGCCCTTCGTTATATATAGATCCGACCTCTGCAGGCCTATCTGTGTCCCGCCTTCTCGACTAATTACTATACCAACACTAGTCATGATGTAGAAATCTCTTTCTCTTGCTGGTCTAGACTCGAGTGAGACATTATCCATAGGATGCAGAGTCTATAATGTCATTGTCCTGCGAGTCTCCACCAGGCACCGACCCGATAAGACCGGCGGTACTGAAAGCTGACACTTGCAACTATTATTTGCCTAGGAATTTATTTATTTACTGCAGAGTATCGCTAGGAGAATATCCGGAAGGGTATGTCCACATCACGGGCCAGGACTATAGTCTGTCGGGGGAGTATTCTGCTCCAGCTACAGATCGAGATACCTTCCTCAGGAATTCAGGGAAATGTCCAACGACATCCGGATACGACAGGCCACATCACTCGACCTCGACACCATCTCCCACATTGCAGTAGATGCCCACCGCAACGACCAGGAATACACCCATCTCTTCCCCCAACGCGAGGAGTATGTCGAGGCCTATCAGAAGGATTTTCGCACCCACGTCAAGCACCACAGCATTCTCCCGAATTGCTTCGTGATGGTCGCAGAAGTGGCCCCGTGCAAACAATTAGCCGGGTAGTGCTTGTGGAATCATGACACGGAGACAGAGTCCTGGCGGATATTAAAGAAAGCTCGCTGCAAAGCTAGTAGTTAGTATGCAGGGGAGTAAGCAGCGGAGTTGCATGCATGCATCTCGAATATGGATATGAATAATAACATATCTGACTGACAGAGGCTAACAATGCTCCGCACCATCACAACATCAGAAACAGCATACCATTTCTCCATGCTCTTCAACCCAGCCGCCTCATGGAGCCATGCTCTCCACCTAGGCAACGATGACGAGCACTACAATGACCCCGATTACGCAGAACCGCGCGACTCCTGGGGGATCAATTAATTGGCTGTAACCTCTGCTTTTCAGCGTCGCGGTATTGGCTTGCGACTCGTGCAGTGGGGGATGGATCGAGCTCGCGGGGTGCCGGTGAGGCTGTCATCGACGCCGGCGGGAATAAGGTTGTATGAAAAGGCCGGGGTTTATGAGTATGGGACTTGGAAGTGAGCTCGGCAGGTGGATGAGGTGTATAAATTGATGCAGTGGGATCCTTGTCCCTGCTTTAGGTATGAGGCTTGTTTCGCGATATATCTCATGCAGCCTGCATTATTTGTGATCTGGCAGAACAAAAAGACTTGGAAAACACGGTTTATTTTGAGAATCTGGCTCTTCGCGCTTCATGTCTCGTGCTATCAGAGAGAAACAACAAAAACTAAATAGCACCAGGGGAATAGGGAAAAAAAAAAGGCAACAGCACAATATCCACCAACGCCAACTCCAAGGTACAGACAGGACACGCCAGCGCGTGTCTTTTTGAAAAACGGAAGCACAACAAAAGCACAATAAAAGCAGAAGGTTCAATCGGCCGTAAATTTGTTCATACATCCGACCCACCATATCTCGTGAGTAACCAAAAAAAGCAAAACGCCAGAAACAATGCAATTTGACGGGAGCGGAGTCGTCGATTGGAAGGTCTTCGTAGAGTTGAAGAGTAGCCCATTTGTGGCTTCGGGTTTCGTTTCAACCCAATAGACGCAAGAATGCCACACCAATGTTCTCGGAAGATTATGAAAAGTGTATCCTGAAAATAGGAAGGCAAGAATCGAAGATTGTATCGGTTCAGCCGCTCAATGTCCGGCCACCGCTCACGAGAGCTTGGCCGTTGGCGCGGGCAAGAGAGGGGGCTGGCAGGGCTGCCGAATGGTCCAAGCCAGAGCCAGCCAGATGAGCTGTTAGGTCCCTATGAGAGCTGTCCCAGGCATGGTCTCCCAGTACTGTGAGCCAGCTGTGGCCGACCTCATGCCGCAGAACCTCCAACTGTTGACGGCAGAGTTCTTCGTCCAAGGACCAATCCTTGATCGTGGCCGACGGTTGCATCAAGGATGGCTGCAAGGGTGGAGGACTTGGGGAGGTGACCTGCTTTCCGGGGCTCTGGATGCTGGACGATCCAGATTGGGTTCCGCTATCCAGCTTCCATTGGGGATCCGAAGGGACTAGGATAGATGGGTTCATCGTGGTTTGGATCTGTTGAATCGGGAGCACCGGAGGCATCGCTGCGCCCGTACTGCCGAGTCCATCTGCCATAAACGGGTTGTCCATCGAGAGGTCGACAATTCGGCGCCGTTGAATCTTCTTTCGTCGATTCGACCCCCCTTCAGCTTCATTCCGCTGCACAACCCGCAGCCGCGAGTCCCCCGCATCCTGTGACGACCGCGACGCTGCAATACCATCGGGGAGTACCGCAGTGGCAACTTTGTGTACAACCGTTGACTGATCTGCCGCGCTCGACCGCACAACCGGTGCACCTTCGGGCTCCGCTGCTCGGTCAACGAGCTGCTTTCTCTCCGAGTATCCCGGGGTGCGGCCGTCGATGATGATGTCTTCTGAATAACCGGGAGTCCGACGGAAGAGGTTCATGATCGTGACGCGATAGCCGGAGTGTGTCTTGGTGAACGGGTTGCCAGCCACCCAGATCTCCCGTATTTCAGGAAGACCGGTCAGTCGGGCTATCTCGGTGGGGTCCATGAGGTTATTGTCGCGTAAATCCAGTCTCTCGAGAGACAGCAGTCTTTCAATGCCAGCGAGTGAACGGAGACGGTTGCCGCGGAGGTTGAGGGCTGTAATAGCAGGAAGGGGGTTCCGGGATAGTGAATGTAGAGAATCTATCATACACTGAGAGAGATTAAGGGCCCGCAGAGACATCAAGGATGCGAGACTGTCGGGGATCTCGGTCAGAAGGTTCGCTGACAGATCCAGGGAGTTCAATGTATTGGCTACGGGGGCCAGACTGGCGGCGGAGACGGACGTTAATGAATTCTCCGGAAGGCCCAGATGTCGCAAGAACCGCCATTTGGACGGGTGAAGCACTCCAGGGAGAAGGGTGGAGGAGCTGCCAGTGCGGTAACCGCCCGACGTCTCGCTCGAGTTTGAGCTCCCAGAGCCCGTGCGTCGAATACGAGACGACTGACCCCGGGTGTGGCGGTGGCTCTGCTTCGAAGTGGGTGGTCGAGTCGGCGAGATGCTGTCGGCCCTGGCGCGGATTTTTCTGTCTGCCCCCTCCGACCCAGCTCGCATCATCGGGACCGCTTTGGGGCTACTGCTAGTCCCTAATCCAGTGCCTGCGATAGGGGATCCAGGAGCAGAAAGGGGGATGGCGTGGTCCATGCCCGGGGGAACCGGCTGGGAACCTGAACCGGTGCTAGCAGTCCATCCGAGCAGCGGTGATTGCTGAGACTTGGCGGACCGCCGCCGACGCCGGTTGATATCATCCAGCACGATTCTCGTCAGGAGGTCCGCCGGGTCGTCTAGGTGAGCACGTTTGATGGACAAGGTGCGTAGTTGCTCGGACAGTCGGTCCCAGCCGTAGAAGGAGCGGTAGTCTATGTCAATGATCTCTAAAGCGCTCAGGTTCTTGAAAGAATGTAAGGGTACAGCCGTTTCGAAAGGAAATTCCTCATATCCACGAATCAAACGAGCGCGGTGGTCCGGGGCGAGGCGCAGACAGGGGATCTTGGTGAAGGCAGAGTAGAGATACTTCAAGTCTGCCTCTATGGCCGCCTTGGCTTTCTCCGATCGGGAGGGCGAGTCTTTTGATCCTAGGCCAAATGAGGACCAGAGGCCACTCATACCGGACATGACGCTACGAACGCTGGATACGGAGTGGATGGAGTCCCTATCCCCCCTGGACCGCTGGGGCTTATTGAGAAAGGAAACGTAGGACTGCGACACCTCGGTATGGATATTCTCCAGTCGAACGTTCATAGGGCCCACGGGAATGGAGAGGTCCTCGAAGCGCGAGAGCAAGTAGAAAAGATGGTGGGGGGTCAGGGTGAGCTTGGCCGGCTTCAGGGTTTGCGATGCAAACTTGAGCGCCCCGAAGGACAACGCCGATGCCAGGGAGGTCGAGGAGAAAGAACCCGAGCTGGTCAGGGACTGGGGGGTTGCGCCATTGGTCTTCGAGGGCTGGCGTCGCAGCTGGAGAGCGTTGGCGAGCGCCTTCTCGTGGGTGCGGATGAAGCTGGCGAGATTCTAAACGGGGTCAGTGAAATTGAGGAAGGGAGAGTTCGTTCGGGACCAACCTTGATGAAGAGTTGTCCATCTTCTGTGTTGAGTTTCTCCATGGTCGTCGAGGTAACGTCCAGACGGACCAGGTCTCAGCTCCGAGCGAGCTCAGAAGATGGAATCGCTCAGCAGGTATGGCCAGGGAAGGGAGACATCTTTGCTGGTACAACCAGCAAGAAGAGAGAGGGAGAGGGAGAGTATGGTGGAGAGGTAAAGGGAGTGTAACAGTGAGGGAAAAAAAGAGAGCGAGAGAGCGAGAAGGAGAGAGAGAGACAGAGAAGGGCCGAAGCGACGGTGCGGCGGGCGCTAAAGACGACGGGCGCCGATAACCCAATAAATCCGTAATAATCTGGTATCACTAATTGCCTCTCATATCGGCACAGTTTATTTTTTATTTTTACTTTGGCTTTAGAGTATATTATCATCCGTCCTCCATGAGTGTGGTGGCAACGCTCCGTTCTGACTGGTTCTAACTCTCACGATGATCCAAGTTCCCCCACCTCACGTCGTCCCGCTCCACCCAAGAAAAAAAAATAACAAAACAAATCCTAATCAGTGGCGGCCGCGCAGTGATCACCAACAGCCACACCACATGCAGGCCCGGGTGGGAATGCCGAGTCGTCGGCTGATTGGTGTCTTGAGGGAGGATATTTGCCAGTCTCTTCGGGGTCATGAACCATCGTCAGCTCGCATTGACATCTGACATTCCTCTGACTACCGCATCGGGCACAACACCATGATAACTCTCGCGTCACACGGCGCCCCGCAACTATTCTTATCAGTCACGACCATGGTTCGGGGTCACCCCTTCATCTCATGGATCTCATCTATGTGAGGGATGTTTGGCATTATCAACCATGGCCGATGTCAAATTTACTTTCCCCCCCTGAAGTATATTTGGTTCGGATCAACAGCGCGGGGTACTTTGCACCACGGACGTAGTAGGTTGTCTGTCCTTGGTCCGTACAGACTTCCATTCCACGACTGTTGATCGCAATGGCCATTCCCCAGGAATGAAGACACACATGGGAATGCATGATCGTCCGTTGGATCGGCCGCCCCTCTGACCCTCTCCCCCACCCCCTGCGTGGAAGTTGGCCCCGAACCCTTTTCGAGGAACCCGGGCAATCCTGGAGGTTTAGGCGATCCCGTCGGAGTGGTGGCTATGGTGTCTCCTGATAGGTGGAGACCTCATTTGCAGATGCCAAGAGGTAAGCGGGGGACTAACTAGCGGCCTGCAGAGGGCCCAATGCGGATCCGTGTAGGGTCATTGACGGCTCAAAGAGGGCTAAGGCAACTTCAACGAGGCAACGGGCAGGCGGCTATCGCGCCATCGGAGATCCGATGGTCTGAACCCGAAGGCAAACAATGATGAAATGGCGATAACGTAGTAGTGATGTCTCAGCTGGGAGCGTAGGACATTGTAGCAGGGAAGGAATTGCTTTTGTCCAGTGGAACCACTAACAAGCGCAGTTGGCCCAAGCTGAGCCTAATGAAGCACCATTCCGTGCATCCAGCGCGCCACCCAAACTGCAGCTGCTGCAAATCATCCTGTTTCACCCCGTTGGGATTCGCATACGACTGGGGGCCACGACGATCACCTGACCAGCCATCGTATGTATACTACGAGGTAGGATTAATTTGTCAGTAGGGACCAGAAAGTATTCCGCACACCGAACCGCACTTCGTCGTCGCATCGCCAATGAGATCCTCCTATCAGATCGACGAGTCCGAGTCCGATATCGCGCAGTAGCTCGTCTGCGCGGCACGTTAATACGCAGTGTGATCCATGCTCCAAAGTAATTCTCCCGATGTGGCATCTGCCTGCCAATAGCAATTGGGAGATTGCCATCTTCACGCCGGGTTCGCCGCTAGTGACCATCTAGCGGTGAGATAGAGCGTGCCACTCGGGGACTACGGGGTGTGTTTGATCAGCACAGATTCCTCTGGTGGGATGTCCCTCAAATTTGGAGGGCTGAACGCTCGCAGTCGTTGGTAGGCGGGGGACACATTCCAATCTTGTCTCGGTCTGGGGGTGAGCGGCCAATGTCGTTGCGATACGGGCGATCCAGCAACCACAGTAGCATTATTATTGATGAGGCCGAATTCCGACCGAGGGGTGATTCGGGTGTGGAATGTTAGCAGGCCCATCTCGCCTACGTCTCCGTACAATTGTAGTATGTCTATCTACTGTATGTCCCACATATGCCGGTTCGGGTTACTGCCGGTCACCAGCCACCGGTGGATCGACTGTGGCTGGTGCGGATACCACGTGACGCTGATGTCATCACCGCCAGCTGCAGTCAAGGTACGAGACATGACCGTCTCCAACCTTCTCTCTCACTTCTGTGCCAGCATGCCTGCTCTCCGAACATGACCTTGGACGAGAAAGCCCCCGATCCATATGACCCCATCGGGCTTCCAGACTACGATCGAGAATTCATCGATCCCGACGACCTGCGCCGGTTCGAGAAAGCGTTAAATGCGCCCGAGACCAACAACTTGACCTTGGTGGCCATCAATGACTGGCGTCCGATCAACCAGAAAGTCCGCAAGCGCCGGAAAACCCCGAAGCGAAGCAAGGATGAGACGCGGGAAGGTGTGCTCTACACAGTCCTGAAATGGCCGTTGCTGGTGACGGTGTTCGCGTGGATCACCGTGCTCAGCATCGGCTACGTGCTGATCCGGGTGTATATCTTCTTATACGAGCAACTCGTGACTTGGCGCGGCAAGCGCCAGAAACTACGCCTGAGCCTGTGGACGAAGTCCAATTACCCGGATTGGTTGAAAGCTGCCCAAGATCTGGATGCCCATCTGGGCAATGTCAAGTGGAAGCAGGAGGATGAATATGCCTACTACGATCACCTGACGATCAACAAGGTCGTGGCTCAACTGAAAGATGCCAGGAAGGATGCCGAGTGGGAGTTGCAGCACCGGCGCATTGGCGCTAATGAACCGCCTGCCGTGGAGGAGCTGCAAGCAATCCTCGAGGCGTGCGTCAAGAACAACTTTTCCGGGGTGGAGAACCCTCGGGTCTACAGTGAGGCGTACTCGGGAACAAAGGACTTGGTTCAGGAATACATCGACGAAGTGCACGCTTGCATCAAACTAGTTCTTGACAGCAAACAAATTGACAAGGAGGCCAAGTACCGGCACTTCAGACACCTGGACACCAATTTCGGACGCACTGCCCTCTGTCTTTCGGGAGGAGCAACCTTCGCCTATTACCATTTCGGGGTCGTAAAGGCACTCCTGGATAATGACGTCCTGCCGGAGATCATCACGGGTACCTCTGGAGGTGCGCTGGTGGCGGGCTTAGTCGCGACGCGCACCGACGAAGAACTGAAACACCTACTGGTGCCAGCCCTCGCCCATCGTATTCGTGCCTGTCACGAAGGCTTTTCCACGTGGATGCGTCGCTGGTGGCGGACTGGTGCTCGGTTCGACACCCTCGATTGGGCCCGACAATGCAGTTGGTTCTGCAGAGGGTCCACTACCTTCCGGGAGGCGTATGAACGGACGGGCCGCATCTTAAACGTCACCTGTGTGCCGTCGGACCCTCACTCGCCGACAATTCTAGCCAACTACCTGACCTGCCCGGATTGCGTCATATGGAGTGCCGTGCTGGCCTCCGCCGCTGTTCCAGGGATTCTCAATCCAGTGGTGCTAATGACCAAGAGACGCGATGGTACACTCGCCCCGTACTCATTCGGACACAAGTGGAAAGATGGCAGTCTACGCACCGATATACCCATCAAAGCGCTCAATCTGCATTTCAACGTGAATTTCACCATCGTTTCCCAGGTCAACCCACACATCAACCTCTTCTTCTTCAGCTCACGAGGCACCGTCGGACGGCCAGTGACGCATCGCAAAGGACGCGGCTGGCGCGGCGGATTCCTGGGCACCGCGATCGAACAGTATATCAAGCTGGACCTGAACAAATGGCTCCGCGTTCTCCGGCACTTGGAGCTTCTCCCTCGACCAATGGGCCAGGACTGGAGTGAGATTTGGCTACAGAAATTTAGCGGCACAGTGACTCTCTGGCCGAAGACCGTCCCGTCCGACTTCTATCATATCCTCTCGGACCCCAGCCCAGAACGACTAGCGCGCATGCTCCATGCGGGCCAGCAAAGTGCGTTCTCCAAAATTCAGTTCATCCAGAACAGACTCAAAATCGAGCGCGCAATCATGAAGGGTTTGAAGCAGTGCTCCCCGGCAGGGACCGTCGGGGGTCGTGCCCTTTCCCCGATCCTGTCTCGCCGGGTAAATCATCCAGAGCACGAGCCCTCGGATGACGACGCACTGGTCCAGCGGTTGGACGAGAACTTTCCCGAGCGGGACGGCTTCAGCTCCAACACTTCGACTACGTCCTCGCGCCCTGAAACCCCGGCTTCTCGCCGGCGGAGCAGTATTATCGAGGAAATGCGCCGCCAGTCGGCTGTGTTCTTTGACGATGACATATACACCGACGAGGATGCCATTATCACTTGATTCTGATATGGCCATGCTTTCACTAGACGGCTCCGCTGTCCGTGGACCTTTCCCCATGGGCCATGACGTCGCACAGCCAGCGTCGGTTGGAATTCGAACCACCTCTTCGGGACACCCGCATTTCTCGCTCTGCTAATGAACCTTGTCCCTCAACACCCCGCGCGTAGACAATATTACTCGACATGACAGGCGGCTCTTGTCGATCTCTTTCGCTCGGAGATTTTCGGATCTCGTCGTCCTACCTGCTCCTCGGAGTCTCCCGTTCTTCCCCTCTTTTTTGCTTCCCAACCCATACACATTGCCCATACCACTCATCATCTGCCTGCATTATCAAGGAGTTCTGTATCACTTATTGCTTCATGGTGCCCGTTTTTCTCCGTTCAGTTTGTTGCACATGAGACTACAACGATCACGGCTTTGCTCGTTTCCGTTGTTATTCGCATTATGATGTCAGTTCTTTTGGACTGAGAAAGCAGAGAACAGGAGTAGCATGTAATACCTATCCTATACAAGATGGCTTAGTTCTATCCTGAGTATAAATACAACTTCCTTTTTTAGTGGCGGTCATCTCAAACCCTCAGCCTCTTGTTATTTGCTCCTAATTCGTTCCCACGAGCGGGCCTAACGAGACTGACGTCTGCCCATCACTTACCTGCTAAACTAGGACTAGTAGTTGGGCGAGTACTGAGGCTTAGCAGATAACATCGGGCATAGATGTCATATGTCCAGGGATTCGAATATAAAGCAGAGGGTAAAGTTAAGACTACCGCATGCACGTCTAGCGAGATACCCCCCCAACTAAATAATAGTTAAGATAAGCGAGACATTGACATCATGTCCTTAGCATCGAACCCAACTCACTAGTGGGAGTGGAGGAGCGAAGGATCGAGCGAGGGTGGCATCGCATCGCAGAATGCACATTAGATGCATGTATCGAACAGTGTAAGAATCCTAAAAGTCCACAGCAAAGTAAACTAATCCCCGACTGGCTGTAGGAGCGCGATCGACGTCATGCTACAGCGTCGGGCGTACGAGATGACATAACTATGCCCGCCAGATTGGGAGAGGAGTAGTGGGGAATTTAATCTAAGCCTATGTGCGAATACGTTAGTACGCTACCGAGGTCATTGCGGTAAGTATAGCGTGTGCAGATCTGTGGCAAGCGATGATGCCAGTACGACGGCGGTGGATGGATACTGGGGATCAATGAAGTCATTTCCCGGCTTCTTTTTGAATTAACGAATGCAAAGAAAAGCGCCTAGTGTACATTTCTTTCTTGCTGTTGTCATAGTCAGGAATAACTCCGAGTCAAATGTTCGTCGTATCGTACACGCTAAAGCAAAAGGAAGAGATGAACCCTCTCATACCCGGGACACATGATAGCCAAAAGGAAAGAAAGCGATGGTCGTGAGAAGATGCCCAAAGATGGATCTACTCGCATCAGATAACGAGCCACTTGTTGGTGACAGCTTGTGCACTGCGGAGATCGCCACTGAGAGCGTGAAGATTCTGCAGTGCGAAGGCGGCGTCGCGCGAGAAATCCTCGACGTAAGCTTGCGATGGCCCGGTTCCGTCGCTCATGGCTGCGTCTTCCCCACTCTCCTGTTGATGTTGTTCTCGCTGGATCTTCTCGCCCAGCACTAGCACCAGCTCATACTCCTTGATGGCTAGATGGACCAGGCTGAGGGCGTGGTAGACACGGGCGAAGTTGAATTCCATCTCCTGGCGCTCCTGCAGTAGAGTCCCCGGTTTCTCGCGGACGAGGCGGTATTCATGCATGAAGGAGAGGCCTTGCATGATCAGGTAGTGACGGTTCTCGGACTGTCGTTTGAGGGCGTGGTGGATGTAGCAGAGGCTGATGGAAAGCAGAACAGCTGGGTTTTGGTCGTCCAGCGCGTATGCTCGGAAGAAGTAATTTAGCGCTGGGTAGAAACTGTTCCCCGAGTAGAGGATGTGGCCGTAGAGCACGAGAAGGGCGATATCTAGCTCTTTAGCGGGGATGGGTTCGCCGAACTCGTCCTTGGTGGAGAGAGCGGCGCGCTCCTTCCAGATGGAGGGCCGTGACGGCTGAGGCCGGGAGACGTCGGGCAGGGTAAAGTCCATCGCTTTGATCTGGCGGAGCATGAATTTCATGTTTGGAGACGAATGGAAGAGTGACCGATGAGGGTCGCCGGACAAGTGGCTCAGCATGGAGAAGAGTCGGTAGGTGTCTGTGACGAACTGGTACTCCTTGATAAACCAGCGTGCCTCGTTGGACAGAGCTTCTTCATCTTGAGCCCGGAGCGCACATGTAAACCAGCAAACATGGATCAATCGGGTTTTGGGCTGGCTGTGCAACCAGACACTGGCCATGGCCGCACCATTCAATGCTTCATACGCTTCCTCCGACTCGCCCTGCTCCGTAGAAAGCAGAGCATATTGAAGAAAGATGTCAAGCCAGTCGTCAAAGGAGATGCCGTGGTAGTCAGTCGGAATGGCCCCCAGTAGGGACTCATCTGTCACCTCGCCGAGTGATTCTTGAAGACGCCCTGCCATCTCTTGCATTTCGTCCATCATCATCCTGCTCTTAGATTTCCCTTTCTTGTGCGCATCGACCGAATATCCCTGAAAGGTAATGCTGCGAAGCATGGGGTAGAAGATTCGGTTGGATCGGAAATCTCGCAGCAGAGCGTCGGCAATATCGAGCCAATCCTCGATGGCTTCAGCCGCGCCCTCCTTGATCCGAGGCTCGAGTTGCTGCATCTTCGAATACAGGAACTGAATGTCTTCTGTCCGGCTACCTTCTCCCATCCCCGCTTGCCCCCTACCGGCGGTCAATGTTGTCAACGTTGTCGATGGAGCTTTGAGTCCAGGTGTTTTCAGAGCTTCTCCGGCTTCCGCCATCCTAAACTCCATGGCCAGCTGTTCAAGCCGAGTGTCTTTCCTCTTTCGTCGGGTCCTGGATTCTTGTCGACCAATCAACACTGCCTCGTTGACATACTTGAATGCCTGCTCGCTCATGCCGAGGCTTTCGTAGAGCTTCGCGAGTTGTACTCGTGACTCCATGTTGGTAGCGTCATTCCCGGCGACTATGAGATAGTAGTGTTCCGCGTCCTCTACTTTACCTAGGTCCATACAGCAACCTGCTATGGCCATGAAGTAACCGACATCCGCATACTCCGTGGTCTGCTGGATCGGGGCGTAGTATCTAAGTGCTTCCTCCAACACACCTGTTTCTTTCAGGGCATCGGCAACTTCTCGGAAAAGATCACCATAGTCAAAGATTCGGGCCCCTTCGGATGTATCTTCGGGATTCAACCACTCGAAGTGATGCTGCAATCCACTTTGTTAGAAACTATCGCTCTTCAAGGGGTGGAAGATCTACTTACCAATGCTTCGTCCTGATTTTGATCGCCCATCTTCAAGCGGAAAAGACCCATTTTGATCCGGAGTTCAAGCGGAAGCCCCAGTCCATAGCTCTCCAACGGCCATTGTCCGGGAATATAGCCATCGGTCTTGATGCGGCGAGGGGAATCATCGAAATCCCATTCGCGATCGTCTTCATCAAAATCCTCCCACATAATATCATCCTTGCGGCCCAACAGCCATCGTGAGAGCCCTTTGAGGGCTGTCAATCCCTCTTGGTGCTGGTTCAAGTAACTGTAGAGCTCGACATAGATATTGACATCGGACCAGCCGAAATCGAGGGATTCCTCTGGGCTGTGCGACATGAAATATTCGACGCTGTCCGCGTAGTGATCCACCGCCTTTTGAACATCATCAAGATCAATGTACGTCTCTGCAAGATGTCGAAGTGCCCGAGCGTTGTGAGGACGTTCCTTGAGAATGCGCTCGTATTCGCCAGCGGCCCGGCCATTATACCCCAGTTCGCGGTAGATTGCAGCTCGCTGGAATCGGATGTTGAAGTTCCTGGGTTCAATGTCGATCACACGGCTGTAGCAGTAGATAACATCGTTCAAGACACTTTTGCGATTCTCCCCCACGCGTTCCATAATGAGTCGAGCAACTTTGGCCCAGACGGTGGGATCTTTCGGTCGCGTGTGGGCTCCGCTGAACAGAGCCGTCAAAGCCTTGTCTTTCTGGCCCTGGGCGAGAAAGATCTCCGACAGAAGTGAGTGGGCTGCAAACATCTCAGGGTTGATCAGAATGGCTCGCTTCACTAGATCAATGGCGCGGTCGTAGTCTCCGTCAATGAAGGCCGAGGTAGCTTCCGAATGAAGCATCTTGAATTCCGGGCTGGGCTCGATCGGTCTGCGCGGCCCTCTTCTGATGCCTTTTCCGCCGCGAGCGCCATAACGGCCCGAGAAGCGCCCTCCGCCACGGCGGCGACGGCGTCTGGCAACTGAATCATTGTCGTCGTCATCTTCTGCCAGCTCATCTTCCTCCTCCGCACTGGTACTTTGGTCCTCCGCGAAGACATAGTCCGAATCGTCGGTCACGTCTCCGTCATAGAGATATGTCTGTTCCTCTTCTGAAGGGGCCTCTTCATCGGCGTCCTCATCTTCAGAGTAAGCGGGGCCCGCCTCCTCCGGCGCGTTCTGTGCAAACAGATCGCGGTACAAACGCGGATCAATCACCGAGGCATGGACGTCTCCCGCTGCAGACGGCTGGCTGCCTTGCCACGGGTACTGCAAGGTCTCATCGATGTCCGGGTAGACCGAGTCCTCCGGGGGGGACGTCCCTTCCATATACAGGTCCGAGTCTTCCATAGTTGGTCGGGAATGGCTGCTCGGCTAGGCCATGCCCGGGAAGCCGATGCGACGTTGAAGCACCGGGATGAGGGGAATTATTTCACGGGCGACCAACTGGGAGAGAGCACACAACATGGGGTCGCAACCCGATCGTTGCCATGTCCGATGTGATGATTGAGGTTGACTGGAATGGATGGCCATTCCAGGCCCAGAGCGGGCGGTAGAACCAACCCCGTGATCTAGCGGCCTGAAACCGAAAAAGCCTCTTCTTTCTTTCCCTCGTCAAAACTTCTCTCCTCTTCACTCCCCAACGTCCCTCCTCATCCCTCCCTCCCTTTCCTCCATCCGCTCTTCTTCCATTTTTCCTTCTTCTTTTTCCCTTCTCTTGATTGATTGATGCCTGGGACCAGTGGCTTGCTGTGTTTGACACACTAGTGCTTCTGCTCCTGGCATCTTTTCTGTCGTTTTCTACTCCCACACTAATCGAACTCCCCTCCCTCTGCCTTATCGAGGTACAGCCACTGGCCTGGACTGTGCCTTGTCTTGCCTTGCTTGGACGGTTCTGTTCTATCTGTTACGCAAACTCAGCAGGCGCTGCAGGTGTTTTGCAGTAATCATTCCCCACTCTGTATTTACTCTTCGGCCGTTCACCTCCGTTCGCCCAAATAAACCATGTCCAACCACATCGGCAACCGCAACAGCACCCCGGAGGCTGGAAATTCCACGCTGCGTCCCCCGTCGTCCTCCCGCAATCTCGGATCTCATCAGCTGCGAGCCTCGGCAGACATGTCGGGATTCCCTGCGCCGCTGTCGGCCCGCAGCATTCGTCCTTCGTCCGAAGTCTTCTTCAACCAACCGTCTCAGGGCCAAAACTCGACGGAGGATGCTTTGGACCGTGCAGCTCAGCAGTGGCTGGCGGATATCGACCAGTATGAGACAACTCTGGAGGAGATGGCGGCTGCCACGCTCGATCAGGACTTCAAGGATGAACTCAGTGCCATCGAACAGTGGTTCCGTGTTTTGAGTGAGGCCGAACGCACTGCGGCTCTGTATGCTTTGCTTCAGCAGACTACTCAGGTGCAGATTCGGTTCTTCATCCAGGTCCTGCAGCAGATGTCCCAGGGCCACCCGATGTCTGGGCTCCTTTCCCCTGCCAACTTTGGCGAGAGGGGTATGTTTTTCCTGTATCAATCTATGTGCCCGTACATAGCTAATACGCTTCTATAGATGCCATGTCTAGCCGCCTGAGCGACGCCATGTCGAAGCTGGATACTTCTCGCAATTCCTTGGTCCGACCTCCACCGTCTCCAGGCGCGAAGCGCAACTCGGCCCTCGACTCGTCCACCATCAATGCCATGTTTCCGGATGCCGCCGCGGCGATTGCGAAGAAAAAGGCCGAGTTCACCCAGCAGACGGGCAACGCACCTCCATCCAACCGCAATAGCGCAGTCTTCGGAGAGCGTACATCCTTCGTGGCCCCGACCATCTCCGCTCCTGACAACAATACAGACAACTTGGGCCAGCCGCCGGCGTCGCCATGGACCCAACGCGGGTTTTCAGACCAACAGCCCCCAATCGCTCGACCCAAGTCTTCCTCTGGACAGCAGCCTATGGGTCAATTCAGCCAGCCGTCAGGTATGCGGTCTCCTCTCCCGCAGACTGCTACCATTCCCGCCCCTGATATCGAGCCACCCATGCTCTCGCCATACAATGTTGGAAACCACAGCTGGGCCTCTATGACCAACACTCCCATGACTGCTACGTTCGGGCAACAGCAGCAAAACCAGCAGAATCAAAACAACACACAGGCGGACATGGTGGCCAACGCGACGGCGATGAAACTGGCGGCCCTTTCGACGGTGAACAATCGGATCGCTCTTGATGATGCGCGCAAGTACCGCCGATCTCGCTCGAACGATGGCCATGGTAGGAATTCGAACACCAACCCCACCTATTCCCAGGGCCTGGCTAGCCCAGGTCTTCCTGGACAGAACTTGGTGGCAGGTCAGCTGTTGAATGCACAGCAGCTGGCAGCTCTGCAGGCTCAACAACAGGCCTCCATGGCGGGTCGGCGGTCTCGCCCTACGTCCCCCGGCATTGCTATGCAAGGCGGTGGTCTGGGCGCGATGGGTTTCACCTCGCCCCAGAACAATGGATTTTTGGCAGCATATGACCCCAACAACCCACTGATGGGCAACGGCTTGGGTTCTCTGGGTATGGGTCAGTTCGGTCTGGGCGGCGAGGGATACCTGTCCGACCACTCGGAGGTGGCGCGTGGCCGCTCCCCGCGTGGTCGTCGTGGTAGCTCGAAGCCGCCAGAGGATCCCACAGACCCGGCTCTTTTGAAGGACATCCCCGGCTGGCTGCGGTCCCTTCGGCTGCACAAGTACACGGACAATCTGAAGGACCTCAAGTGGACCGAGCTGGTCGCATTGGACGACAAGGCCTTGGAGGAGCGTGGCGTCAACGCGCTTGGTGCACGGAACAAGATGCTGAAGGTGAGTCCTGAGTCCTCAATCGAGCCATTCCTCTATTGACATAGGTGTAGGTATTCGAGCAAGTCAGGGAAGCCCAGGCGGAAGGCAAGCTCGACAATCTTTCTTGATTGGCCATGTGTTGCATCGCAATCACCAGCGAAACTTTTTCTTTACCATCATTCGCCATTTTTATCTGTTTTTGTAGTTGTGATCATTTCTTTTGGCTGAGCCACTGGCGGGCAAGTGGCTGTGGATTCGGGGATGTATCAAACGCCGTCATGTCAGGAAACGGATCTCATGAAGGGGAATCATCGCATACTTAATCGAATCGTAGATATTCTTTGCTCTTCCCATGTCGTGGTCTCCGGTGGTCCGTGCGTCTTCTAGAAACTCAGGCCAACTCCTCCCGCTCATTCACTCCCTCACGCACCACCTCACTTCCCCCATCATCTTCACGTCCACGCGACTCGCACCACCTCATCCAAGACTTGCGCGGGTCGATAAATAACGACTACAAGATGGCGCCCACCAAGCAGGAGCTGTCCCTGCTCATCAATCCGCTGGTGCCGGAGAGCGTCCAGCACAACACCCGGGTATGTCTACCACGCCCTCAACCCCCTCTACCATTCTATCCCCCAACGACTCCCTACGCCATGTATTCGCACCTGAAAAAAGAAAACCATCCAAGCCACAATTTAAACCAACTAGAGTCCATCTCACTAATCTCCTGCAAAACAGGTCCTGTCAACCCTACACTCCCTAACCTCCTTCCTCCTGGGCCTGTCCGCCGGAATCCTCGCCCTGCAATCCAGCTCAGGCTTCCTCTTCTACGGTCTCGGCACGATCCTCGTCTCAGGATTCTTCCATCTCCTTCTGATCCACCGCTCCGACGGCGCGGGCGCGGGCGCGTTCTTCCCCGGCAGCAATAACGGCGAGATTGACGGCGTGGTCGAGATGGATCCGAAGAGTCAGCGTGTGCGCATGCAGTTGGCTTCGAAGCCTGGTCAGCTTATAAGGAGGAGTGGTGCGTGGAGAGATGTTTGGTTTGGGGGTGGTGTTTTCTCCGAGGCGCTTAGTGGGTTTGTCCTCGGGTGGGCGGGTGTTGGTGGTGTTTTGAGGTGATCTCTACTCTGCCTCGGAGGGGAAGAGAATGCGTGTGATTATAGACATTATTGGTCGAGAATTTAGGATGTGAGCAGAGCTGTCGTTCGTCTCCGCTCATAGGATATTGTCTCAGACAAACCCTAGTTGCTACACTACAGAGTACTAGATACTACTGGTAAAAAATGTACAAGATCAAATCAACCCAATTCATGCATGAATTGAAACCATGACTTTCTATATACACCAGATTTCAAAAGGGTATCCCTAGAATTGGCCCAAGCACAGTGTAGCCGAACCAGCAAACCGACCATAATAATAGACAATATAACTCCGAGAAGAGAGAATAAACGTGATGTAGATGATCACGCCGAGAAAATAAGAGATTAACAAGTCATATCGGGGCATATCAGACCGAGCGGAACCCTCCAAACCAGAGAGGACGACTATAGAGCGATTGGATGCAAGGAAGTAGAGAGAGATCAACCGACGTGCGGGATCGTGTCGGACGAGTTGGCCACGGCACTTTGCAGGGCGCTGGTCAAGTCGATGTGGAAGAACGGCCGGTTCATGCCTTGGATGAGGGCCATCTTGCGACGGGAGCGGTAGGCCTTGCTGTCCGTCAGATCGCGCTTGAAGTGGTCCTCGGAGATGATGTCGCTGTTCTCGGTGCTGGACGACGAGCCCTCGGTGACCTGGGTCGTGGTCTCTTGGTCGGCGGTGGTCTTGATGCCCGCCTCGACGTCCTCGGTCTTGTGGTGCGCGTGTAGCTGTTCGAGGCGCTCGCGCTCATTGTTCATGATCTCCGCGTGCGCCGCGGCTGACCCGCTGCCTTCGATCTCGGCCACACTGAAGATAGGCTTCCACCGGTGGAAACCCTCGTTCGAGGTTGGGGTCGGGTATCCAAAGCCTGCGGCGGCCAGAGCGCGCTTCGTCCACCGGTTGTTGATGTGGGCGAAGTGCCACTGCACGGTGCGCGGCGTGGTATAGAGATCAAGCTGGTTGCGCACGTCGATCAGGTTCTGGATCGAGGTTGTGTCCACGTTGTTCACGGACGAGAAGTCGAGAATGATGGCTTGCAGAAGAGGCAGGTTCTCGCTGGATTCGTCCTGGCCTCCCTTCGGGCCCGGGTCGTTCCATGGCCGGTCGCCGTTGCGCGTGTATGCGTGCGGGTTCGTGCGGCGGGTGTGCCGGAAGACGGTCTGCACCAGGTTATCCGTGTAGTGATTGGCGTTGGGGTAGTTGAAGCCTTCGGAGAAGCGGTAGATGAAGATGCCCGGGTACGGCTGCTCCACGTCGACATCCGGGTTGGAGCCATCGGTGTGGTTGATGGGGAGGAAGATGGACCGGTGAAAGCGCTCCTCGTCGTCCTCATCGGCCGGGGCCTTGGTGGCTCCGAATGAGCCGTACTTGCCGTCGCCATCCAGAAGATGGTCGCCAACCACGGAGTGGATGGTCACCTTGCCCAGGAAGTGGCCGCGGGCCTTGGCCACGCGGAAAAGCAGCACGGCCACGGAGACACAGATCGTGCAGTAAATACCGTCTTCGATGGAGGTGAACATCGTCACGAGCACACCAATGAAGAAGATCAGGCAGTCCAGGGGTGCCACGCGCCAGAACTGGTAGACAGTGTTGGGCGGCGTGATCAGGTCACCGACGGCGTGGATAATGACACCAGCGAGGGATGCCTTGGGAATGTAGAAGAAGAGCGCGGGCAGGGCGTAGATGGCCAACAAGACTACGACCGACGTAATCACACCTGCCAACGGGGTACGGACCCCGGCCTTCGACTTGATGGCAGTGCGGGAGAAAGAGCCAGTCGCCGGGTAGGCACCCAGGAACGGACCAAGCAGGTTGGTAACACCGATACCGACAAACTCCTGCGAGGGGTTGATGGTATAGTTGTTGACACGGCCAAAGGACTTGGAGATGGCAATGTGTTCGATCAAAAGCACAATCACGGCGGCGGGCAGCTGGCCGCCAAAGGCAGCGATGACCTTCGACTCGAGCTTAGGCACAGCGGCATTCTGGAAGCCGCGAGGAACGTGGCCTAGAAGTGAAAAGGCCGGGTTGTCCTTGCGGTGCAGATTGACCGCAGCACTAATCATAGTGTAAAATAAGATGACAAACACCGTCCGCAGGGTAGACGCGAAGAAGAATATCCTGGCGCGGTGAGGCATCTTCTTTGCGGCGTACATGCATCCCGAACGGATCGCGTACAGCATCACCATAGCCGTCACACCCATGGCCGCATCGATTGTGGCGGTGGGCAGATACTTGAGGGTGTTGATGATAATCAGATAGGTCGAGCCTCGGGTAGAGAAGTCCGCCGTCTCGCCGAGCATGGTCGGCACTTGTCCCGAGCAGATATTCAGAGCCGATCCGGTCATGAAAGCCGAAATGGCGGGAAGCGGGATGAAATCCACAATGAAACCCAGTCGGATCAGACCCATGAAACAAACAATGCCACCGCAGATGACGGCCAAGGAGGACGCGACCACGTGTGGTGGAATCTCGGGGTATTTCGCGGTGACCTGGGTGACAATATCACCGGTCAAGGTAGACATGACCGCGACGGGTCCAATTGTGATATCTTTGGAGGTCGCAAAGAACCAGTAAACCAGCACGCCCATGAACGACGAGTAGAGACCGAACTGCACTTCCAGTTTCGCCAGTTGCGCGTACGCCATACCTTGCGGAACGACCACAGCTCCAACGGTGATACCTATCATTGGGGTTAGTCCTTTCATTCTGCCACTATCTTCCAGGGTCTTCACGTACCGGCCACCAGGTCACCGAACAACCATTGCAAATTATACCGGCGGATCCAGGTCAAAAATGGGAAGAGGTTCAGGAAATAATTGCCGATATCCTTGAACGACGGGGTATGTTCCTGGAACCACTCGGTGGTGGTCGGTTCGGGTTCGTTGTACGAGTAGGTGTCCACGGTGCCGACGGAGAAGGTCGACTCGCCGCGGGTGACGGTGTCGCCGGTGGCACCTAGAGGGTCTCTGTAGGGCAGCTTGATGCCCAGGCTCTTGGCCACGGCCTGGCCGAACTTGACGTTCTTCTCGGGTTTCTCGACAGCCATGGTTGCTGTATCGCAGATGACCAGGCGGGTTCAAGAATGCGACACTCACGGGCGTGAGGAAAATGTGTCGGGAACGGGTTGACACCGAAAAAAAAGGTGTCCAGAGGCAGCTTGAGTATATAAACGAATGGAAAGCTGACAGGGGTTAAACAACACCGCCCATTGCGATCTGTATGACAGGCGGATTAGGGGGGATTGGGTTCGCGGCGGAGTGCGTGATTGGGAGCCAAATGGCGTGATATCGAAAAGGCACCCCGGATTCCACTTGGCGCAGGAGGCTTAGCGCAGTAGGGGGTAATCAGAACGCCCTGGATAGTGGACAGGAAGGTCGATTGAAGCAGTGCCTCGAGAACAATCAGGATGGTGAGAATGAAATCTGGGAGGGACGATGCAACGGCGGCAGATGTGGACAGTTAAGAGCCATTGACCAGATAATTTTTGAAAGCAACGACCACCGGTGAGGCCCACCGAAGATCTCTCTCAAGAGCCGATCCCTGAAAAAGAAAGGAAGTTCAGGTGTGGACCCGGTCTGGCCGCCTGGAGACGATGACGACGGCCCGTGGAGCAGAGTACCGGTGGTTAGTCCGTGAGTTTCGTGTGTGACCCCGTCGGATAGGTGCGAATAGTGCTATCACACTGCCACTGCTCCCATCGCGCCCATCCCGCGTGTCCCGCTCGTTTTCTCTCCTCTTTTCTTTTTTTCCCATCGGATCGACCTCGAATTCGGCCTCGTGGAGCCTGACTAAGGGTTGGTGCCAAGACTTGTCTGGGCCAATTGTAATCCTCCGCCCTCCACCGCCCCAGACGACGAGCCAATCGCAAGGCGTCCTGAACACGCCATCGCTGTGGCGGATGGTGAAAGCAGTTCCACGTTTACAAGTTACCTGTTTGGCGGTTGGCTCATTTGCCTCTTGCAAGCTGAGACAGGGAAGCCCGGGCCTCGCAATGATTATCTTGGGACCTTCCGTGGAAATTGGCTTGGCAGGGCCGGAGTGGATTGGGTGTCCGACGGGGTGAAGAATTGCTGTTCACAATCCTTCCCACGATCGGCATGGACCGTAGTGTAGTAGTTAGATCCGGGAATAGGACGCAGTCAAAAGGGTTAGACCCTGAAGGACGAACATGCATGGCCAGTGCGTCTTGCAGGAGGGCCAAAAACGCCATTGAGATCCAAATCACGTCATCGAGCTTATTCGTCGCGACGTACCCACTCGACCTCATCCGCCTCCCACGAGGCCATGCTGTCACTAATGGATTGTTGGTCGTCAAGCACGCGATTGACATTCCCGCTGGTCGCGAGTCGAAACGAAGGGGGCGGATATTGTCTCCGCCGCCGCCCTGGCCGGAGCTTTCTCCAGCGGGAGGTCCCTTCCGCTCGTTTTTAGGCTTTGTCGTTTCTTTTTTTGATATTCGTCTTCCCGCAGCTTTCTGACGTGATTGAGCTTATATCTTTTGGCGGCGCTGTCCGCGCTTCATGCTGTACCTGGGCGCAAAATTAAGCTTCCTCCCCGTCGCTGACCGTGATGCGATCACCCCTGGTGCCGAGAATAGTAACCATGTCGTAGCGGGCTCGTATTCTGTCTCTGTTGGGCGCCATCTGTTGCTGCGTCGATGATGTCAACGCGTCTTGGGGCTGTTTCATGCCTGGGATTATGCCTCGAGAAGGTTGCACTGGGTCACGGGCCTTTGGCAGTCGTTTCTGCGTGCCAATGAACGTCATTCGATCCTGCGCGATGACCGAAGGGGCCGACGAGGCTCTGTGGCTGGCAGATCATCTGACCTGCCCGCCGACATGTCGAGCCGATCCACGGGGTCCTACATAGGAAATCGGATGAGAGGTACGAAAGAGGCTATCTGCAGAGGTGGCTGAATAGCCAGATCCCCAATGCTATAAACTGCAGGTCTCCGTGTTTGATAGTTACCCAGTTGGGTTATAGTCATGAGCATCGACCTAAAAACGATCAGTGTAAATTGTGGAAGGCTTGTCTTGATGGAAGTGCCGCAAATAGGGAAAACCCGATGGCATTTGGTTAAATCCCATTTACTTGAAGTACCAGCTACAACTTAAAACACTCCTCCGACACCACCAGCTCACCCGTAGACTCATGCAAAAACCTCGCACACACAAGCCGTCCACATCCTGGCCTCTCCGATGCAGCAACGACAACATCATTAAACCGTGCCTGCTCAGGAATATCACATGCAGTGACCGCATCCTTCCCCGTTTGATTCTTAGCAGCCTTCTCTTCCAACTCGGCCACCCCTTCCATAAAGCGAGCAATCAAGGCTCCCTCCCACATCCCTTCCTGGCACGTAGTACTCTGAAGCAATGAAATAGCTGCATGTCTTACAGCTCTGTCGCGGCATTTAACAGAAGTTATATACATGGCTGGAATTATGCCGGACTCCAAGGTGAATGTTAATCCGGGGAGGTAGGAGGATTGCACGTAGTTGGAGGGTGCCACGCCGTCGACGAATTTTTCGGAAAGAGAGACGATGCGTTTGAAAGTATCAACAAAACGGTCGCATGGTTGCTCGTGGGTGTCGCGAATGGTTGATATTAGGAAGTGCAGGTAGAATTGCTGAATCTCTAGCAAGAGAGTAGGCCGTGCATATGAGTATAACGGGTGTACGGAAAGAGCCTTGAATGCAGATGACCACCGAGCCAGATTGGTAAGTACGCTGTCATGTTGCTCTTGTATTGTCGGGTGATGGCATAAGTTCACTGTTCGTATCTTCGAATAATGCAGACAATGCCGGACCGCAAGGTCCATCTCGGAGAACTCGTCTCCGTTCTCCAACGCTGCTAGGCGGAGTAACTCGCCTCGAAACCGGAAGGCAGAGTTTGCAAGAAGATCGAGAGACTGCTTTGCCTCGGCGACACTCGCGAATGCTTTTGGAATGCTCAACTTATTGTCAACAGGGATGAGAGCAAGGACTGGTGTCTGCTCCCCGAACATGGTAGCCTCATAGTCCAGTCGAGCAAAGACTATAGCAAGCTGTCCCAGAGGATTATGCTCTGTCTCCGAACTTAATTCCAGACAGATACCTCCCTGCCGCGGATCCAGCTTCAAAAATTGCACATGAAGCCCTGACAAGATCCGCAGTCCCGTTCGAAGATGAGCAACCGCTGCCGGTCTGTTTCCCTGGAGCATTTCGAGGCAGATAAACAACAGACACGCGGCGAGAGCAACGACTCCACAGCTCTCGTTTGGTGATCCTGCAAGTCGGCTTCGGAGGTGGTTCAATGACTTTACGTATTGTCTGATCGCGAAGGCGTTTGCGGGCTCAAGAGAATTGCTGCCTGTAAGGAGAGAAGGACACTGGCCTCTGGAAAACCGGTGCATTGCACCCACTGCCACTGCTGCATGGAGGATACATGGCTCTCTATGGCTCAGCTGCAGAACGAGTTGCTCCCAGACCGATGAGATGAAATACCCCGGAATCTCGCGGGCAGACTGGCACCGGAAGAAGTCGAAACTGGTGCTTTCAGCCGCTGACAGATCAAGTCCATAACTGTCGTTTATGCTTAGTATCTTATCATTCTTGTTGCCGAGTATTTGTGGCTGCAATAGTCTCTTCCCCTTATATTTCTGAGCAGTCTCACGCGTAGCAGCACTGGGTACTTCATAGCCATCGCAGACCCGGCCTGTTGAGCAGCACCGCTGACAGACAGGTCTATCCTCATCACATTTTACTCGTCGAATGCTGTATCAGAGTCAGAATGGCGCCAGATGCGCAGTTTATCCCACTTACCGACAAGTCCGGCAACCGGTTCGCCCTCTTCTTTTCTCACGGTTTGCTGTCATGATTGACCAAGGGCATTCCAGCCACCGTAGCCACCGTAGCCAACCTCGTGTATATCAAATACTACCGTGTTGCACCCTCGACTTCTTTCGTCCTCCGTGAACAGAGGCAGTGCCTTGGCAAGGCTGGGGGCCAACCGCTATTCCCTTCTCATTCGCCCGTTCGCTAACCAGCTCCTCTCAGCCAATCAAGCATTTTTTAGTATAGCTTCATACAAGATCACCTGCCTAACTGCTACAGAAATAAGTATTGGTTAGCAAGCGAGTTTGATCAGCGCAGGTGCTAAGCAATTTCAGGTTACCCCCGATATAAATATAACCATAAATCCCTACTTGAATGAAATAGAACACCAAGTCCAAGTACATCCATTCTATCTCAAGGCCCTATCGAACAAACTACAGCAATGACACCTATTCAAATGATCCACATCCACTACCGCGGCAGATTCCTCTCCCTCCTGGACTCAGACGACACCACTCAGCTGTACATCGTGAAAGTGTGCCGCGAAACACCGCAAATGGAACTCGTGCGGACGAATAGCAGCGCCGCACCCCAAAACACTGGCTGCCTAATACCGGAACTATGCACTGCATCTTTCAACCACCTAAGCCTAAACGTCTCCCTCAACATAAGAGGTATACAAGTTCGTCTCAAACGCCACGGCACGTTCTCACGCACCTATGTCTTCGAGAGCACTGCTTCGCCCGGCACGACCTTGCTTTGGGAAGCGGATGGTGCACTGACGGGGGATTTCAAGTTGAGTGATCAGTTCACGGGCCGGGTTGTGGCGAGGTTTCGGAATAAACTGTTTTCTACCTCTGAGGTTGGATCGTTGGAGATGATTGGGGATTTGGAGGAAGTGCTGCAGGAGGAGGTTGTTATTAGTTGTTTGGCGGTGCTGGTTATGGTGCAGAGCTTGAATTTGGCGACAATGGTCTTGGTTGGGGGGAGTCCGTAGATGATTAGCAGGGATGGTTTTAGGGCTGAGTATATATCGGAAACTACGCCTCTGAAGAAAGAGTAGCTAAACAACCATGCAACAATGCATTCATATCAAAATATAAGAAAGGTCTATCCAAGTTGAAAGTTCATCATCAGTGCAGGCTGGAAAAATCAAATCCCATAATGGTCGGCGCTGCGCCCGAAAATGAGGACCTTGTTCGACAATGCCGTGGTCCCACCTTCGTTACTCGACGCAGCCATAGCTCTTTCTTCTCTCCGTCATGGCAACTCCTCTCGCCCGCCCACTCACTCCCGCCATTCTCTCCGGTTCCGGTTCCCATGAAAACAAAAGGCATGAAACATGATATAAAAAAGGAAAAAGGGCAAGCCATGGGCAAGAGAGAGAAAGATTACAGGAAATGGGAAAAAGGCAAGGGCGGAATACCGAGAAGAGTAAGTCACCTCCCTATGCCCTTGTCATCTTCCAGGTCTTCAAAGCAAACGCCATCACAAAGCAAAGAGATAAGAGAGAGAAAAGTGTCAATCCGGGACTGAATGCCGCCCCCGCCCCTCTTCACATAGTATCGTATCATAAGCGAGGTTTTTCTTTTCCATCAGTGGCCCAGCATCATGACCTCCCCGATTGAATGGATGGAGTTCTTTTACTGAGAGGCGCACTGTACCCGCTCAGCACCCGCAGGAACGTCATCATCATCCTCGTCCATGACCCCGGCAGCACCGTGGGCGCGGGCCTGGGAACCTTCGCTGGTGTCGATGTTCTCGAGCTCGAAGTCCTCAACCATGGCATCCGATGGAGGCTGGGGCTGCTGCTTGCGGGGAGGCAGAACCTGCTCCAGAAGCTCTAGGTTGCGCAGCTGGTCCTTCTCGGGGAACTTGACGTCGAACTTGATGTAGAGGTTGCCGTGGTCGTGGTGGCGGAACGATGGCATACCCTGGCCGCCGATGACCTTGATCGCATCTGAAAGGCATTAGTATCATCTGCAAAAAAAAATTAAAAAATTGTGGAGGAGGTACATACCAGGAACGATAACCTCGCCCGGGGCGATGTTTACGGTCAACCACCGCTCATCGAGGTGCTCAATGTGGATAGTACCGCCGGCAAGCGCGGTGAGCAGGTCAATCTCGGCCTGGTAGAAGAGGTCGTCGTTTTTGCGCTGGAATCGCGGGTGGGGCTTCTGTTCGATCTCGAAGACGACATCACCTGGCAGCGCGCCGGGCATCTGATCGCCCTCGCCACGGAACTCGATCTTGTGGCCGTCACGAACACCCTTGTCGACATGGACGTGCAGCACCTTGCGCTCGACGGTGGTCTTCTTGCCGTTGCAGCGCTTGCAGCGGTCCTTGTCACGGATGGTCTCACCCTCGCCATTGCAGTCCGGGCAGACGGTCTGGAAGCGCTGGATCATGGGGCCCATTTGGCGCATCATCGTCTTCATACCGCTGCCATTGCAACCCGTGCACTCCTTGACCGCGCCCTCCTTTCCGCCGCGGCCGTCACAGCCCGGGCAGATGACGGACTTCTGCAACGCCAATTTCGACACTTTGCCCCGGTAGATGTCCTCCAGGTTGACCTTGTGCACGTGATGGATAGTGCGGGCCTTCTTGGGACCCTGCTCGCGCATTCCACCGCCGAACATGCCACCAAAGGCACCGCCGCCACCGAAGAACTGAGAGAAGAGGTCCTCGGCGTTCATTCCTCCGCCAGCGCCACCGTGCTCCAGGCCCTCCTCACCATACTGGTCGTAGAGTTGACGCTTCTGCGGGTCAGACAGGATCTCGTAGGCGTGCGACAGCTCCTTGAACTTCTCGGCGGCTTCGGGGTTGTTGGTGTTTTTATCTGACGGGCAGTTAAGTTAGTGGGGGCAGGACGGGTTGTCCGACGGGGGATGGGCACATACCTGGGTGATACTTGAGAGCACCCTTCTTGTAGGCCGATTTCAGTTGGGAATCAGAGGCCGTGGGAGGGACCTTTGAGTTGTCAGTCAGTCTCGTTCTGTACCGTCGATTCTCATCAAACCTACCCCCAGGCAATCGTAGAACTTGGTTTCCTTGACCATTGTGAGAGGCGGATCAGGGAGGTCGAAATCACCGCGAGACAAACGAGAGGGTATCGATCGGAATAATAGGAAAAGGGATCAGGCTCGGAGGAAGAGGACGAGGTGGATAGAGATGCAGGAAGATGGGATGGTCGATGGGCACAACAGGAGCAGCCCGAGCGGTCACTTTTTTTCTGCCAGGCACAAGGGTACGGTCACGTAATATTACCAGGCCAGGCACTTTTTCGCCTCAGCAGTCTAGCAGGGAGAATAGGTAAAGGATGGAAGGGTCAAAAGTGAAGAGTGCGTGTGTCAAATGTTCTTTTATCCCGAATTTCTCTCATAAGAATACCTTGCGTGATACTATCAGTGTCGACGCCCGCTTGCTTCCACGCGATTCCAAGACCTTCGATGGCTTTTTCTCCACGCTTCCATCGCTGACTCAGCCCTGCATGTTCGCCTTGTCGTCTCTCTTAGTTACCGATGAGTGTTTCACGCCTCAGTAACTAACTACATGACTGCTATGTCTCTGAAATCGAACTATAGACTCATCGCCACTGTAATTGATCCGTCACCGCCCTGACCAGACACAGAATTTTCCCTTTTGCCTCCCCGCCGCCACACTTACCAGCCACGGTCTCGCTCTTATCGATAAGCCCGATCCACTCACTATGGAGGGGCCCGGAACTGACCGATGAAGACTCACTTGAGAGCCCCAAGCTCAATTGCACTTCCACCACATCCCCAGCCACCATGGATCAGGACCCCGGTTTCATTGCTGCCGTCGAGGAGGCCAAGAAAGGTGCTGCCGAGGGCGGCGTCCCCATCGGCGCCGCGCTGGTCTCCAAAGATGGAAAGATCCTCGGCCGCGGACATAACATGCGCGTGCAGAAGGGCAGCGCCATTCTTCATGTTTGCGCTACCACTACTCAAATGGGAAATCCGTGGCTAATTGCTACTTGTCCAGGCTGAGATGTCCGCGCTGGAGAGCTCGGGCCGCTTGCCGGCTTCGGCCTACGAGGGCGCTACCATGTACACCACCCTCTCGCCGTGTGATATGTGCACGGGGGCCTGTGTGCTCTACAAAGTGAAGCGCGTGGTCATTGGCGAGAACCAGAACTTCAAGGGCGGAGAGGAGCTACTGCTGAACCGCGGCAAGGAGCTGGTTGTGCTGGATAACGCCGAGTGCAAGGAGCTGATGGCTACGTTTATCAAGGAGAAGCCGGAGCTGTGGTATGTTCACTGTTTCTGAGCAGCAGTTGCTATCCATACTGATATTCATTCCCTGCAGGAACGAGGATATTGCCGTCTAACCTCGTTAAGACGTCGTATATAATCCAACAGATACCTCGGAACTTTTGTTTTGAAAATCCACGTAATTCAGATATGACCTTCCGGATATGACCTTCCTGTTCTAGTATTTCCCCTCTCTATGGACCGGGCTAAGACGCCGTCAATCGATGAATCTCTTCGAAGAAGAACTTCAAGTCCTCCGGGTCGACGAAGGGAGTTACGCCTAAAAAGATCAGTCAGCACAGAGAGTGGAAACACAAAAGGAAACGCACCGTGGCCCAGATTGGCAATCCATCCTTGCTTGCCCTGCTTGAATCCCTTGACCATGTGCTCGACCGTCGGCGTGATAGCCGCACGACCTCCGTAGAGCATCCCCGGATCCGCGTTGCCCTGGAGGGTTACCCGCCCATTGGCAACACGCATGGCCTCCGCAGGATCATGAAGCCAGTCCAGACCAACGACATTGTATCCCGAGTCGCAGAGGTCATCGAGCGCGTACCATGCGCCCTTGGCAAAGACGGTCATAGGCACGGGCTCCAGGCCCATCTCCTTGAGCCGCTTCGGCAGATTCGCAGAGATGTGACGCAAGTAAGGAAGCGAGAACGAGCCGAACGAGCTCGGCGACAGCTCGCCAGCCCAAGAGTCAAAGACCTGCACGAGCTGCGCGCCCGCCGCAACCTGGAGCGCCAGGTACTCGACACAGATCTCGGCGATCTTCTGCAGCAGCGCCTGCGACTCCGCAGGATACTTGTAGACCCATTTCTTTGACTGCACGAAGAGCTTGCTCCCGCCCCCTTCCACCATATAGCACAGCAGCGTCCAGGGTGCGCCGCAGAAGCCGATGAGCGGCACGCGGCCCTGCAGCTTGTGCCGAGTGAGCGTGATCGCCTTGTAGACATACTCCAGCTCGGCCTTGACGTCCACCTTCTTCGCCATCACCTTCTCGTACTGGCCGTCTGTCGGCGACTGCAGCGGCTCCGGGAAGTGCGGGCCCTTCTTGTCGACCATTTCCACGGTCATGCCCATTGCCTGCGGGATGACTAGGATGTCGGAGAAGATAATTGCGGCATCGATGAGCCCCGCGTAGCGATCAATGGGCTGGATGGTCAGGGTCGAGGCGACTTCCGGCGAGCGGCAGCATTCGAAGAAATCCCGGCCGCCCTTCGCTTCGTGGTACTCGGGGAGGTAGCGGCCCGCTTGTGGAGGGAAAATGATCAGTTCAGTTTTTCTACAGTGAAGTGTCCTCCATGCGCCCAACACGAAGGAAAAAGACGAGAGCACTCACCCTGTCGCATCACCCATATTGGCGGCCGTTCCACCTTCTCGCCTGCGATCGCCAGTCAGTCGGGATGGGACCCCAATAAATGATGAGAGCCTAATTACCCCGTGCGGCCCGTAGCAGCAAGTCGTTCTTCAGCGGCTCGAATTGTTGCTGCATGGTGGTGTGGCCGGAAATGGTGTAAAGCGGCGGGTTGAAGATGGTGGGATGGAGGGAGTGCGGTGGAGTTGGGGGAACCGCGGCCCGCGATGGACTATTTACTGAACCGAGAGTCCTAGCAGAGCATTTATAGTACGACGTAAATTCTGGGAATCTTTTATTTACTATTAATGTACAATTATTGATTCAAAGGCTATGCACAGGGAAGTAATCTATTATTCGTCCCAAGATCGCTTGCGCAGGTTGCCCAGGTTATAGAGCGAACCGGCAAGCTCTTTCTTCTGCTTGTCATCCAGCGCCTCTCCCAACCCAGTAGTACCCTGCGAGGCGATGTGACTGGCCAGAGGATCATTAGATGGAATCCAATGCAAGCCATCCACCTGGTTCTCGGCCTGGAGGCATTCAAGCAGCATCTGCGGCGACTCGACACTCGACTTCCACGCATCAGTAGAATTCTGCTGGTGCACAGTATCAACGGAGACGGCAATCGCATTGCGCGACTCAATTGCAACTAGATCCAACACATTCCCAGAAAGCTGGATGGGGAGCTGTTGCTTCAAGGTGCCTTCTTTTTCGAGCGTGAAGCAAAGAAGTTGCGAGGATCTGCTCGCCACGTCAGACAAGTCCATCAAAAAAGAGAGCCCGCACTTACCCTTCAAGTGCCACCAGGATAGCCCGTAGCGGACCGTCCATGCCCGTTACCTGTGCAAACGAAACTTCCCAAATCCCACGCACAATGACCTCCTTGGCCTCCGACGGGTCAAGCAACGGGACCTTTTGCAGCATCCGTCCGTCAGTCCATTCCCACAACAATAGAAAATTGTCCCCGCCACCTGAGATGAGAAGTTCTGGAGCCCACGAGGGAACGCAAAGCTTGCTGATAAAGGCCGTGTGGCCCAGACAATACTGCTCAATGATGTGTGCTTGCGGAACACCGCGAGATACGCGAATATGTTCATCACGATCTGCCGTCAGAATATAACTCCGCGACGGGCTTGTCGGAGACGGAACACAGATCAAATCCGTCAACAAAGAAACATGGCCTAGGATGACCTGGTGTTCGAAGGCGAGAGCAGTCTTCTCTTCCGCTTTCTGTGCTTTCAGCTCAGCCTGGCGCATCTGTTGCTCCAAGGATTCGAGATTGCGCTTCGTGTGCACAGTGAGCGATGTTGCCGCCGGCTTGTATGGTTTGGCCTCGCTTTGCACCTCCGCCACATAATCCGTGCTGGGAATCAGCGGAAGAGAGTAAGCATCCCCGAACTTGTCAGCGCAGATGATGGTCTTGCCATCTGGAGTCAAAGCCAATGCGCTGGGTCGTTTGGCCATTGTGCTGTGCGAACATGAGAAAGTGTCCAATTTTGAGGGTGACTCCGACCTACCGCGAACTCAATTGCTGTAGTGTTCCATCTTCGTTCAGCTGCAGGACCCGGATACTTTTGTCCTCTGCAGTGACAGCCACTACATGTCTTCCGTCGGGACAGACCTTCACAATGGGGATGGTGGACCAGGTCGGCTTGTCCGATTTCTCCTCGGCGGACAATTTTCTCCGTTTCTCAGGCGGCGCCTGCTCTTCTGAAGCAGAGACTGCCGCGTCTACATTCCGAGGCCACACATCGAGGCGCTGGCCAGTGGGCGCAGCGTAGGAGTAGATCCGTTGGCCGGCCGAGCCAATGAGAAGATCTGTGGGTTGTCTTTGCACATACTGCAGGCAGTGGAAAGGGTGCTGAAACTGGGCCATGGCGAGGGACTACTTGAGGAAGTACTAACTCTGTCGCGAGCGAGTCTTGTAGATGACCACGTGACCCACTAGCGAGCCACACCGAAAAATGTCCAAAATTAATTCACCCGCGCATTTCCGCCTTTCATCAACCACCACACACACAACTCACAATTTATTCCCTTGCCCTTAAACATCCTATCTTCACTGAAAAATCAAGAAGACATGGGGGGCAAGTCAGCTACCAAGGCCGCTTACTTCGATAAGCTGAAGGCCCTTCTCAATGAATACCGCACGGTCTTCATTGTCGGTGTCGACAATGTCAGCTCGCAGCAGATGCACGAGATCCGTATCTCCCTTCGTGGAGAGGGTGTTGTCCTGATGGGCAAGAACACCATGGTACGTGTGCCCTGGCACACTTGCAGCTAATCAATTGCTAATTTGGTTCTCTGTCAATAGGTTCGCCGTGCTCTCAAGGGCTTCGTCGCCGAGAACCCCGAGTATGAGCGTCTGCTGCCTTTCGTCCGCGGCAACGTCGGTTTCATCTTCACCAACGGTGACCTGAAGCAGGTCAAGGAGAAGATCCTGGCCAACCGTGTCGCCGCCCCCGCCCGTGCCGGTGCCTTCGCTCCCGCCGACGTCTGGATTCCTGCCGGTAACACCGGTATGGAACCCGGCAAGACCTCCTTCTTCCAGGCCCTCGGTGTCCCCACCAAGATTGCTCGTGGTACCATTGAAATCGTGTCGGACCTGAAGCTCATCGAGGCCGGTCTCAAGGTCGGCCCCTCCGAGGCCACCCTGCTGAACATCCTGAACATCTCGCCCTTCACCTACGGCATGTCCATTGCCCAGGTGTACGACAACGGCCAGACCTTCGGCGCCGATGTTCTCGACATCGATGACGAGCAGCTGCTCAAGGCCTTCAGCCAGGCCATCAACACCGTCACCGCCATCTCCCTGGCGACCGGCTACCCCACCGTCCCGGCCACCATGCACTCGATCATCAACGCCTACAAGAAGGTTCTTGCCGTTGCTGTTGAGACCGAGATCAGCTGGCCCGAGATCGAGGATCTCAAGGACCGCATCGCCAACCCCGATGCCTACGCCGCTGCTGCTCCCGCCGCCGCCGCCGCCTCCGGTGGTGCCGCTGCCCCTGCCGCTGCCGCTCCGGCTGAGGAGGAGGAGGAGTCCGACGAGGATATGGGCTTCGGTCTGTTTGACTAAACGCCTCGCCTTGTGTGACGGACCACGAATGCCGTGTATTAGATTTGTCTGACCCAGCCTGAGAATGGCAGGGGAATGAAAATACGACTATTATGGCAATGCTTGTTGTCTTGTTGGTTTCACAGTAGACTCGTATAATGGACCGTAGCTACGCTCCATTATCCTGTCACTGCATCAATGGTGAGTTTTTATTTCCGTTCTTTGTCTTCTTCCGTCCCGTCTGCCCAAGCACCAACACCTACCTCCCCGGCGAATGATTAAACATTTTTAACCCCGAGCAATGGCTCTCCGGAGTCGCGCTGAAGATTAAAAACGCAACAACAACACTCTAATTTTTTGATGACGCCTTGCCTTTCACACCATGATTTTTCTCTGATCCTTGATGCCTGGTTTGCAAGCAATTGCTAACTATTTCTCAGCAGGTAACTCTACAAATAGTCCATGACCGATGTAGACTCCCTCATTGATATGCCCGTAGACACTTGCAGATGGATGGCATGAGATTAGATATAAATGAAGATGTTCTCAATTAACCAAGCCCACCGGCCTTCGAAATGCAGCTCCGTCGCCTTCTGTTGACCACCATACACGGGACTGCCGAGCATACTAGACCTACTTAACTTTCCCTCTACGTGACTGTGGGATCTTGTTGCCTCAATTTTCCTGCTGTTGACTGCACCTAGTGATTGATACCCCTACACAAAGCAGTTCGTGGCCAGGTATGGAAATATAACAAGTAGTTGGGTATGGTCCAACTAGGGAAAGAAGTAGCATTCACATCTATTAACTACAACACCCGGTGAAGCAGGAGGTTTTAGGTTACTCTTCAGCACCCCTCCCAAACCTACCACCAAAGCCACCCAAATCTCGACGGAAGAACTTTCCAATGTTCTTGAGGTTCTCGTTGAGAGTAGCGGTGCTTTCAGATGGGGTATGTGCATGCGAGGGCGGCTGGGCTGGGGCTGCCGGGACCGGAGACGACGCTGCTGAAGTGCTGTTAAGAGCTGAGCCAGACGTAGACGTTGTGCCGGCAGCGGCGGAAGAACTCAGGGGGTTTCCAAAGCGATCTACGCCGTCCTTTGCAGCGGAGATAATGGCAGAACCGAGCATGGTGGGATCAAACCGGGTAGGCATGGATGCAGCGGCACTGAGTCCCTGGGAAACAGAACCCGTGGTAGTCGCCGTGGAGGTTTGGAAGGCTGTGAGGATCGGATTGCTTTGCTGTAGGTTCGAGGCGTAGCGGTCTGATGCGCGGTGGAGCTGGAATAGCTCGACGAGGTGGTTTTGCTCTTGGCGGTTGCGGATGCCTTTGATGTCGAGGATCTTGCGGAAGTTGTTATTGTTGCGGTCCGCGATGTGAATCAGGTAGGCTTGTACGAGAGCCTCTGGTGGTGAGGGTTGGACCTGGAGGGTCTTGAGGAGGGCTTCGATTTTGAAGAAGCTGTTGTTCACGCGTTTGACGAATCCTGCTGGAGCTGGAGCGGGAAGAAGGGATGAAAGGCCGCTTTTGAGGGTGTAGGAGTCGAGCAGCATCTGAAGGTGGGTGAGCAGTTGTTAGAAAGAGTGATATAGAAGGAACTTACCTGCTCTGCGCCCGTTTCTGAGACAGGCTTGCACTGGAAGACGTTACTAATGAACAAGCTCGAGATGAGCTCGACCAGATGGTCGGCGAAAGCCCGCGCATACTGCTGCTTGTGCAACAGCTGTGTGATCTCCGACGCCCTCGTCTTCGTCCGTGAAAGAATCTCGCCCACATAGGAGCTCTGATCACTGACAGCCTCCATCCTGCTCCATGGCGTATTGCGCATTTCCCGCCAGCAAGACTCCAGGTCAAGTTCCACCTTCCGCACAAGGCCTCGAACAGCAGCCGAAGCGATCCCCATGAAGGAGTCGGCCTGGCTCTGTAGGTCCACGCTCTGCTTGATAGAATCATCGAGTCTCCCCTTGATTTTCTCTTCTAATTGGGTGCATGTCGTGTAGCAGTAGTCGGCGGTGTTGAGAACCGAGATAAGGTCCTCCTCTGATGGCGTTTTCGATGGTGTATGAGCCGAGGGCCGCTCGCTTATATAGTTGAGAAGGACCTGCTGTGCGTACTGATCCAGATACTTGGCGAACACCTTTGCCAGCTCCGCTAGACTGTTTCCTGTTGAGAGCTTGGCACACTGCTGCAAGGAGTGCCTGTAGAATGCGAACAGTTCGGTGGACGATGGGATCACCGTGTGCGAGTCAAACTCTTCATCGATGGGTCTCAGGGGCTGCTGTCGGTACTTGGGCAGCAGTGCAGCCAGCTGCTTATCCTGAGCCTCAACCCAGACACTGAGATACGGCTCAAAGGCTTCAGAGATAGATTGACTGAACACAGGAGCCTCGTTTGAGGCGAAGGTGTCGGTGGATTGTCGTGTCGGGGGCGCAAAGCGACGTTCAAGCGAATGCTCGAAGTCCAGTGTTTCCTGCAAACACGAGAGCAGAAGATTGACATCGATGGTTTGGCCGCTGCGCACAGACCGGGAGAGAATGCCCTTGTAATCCTCGCGCGTGCCTTCGCAGAAGACATTGGCCAGAATCTCATTGACCCGCCAGGAGGTCGGAAAGATGGCCGCATTCTCCTCGTCATAGATCTTCAATATGCGCCGAAACCACGCGTATCTGCGAGAGATGTTGTCCAAGGAGCCTGCCTCTTCATTATTCCGGAAGACCTGCCGGTACTCGCGTAGCTGGGTGTTGCAGTACCAGGTTACCAATCGAGACCGGGCGTGCTCGCCCAGAGCGTCCACGACCTGGCACGCCTCCGACAAGATCCCCCGCTTCTGAGCCACTTCGCTCTTGGAGAAAGCCATCTCAAAGTCCTCGCAGACTTGCTCCAGCAGTTGCCGTTGTATGTCCGCCACATTTTTGCTCAAGATGGCAATCTGGTCTATGGATCGGTATGACTTGAAATGTGCCATCAGCTGGATGACTGCCTGAAGCAGCTGCGCACACTCGCGGTACTGGCGTGTCCGGCTGAGCGCCTGCAGTTGGTCGTACGCGGTGGTCAACATCTGCAGGCGCTTCAGCGCCGTCATGGACAGGGTGAGGTTCTGCTTCGCATTGTCCAATTGCTTGATGTCGGCGGTCATGTCCGTAATGGACTGCTCTGTTTTGGACGCGCGCTCGCGCACGTCGTCTATCTTCTTGAACAGCTCGGACAGGTCAGCCTTTGCTGTCTGGATGCGTTCCACGCTCTCCGCGTTGGAGGTGACCTGGGTCTCCACGAGTGTGCCGATGTCATCGTCCAATTCATCTTCGTATGTGTGAAGGGCGCTGGAGATCTGGGAGACGGACGATAGAGAGGAAGGATGGGCGAAGATGGCGTTGAGGTGGTCGATCGGGTCGTAGTCCACTGCCGGAGGGAGGTTAGCAATTGCACGCGCAAGAAGGGGGCGCGGGCTCAAACCTGCGTCCAGGGCATCGGGACTGGGCTCCGCGTCGGGCGGCATGTGGCCGTTGGTTGCAGGAGTCGCAATCATCCCATTAGTGACGACGCATTATTCGCTCGTTCAGGTCGGGACGGAGAAGGCGGAGCAAGGCTGGCGGGAACGGGGTGTCGCCAGCTTGGCATTATCTATTGGTTAGGGCGAGTTGACCCCAACTCACACTCTGTAACTCGGACAACAACCACCGGATGGTTCATTTTCAATGTTTACAATGTAGATGCCAGTATGGGGAAGAAGGCGGAAAGAAGCCTCTTTTGATTCCAGCGCAGAATCGGATCATCACTTTCGGTCCCTACGTTATGCTGTTTAGGGAGTCGTGATTCTCGAACCGGCTCCTAACACTGCCGGGATCGCCAGCTTAGACGAGGAAAAGTTAATAAAATACTACACTGTTCTTTGGAGATAGCAGAGGAACCGTGCTTATGCGATATTTCGAGAACAACAACCCTAAGGTCAAAACAATCGGGAGTGTGCCGCTTTTCTCTGGAGGTACGGACAGAGTACCAATTGGGCTGGCCAACTTGTGAGAGTTATCTCTTTACTGCCGAATGTTTGCTGGATCACCACTGAATCACGATAATGACTCTCGAGCAATACTGCCGAGAAAACATCTTTAACCCGCTCGGAATGACCCATACGACGCACCGTCTTATAGACAATCCGCATGTCGCTGCCAATGACATCTCGAGGTCCCGACGGCACTGTCCAACGCCTGAGAGTATATATGAGCCGGCTGCGATTGATTGCTAGAAGATGGGAAGCAACCAGGATTGCCTGATGTTCACAGAGTGCTTCCAACACCTGCAGTGTTACGGCGTGTCCGCGGCCTCTTCGAGTCAGGAGACGCGGGCACTTCCGAGCGGCCGCAAGTTTATGTGCATATTTTTGATCGTCGAATTGCTGCTGTCAGCTTCGTCGGCCATTTCAGAGGTGGTGAGTGACCAGCTCTGTATCCTGTCACATATAAGATGTGAATTGGAGGGAGGGAGTCAGGGAGCCATCCATACACAGACTAGCGTGTATTTAACTAAGGTTTCGGGAAACAATTCATAGAGTGCATGAGTTCACCGGTAAACTGATTTCGAATACCCCTGTACACCAATCTTATGACACGGGAGGCGCAGTGGGGGCTGTGTGCAGATGTCCAGGGCCGCGTGTTTCTCATCAAAAGAGGCCATCCAATGATTTCACCCCATAGCGCAGCTGAGACGGTAAATGCACCGGTTGCGTGATTAAGGGTGACTCTCACTTGCATTGGAACCCTGCCGAACTAAAGAATGGGACTTGACAACCAACAAGCCTGCGCTCGGGCCCGCCAGCCATGCCAGGGATCAGCGGGGCTCAGGACTCGTTGGGTGGGGGATTTGGGGTTGAGCCTCATCCTCGCCCCCAAGTCGAACCCCGCAAGAAGCGCGTACGGAATAATACGGTCTTGGGGAGAGAAGTGGGGGAATATGACAGAAATACATGAACCTGTGGTTGGAAAATGATTCGAACAGAAGAATTATGAATTATAGAACTATCGCGACATATACGAAGCTCGGATCAAGCGTGTCTAAGATTCATTATAGAGTCGCACACTCAGGCACTAGTTCCCCTCTGGCACAGTTGACGCCACCTGAGCAGGCGTGCTGACCTCCGGAGCTCCTTTTGGCTCTGTACCTGGCTCTATAGCTGGATATGCTTTTGGCTCTGCATTTGTCTGCGGAACTGGTGGTGGAAATGGCTGTGGGACCGGCTGCGCAGTGGCATACCTAGATGCAACCTGGCGATTCTCCGGGGGAAACATCTCATGTGCCGTCCCATCATGCGGCTTGCGGGCCACCTGCCGGCCGCAGCCAGTGCAGAAGTGATCGGTGTCTGCGCACCAGCCGCACAAGCTGGGAATGCAGACACCGATGATGCCACAGAAGAGACAGCATAGCAAAGAGGCCATACTAGTAATTACCCAACCTTCAGGTCATGCAAGAAGAAAAGAAAACCGGGAAAGGACACTTACCGTGTTTCCGATGAATTTTCTTGTGAGACCCTTGTCTGTGTTCTTGAGTGGCAGTGAGGACAGTCAATCCACGCGGGCGTTTCCCCGAGTCGCATGAGAGGCGTTACCTGGGGTTGTTGGGTGTAGGTCATCGTGGGCCTAATCGTAAGAGAGTCAGCTTTCAGGAATTTTCTCCCCGGGGTACGATGTTAGACGTACACAGTCGACTTCATCTGCTCCGTGGGCTGGGCTTGATTGGCAATTGGTAAAGCGGCTGGGGACGGTTGCTGAGGACCCGGGTAGGACGGCGGTTTTTCGTCGTCGTGCGCATCGGACGGCGTTGTAGTCGACTGGACTACCTCTGGAGCAGAGGATATAACCTCAGTGTTTTCCACTGTGGAGGCCATGGTTGCTCTTGCTTGATGCTCTCTGTTTCTTGACTGCCTCGTGGAATATGTGGTTGTTCCGAGGGAAAGGAAGGAATAATGAATATACGGCTGAGTGCTCTCGGTACATCTCTGCTTTATATGTCAGTAACGGCCCCTTCTTTTTGTTAATAGCTCGGACCTAACGTATCAAATGATCGACGGTCAGATCTTCTCCCGAAATGACCATGGCCTGCGCACCCCCTGTCTCCACCAAGGCAACCTCGGTGGCTCAGATCGCTTGAAGTGTCTGGGGCGTGCAGCCCTAGTAGATCTCGTGTCCGACTATTTATAGTGCTCCCAGATATGACAATAGTGGCCTTTCAGTTCTGCTGGCATCGAGTATCTAGGCGTGGTCCTCATAGATTGGCCCTTTTTTTATCTACTTTACTAGACGAAACTTAATTATCATAGACAGTTTGATAGTGGATTTTCAAGAATTACAAAACAAAGCCAGTTCCAATTCGCCCAAGCCATGCAAAAACATAAGAAAAGCTATTGACCACATACATGCTCCAGATGAACTTCCAGCAAGTAGATAGATTCCAGTGTACAATCAGCCATGAGGAAAAGAGAATACAGAAAAAAATTGTCCAGGTCAGGTTGAGATACAGGGTGTTTATGCCGGCAGGAAGGCATCAGCGGGCACTCCGCCTTGCGCCTATATGATGTTAGTATTGTAGATAACCAAATAGCTCCGACGGTGACTTACCCTCAGTTGCTCAAAATTCTGCCAGGCAGTTTCCAGATTCCAGTTGTTGCTCGACAGAGCCATCTCCGAGAACTGCAGGGTCATGCGCGATCGCGCACTAAGTTGAGCGACCAATTGCTCTTGCTGGACCTGAACGTCGGTTTTGCCGGGCCCCGGAGCACCATAACCGTCGGGCACTCCGGGTTGAGCCACGGGCACCGGGGTCTGAGACGCAGCCGGAGCCGGGGCCTGGGGAATGGCCTGATTCTCGGGACTCCACGCCTCATGGCCGCCGTATGCGCGGAGACACAGAATATCGCTGATCACTCGGATACCACCAACGCCGCCACCGGGACCGAGGATGAAGGTGCGGTCGAAGCTGCGGATCTCCACTTTATTTGCGACGCTTTCCTCATACTTGCCATGCACCATGACCAGTAAGCCGCCCACGCCGGATTCGCTCTGCCCACTGGGGTCGGGAAGTCCAGGAATGGGATGGCATTCGATGAGCCATTCCTCCGGATGAGCGGCCATATCGGGGTGCCGGGTAGGTGGGAGGGTGTTCCAAAGTTCGCGGATGCTGTCTGCGCCGACATAGGAACGCGACATGCGTGCGGGGAGATGGCTGATTTTCAAAAGGTTGCGGCTCTTCTTGATGTAAGGGTCCCAACCAGCGGTTTCGGTATGTTGCGCTTTGGGTGCCTGAGTGTTGACATTGAGAGAGAAGGTGGAGTGGTTGTCATATACGCCGTTGAGGAGATCGTTGCGGTCGTTGTCATAGCCGACGAAGAAAGCACGCACAAAGTTCTCACCGATTTGGGATTCGTCCTGGAAGTAAGGAGCTTGGACGGGGATCGGTGTCTTCTTCTGAGCAGCAATGTCCTCCGCCGTTCGAACCTCCACATGGTTCAGGAACCGCAGTTTGGGGTACCACTTGAGCATGGTATCCTTGAAGCCCGGGTCCGCGCTGAAAGGGTTGCCGTTCAGATCAAGAAACTCAAGGGATCGGAATTTCCACCGCCACGCAATTAACGAGTGCATATCTTTAAAGTTGTTGTTTGAGAGGTCCAGATTCTTGAGGTCCGGGATTGTCTGAGAGAGAGTCGTAACCACGGAGATGGTTGCAAGCTGGTTGTCTGCAAGGCTGACACTTTGGACCGCTTCGCGCCGCTGCGCCGAACTCGTGAAACCCATCTCCCAGACTTTCATGAGGGCAGGAAAGAACTTGGATTCGGTCGAGGTGCTGTTGAATATGCCCATTGCCTGCAAATCCGGATCGGTTCCGAGCTTCGAAAGGTCCAGCAGTTTGGTGTCTGGGTAATAGCGCTTGGCCAGAATGGCTGTCATCTTGGATTTGGTATCTGCGGTAGCAGCGGAGGTGCCAGTTGTCGCAGCTAGCTCGTGGTCCAAGGATCCGTCAGCAGTCTGTGGCTCGATAGCGATCTGGACGCCTGCGAACTGGTTGCCATTGATCCGGAGCATTCTTTCTGCGAGTTCGGGGCGAACAGACACCACGAGGGAGTCGCCTTCAACCCGCGACTAATTTGAATTGTTAGCAAGGTGCAAGACACCTTGGGGCCGCAGTCACCCAAAGGAAGAAACGCCCGAAGATGCCAGGGAGTGTCGATCGTCATTCTGCTGGAAGGCCCTTCTGGGAAAACGAGAGAGCGCTGGCGCGCAGTGACGTCGAGGCTGGAATATCGGTGATCGTCACTTCGCAACGTGGAAACATACCTTTGTGATTTTTGCGCGGGGGCCTGATTTTGTGATTGCGTTCAGTCGTCGTTCGAGGAATGCGACGAGACTTTCGACGCCGCCGTCTCGGTTGGATGCTGCCTTGCTCTGTTTCCAACCGCTCACACGAAACTGCTCTAGGCTGGTTCGTGCCGCGCCCTTCGACTGCCGGATGTTTGCCTGCGACTCCTTGGTGCTGCTGGAAATCGCCTTCTGGATCGCATCCATGGTCTTGTCTCGAGTTTGAGCTCGGCCACCGCCAGTCGCGCGACCGGTGTCGCCTCGCGTCCTTTTGCCACGGCCTGGTCCATCCATCTCCATATCACCGTCACGGTCGGTACGCGTAGGACCCCGCTTGCGGATACCGCCGCGGTCAGCGCCGCCCGCGCGGCTCCGAGTCGATTTCATGCTAGGCATGTTGGGCAAACACAGAGATGGGGAAAGGTCGAGGAGGGGAGGAGAGAGAGTTGCTGGTAGAAAGAAGAGTCGAGAAGCGGGCAGAGCGCTGCGCGCCTCAAGGCAGACAGAAGGATCGCAGTTCGCATGCAGTTGTGGGAGAAAGAAGGAATGTTGTAGAGCAGAGGCAGAAGTCTTGAATAAAGCAGCGACGCCGCCAACAGGGACGACAAAGAGCGCGTTTGAGTCAATCAAGTCTAGTTTTGAGCCGCAACAAGAAAAAGTGACGTGCCGCACGTGATGTACTTAGCTAAGCGGCACTGACTGCGCGGGCCCACCAATCAGCGACTGTCGTCTGTCCTCTCAATACAACCCGGAACTATTTACTTCCTCTTGCAAGCCCCTCGGGCAAACACTGCAGACGTTGACGCCGAAGCAACGAAAAGCAAAGCAAGGGCTGCGAGTTGAATCGCTCACTCTCGGCGCGCGTGGGTAAGTACCCGTGCTTTGGCCCCGTTGTCCTCCCCGCCCCAGTTCGGCCAGCTTGCGTGTTCAACGAACCAGCTAATGTTCCGTGTACTCAGTACCTATATAGACGATTGCTGGTTGCCACCGACGCTGCCTGTGCTCAATCCCCGTTTATCTGCCCTATGCTTGTCAATTGACCGCAGAGATGCCTGCAAAATCGCGATTCACCAGGCTGGACGCCTTCGCCAAGACCGTCGAAGATGCTCGCATTCGAACGACCTCTGGAGGTGTCATCACCATCGCCTCGCTGTTGATTGTTTTCTGGCTGGTCTGGGGAGAATGGGCCGACTACCGGCGAGTAGTGGTGCTGCCGGAGCTCATTGTTGACAAGTCTCGAGGTACGGATTCGATATCGAAAGGCATTATGCATGCATGAAGGGTGAACTGACAGATTCCTGCATAGGCGAGCGCATGGAGATCCATTTGAACATGACCTTTCCCCGACTGCCGTGTGAGTTATTGACTCTGGACGTCATGGATGTCTCCGGTGAGCAGCAGGTGGGCGTTGCGCATGGAGTGAACAAGGTCCGCCTCAGCCCCGTTGCCGAAGGAGGTCGAGTGCTCGATATCCAGACACTGGAACTGTAGGTGTCACTCCGTTTTGGACCAATTGCCTTCTCTCTTATTAATTCTACGCTCCAGGCACTCGAACGAAGAAATCGCCAAACACCTGGACCCGGACTACTGCGGCGAATGCGGTGGAGCGCCGGCGCCGCCAAACGCAATCAAGCAGGGTTGCTGTAGCACATGCGAGGAAGTGCGCGAGGCCTACGCACAGAAGTCATGGGCGTTTGGTAACGGCCATAACATCGAGCAATGCCAGCGCGAGGGCTACTCGGATAAGATCGATGCGCAGCGGCGCGAGGGATGCCGAGTGGAGGGTGTGTTGCGAGTGAACAAGGTAGTGGGCAACTTCCACATTGCGCCAGGCCGCAGCTTCACGAACATGAACATGCACGCGCACGACCTGGAGAATTACTTCACGCCCGACTCGGCGCCGGCGGACCAGCACACAATGACGCACATGATCCATGAGCTCCGCTTCGGTCCTGCCCTTCCTGCCGAGCTGGCGGGTCGCTGGCAGTGGACTGATCACCACCACACCAACCCGCTGGACGACACGAAGCAGGAGACAGATCAGCCGGCCTTCAACTTCATGTATTTTGTCAAGGTCGTTTCGACCGCCTACCTGCCCTTGGGTTGGGACCCGCTCTCCTCCGCTGCCGCCCATACTGCCTACGACAAGGTTCCCCTCGGCACCCATGGCATCGGCTACGGAACCCAGGGCAGCATCGAAACGCATCAGTACTCTGTTACTTCGCATAAGCGCTCTCTGATGGGCGGTGACGACGCTGCGGAGGGTCACAAGGAACGTATGCACGCCGCTGGCGGTATTCCCGGTGTCTTCTTCAATTACGATATCTCCCCTATGAAGGTTATCAACCGCGAGGCTCGCCCCAAGACCTTCACTGGTTTCCTGACGGGTGTCTGCGCCATCATTGGTGGTACTTTGACCGTCGCTGCTGCTTTGGACCGTGGTCTGTACGAGGGCGTGGTGCGCGTCAAGAAGATGCATACCAGCTAGGACATTGGACGGAGGGATTGTATGGAGTCAGAAAGAGGCAAGACGAAAGACATCTGAGGACCTAAACGTCCCCTAGCAAGACCATCGTTATGACCGACTCGTCGAATTGAGGGGTGCTTGTGTTCGGTTGTCGATGCCAAACGATGAAACTAGGGCATGAAAGACAGCAGATACTCGTGGCGTTTGGGAATACCTTTTTCACATTGTTTTCAACATTGTTCTTTATTTATGCACCGATTCAGATATTCACATTGAATGCAAATATATCTTGCAACGTCAGTGACTTCTCTTTAATTTGTAAAATGTACGTGGTGAGGTCTGGCCTTGACAGGACAAGTAGATTTACATTCGACGTCCGAAGCAATCACCTTATTTGTGACATTGCCGCCTACTAGTCCCTAGGAGTACAGGCTCGAGAAAATCATTTCCTACCCCTCTAAATTGACGATTTACTAATTTGAGACACACGGCTCGCTTAAATGAAGCTCGTATCGGTACGTTATGGCTCTGTGGACCCCCGCTTGCCTAGATCGTTGATGAGATTAGAGGACCTAATAATAATTAGCCTCAGAATCTTCATTCCAACATCGTTCCCCTGAAGCTGTGCGAAAAGAAGAGCCTTTGCAAAATGGGTAAGACACCCCCTCCCTAGCTAGTATGATGACAATGTACACTGATCCGCAGAGCGACAGGGTATTCAGAAGTATTGTTTTCTCCACGATTGAACCACTTGGGTGATTTGCTGAGAAGCCTACTAGTTTTACTGCCATTTTTGCGGGGTGAGCTTCAATATCGCTCGCAGCCGCAAACCTGGCGAGCCATATTCAGCCGAATGGGGCTATTCAGGTGCTCCTTGGGGAACTGGCAGGGAGGAACAGGTAGACTGGACGGACTGTGCTCGTCATGGGTGCAGCCTCCTTGTTTTTGCCGGATTTCCCCAAGAAGATGATGCAGTCCACGACCCAGATTACATCCCCCCCGAGGACGATGAATATGATCCCTACGAATATGATTCTGATCATGAGTCAATCGACCTTCTGTTGCATGAAGAAGAACAGAAAGGCTCTGGTATTGCTCTGGACAACGAAGAACAGTGGTATCAAGATTGGCTTTCCACGTTTATTTCCCAGACAGATCTCCCGGGGGAGCCCATTCGAGTCTCCGACGGAAGCCCAGAGCAAGATGTGATAATACCCATCCATGACAACATGCCCGGGACCTACGATCCCGAAGATCTATTGCACGTTCCTGGCCCAACTTGCGGGAAAGCAAATGCATATAGTGGCCATGGAATCTCCCTTGAAGAGATGAGAGGTTGCCGAACAGCGCAATGCTTGATCCATAACACGATCCGTGGAGACTGGGAGCGTGACGGACTTGAACAAGACTGGGAACTTTCAGGGGAATATTTCCTCTCTGGCCTCAGCGATGGAATGCCATCTCGTGACGATGGCCCACGACGAGTATATCCAGTGAGAGGCGGAGTTGCCCGGCCAGAGGCCGAGAATATTCTCTTTGATGTAAGCTCTTTCCTGTCCTTTTCGGTTCTTTTTTCCTGGCTCTTGTGACTGATCTTGCACAGCCTTCTAGGGATCCAAACGAATTTGCTCTGCCTTTTCATCCATGGTGTTTTGATATTTTCTGCCGACAATCTGAGTCTCATTTCGGCCACGTCAACACCACTGGCCTAATGAATTGGCGGAAAGTAGAATGTACCTTTGAAGATTTTCACAAATTTCCCCGCGACGCGGCTGTTGTCGCTGGCCAGGAGCAGTTTTGGATCCATGAACCCGGACAGGAGTATCTCGTTGCGAATCCACTCTACGTGCCGAATCTGGTACCTCTTCTTCGCTCGGCAATCAAAGAAGATGGGAATTTTGCTCTTTCTAATGGCGCATTTGACATAGATCAAGAAACAAAACACCACATAGCTCGCAGTCTGGAAGGTCCAAATGATCCTTTGTTCTCCTTGTCGCATGATCTACGGTTATCAGTTCTTGAGTACCTCGGGTCTCACGACATTGCGAACCTAAGGCTAGCTTCAAGAGCATTTCATCAACTCCCTATCTCTCTGTGGCACCGTCTCATTCGGGAAGAAATGCCCTGGCTATGGGAGGCATGGGATGAAAGTGAGAATAGTGATGCGCTTTCATTGTGGACTTCCATCACAGCAAATGAGATGCAAGTGCTATGCAAAACACGGAAACATTATTTCAGCGTACTCGAAGACGAGTCTCAAGATACTATGCTCGATGGGAAAATCGTCGATGAAATGCTCTCTTGGCCGCCAGCGATACCAAGTCAAATCAAACTCCCCAGAGCAAAGACAAACTGGTACGAGGTGTACTCAGGGATAACTCGTAACTGGGACCAGTTGAAGGGACTGCAGAATCGCAAGCGGATCTGGAAGGATGTGGATGAGATTATTCGACGCATTCAAATGTATGAGCAATGACCTGAGTACTTGTTTTGAGAGAAAAATGACAACCGGCCATGTTTTTTAAACAAAATTGTATTCACTACATCGGCGAGGATCCATCTAAAGCGACAGGAAAACACGACAGAAGCAAAAAGCTGATGAGATCCGTATGTAAAGCAGCATCTTCAAAAAAGGGACCATCGCGCCAGACCGATTCTGTAACTCCGTTCTGATGCGCGATGCAGAAAAGACAAGAAGTAAGGAAAGGGTTTATGTGAATGAGCGCCAGAAAAGAGGACACAAGACAAGGACAGCTGAGTGTGATATCTAGGTCTAAAGCGATGAGGATATGTATGCAGCAGCAACGATATGACAAAGCGAAGAAGATATAGACGAGCAAGGATGGAGAATGATTTGACAGTTGAAGAAAGGAATGGACAGGGAGAAGAGCAGTTCACGAATGCATTGTGTGAGGATTGTTGTAGTACCCAGGATGCTGGGACGCGTAGGTTTGGCTTTGCTGGTAGGATGGCGGAGTGTTTGGTGCCTGGCCAGTGGGCTGAAGCTGTCCGTACCAAGATCGACGTCGGGGCTCGTCGGGGCGGGCCATTGGGAGCAGATTATCCATGGTGCGGCTGGCAGTGGGGAGGTTGTACAGGCTCTCCTGAGGCGCGCGCGGGCCATACATCGAGCCGGCTTGTGGTGGCTGTCCCATGTATGGCTGCTGCGGGTATGACTGTTGTTGCTGGAACGACTGCTGCTGCTGGTAGGGCGGTTGCTGTTGCATCATCTGCTGCTGGCGCTGAGCGATGGCGTGCTGAACCATCTGGTTGGACATGCCCTCCTTCAAAGCGCGCTTTTCTCGTTCACGGGCGTCAATGGCGGACACCAGACCTGACGTGTTTGGCTGTGGTCTCCGATTGTCGTTGGACATATTGAAGAACGAGGACCCAGTCATGCGCGCCACATGCTCTTGTTCACGAGCGGAAAGATGCGAAGACATCTCATTATGATTGTAGTTCATCATATTGTTGGCACCGCGAGAGGAAGGCCGGTAGTTTGCGTCCCGATACGACGTCATCTGTGAGTTCGGACGAGCCTGCTGTGTCCAGTCACCCGATGCCGGCCGTTGCAGGGGCGGCGTTTTCGACGGCGAACGGTAATGCCCATGCATTGGAGGAGCGGGCGCTGCGCGTTGCTGCACATACTGCTCTGGCGTGAGGCCGCCTCCGGGAGTAACAGGGCGGCCAGTGGCCATACCAGGTTGCCAAAGCATGCTCCGACGATACTCATCCTGATTTGGAGAACGGGACTGCGCGCGGGTAGGGTCCATGGGCTGTGTAGGCACAGAAAGTTTGTACATCTCCGTGCCATCCGAGTCCTTCCTTTGGTGCACTGGCTTCCGCGTAGTTTCTGGGTGTCCAGTTGTGGGCATGTAGGTCAGCGTTGGCCCGAAATCCACCGTAGGGATATCCGGGTTTGAAGTTGGGTTTGAGGTTGCAGCCTGCTCCCGAGTGTAACGAGCATCACCAATAACGAAGTCTTGGTTGGTCGGCCCCGTGCCCACCGTCTTCATAACACCCATACGAGGCCGGGTGGACTTGGTTGACTTCTTGCTGTACACGGAGTCGTGGGTGCTTGCATAGTCGGGCGTTGTTGTGGACTCGTCATCATAGACGCTTTCTTCCTCGTCCATTTCGGGTGACACTGGCGACTGGACTGAATGGAGTGGAGGCGCAACCCGATTGAGTGCATCTTCATCCAGGGTGTACCGAAGTTCCTCCATGCTTGGCTCCCCTCCAGGTGACTGCGGCGCCTGCGGGAACAGTTGTCGTTGGGGAAGTGGCTTCCGTTTAACAGGCACGGTTGGGTCGATCTGGGGCCCACGAGGAGACGGACGAGGAGACGGGGTACTAGCAGTGGTCGAAGTGCCTTCACGATGTTCCGGAACCCGTGGCGGTTGTACCGGGACCGCAAGGTTAATTCCTTCGTCGCTAGAAGAATGTGCAAGGGAGCGATTTGATGGAGCAGTAAGCTGGGAAGCATAGCCACTTTCAAGACCCTTCTCTTGCGGGTATTGACCATCCTTGGATTGAGGCCTGGACTGGGACCGCTGGTCTGCCCAAGCCACAGCACCTTCATCCACAGCAGCTCCAGCGATCCCCATCTTCCCCGCCTGTGCAAGTTGGGAGAGGGTGGCATGGGACATGCGGTTGTTGGCCTTTCTCATCTCTGAAGACGGCCGCGGTCGGTTGGACGGCACATCTCCCGGGCCATGTGAGAAGGCGGGCGGGTTTGAGACTGGAGCGGGCGGCGTGGGTAGGTCGCGGGCCGTAGAGAACTGTTGGGCATCTGGAAGCTCGAGATGCCCTTCACCTTCAGAACTGGTACGCTCAGCAATAGTAGCCACAGTGGGTCTCTCCTGCCCCATTAGTTCGACAGCTGACGATGACGAGTGGGGAGAATTGTCAACCATATATCCGGGCCTTAGACCGGGACCTGCCTGGAAACTGGTATCAGAGTGGCCTCTATTATGATACGCCGGAGGCACAAGGCCGCCCCTGGGCACCTGAGAAATAACGGCTTCGGTAGACTTGTTGAATTCGGGTTTTCCGGTGGAAGGGCCTAGCGGCCGGCCAGGGAATTCACCAGTCGGGGTATCACTGTTTCGGACAGGAGGAAGGCTGGAGCGATAGCGAGGTCTTTGACTGGTGACACTGTTGGTGCGACTCCTGCCAGTTGAGATCCGTTTCTGGGTTGCCTCCTTAAGCTGTTTCCGCCAATCCGCTTCAGTCCAATCCTGACTACCCGGAGCCTGAAGGAGGTTGGAGATATCCAAAATGTCCAAATAACCATAGCGGCGTTGCTTGGGGAAGGCGAACATGATGCTCTTGATGTGGTTCGTGTCCGCCACCAGCCGCGTGGGACGGCCATAGAGGTTGAAAGTGTCAAAGGTTGCGAAGAGGAACCGAAGCATCATCTCGAAGCCAGACACGGCTGGATGCACTTCCGGCATGACAAAAACAAATCCCTCCGCCGAGGTTTGGTTCTTCCCGTGGGTGGTAATCCGTCCCTCCAGCTTCACCAAGGTCGACTGTTCGATCAAAGCCTGCGACTGCGGGTAGATAGCGTAGGCCGAGTACACGCTCGTCACCGTTGCAATGGGGGTCACTTTTTTGGTCTTCTTCGAATCATAGAACTTGATATTTCCGGTGATCGGCATTGTTAGGCGGTCATAGGCCGATTTCTTCATAGCCTTTCGCGCCTTCTGTAATTCCTTCTCGTCCGGTGGAGTGACCACAAACCAGCATCGCCTCCACGGGGTTCCCGCCCCAAATCGCACCCGCGCCCAATCTTCATACTTGAACCGACATGGCAGCAGAATGGAATTGATCCCCGGCAGGTTTTTTCCCCTCGCCGCAATGAGAGACCCGGTATATGCTTCGTACAGGGAGGTGTGTTCGAACATCGCGAGGCGGATCGCTCCCGTCCACTGGGTTAAGGAATGGAACGAGTTGAAATGAAGCAGGTATCGATTTTGGCCGGCCGAGCACAGACTGAGCACATTCTTCAACGGTGCAACCGCTCCGTTGCGAATCGGAAGGGTCTCAATCTAGCGCGCGAGGGTTAATCGTGGGCAGAAGACCAGGGCTGCTCACTTACCATTTTGATCGACGCATCGGTCAGATTAATGAAGGTCGGAGGCACCTCTTCGCCGCCTGCTGCGTCCAGCGCTGCGGCATCCCACAGCGATAGCACGGTGCCCACGAGTTGCGCGTAGCATTCCAACCACTGGCGATCGGCACATGGCCGGCCATCTGTGCTGGGTCAGCCGCCCACTTTCCCCGCAACTGCGCGACCGGGGAGATAAAAACTTACGAGAATCGAGGTCATTCAGTTTCAAGAAATATCCTTCATGGTAGACCTTATTCGTGTGGGTGTTGATGTACGAAAAGATCGGGGCCAGCTCGGCCGGGGTACTGTCGTCTTGTTGCATCAGCGGCGGGTTGCGCGAGAAGACCATGGAGGCGGGTCGTGAGCCGGATCCGTCCCCTCTGGAAGAAGCGCCCACCGGCGACAAGTCGGACGGTGGCGAAGGCGTGTCGGGTGATGGAGTCGCCCACCTTGGTGGCGTCTGGGAGGGTGTTGCAGAGTTGGATTTCCTGCTGTCTCGGTCGGAATCACTCTTGGGCCCAAAGGTGGACATGAAGGAGAAGACTGGTAGAAATGCAAGGGACTCCAGGTCAGCCCAAATGAACTAGTCCCATTCCCGGATGATCCGGGGCCGATCAACATTATTATTCAACTTACCACGCGAGCGACCCATGACGACCGAATGTGAGGTGTCACCAGCCAGGCAAAGAGCTATCGACTGCGACGCGCCTGCGCGATACCTTGTGCGAATCCAATGCAAAACGGTGGCGAGAATGAGTTGGGTCCAGGGAGTGGGTAGTAGGATTTTGTAAGGAAACCGGTGCAGCGCCGGGGTGAGAGGTGAGACGAGAGTTGTTGAGAATAAGTAAAACGAGAGATGGAAGGGAGGAGAGAGAGAGAAAGAGAAAAGAGGTGAGAACCGGTAAGATTGGGGAGAGAAATTGGGTTCAAGGAGTGTGGATGTGGATGACGTGCGGAAGTGGGACGGACGGACAATGCCTGGAGTTATGGGCTGTTGCTTTTTGAAGCTAGTCACTAGAGGAAGCAAGAAGAAGAAATAATCTGGTCGCAGGATGGTCTCGGCAGGACTAGCCTTGCCGCTGCAGCAATAATGGGCATGGCAGCCGGCAAAAGTCGCAGCTGGTATGCCAGGGCTGGCGTCACTGGGCCTCCACTTTATAATTAGATTAGATGTCTTACTTTGACACAGATAGCCGGTAGTTAGTTGCAGAGGTTCACTAGAGTAAGCAATTAGTGAGAGTATCAGGGCCAGGATCCGGACTTGGTTAATAGACTCTCCTCGTCACCGCGTTAGAGTAGACGAATTCCCCTATTATGCTAATGGTTATTTACTCTTCTCTTCATCCAGACTCGCCACGGCTTATCGCCAACCACACCGCCGGAAGTGGTCCACGTACTCTCTCCCGCCACGCTAACCACACTAACCACACTCCGCCTCACTAGGCACATCCTGCACTGCCGTTGAGAGGCCGATTCCCGAGACCTGTCACTGTTCATTGTTTCCAGTGAGGCAAATGCAGGGTCTACCGGATAAATGAGGACTAATTAGGAAATTATTCCGGGGCATAATTTCATACAATTTCATGATGATTGTCCTAACTTGGATCTCTTGGCTCCGCGGGTATCGCGATCGGGACTACCGTTGGTGCCTCAGGCAGACACCAAACCCTAACCCAGTATACTCCCAGGCAGGAACAACATCTTCAATCCCATTATTCGCTCACCACTTCCCTTGGTTTGTTTCCCGTCTGTTTGTCTCACCCTCTCCCAACCACCCTCGATGCCCTCAGCTCCAACATGGACAGTTCGTCTTCCTCGCAAGACTTCTCCGCAGCAGTCCCTTCCTGGGACGACGGGGATCCTGGCTCCCTGATGCCCTTCAGCTTTTCCCTGAACCATAAATCCACAATCCCAGTACATGCCTCCGAAGCTGATGACGACAATGAGGAAGAGGGCAACGAAGAGGCTAACATGGACGGAACCTCTTCCTCGCTCCCCATCTCGATTCACCCTCTCGATATCACTCGCCCGTGTGACTTCTCCAAAGCGACCCACGAACTTCTCCTGGAATCAGTCGACAATTTCTGGATTGGGTTTGACCTCAGTACGTTCCCGCAGTTCATCGCATCCTGGATCCCACGCCTGCGGCATGCCGCCCTGCCGGGGTCGTACGAGCAGCTTTTGTTGCTGTTGTACGATGACCTCGCCCACTACGTCCAGCTTCAGAAATCAATGGCAGATGGCATTCCAAACTATCTGACCACACATCGGGACCGGGTGCTTTATGAAGACAGGCTGCGTAACGTCGGAAGAGCGTATGAGTGGAGCCATCCGCGCTATCGCAAACCTGCCACGCTGCATGCTAGACGTCCATCATCCCTGACAAGAAAAAATGCTGAGGAATCTCTTTTCTTTGCTGAACTGCGGATGCTAAGAGATCTGGTTGCGCCCGTGCGCGATGCTTCCCTGCCTGTTTATTGGATTACCTTGCGAAAGGATCGAGCTGACGATATGGAACCCGAGTTTGCTGCGTCGCAGGATATCATCGCCAGGTTCAAGATACATTTGCAGGAGTCGCTCTATGACCACCATAAGAACTGTAAGTCAAGAAGCTCCGGCGGACTCGAATGATTAATCTCTAACGCAGTCCAGACACCATCCACTGCACGAGGTCTTCTACAGCTGACCCTCGCAAAGATCTTAGCCTCAAGCAGTTTCGTCTGGACACCTGCAAGGGAACACTGCTCTGGGAGAAATATCCCCCAGACCCGATGCACTTCACCGATTTCCACCAGCATTACCGAGACCACCTCCTCCAGACAGATCCCTTCGCTGCCCAAGAGGCCGGGTTCCTGCCTCCTATCAGTACACCCCCGCCTACCGTCAAGGTTGCCTACCAACCAGGTGTTGATCTAGGAGATCGCTGGGCTCCAGTTACCTACGAGTCGAAGATCCTGACGCTGTTGGTGCGAACTGCACAGTGGTTGGCACTGGCCCGTGGCCTCCCCGCCGTGCATCTTTTTTATGATGTGACTCGCCTCTTCACCATATACGGAGTTGACGTTGCCAATGCTACCCAGATCGGCTTTTGCAATCTTATGGCCAGCCTGCGTTTTCCTCGGGACGCGCATGTTCAGCCTCCTGCACGCCCTCCGCTAACTCCATCGGGTGGAATACACAATCCAGAGTATTTCAGAGATCTTGAAGCTGCCAACCGTGCCATGGTGCAGGCCCTCATTAATGAAGATACTTTGCTAGGAAGGGATGATGACGCTATCTCTTGGGACTTCCCTCATCAAACTTTGGCTTGGAGTGCCGATGGCTGTGAAAGGAAACTGGTGCTGAAAAGACCTTTCCAGCGTTGCCGATTTAACCCTGTCCACGTTGTGGATACCGAATGGGAGGATTTCATTGCTGCCCACCTTGAAAAGGGTCAGCCCGAGGAAGACGAGGATTTTGACAATTTGGACGGAGGAGTCCCGATCGTAGGTTTCTCGATAGCCGCCAATCATTACTCTGAAGTAAGTTGATTCTTTAGCATTATTGCCAGTAGCTGACACCCTTCGTTCTGATATGTTTTAGGTTGACTATGAGAGCAGCCCTAAAACTCCCGATTACCATTCCGCAGTGACATCCCCTATCATCATCCCCTCCTCTGTAAAGGCTTCTACCCCCGCCGCGCCTCCTAATTTGGATCCCATCCTCGAAGACGAGGAGCTTTCCGCCTGGCTCGACGCTAATTCAGGCTCGCCTACTTTCTCTCGCAGCTACCACGCTCTTCATTTGACGAATAGCTGTCCCTCGGCTGGTCCGCGCACTGACAACTGAGACCAGTTTTCTTGTTCCTTAGCTACTGCATCCCGTCGGCCTTTTCATACGGTACGATATGATACAATGGAGAGCACGGCCGATGCAAACAAGATGTGTCGAGAGTCGGGATCGGGATCGTACAGTGCCAGTAAGCTGCTGCGGCCAGTCCTTTTCATTTCTACATTCTGCAGTTTTTCTTTTTGTCTTTAGGCTGAACATACTCCTGGGGCTTATTCAAAGGTACCTGCATATCCATGGTGTTTCTTCTCCTTATTGTGTTGATTTATCGGTTTCCAGAATTTCCATTCTTTTTTACAAGTGACCTCCTTTAATTAACGGAGCTACTCTTTTTAACACGTCGTTTCTAGGGTAACTGATCATACTGTGAGATATAGTCCTAGGTCATGCCCACCTTCAGATTCAGTCTCACCTACTGGTCTACTAATCCCTCTCAAGCATGTGTCGATTTGCCCTCCAAAATTTGTTGATTCGTTTTAATACCTTCTATTATCAATTACAAAATGCACAAGACAAAGCAAAATATAGCATGAAGGATGTAACCAACTTCCTATATAGTTCTCTTATTCGCATTCTTCCAGGCCTTCACTTTCAGATAATAAGGTAATCGTGTATGTTGAGGATCATCTATTTCATAACACGCGTATCATCTGCCTTTGTGCACTTGTCTCTCTCCTCCCAGCGCCAATCTCCCGAATTTCTCCTTCTTCTCTGCCGAGTCGCCAATATATCCTGGCAACTTGTCGAGAACGTCGATTCTGTGTCTGACTTCCGCCCAATCAACAACGGCACTTTGTCGGCGGCGGCAGTGTATAGTCTCATCGCAGCATTCTTTTTATTCTACAAGCTAAAACAAGTATAGTAAGGGGCTGTGCGAAGACAGGGGTGATTCTGACAACCCTCTAAACATAACGTTGACTGCCTACACTTATTTCTTTTGACAGAGTTCAGCCAATCCTGACAGTCAGGTTGCGAGCCTCTTCGTCGAACTTGGGAAGTTGGACTCGAACCAAGTGTTTCATTAACAGATCAGTGAAGGACCGTACAATATCAAAATATCAAGTCTGCTTAATAGTTACAGGGATCGTTCCCATTGCCCCAGACTTACTCCAGTTGCCAACGTCAACCGTGTACCTTGTATCCTGATTCGTTTTCTCGAATTGATTCCCTTTTCCGGGCTGCGTAGAGGCTCTCCAGGCTAGAGAGCAAATTCTGGCATCCGTTATATCGTCAATAAGATCGATGCTTCCTTCAGCCTCGCCCACGGATTCCGTATCTCCACAAATACAGATAGACCGTCTACCTCCGTTATGGCGAATAACCATGTCATCGACATCGTCGGAGGTTAGAATATCGCTTTGGTCACCTTCTCTGTAGAACTGGCCGCTGTTCAAGCCTTAGAATCCACACGTTTTTAAGAAGGAGGAGGAGGAGGAGGGAAATACCTCGCAAGAGCCGCATTTTCAATACGGATGTCGTACTTCAAGTCATCTTCGATTTGAATCTCGAACGATTGTTCGGCCATGTTGGGTCGATAGACTGTTTGAATCCGGGGAAATACTTTGCAGGATGTAGATAATGGAGAATGCGTTAACATTCAGAGAAGCGCATTTCAGGCTGGGGGATAAGCACTACATAACAATAGGCGACATGATATCTAAGTTTGTGTATGACAGCTATTCGGTCCTTTAACCATGGGACGAAGTGTTCATGATATATAACGGCGATCATAGCGGACCATAATAGTGACGTCATACGGTCTCGTGTGGGATGTTTGCGTGCGCAAGCTTTCCAGTGACAGAGATGTAGTATTAGTCCTCTTCGGAAAGTATGAATCACTCTGTAATACTCTATACACTTTGTAGTTTTGTTCTCACATCCGATATGTACATATATTATTATTAATCGAACTATCCCGTGACCAAAGGCGGGCACTTAAGCTTTAGGGTGATTTCGGCTAGAGAAGCTTGGCGGGGGTGTTTACAAGCCAGTAGTTCGCCCCTAGCCTCTCATCCTTTCTATTGTGCACACACCCTTTCTCGCAAGATCGCGCGACTGACAAGCGGCGACCGCCTGATTATCCGCTGGGCTAGACCAACTTGACTGCTAGCCTTGAGTACGGCTGAACGGAGGAAGCCCTGTTCTCCACACCGTGTGGATGTATGTAATAGATTTACGACATGAGAGGATGATATTGCAAGGGTGAACGGTGCTTGTTGTCGCAGACACACCGGATGATGCTCGAGTATTCCTTGGTCGGCTCTCTCAGTAAGTGGTGAACTCTCAGGTAGTGGGCCGACAGGGGCCCGTAACCGCTATGCTCGGAATGGCTCTTTTGCCAAAAACATTTGCACGATTCCTTAGGGCAGGTGACCGAGGATTTCCTGCCTGACTGCAAAATCCAGCCACATTGTATCGGTATGCAGACTGCACTACAGACTAGCAAGTTACACGAGACGGTTTTGTTGTTTTGAGGAGGGGGGGATGCTTGGGAGTGCGAAATGCTACCTTAGGTATTCTTCCCATGTTCAAGGGTCTCCTCGTACCTTTAGCTTTTTTGGCTGCGCGGTCTGGAAACATCGCATCCAATGAACGGCGACAGGCAAGGGCATCTTCCAACTGTATCAGTTCGTGCACCGGAAGATCGCATCGCCATTGGCTGCAGGTGTTTGAGTTCGACTTCTGGGTGATTTTTGCCGGTCATAGGGTTATAGAAAGTCAGGAAATTGGCACTCATAAAAAGCTAACAGGAGTGGTAGACTGTCTCACTCGGGCTTAGATGCATATTAGGTGCTATTTGGTCATTTCTGGTGCTTTAGCTAAGTATGTATCATATCACTTCGGTGTACTTACCACAGACAAACAACTAGGGAAGTTACTTTAACGGGTGATTGGTTAGACATCCCAATTGAGACAAGGGGGATGTCATGTGTAGGTCTCTAATATTCAAGCATTGACATGCCTGGCCAGTACGTTAGTTGCAATTAGCTCAATATATTTTAAGTACTTGTCATTGGAACTGACAGTACATTCTTCAGAAAAACATAGTCCGGTCACAGAATGGTCTAGGTCGTTCAGACCATCTATCAAGGCCGTATTTATATGGCAGACAGGCGGTGAATTGTCGCAGCGAAAGTGGACCTGAAATTCCACATCGGCGCCAATTTCCATAATAGACAGCGGCGGTCAGCAGGGTAAGCACGAGAATGCAGTAGATGGATCACATTGGTACATTACCAGGAGGAGAATTTACCCTGACAATATGAAATAGCCCATAACATCCTCTCTAGCCTTGTTTTGAATCACTACCTTCCTCTAGACCTTTGATAAGCCTAACTGCTCTTGCTAACCACACTTGATATTAATTTGCTTGTGCATCATGCTGTTTCGCTGGAGCCTCCTTAGCTTGGCATTGCCGACAACTATCCTTGCAACCTCTCTCGACACCAGAGGTTCGGGTGACGTTGCAAGTCTCAAATGTCTTGTGATTGAGATCGTGGTGGATCTGCTGCGCGACAGTCCCACGGCTACCCAATTTTGCGAATCCTTGCTTGCTCCTACAACAACAACCACGACTACGTAGTGCGTGAACCCCAAGAAAGAGTATGGAGAGCGAACCAAAGCAGGCTGACAGATTCCAGTACCAAAACACACTCTAGCTGTGCTTACACGAATTCAGCGCATCAGACGATGGTCGATGCCCAATCGAACATCGGTGCGGCTGCCCAGGTACGCCTTCCTACTCGTGATATGAAATCATGGGCACGGCTAATTTCCCTAGATTACTGCGGCACCTGAAATCTTGCCAACACCCGCGGCGTTGCTGCCGTATCCTAGTTCCGAAATTAGCGAAGCTTGTAAATGCCTTAGCATCCCGTCGTCCGACCTAACAACCCGCACCTCGACGAAGACGGCTACATCCACGACCACACTCTGCCCGGTTCCCACGACCTGTGGGAACGAGGGTGTCCAATGGGCATATTACCAAGACAGTACAATTCAGTACAACAGTGTTGTATGCAGCGGTCGCCCCTATACCTGGGATCCGACGGATATTAAGAGCAAGAATCCTCCCTACACGAGTACAACTTCGTATATCTTCCTAGAGAGCGACGGTAGTACATATATCTCGATCTACGGTTCCACTACAGAATTCGAGACACAATACATCGCTCTCAACCACCGCGGGTACATATACGCCGAAGTCTCCGGCGACTACACGTTTACCTCTCCGGGAGTGGATGATATTATTTTCTTCTGGAGCGGTCCCAAGGCCGTTTCAGGATGGACTGAATCTAACGCCGATGCAACCAATTACTACTGTGGGCCAGGAGCATCATTCAACATGCCGCTTCTCTCGGGGCAGTACTATCCATTCCGTATTGTGTATGCCAATGCGGAGACCAATTCCTTCGAGAACATTACTATCACTGCCCCTGACGGTACAGTCATCCTCGGCGCGACCTCCCCGGCGTCGCCATACATAGTGCAGTATTCCTGTGATGGCACTTCGGCTCCGCCATTTCCGGCTTTTGGAGATGAGTCCTAAATGAGATTTGTTTGCACACGGGGATCGATCGATTTGATTTCGGTACGCAGGTGCAAAGAGAGGCCCGTGTTTAGTCTTGTCACAGTTGTGACATTTAATAATCGTGATAGTGATTGCCTTGGTTAACTTTAAGTCAAAAAAAAAAAAAAAAAAAAAAAAAAGGGTTTGACTTCTGACCACTGTTAGACAGTAGCATGGGACGGGACGGACTACTATGGCCCCTCCTATAGGATAACTAGCCTCCTGTCGACACCTTTATTGGCCTGACTCAGGCCAATAAAGGCCAATTATGCCTAATTTCCCGACATAAATCTTAGCTTACTTATTGCAATCTACTCTGCTTTGGTCCCAACACTGACAGTTATCGCATTTTTACCCCCTTACTATGTAATTATAGAATATGCTTTTGTTATAGACCTTCCAACACTTGTTCTCCACTCCCCGTGGTCGCATGTACTAAGAATGCCTGCAAGCTACACATATCCACAAAGCGCCTCGACGACAATATCAAATCCTCTCGTTTTGGTACATTATTGGTCGTGATGAGTCTTGTCCACTATCAAGGACCTAGCCTTAATACTTATTCACTCTTCATTAAAGTAAACCATGTCGAAAACAAAGAGAAAATTTCATGCAACCTTGCATTAACAACAATGCCAGCGAGCTACATCAAATGATAAGCTAGAACAGGGTCAATCAGCGCCGTCTCATCGACATAGTCGGGTATCATAGAATCAAAGTCTCCATCCGCATCCCCCAGAAAAGCATCCTGCATCATCGAATCGGAACCATCCTGAACACCAGGTCCAGGCATCTGCATATTGAATGGCATATCATCACCAGAATTATCAAGTCCCAGGCCATAAATCCCTAGTGAATTCCCTCCCGGCCCGCTCTCATCCGCCAGTAGGGCCCGCTGCATGAACAGACCCTGGACGTCGTCCTCGGAGCAGCCATGTTTCGAGCTCATGTGCACCCACAGGTCATAATCGCGATGGAAGCGGTACTCACACTCATCATAGAAACAGGCAATATGTCGTCCCGTTTCTTCGGCGTAGCCCTGCCCCGTCAGGGCTGCGAGTGTGGACATTTGGTGACTGCCTCCGGGCGTAGTGTTCGAGCCATTTGCCAGACCGAGTCGCTGGCGCCGCTCGGCCTTGGCGTTCGGGTACCCCAGATGCGATGTGCGGACATGTTCCTCGAGAGCGAGCTTGCTGCCGTATCGTTTCCCGCATCCGAGCCCATCCCACCCTTCCACTTTCTTTGAGGTGGAGAGATCTGTCTCACCGCAGGCAAACCGTTTCTCGCCTTCGTGCACAGTCCGGATGTGCACGGTCAGATTCCCCTTCTTGGTGAAGCTGCGCCCGCACCCGGGAACGGTGCAATCGAAGATTTGTCTCTCTTCGAGACTGACGTCACCGTGCGCAACCTCGAGGTGACGACGGAGTTCGCGAGATGTCGCACAGATGACCGGGCAATTGGGACATTTTGGTGGGTGAACTGTACGGATGTGTTCTTGGAGGAGAGCATAGCTGGGGAATGTGACTGCGCTATCATCCGTGCGCTGGTCGGAGCACTCGGCACAGCTGAATCGTTTGTCGGTGTGGAGTCTGCTCTGGTGCGCACGCAGATGTCCTGCCGTGTCGAATGCCATGGGGCACTGTTTCCCTGTGTGGGGGTCCACGTGCGGACAGGGGAATGGTTTCTGTTTCAGATGCACTGTCGTGACGTGTTTCTGAAGCGTGGAATGCTTCCGGAACGTCTCGTTGCAAGGTGCATATTCGGTGCACCGGTATTTGTCTCTTCCATCGTGCGCAGCCAAATGGCGTCGCAGCCGTGAACCAGTCACGAAGCTCTTATCGCAACCTGGTCGATCACAGACATAGTCGCGGACGCCGGTGTGGGCGCTCTTGACGTGGTGGTTGAGATGTGATGCCCGCAGAAAAGTTTTGTCACAGTCCTCAAATGTGCATTGGAAGAGTCGTTCGTTGTTGTGCGATCGCAGATGTTCTTGAAGTCGGGCCGGCCGGTTGAACGCCTTGGTGCAGCCGTCGAACGGGCAGCGGTGTGTTTTCAGCTCGGACGGGTATCGGGCGGAGGTGGTTGAGAAGGGCGTTGCAGGTGTTTCGTTGAGGTCATCGCTTGCTATACTTGGTGTCCCCGAGCCTGAATACTGGGCATCGGAATGGGTTTCCTCGTAGATCGGGTCTGGAATGACGGGGTCAGCAGCGGGTGGTGGTTGAAAGGCACTGATTCTTACCCGAGCCATCCAGCACGGTCTGTCTCTGGATCCGCTTAGGATCTGGCGTGTCTGCCGTGGAAGCCTTGCGCTTCGGGGCCATGGCACCCTTCGATTGATCAAGTCGTCAGATCAGTCGTCAGTGTTGCAGGCCAAAAAATGAAATATTTTGCCGGTTGTCTAGGCGGTGAGTCCCAAAGCGGGCTAGCGCCAGCAGTTTTTCCTTCGCGCTTTCCGCTTCGCTCGATCAATTCTCAGCCAGTCCGTCGCATCTGCTCGTTCCCTCGGCGTTACGATTGTTCCTTGATCTCTCCGTCTTGCTTGCACACCGGATCACTCACGATGTCTGACTACGGCGGTGACCACGAGGGCGAGGACAAGTAAGACCCCCCGCCGTCGCTGGAAGAGCTTTACTTGCTTTGCGCGCTTTCCTCCAGCGCTCCGTGAATATGGGCTAATTTTCTACCATCCAGCCTCGACTACGAGCCCCATGAAGAGGTTTTCGATGACCTCGAGCCGGAAGATTTCCTCGACCAGGAAGGCCTCGAGGGCGAGGAGGGCGCCGAGGGCGACTCATACCACCCCGTCAACGGTGACGACCAAGTCGTGGTCTCGGGCGACCCTAATGCTGGCTACTCGGGAAAAGTGATGGAACAGTCCCGTGAGAAGAAGGTGCCCAATGACCAGCGCACGACTACGCCGTACCTGACCAAGTACGAGCGAGCGCGCGTCCTGGGCACTCGGGCTCTGCAGATCAGGTGTGTTGCGACTGGGACTTCAATTGAGGCTAGGAATAATGGATTGCTCACTATGGTGTAGCATGAATGCCCCCGTGCTCGTCGACCTCGAGGGCGAAACCGACCCCCTGCAGATTGCCCTGAAGGAATTGAACCAGAAGAAGATCCCGCTGATTGTGCGGCGATATCTGCCGGATGGATGGTAAGAATGCCGGTTATCTCTTACGCCGACCGGGACTAACTGAGATTGTCTAGGTACGAGGACTGGACGTGCGAAGAGCTGTTGTAGTCAGTTCTGTCGGTCTTGGGGGTTCGAGTCAATATCAGCATAGCGTTTGGAGTTTCTGGGAGTCTGCCGCAGTCATGGCTTCAAGGCCATAGACGAGAAAATTAACAAATATATCCGTTATGGTTAAGAGTCGTTAGGGGCCACCAATGCCAGTAAGCAAGTAGTCTAGTTCGGGGTTGGCCGATCTCTGGATAACCGGCACGCTCTCGGCACTAAGAACCGTCCGAATGCCGCCAACCACGACTACTTGGTAGGACATCCTCCGTACACTGCAACCTGCCCTGGTCGATTTCTCACAGCTTGGGTGGATCGGTCCCCGCAACAGGGTGCTTTATAATCAATTTACCCGGCAGATTTTTATTATCTCCAGAGTGGTTCGCTGCTTTTTCTCTTCTACCACAGCAAAAGCCGCGTGTCTGGTACTCGCCAACGGGAGGCAATGGGCTCGACGAATCTGGAAACAGAGCAAACCACGGTGCTCGCCGATGTTGCCAATCCCACGGCCTCTCCGCCCGCGGAGAAGGAGCCCGAGCCGAGCTATGACACCGGTATCATGGCCTGGCTGCAGGTAGTGGGCTCATTCTTTCTGTTCTTCAACTCGTGGTATGTTGGGTCTTCTACCAAAGAAAGAAAGAGGAAAAAAATCCAAGGAAATATGCTGATCCATATCGCACAGGGGCGTGATCAACACGTGGGGTGCTTATCAGACTTACTATGAACAATACTTGCTCGTCGGCACCTCGTCGTCCTCAATCGCCTGGATCGGGTCGCTGCAGTCTTTTCTACTCATGTTAGTCGGTGTCATCACTGGTCCGCTATTCGATCTGGGCTACTTTCGAAGTCTGATCTCCGTCGCCGCCTTCCTGATGCCCTTCGGTCTGATGATGACCAGCATCTCCACCAAATACTGGCAACTCATTCTCGCCCAGGGCGTCTGCGTCGGCTTGGCCGCAGGCTGTCTCTTCGTGCCGTCCGTGGCTCTGCTACCGCAATATTTCCGCCAGAAGCGCGGCTTGGCCAACGGATTGGCGGCGAGTGGCAGCAGTATCGGCGGTGTCGTCTACCCGATCATGTTCAACCAGCTCCAGAAGACAGTCGGCTTTCCCTGGGCAACGCGCGCACTGGGATTTCTGTCCTTCGGTACGATCTGCATCTCGGTGAGCCTGATGCGCCAGCGGTTCAAGCCCAAGGAGAAGCGCAAGCTGTATGAATTCTCGGCTTTCAAGGAGCCCGCCTTTTGTATTTTTGCCGCCGCCATGTTCCTCGGTTTCCTGGGATTCTACAACTTCCTCTTCTACGTGCAGACCTACGCCATTGAGACCGGCATCGTCGGCCCGAATCTGGGCTTTTACCTCCTGTCCATGCTGAACGCCGCGTCGACCTTTGGCCGAATCACGCCCAACTTTGTTGCCGACCACACCGGTCCCATCAACATGCTGTGTCCCGCTGTCACAATCACCGCCGTGTTGGCCTTTGTCTGGATCGGCGTGCATACGGTGGCCGGCATCATCGTGCTGGCCGCGCTGTACGGCTTTTTCTCGGGTGGCTTCGTCTCGTTGCCGCCTGTGGTCATGGCTTATATGACCCCCGACGTCCGCGACCTCGGCACCCGGATGGGCATGGTGTTTGCCATCACTTCTATCGGTCTGCTGATCGGTACTCCGATTGGCGGTGCGATTCTCAGTGACACGAACCAGTTTCTGGGCGTGCAGCTGTTTACGGCGTGTTGTTTGATCGGATCGGCCGGTCTGATGGCCCTTTTGCGTGTCGTGCGCGCCAAGGGCCAGCTTATCGCGAAGGTCTGAGGGTGGAGATACATTTCATGAATATACCCGATGCTTTTCTGTCTACTGCAATGTGCTGTATAGACAAGCGCGGCGCTTTACATATTGCATATCAAAGAGCGGGAAAACGGCGTTCTCTTGCTCAATTTCGGTCATACGGAAACTCAGGACTTGTTTTAAATCTATTTCATCATTGGCATATATCATCAAATGAAGTATCTATAGCTGCAAAGTATGGTCCCATGAACACCATGCGGATTCCCGTGCAATGAACCCAAAAAGGCCCGCCCCGAATATCCCGGGGCCAAAACTATGTGACATCCTCCGGACTCACGAGGAATTCCTCCCCTTTCTCTCGCACATGCTCCAGCTTCTTATCTCGCGCGCACGGCTTGCGCATGTCGAAGGCATCCTCCCCGAACTCAGAGAGCCCTGTCGGATCGTCGCTATAGTAATTGACCACGCGCCGGAAGACGGAGTACCTGTCGGATCATCAATCAATATAATACAATCCAAAGATCCGAGCGGAGACTCACCCCATGCCCTTGTACATATCCACGGCAACCTTATTGCTGGCGCGGACATACAAATCCACAAACCAGGCATTGTTGATATTTGACGCCTGCTCCAGCTGCTCGGTCAGTTTGCGCGCATAGCCGAGTCGTCGCCAGGCTGGAGCAACGGTCAGGACGGTGATGTGTCCGTGCCATGGGGTGTAGTGCTCCGAGTGTTGCATGGAGGGGTGTTGTTCCTCCAGTTTACCCATAACTGAATCTTCCGGTCAGGATATCTCCTTTTATTTTCCATTTGTATAGAGAGAGCAGGTGGCCATACTGTATCCGACAATGCCTTCGCTGCGGTCCTTGACCGAGTTGAAGAGCGACGGCCATCGCATTAGGTAGTTGAGATAGAAGCCCAGGTCATAGTTCTCGGTCAAGGGGTCTAGGTTGGTCAAGTTGAGGGAGAGCACGTCCAATGGGGACGTGCGCTTGATGGAGCTCATGGCGAGCGAGTACAAAGAAAGAAAGAAGGCAAGAAGAATGTGGGGGTCAAGCAGAGCATGGGTGGTTCTGCCGGGCGGTGGTGCCAAGGAAGATCAAGCTGTTCCTTGACATGTTCGTTGCGAGTGTTTGTTCAGGCCGTGTCTGTTTGAGACATCATTATTATTCCGGTCGTGGGTTGTGTCTGGTCATTTATTCTTGTCTGCTCGGATACCCCTCCGCCTGAGCGAAGTGACCTGTTCCCTCGCTGTGCCATTCTTGCTTTAGCTGCATTCGCCCTCCGATTCCTTGTACAGATCCGTCCTTCCATCTTTCGAGAGGTTGCAACTCCCATCCACCCACCATGGACGACTCTCCTATCTCGCCGAGCATGGCGGCTACAAACGGATTCGCACCCCGGAGTCCCCAATCCCCCAAGACGCCCCGGCTATCTGCCCCTCCATCTCCGGTCACTCCGCGCCAGACTGCAGCACATCGAGGCTCAGAGGACTTCTCCGTGGTGCAAGGTGGCGGAGGCGGTGGTGGGCTGGGGAATCTGGCAGACGAGCTAGCCGATGCATGGGAACAAGAAGAAGAGGGATACGGATACGCATCGGGTCAGGAGAATGGTCGGACAGGGTCTCACCAGGGCCACAGTGACGGGGAAGATGCATATCTGCAGTCCGTCCGCGATATGCGCACCCGATCCCCATCGGCTGACCTCTCGCCGGAGCGTGCGGCGAGATCAAAGCACCGCTCGGCTCACCTTCGCCAGCATCGACGCCAGGAATCATACTATGACGGCTCAGACTATGGGAATGAATCGGACCTGGACGAGACCTCGGATATTTCGCCCGGCCTCGACAGCCAGATGGCCAGTATCGATAGTCTTGCGCGGCGGGGGATTGAGAACAACGGCAGTGAAAACGACCTTGTCATTCAACGGACGGTAGAAGCCCTCCGGGATCTGGGCGGGCAAAGCGGAATTGAGAACAGTGCCATGAGGTTAGTACGCCATGTTACTCCCCTCCAGAATCATGCCCTAATCGGAATTGCAGACTTATCACGGCACACTCCTCGATTACATCGCATCTCACCCATCAAACCCGCACGCTCCAGTCTCTCATCCACCCACTCCTCTTCTCTCCATTCCCATTACTCTCCGAAGACGCCATCGACGCTCTCATGCCCCTGATCGACGAGGGTCTACTCCCCAACCTGCCGTACCCATTTCCAGATCAGCAACAACAAGCCCGCCAGTCCTCATCCAGACCAGCTACCCCTTCGCAAACCACGACTCTCAACCCACTTGTTTCTCTTCAGGCTCTCATCTCCCAGACAGCAGATATTACCCACTCTCTGCGCAGCCTAAGCGATACCCTCTATGAATCGCGCCAGCTGACTTCAACGGCTTCTCGTCGGCTGCGGTCTGCGCGGGAGCTCGTCGCGGATCTGCGTCGTGAGGAAGAGGGTCGCGAAGAGGGCTCGCGTTGGATCGAGCGCGGCGAGTGGGATCGTCGTCTGAAAGATCGCGAGGCAGGCAAAGTCTGCGGCGACGTCGTCAGTGGCTTTGAGGCCGTGTGTGGTGAGTGGAGGGAGAAGCTGTTCGGCGCCGCCGAAGTCGCTGCTGCTTGAACTCGACTTTTGGACCGTTGGAGGTTTGGACGACCTTGGATATATTCCTTCTCTTGTCACTAATTTCTTTCTTGTTGGATAAACTCATCATTGCGTTTAAGACTAGATTGTTCTGCATTTTTGTCATTCGTTTTGTCCCCCTCTCGCCTTTTGTCAGATATCCCCTTTGCACTCTCTTGTTTATCGTGTTCATATTGCCATTCGCCATCTACTTGCATATGATATGTATAGGTCCTTTGAATATATTTCATCATATACTGTTTATTTTGCCTGCTCTTGGTGTTTTGTTGTCTGCCTCGGGCCCACACTTGTTGTTCTACGTGGCAGACGGTGCCTGCAGTCCCAGCCACGATTGTGTCTGTTTCACTGTCAACGAACCTTCTAGTCCCTGTCCACCACATGCAGCAGAGCTAGTTCCCACGGCCACTCGGTACTGGCCTTCCTCCAGATACCATCTGTCGCACTTACAAAGGTCTACGGCACATCCCACCACACTGGCGGTATTTACGGGACTATGGCCATGGGTTTCCTCTTTATGGGCTCATACTCATTCGGGTGGACCCCCGCTGCTGTATCACTATCCTCCCGAGGTTCTGAACTATCAGATTCGTGCAGCGGGGATGGGTCTCATGAATGCGGTCATGAACGGGCGTGCATTGCTCATGCTGTTTGCTCTGCCTTTTGCGCTGCAGTCTTCTGGTTGGCAGACGTATATGATGAATGCGGCATGGGACGAGCTTGTTGTTGCTTTCATCTACTTTTATTGGGTTGAGACCAAAGGGAAGACTCTCGAAGAGGTTGGCTTCCTTTTTGAAGGGGAGAGACCTGCTCAGGCTTCTGAGCTCAAAAAGGAGGGGTGGCTGTCGAAGAAGTTGAGATTGAGCATGTTAACTGATACCGGGTAGCTTGCTAGGTGTATAGTACTGGAAATGTCACATCATGGGAAATAGCTGAACAGTCCTCGGACTTTCACCTGACATGCTCAAACCAGCGGTGTTTGAGCGCCTCTCCTACGGTGATCATCTTCATAGGATCTAGATTGGTCATCTTGCCTATCAAGTCCCTGAAGTCCGGCTCCACATAATCCCGACACTCGAAAGACCGCTTAGGAGTCGTCTCTCGGGTAGCCGCGATGTCTACTAAGTGTGTGTACAATGGAGTTTCCTTCCTTCTGTGCCCAAGAAACTCTCTAAACTCACCTTTGTCCTAGAATAGGATAAATGCCGCTCAAGGATATACCCTCCGGACTCAGGCTCTTTTAGTTGGTCGTCACCGACGTAGAATACCATCTCATTGAAGATAATGTAAATCATCTGAATGTATAACTAGCTTTCCAAGGTAGAATTTTCAATTGAAACATAGCACAATCGGGATAAGTTTGATTATGATTGTATTGACTAAGCGGTCAGGGGCAGTCTAGATCAACGCTAGTAGTCCGGCAGTGGCGCAAATACCCTAATTGGATCGGCGCAAACCTCTTGGACTCGATTACATACATCTAGGACTGTATCTAGTGATTTTCTCGTGAATATTATTAGTTAATTATATTTGTTTCCTGCAGATTCCAAATTCCGAATTTGGCAGTCAATGACACTACGACACTTGATCTCCCCGCTTAGAGCTGGGGCAGTTGCCACCGAAAATACATATTCACCTGAAACCCCCGATCGCACTGCATCCAATTTTCTTTTGCTGGCGCAGTCCTACGGCAGATACTAAATTGCCTATTGTGTACACCGTAATGGCCATGAAAGCCCTCGTCTACACGGGCCCTGGAACCGTCGAGCTCTTGGACCGCCCAAAGCCTGCCATTCGGGACCCAACGGATGCCGTTGTTCGTCTGTTACACGCTTCCATCTGCGGGACCGACTTGCATATCCTGAAGGGCGACGTGCCCAGTGCACAACCTGGGCGCGTGTTGGGCCATGAGGGCGTTGGCGTCGTGGACCAAATCGGATCCGCCGTGCTTGGCTTACACGTTGGCGATCGGGTAGTAATATCTTGTATGACTTCGTGCGGAGCATGCCGGTTCTGTGCGCGAGGCATCGTTGCCCACTGTGAGACGGGAGGATGGATATTGGGCAATCGAATCGATGGTACACAAGCGGAGTTTGTGCGGATTCCACACGCAACCTTGTCCTTGCACACATTGCCTTCATCCATCCCCCCGCGTGCCGCTGTCGCTATCTCGGATTCCTTTCCTACCGGCTACGAGTGTGGCGTGCTAAGCGCCGGTGTTCAGCCCGGGGGATCGGTGGTAATTGTGGGCGCAGGACCCGTGGGTATAGCAGCGCTGTTGACCGCGCGGCTGCACTCTCCTTCGCTCATTGTCATGGTCGACCTGGACGAGCCGCGGCTAGCGATGGCACGCCGTCTAGGCGCGCATGCCACGGTCAATTCCGCAGCGCCAGACGTCTCGCAGAAACTCCTCGATCTAACCCAAGGCCAGGGCTTCGACTCGGTCATCGAAGCTGTCGGGATCCCCGCCACGTTTGCCTTGTGCCAAGAGCTGGTGGCCGTGGGCGGTGCTATCGCGAATGTGGGTGTACACGGCACTAAAGTCGACCTGCACCTGGAGAGCCTTTGGGATCGGAATATTAGTATCCACATGTCGCTAGTCAATGCTACGACTACCGCCCGGCTACTGCGGCTGGTCGAGTCCGGCACACTAGACATTGGATCGCTGGTAACGCATAGTAGGTGTTGTCGCTCCCGAACAATGCGTGGGAGGAGCTAACAAGACACGATAGATTTCCCCTTTGCCCAAGGGGTCACAGCCTATGAGATCTTTAAAGATGCGTCGGCCCACAAGGCGCTGAAAGTGGCCATCGACTTTGAGTAGGCTTTATTGTATAGCGCTGCACAGAGGCACAAATGCATTTGCCACAAGGTTTGAACCCATGGGTCGTGTCGAGAGCAGCCGGAGGTCCATCCGGAATGCATCTATAGACAGGTAGTTGAATTCTATTATGGATAATAATCCCTCCAGGCCGCGTCTCGCTCGTAACCCATAAAGTATCCCGTTAGTCAAATCCTAAGTCCGCCGTTTACATATGATATCAGCTTCGGCGCTGAGAAGAGGCGTCGGGACAGTATTTGGCATCATCACTCGGGCAGTCTGTTGATTTTTCAAGTCCTCGTCATGGCCTATGCGACTTGAAGCCATAAAAATGACCCCGAGTTGCGAAACCATCAGAAAACTCAGCATTGCGATTTGTAACCAAAGTTGCCCATCTCAGTTCAGGCGCTTCAGCAAATATACCCTGAACTCCGTAGATAGCCTTGGATAATTGCGGCCAATTGTGGTTGGAGATCTTACTATGGGACTTGATTGATCTTCTGCTAGCAGGCGAAAAAGAGCGACTAGACGACTCGGCCATTCCAGCCGATGCAAGAGGGCAATTTCTGGTGGTCAAGGGAGATAAGCGAGAAGATGACAAGAAGAAAAAAGAGGGAAAAAAGAAGCTAGGGCAAGGAGGGAAATATTGCGGGAAGTCCGATGCCTGTTCATTATCGCGTGTGGTGCGGTTATCGTTTCCACAGATCCTTCAATCCGGATCTGTGGGACTATATGGGGTTAGGGCACAATCAAGAATGTATTGGTTAGGCTCTGTCATGTATACTACAGTACAAATATAGGCTTGTGTTAAAGTATATAGAACGAACGAGCATCGAGGCTACCGCGATGCAAATAGAGTAGAATACTTGTTCTAGTAGTTTAATGCGTAGTACGTGTCTCGAAAAATTGGCTTGCACCTAGTTACTCATGGCCTTCTTCCCAACCCTTAACGCCACTCTAACGCCAAGAAGCCAACTGGACATGGTAGATCTTAGAGGACCCTTGCCTCTAATGTAACAGGAGAATTGTAAGGAATTGGGCAACAATATTAGGGCACATGACTCTTGGATCCTCGATGCCCCTCTTTTCCACAACGGTTCTATGTAGATGTAGAGGAAAAGGAGACGGAGATGGCTGTAGAGAAGAAAAACCACATCGAAACAAACCCCCGAAAATCATCATTCACAGCGAGGACAGTGCTCAACGTTACCGTTGTGTGCCATGTGTGTGTGAACCGTTCGCATGTGTATGTTGAAGTGATCCTTTCGACTAAAGGACCGCTTGCAGTTCGGATCAGGACACTTGTACATTTTTGAGGAGATATGCTTAGTCTTGATGTGTCGCATTAGAGATGATTCGCGGGAGAATGGACGGCTGTAGTTGCAGCCTTGCCAGCCGCAGATAAGAGAGCTAGGGCGGTCCCTAACAACGACGGTAAAAGTTAGACGTTAAGACATTAGATAACAAAGTAGGACATAGCTTCAAGAACATACTCGGCGTTTGTTACTTGGAATTGACTAGGCCACGTTTGCCCCTCAGTAGTACTAGTGTTTTTGACCCTGCTGGCCGGCAGCTGCTCTATGGAGTTCAAAGTAAAAAGAACTGACGGCATGTTGTTGACCGCCGGTGGACTATCGCGGTTTGCTTTTCGTGAACCCTCGGTGTGACTTGTCAGGGCGGGGAAAGGATTCATAAAGCTGTTGTCCATTAAGGTACTAGGACCTTGAGCCAGTGGGGAAAGGGTTATGGTGCTTGGACCCAATATCTCTGGCGGTGGTTGAATATATTCGTTGTGTAGGTTATCGTCCAGCGATAAAAATGCATTCTCAGGTATGAACAAAGAAGTATCATTCGCAGCAACAGCGGAGTTATGCATAGAAGATCTGGGGTCCTGGTCGAGCTCGTCAGGCCAAAAATCCATAGCACTCGAGCTTAAATTGTTCGAAGACGAAGACATCGTCAGACAATTTGGTGAGACAAGTAGCTCCTTCGTTATAGAAGTAGAGAGATTGTAGAAGATAACGTTGATGGTGCTACAACTCATCATTTTTGGGAGCGAAATACCTCCTTATATATTTTGAACTTTGATAGCAGGACAAATGTAGATGCCACCCTTCCAGAGAGGTACCTGTGCAGATGCATCAATTCTCCCTCTTTCGCACCGACAAACCAGTGAGTGGCCAATGAGATGACAGGTCGTAGGGTTACCGTAGTTGGGCTGTGGCGTTTGGTGTCGGGGCCACGGGGTAAATACGGTATTCAGGGCTCGGGATTGGTTCCGGGCCCGTGGCGCTGCCGCATCAGACCCTATTATGACCGAGCGAGCACTGATCCCCTGCTCGACTAGTTTCCATGATCCTGTTGCGCCCCCTGGGAAATGTGGCAACGGCACTGGGGCCTCTTTAGACGATTTCCGCGCACGCTGACAGCAGAATGTGCTCTTTTCTTTTCTGACGGTAGAAAAATTTCTGCCCCATCTTTGCCATAGGCTGCTTACGAGGCGGTTTTTCAGTGATTTCAACAGAAACTCCGTTTCCCATTGTTTGGCGTTGCTGCCCATGCGTACAATTAGGGGACCTCTTCCAACACCTCCACAACGGAAAATGAAGGACGCTCTGCTCAACTCAGTTCCTTCCAGTCAGAGGCAGAGAGGGTAGGTGTTTGGCGTCGCGCGATCTCAGAGTGTTCACACTCACAAGCGCTCTCGATTCGACGATTCTCGTGACAATATTGCGCTGAACCCATTGACTGTTGACTCCTATGTAGCCTTCTGAATGGCTAAGCTACTGGGTACAAAAAAAAAAAAAAAAAAAAAAAAAGGCTACTCGGCCTCGACAACCACCTTCCTCGCCGACACCCCCTTCTTCAACACCTCATAGCCCTCCTGAATGCCCTCCAGCCCCTTGGTCTGGATTATCAACGGCTCCGGTGCAACAACATACCTGCGTTCCGCCAGCGCGCGAGGCAGAAATTCCCCATAGATCTTGCACACAATGTCATCCTGACCATCCCCGAACACCATCTTCGCCCGCACGCCACTGGGCACTTTATTCTCTGGGATTGGAA